TATGTCCTTCTACTTGCAAAGTATGGGTTTATTTTAAAGAACGAAGCTGTGTCCTATACCTCCGCTATTCAGCTATAGTAGGTGTGAGGTGACCAGAAGGCCTCTCACGTCCTGCCACGCGATCACGATGAACGGAGAAGGTTTCCGTCGAAGCATCAAGGGGTGGGTTTTCCTACTTGTCCCGTGATGTCGAGGGTATCCAGCATCGGGGAAAGCTCTCAGCGCCGTGGGGCTTTGTGGGCCAACGGACTTCCGGCTTTTTACAAGAGCTCGCAAGGGCGGGCGTCCTGTTAAGGTAATTTACGGGGAACGTTTTACGATTTACATAAACTCGTCGACAAAAAGGGGAAATGTTCTACGCGTAATATCATCGGCCAATACCGAGATAAGAGGGTTTCTTACCTATGACGTTAGAAAGGCCAAAAATAAACATTTGATAGTTGTCAAGATTTAACTAGTAAGTTACCTATGGAATATAGATACGCCAATGAACTTGTAGGGTATCATTTGCAACAGCAAGAAATAATTACGAATAAGGAAGAAAAAAAGAATTGCTCACATAGGTCCTCATACCAGTATCTCATACATATTACGCACATCCTACAAAGTACATGATTCGTGTCCAGATCAGTTCTTTTAGGAATATAGGAAGTATTGTAGCCAATAATATGAAGAATTCCGTTCTACGTATTGTACATGCTGTACCTAGCCCTCCCTCCCTACCTACCAGGTACCTACATAGACTACGTACATTAAACAACTAGAAGCAGACAAGCCAGCCCCTCATGAAAGCCGTCGGCTGCCCCGCTCTCGACAGTCAACCCCTCACCGTCTGTGAGAGGGAACGAGGAACCGGTGAGGTAGGATTTTGCATTTCGGCAAACCATAATGAAAGGATAACTGGGACCACCTTTTCGCGGAGACGCACCCGATGTTTGGAGGCTCTAGAAAATGTTCATCATGATCACGATGACTTCCCGTCCAGTGAAGTGGTGAAGTGGTGATGGGAAGGGATAAATCATTAAAAGCCAAGTTCTCAGCGCTTCTCCAGCAGCGTTCCACCACGTTTCATTCCGTCGAAGAAAAAAGCATGCATTTGCATGTATGTATGTATGTATGTATGTAAGTACCTAAGGTAAGGTATGTATGTCGTTATCTACGCCATCTACGTTGCATTGAAGCCATACCTAAGTTTAGGGTTAGTTCTGTATAAACTTAATACCTAAGAGAGATTGTGTCCCTTTTTTGGGCAGCGCACTAGCCTTTCGCTGCTCCAGTTTCTTGCATATCGGAAGCGAGGCGGATGGTCAGCTTACAGTCGGCTGACTACTGAACGGGGAGTCTCTCAGACTCGTAGACACTATTTTGGGACAGGCCGTTGAATACTATGTATACCTACCTACATGCTGTTACACACACCTACTTTCATGTTGGGGATTCCCACTACCTGCATCAGATACGTATACGTGACAGCATATACTAGACATACCTCTCTCTATATCTTCGCGTCATATCTAAACTGGATTTTGTTTTTTTTTTGGCTGCCCGGTGTGGAGAGTCAGCATGGGCGGGTATAAGTAGATAAAATAAAAGACCTGATGTTAAATCCTTCGCGGACCATTTTTGATTCCACACACTCCCAAGACGTTTTCAGGTGCTACAAATATTAACAGATGACACAATTTATGATTATTACGATAATGTTTGTTTGCGCTGACTTATTATAAACTTAGATTAAGCAGAATTAATAATAAGAGTGTGGAGGGGCTTTTATGGCGAAACTTTGGAGGCTGATGGCGAAGAAAGTGGGATGGAGGGGTTAAAAACTTTAGATACCTAGACCTAGGTAGGTACCTCCAGGTATTCGACCAGTTCTAATTTGTACCTAAGGTGGTACCTAAGGTATCGATTATCTTTGAAAATGCGCCAAAATGGATCCTTAAAGTTGAAGGCGCATCACGTCAAAATTCAAAAGACGTACACCAAAAAGTAACGAGTAGCTGAATAAGATGAATAAGACTGATGCAAAACGCCATAGTTCTACAAATAAATCCATCTCATGTGAAAAATTCTTAAATATATTAGGTCTCGTTTAAAGCATCCAATCTCAAAAGAAAATTTGTTGGATCGACGCGGAAATGAAGTGGTCAGATCCCATCAGATTAAGGATTCTTTGCTATGATCCGTGACCTCCAGGGAGGCACTGATTCGCCGCAATGCATTAGTCAACCCGTGATACGGTTTAGATGGAGGGGCAAAGGGATCTCTTTATTTGAAATTTTATTTTCCACTTTCCACTTTCTACTCTCTACTTTCTATTTCGTACACGTTTACGAATTACCTAGTACTAATGAGATTCAAAAAGCAAGACATTGCTAATTTCACCTCGGTACTAATAAGTAATAAATAATTTAAATTGCAAGACTTGGAGAGAGACAAATACCGCGACACATCAATGGATGTCCAGTTGCTGCTTTTGCTACTTTTGCCGAGCAGCGAACCAGCCAGCAGTCAGGCCTAGGAGTTTTAACCATCTTGGGTACCGGATTCATTATGTAGAGCATTATGTAACTTATGTAACTAATGCTAATGCTAATGCTTCGCTTCTTTTTGACACGACTTACAGACGGGGTCACGGGTCACAAAATTGAACGTGGCACGCCAAGACGAAACTGGAAATGTGATGTGGATGGAGACACGTCCGGACTCCCTGTTCACGGACCCCTCGGCGATGCATGGCTCATGTTCCAATGCTGTCAACATCGAAGGCTGTTCTTTCATTCTTCTAGTGTAATTGTTCCTTTCATTCCCCGCCCCCCCTTTTGTGGCTGGAGATTCGAATTGAATTTCAAGCTGACCTACATCCTGGGTACCTGAGTAATCTTGGTAATCTTGCGTAAATACGTATCTTCTAAATGTAGCTTTTTTGTACATCTTCCCCGCCAAAACATCCCACCTGATTTTTCTTTTTTGTCCTGCCAGACCTTTTCGGCTTTTTTTTCTTTTTCAATATGCCCCTCGACGCCCGCGATGCTCGCGACGCACCATAAAAAAAGAGGTAGCATAGGTACCTAGAACTACCGAAGCAACATGCCCATGTATTTTACACTAATCTCCTTCCAAGAACACGTTGGGCATTCTTTAATGCATAACACATGAAGAACCGCTTCAATGCAGAACTAGCATATAATATATTAGCGGTGTGAATAAATAACCTTGTTTGCACACCGCATCGATTGACGAGTACCAGAAGGGTCATAGAGAGGTAAAGAAGGAATACAATCGTTAGGTACGCGAGGTAGCGTCTTCTGAAAAGCCTAGGTTAAGGTACTCCGAAGAGAGGAAGAAAAAAAAAAAAGCTCTTAAATCCCCACTAGAAAGTCACATCCCCGGTTGCCCTGTGAAGCTGCTGCAATCCACCGCCAAGGTACCCGTAAAGCCCTGCATAACACCGCTAATTACAACACCAAGCACCCACCTCTAAGAAACCCGTGCAGCCGGCCCGCATCCACTCGCTTGACTCGATCGGGCCATACTTATTCCTACTTTGCCTGCGGCGCAACTCGCAACTCACCACCTTGACCAAAAAAAGCCACAAACCGCTTCACCTTCCTAGTAAACCCCCCCTTCCCTCCCCCAACCCTACCCACTTTGCTGTTGCTAATCCGACTGGTCCTTGCAGGTTATCGGTGCTCGTGCTTTTGGTCCCGCCCGTTAGTAACGTCTAGCATCGTCAGCTATCTTCTCGTACCCAGCCGCCTAAATTTTAGCGTGTCAGTACGCGGTATCAGGTACGTACTGTTTTGTTTCGCTCAATCAGGTGGGGTTCTTGTCTCCAAGAATTCAATTCCAGCCAACTACATACATAGTACCTATTCCGTACCTACCTAGGTAAATAGGTACGCTAGGTACATCACCTGTCTCTACTGGACATCGGTCTCTAAACCGTACGTACATGTACCCAACCTGTTTCCTATGTACCTATTCCCCCTCCCTGGCTTGCACTAGCCACTTTTGCATAGCACAGCGCAGCACAGCACAACGCAGCGCTGCAAAGAAGAGCAGAACTTCCCGCACAGCGCATCCAATTTTCCCTCCCTCATTTTGACCCGGCATTGTCCCTCCTTCGCTCCCTCCGTTCCTTTCCCCCTCCTCCTCCTCCTAAATTTCCTAAACTTTCAACATTTTTCTTCCCGTCTACCTTTATCAACCCCTCGAACCCCTCTTTCATTCATAACGATCTGAACCCGCGCATCGTTAGCTATATTTTTCTGCGTCGTCCAATATAAAGACGACTGCATCATCTCGAACACGTCTGTGCTTCGAGACTAATTCACCCCTCCGGCATAGGCCGCATCATCTTATCACCAAACCCATTCCATGCTCCTTATACCGATACAAATGACCAACTATCATCAGTCCAGTCAAGAAGACACACTTTAAAGCCCACGGGAGCGCGCGTGCGAGCGAGGAGAGCCAGGCGATTTCAACGATCGGCCTGTGAAGGTTCAAGAAGATCAATTTTCGGAGCGTCGACCGTAGTCATTGTTTAAAGCGAGAGAAGCCCATTGACTTTGGAAATCTATTTTTTACCAATAAAACAACCCACCGTCAACCAACGCGACAAACATTTTATTGAAGATGCCGGGCGCAAGCGTGGCAGTCCTCCCCACATCCGCCTCATCAACTCCGGTCCCCCGAAAGACCTCACTCGCGCAACCAGAGAGGAAGTACAAATGCCAGTTTTGTAACAGGGCATTCAGCAGAAGCGAACATCGTAGCAGACACGAGCGATCGCGTATGTACCGCGAAATTCCCCTTTCCATCTAATCTCTTTGATGGTTTCCAAAACCCCTCCGTTCCACGTCTAACCCTTGCCCCCCCCTCTTCCCCCCTCCCATCCGATATCACTACCCCTCAACACCACAATTCCTCAAGCCGATCTTACTTAACGTAGTCAATTGCATTACCTCAGATTCTTAAAAAGCTGACTTGAATTGGAATAGATACAAAGGAGCGCCCTTTCAAATGTATGAAGTGTAGAAGTACCTTTGTACGACGCGACCTTCTTCTTCGTCACGACCGTACCGTTCATGCTAAAGATGGAGGGGTACCTCTCCACAGCGATGGAAAGCGCCGCGCAGGCGCTGGTGTCTCTAAAGCTCGATCCGTCGGTGGTCCCTCAAAATCTTCCATTGCCATTGACACGTCGACTCTAAGTGAACAAATTGAAGCCAGTAGTGAAGGCGCCTTCGACGTCGAACACGCTGCTATGCTGGTAGCCGATCTCCACCATAAAGCCATGATGCGCGACAATGCAAGTCCCTACGAATCTGGTCCCTCGATGGCGTATACTCCCACCAGCGCTCCGATAATGGACCCCGCGGTTACTTACCCTGCCAGCGCTGTTCCGCTACCTCACAGCGTACCCTGGGATTCGTTTGTTTCCCAGTCGACAATGGATGCCAAAGCTCAATCGGTTGCATCGAACGCATCAGCTTCATTCGAGTCGCAACAGCCTTTTGCCAATGTGAGTGCCACTGAGGTCCAACCTGACTTATCCCCTGGTTCCAGCTATAACGGCTACATGTCCACGTCTCACTCCGTAGAAAACTCGCCGTCTCTCAGCACCGGCCCAGCGGCCTTCAACATCCCAAATCCAAATCCATGTGTGCCTCTTATTACGAACAAGTCAGCTAACCCCCCACCCCAGACCTCGGGTGGATTCAATGTTCCTCGAGTGAACAGCGACGAAGAGCGAAATACAATTCTAGATAACATTCGAGCAAACGATATCGAACACGCAATTCCTGAAGGCTTCCGTGTTCCGAACTTATCTTCCTTGAACCGTTATCTATCGACTTATTTTACGCTCTTCCACCACCACCTACCGTTCTTGCATCCTGCATCGTTTAATGTTACCCAGGTATCTCCCGCCTTGCTGCTCGCGGTGCTGTCGATTGGTGCACTTTATGCTTTCGACCAAGACCAAGCTTATATGTGCCATATCGGCTCCAAGGTCTTGGTCAACCAGTTCTTGCAAAACAAGGAGAACTTCAGCTCCCGGAAGTGCCCCCTCTGGACGATGCAGAGCTCACTTCTCAATATGATCTTCGCTAGCTGGAGTGGAGATCCGAAGGGATTGGAATGGGCCTGTTCTATCAAGAGTCTCCTGGCTAATATGGTGGCTGGTAATCGCTATGAGTTGAAACTTCGGCAAGATAGTCGTGAGGGTGCACAGCCGAAACGTGACGAATGGATTGAGGATGAAGGTTGCCGGCGCACATACTATGCTGTCTACATCTTTTTCGGGTTGCTCACCCTAACATACAATCACACTCCTGCCATTAGTTTCAACGAGTTTGAGGACCTTCAGCTTCCTTCCCAGGAGGCGCTTTGGAACTCTAAGGTTACTGACGAAGCTGCTTGGCAAGAACAGTTGAAAGCATCACCTCCAGTTACGTTCATGGTTGCTCATGAGAACCTCTTTCAGGGTGTGATGTTAAAATATAGCGCCTTCGCAACGCGTGTTATGATCAACGCATTGTTCCTCGAAGTGTGGTATCATAAGCGTAGCCCTGAGGCACTCCAAGATGTGGTGACTGAGTACAAGCTCCGAATGGCTCTCGAGACGTGGGAGAAATCTCTAGAACTCTGCGAGCCCGAGGCTGACACAGTCCCTCTCAGCGCACCTCACAAGGGGCATCCCCTAATCTTCAATGCCAAGGCAATGTATCGCAACGCCCGCGCTCGCCTAGAAGTTGACTTGAAGACAGTTCAGGAAGCTCTCCGATACCATGACCACTACGAAGTAGCTGCTGCTATGTCGAATGCACGCGACAGGGTAAAGCGCTCCAGCGAGATGATCAAGGTAATCGACGAGTGTTACAACTGTATCGAGACTGCTGTCCGCCAAGGCGTGCGCTGGGTTGCTCGTACTTCTCCGACCAACTGGAGCATTGAACATCCTCTATGCGGCATGGATCTCATGATCACCCTCACCTTGTGGCTATATCGTCTGGAACATGATGAAGAAGCTGCTTCCGAGGAAGAGATGGCCATGTATCTGAAGGTCAGGAGTCTCTTCGATAAGGATGCGGAGGGTGCCATGAACTCGCAGCAATTAAGTTCGACCGTGGCTCACCTTTGGGGCTCTATGCTTGATGAAGTAGTCGTTTGGGGGTAAGTCGATATATATTCCGAATTTTCTACTTTTTGTTGTACGAGGCTAACTTAGTTTGCAGCATCACCCGACTTATGGGCGAAGCTTTCCGACTTCACTCTCAAGCACTCGTTGGCTACGTGGATGACGTTGAGGCGTCGTCCAACGTCTCGACGCCCTCTATGATTTCTCAAGGGGCCGACGAGGAGAGTGTGTATTAGAAATTTTCACGAGACTCACGATTTTCCTAGTCTTTTGTCTACTAATTAGGGGCGGTATGGGAGAAGTGTACGCGGCATATACCTCCTACGTTTGCGCCTTTCTGTTACTGTCTTATTTTCTCACACTCCGGGGTCTGGACAGGCGTGGGGGTGTTGTTGTTTATGGGACTCGTCGTCTTTCTCATAGTGTTTGCATCCGACATCTGCATCCGACGTCAACTGGTCTCAAGGGGAGGGCCTGGAATTGGGAAGGCTCTCGTGATGACCTAGTGAAAAAAAAGGGGAGGGGAAACCTCGGCGCGCCGCGCGCAATATAATGTGTGATGCAGTTGGCTGGCTGGACCATTCGTGATATCTTCTTTTCCCCTCTGTTCTATTAGCTACGGCACTCTTATTCTTATTTTAATGCTGCTGCTATTTTTTCTCCAACAACTTTTTTTAACCCTTTCTTTACTCTGCCTGTTGTTGTCAGATACCTTGTTCTACATACTGGCTGTCGTTTTTTCCATTCGATGCTTTCCTTGCGCGATCGTCTACTTCTTTTTTTTTAGGTTTCGTTTTTCCGTTCTTGTCTTTTCATTTTTTTCGCGCTTCTTTTCTCGGTTTTTAATTTTCCTAAGTCGAGTCATGTTAATAGAGCTGGCAAACCGAGTATCTCAGGATGGAAACTTGAGACGTGGCAAATCGGAAAGCACAGGCGCGTACACAGATTGAATTAATGCTCTTCGGGTTCGTTTGGAAGTGGTTCTCGTTGAATTATAGATAACTACACACGCGTCAGATATTCAATATATCACATCTCTCTCCAAGTTCGGGTATTTCAGATGTCGCACTGCGTTATTACCGTATTACCGTAATATTGCTATTTTATTGTTATTATCATTATTACCAACGCATATACCTATATATATGTGACAGGGAGATGACTTATCACATCGTCACATATAAAAACATAGAAGCAATCGTCCGACCCGTAGCGCTTGACTGGACGCCACGATGCCCCCCTTTCTTATCTGTGCGCTGCAGGCACCCGAGTGCTCGTTGGTTCCTTACACTTATCCTTATGACCTCGTGATAGGTACTCGGAAAGTGAAATTTGCTGTACATGTGTACAACCCCTTATTGTGCTACCTACATGACATTCAAAGTATCACTGAAGGAGAGTCCCCTTGCGTCGAGTTACGAAGGTACCAGTTAGTTGACCCACGAGGTCCTTCCCCTTCCACTTAGGTTATCTATTCCTGCACGCTTGGAGTTTTTCGGCGCCCTGTCCATGATTTCTGATTATAGTGCCTGCCAACAGTGGCAGGACAGGGCATAGCTTTTTTTTTCTTTCTTTAGAAGGCGTTATCCCTCATTTGAGAACTAATGATAGACTTTATATTTATTTATGGTCACACATGCCTACCTTGAGTTAAGGTATCACTCACTCATCTGCCTTTGCTTTGCTTCGCTTAACGGGTTGCCTCACATGAAGCCAGAAAGTCTCGTTCGAGTATATGAGTTCGATGTTCCTTTGTCCTCCTGCTTCCTCGAGATCGCTTCATCATTCGAGTTCTTCTTGCATGGGAAATCATTCGTGTTCGCGATACTACTACTACCACCACCACCACGAACTGCTCCGCCAGCGGCTCCTCGAAGTGTGCTTCTGTAATACTAAGTACGCGTGCGCATGAGAATAGCTTTTTTCTTTTCTTTTCTTTTTTTGTTTACATGATGGCTTCGACTTCTTTCCGTATCTTAACCCCGCTGCTGCTCGCGTTTTGCGACCTCGCGTTGGCAGACTGCGAATGCGGATATTCGATCACAACGCCTTCGGACGACGGGCGATACGTTTTCACCGACTTGTTAGAGAGCGACTTCGTCCACCTGGATATCGTGGGCGGGGCTGGGGCCAAGGCCTACGGAGGCTACGAGTGGACGCCGCAAGCGTTCAACATGTCTAGCGAAGTCGCGCGAGGTCCTTACGGCCAAGCGTTTACCGTGCAGAATGTTATATCGAACAATATCATCGACGAACAGGTATACAACGGGACGGGGCCCAGAGGTGGCGATGCCGGCCTGGAGCTGGTGGTTGGAAGTGAGATCGAAAATGGCATGGTTCCTTGCGCGGACGCTTCCACGACGGATGCTCATTACTTCCACGGGACTTTCAGGGCGGGCATAAAGGTCACGGATGTTCCAGGCACTTGCAGTGCTTTCTTCTGGGTGAGTAATGAATCGTGAATCCAGATACATAAGCTGTTTAACCTCTATTCGCGGTTATACCTAGGTATCCATCTATATTATATATTCTAAACTCTCGCTAATATGATCTCGTTTACGTTACCTAGTATATGAATGACACCCAAGAAATCGACATCGAGTTTTTATCGTCGGAGTTCGACAGGAGCAACAGCACATTCCCGGTCAATCTCGTCCTACAGTCCGAGGAGTCGAAGAACAACGGGTTCGACGCGTCCGGGACGGGGGACTTCAGGAAGATCCACCTGCCGTTCGACCCGACGGAGGACTTCCACGAGTACCGGATCGACTTCCTGCCGGACCGGGTGCTCTTCTACGCGGACGCGCAGCTGCTGGCGGAGATGAACGGGACGGGGGTGCCGTCTACCCCGGGTAACCTGCAGCTGTCGCACTGGAGCAACGGGAACGCCGGGTGGTCGCAGGGCCCGCCGAAGACGGACGCGGCTACGGTCGTCAGCTACGTCAAGGCGTACTTCAACTCGTCGCTGGCGTCGAGGCACTCCGACTACGCGGTCCGGTGCAAGGACCCGTCCGCGCCCGGGGCCGTCTGTCCCATTCCCGACAGGAGCCCGACGTTCTTTTTCGGAAACGCCCCCGACATGACGCCCAACCAGACTACGTACCACGAGAATATCGGAAGGCGCACAGGGCGCTGGCGCCAGTTACCCCTTGCTGCGGCGATAGCGACAAGCACTTGGGTGGCTGGTCTATAAAACAAGCGAAGAGATGTTTTTTTTTTTCTGTCTATGCTTCCTTTAGATTGGCGTTTTTGAGAGAAAGAGAGGGAGAGGGAAGAACGTGAATGTGATATGAATTGATGATGGGCGGATTGGGATTAGTATATTCTAGCATTTTTTGATTACGGGTGGCGAGCTTGTTATTGTTCTCGTTGTTCTTGCTCTTGTTGCTCTTGTCGTTGTTGCTCAGCTGATATATATTTTACTTCTAGATGTATGATACATTTTTCTTCTTCTTTTTCAAGTCGGGCGCAAGGGGTGAATTCATTCGTTCGATTATAAAATGATAGGTAGAGCATCGCGGCTCTTACACACACACCTACATACCTAACCTGCCTATATTGTATATAGATATCTTCTTATAAGGCCAATCAAGATAGGTTACCTTTTATTAACCGCCTTGCGATATGGCTTTCTATGTGAGAGGTACCTACCTCATATAAAAGTAGGGGTCCAAGCAATAATTATATATATCGTCTAGCGCCAACGAGACACAGGTACATTGCTCGTTTAAATTTGATTGGTTAATATCTTTTCTATTATTCTTAGGACAGTATCTCTCGATCATTTGGAGGGGTTGGCTCGTTGATATAAATTGAGTATGTACCTATATTATTGGAGGCAACGTCATCGAATGATAAAAGAGTCTAGAAACACTACCTACCTACCTAGGCATTTATATCGTGAGATCCCTATCTGCATTATGTAGAATCTAAGCATGTGCCCAAAGTGTAACGTTGCCCATTCGACCAATACCTTCAAGGTAACATTAGATACCTGTTACCTTACCTATTACTTACTTGTAACACACTGCAGTTCGCAAGGGGTTAGGTTAAATAAAGACTGTTGGAACGGAAAAAAAAAAAAAGAAGAAGGGAGTGAGACGACTAGAAAAAAAAAGACGAGATGATATGTCTTACTTGTCCCCCTTCCCTTGGAGATCTCGTGATGCGAAGTGCATGTGTGCGACGGGGCGGACGGGAAGAACCTAACTTGTTACTGGATAAGTATTATGGTGTATTACCTATTACGTAGGTATTTAAGGCATGTGTATTACATAGAGATTCTAAGGGGCTTGGCCCAAATTTAAAGAAAGTTTAGCGTTATAGGTAGTGTATAGGTAATGGTGGTGACACGGCCATTAGAGCTAGCAGCTTAGGTACCTAGGTATTTCCCCTCCCCCGCTAATAAGCTAAGTCCCGAGGTCGTGAAGGCCGGTCGCACAAGTCATCCGGCAGCCGGGCTGGGGAATGCGGAGATAGTAACTACCTACTAGTACTAGGTAAGGTTACTAATAAAAGAGTAACGTATTAGTTTAATGGAGATGGAACTTGAAGAGAGGTACTTTCAAATCTTTTGGAGAGAGAAAAATGAACTGGAGTCTGGAGCTACTAGTATTTAAGTTGAACTCTATATTCGGCGGCCCAGTCACATCGTACGGTTTATCCCCCCTCCACCTGTTTTATTCGGGGGTATCCCTTCTACACCCCCCTTTCTGCACAGTGTGGTCATGCTTGGAGGCGATGAGGTAGGGGCTTGAAATAAGGTGGTGTTAGTGGTATGGGACTAATAATAAGTGTACCTTGGCTATGTTTAGTGTATTTCTTAAAGCCCCGAGGCTTGATCGATCGGATGGGGAATCGTGGAGAAGGCAAGGGACAGTAAGAGGTAAGCATGGTTTTTTTTTTCCTCCTCGGCTTTTCTTGAATTAAGCGATCTAATTATGACTTGGTTGGTTTGTATTTGGAGATCTTGGACTTTTAATAGTAACCGAAGCTTGTGATACTGTTACTTTACATTGAGTCTCAAAACTTTACGCTTATAGCTAATAAATATATACGATTGCTTCTATTCTGTGACACTATAGCAGAGTCCCTGGCCTATATTAAAAGAAAATCAGGGATTTATTTATTACCACGTACTAATACTCCATCATAGCCCCTGAATGTCTAGACTTGTCGAATATCCTATGTCAGTTATACTATTTCACCTCAGACTTCATAGCATATTAACATATTAAATACCATCTTCAGCATCTGCATGATAGCAGCTTTGCATCTTTGCATCTTTGCATTCTTCTTACCTATGGAAACTCCGGCGGCCAGCCACAGCCCGACCATCTTCCACTACAGCGGCTCATTTACTTGATATACCCGGCCTTCTCGTTTAGCTGTGAACTCCGAGACAACCAATGCGCGTGTTCACACAGCTATGATTGGTAAAACTTACTATTGGTTCCTCAAAATGGAACAAATTTAGCCAGCCTACAACAGATAGGTCGATGACATATCCCGAAGCATTAGGGATTTTCGTCCTTGGATGAGACGTCATACCTCATGTTCTACAGTCACTTTTGTCATTTCTTCCAAGTTCCTCCTTGCTTTGTATCTCTCTATCACATTTGCCCTTGTCAGCCGGTCATAATTAGATAACTAAATAACAACATGCTACCATCAACACTTATCAACTTCTGTATCCTGCCCTCTCGTATTTACTTTTTGACATGTGCTATGTCATACTACTCACTGGATGAGAGAGGCTTGAAGGGGCCAAGCCAGTTTTGCAACCCTCGTTGGGATGCCCCTTAACCATGGCTCGAATCATATCACATGAAGTTTGTCACACCAACGACACATGATACCAATATTTTTCTTCTTGGGGCTTGGCTATATTCTTATGAAATAGCCTAAGAAGAGCCATCTCCTTGGAGTCCGTGTATCACGAAGTTGCTTTTTGAAGATACTAGTTGAAAGGATCGGATATCAAATGATCGTAGGCTCGGTTCACAAGCTCGGCCTTGAGGGAACATTAGGTAGCTGGACGGCTGCTTTTCATCTTACGTACGCGATATTCGTTCCATGATACTCTGTTGGTTTTCATCCCTTCTCCTTGTTCTACGTCTCTACTCCTTGTTGGTCACAAGTTGCCCCCTTTAACAAGGAATCTCGAGCACATGCTCTCGAGCTCTAGCCCCTAGACTTGGAGATTTCCCAAAGTTGATGTATTTCTAACTTCATATCCAAAACTCCTTTCAGCTTTAAAAACACGAGGACGTCTGCATGTTTCCAGGAGTCTGAACAGTTATCCTATACGCTCATCGCTAGAAGTTAGCTTGGGTTTAACTTACTTACATTTATAGTTGTACATGTTCTAGTCGACTCAGAAATCCGTCAAGATGACGAACCCTACAACCGCGATTGCTATCAAAAACAACACGGGTTCGTCCCAGGCGTATGCATACGTCACTGGGCTTGACATCAACAACAATTACGTCCCGGTGTTCATCCAAGCCGACGGCAAGACTGTGTACCGACCGTCGTCCCCGTCCGCGCCCCAGTCGGCTCTGGGGGCCGATGTATCCATCCCACTGGGTGCTCCAGGGGCCACGACCACCATCACGATACCCCAGATCGCCGGCGGCCGCATCTGGTTCAGCAAGGACGCGAAGCTGACGTTCCTGCTGAACCCGGGCCCGGCCGTGGTCGAGCCCAGCGTGACCAACACCGCGGACCCCAACTACAACATCGCGTGGGGCTTCTGCGAGTTCACGTACAACCAGGCGCAGCTGTTCGTCAACATCAGCTACGTGGACTTCGTGGGGCCGATCCCCATCGCGCTCGAGCTGCGCAACGCCGCGGGGAACGTCCAGTCCGTCCTGGGCCTGCCGGCGGGCGGCCTGGACACGGTGGCCGACCGGCTGGTGAAGCAGAACGCGGCGGACGGCGCGGGCTGGGACAAGCTCGTCGTCAAGGGGCCCGACGGCAAGACGCTGCGGGTGCTGAGCCCGAACAGCGGGCGCGTGGCGGACGGGAGCCTGTTCCAGGGGTACTTCGACGACTACGTGAGCCGGGTGTGGAGCAAGTACGCGGCGAGCGACCTGACGATCAACACGCAGGCGTCGTGGGGCGACGTGACGGGCCGCGTGCAGGCGGGCGCCGGCGGCGGCCTGCTGACGTTCCCCAACGTCGGCACCTTCGCGAAGCCCAGCGCCGGCGACATCTTCAGCTGCTCGACGGGGCCGTTCGGCGGGTACCCCGAGGCGACGCGCGACGAGATGGGCGCGCTGGGCGCGAGGATCGCCGCCGCGCTCAATCGCTCCACGCTGCTGGACAATCCCACCCAGCCGGACGGCGAGAAGATTGCTAGTTACTACAAATCGAACCCGACGAACCATTACGCGCGTATCGTATGTTTTCCCCTTTTCCTTCCCTTCCCTTCCCTTCTCCTTTCCCCCTTGAATTTCCTATGTTTCTACCTAATAGTTCCTTTCTTGATCCTCTTCCTTAATCCCGTCCCTTCCCCTTTTTTTTGCTCCAAGGATGTACCTACCTAGGCTAGGGCACAACCCCCCCCCCCCCCGAAATAAATAAATAAACTAAACTAAACTAACACCCTCCCACAGACGCACGAAGTCAACCTCGACGGCCGGGGCTACGCGTTCCCCTACGACGACGTGGTGCCGTCCGGCGACGCGGGGCCCGACCAGGCGGGCACCGTGTTCGACGCCAACCCGGAGCTGCTGACGGTGACGATCGGCGGGCCGGCGGCCTCGAACGGGCCCGCGAACGGTGGCAGCGGCGGCGGCAAGAAGGGGGGGAAGGATGGCGATGGTCAGACTGGTCCTGCGTCCGGATTCTGGGGTAAGTTGAAGAGCTGGCTGAGCGCGCTGAAGAAGGTTTTGCATATCAAGTAGAGTAGAGTGGAGCAGAGGAGAGAAGGGGAGAGGAGGCTCTAGGGCTATTGTTATTAGTTGTGGCTCCCTGCGCTCGCTGGGAAGGTACCGGTTCATTTGGGCTCGGTCTAGCATCGCATCGCATCGCATCGCATTGGGGAGGGCATTGGTATATAGGTATTGATTGTGGCATGGGTTAGGATCGGTCGCTTTCTTCCCCTTCGTCGTCGTTCGCTTGCCCTTGGCCCTACGGGTTCATGGGCTTGGTTTTCTTGCATTAGGTATTTTTCGCATTTCAAGGCTGCGTGCATTGCTTTTTGGTCGTTTCTTCTTATAGCCTCGTCACTGGCCGCTTGCCCTAGGTTTACATATTACCTCTTACGTTAGGTATTGTACCTATGGCCTATGGATAAGGGGTTATCTAGTTGGTGCTTCAATTATTGCCGTTACTATTACTTGTATATAGTTCCCTCCTTCTCCTTGATCTTGTATATAGTCAGTCTACAGGGCATTATATAAGGTATATATCACCGTACCCCTTTGCCAAGTCTACCTAAACCATATGGCGGTGGCGTATATATTCATCATCTCGCATGTCTACTTGAGGCCGTGCCAACTGCATTCCAAATTGGTAGTAATATCATTGGGTGTTTTAATTGTTGAGGGTTAGGTTTAAGTTATATACATACACGTAAGGGTCTATAGTTTAAACTATAGTTCTACTCGTAACATCATGTCAAGCTCAGTTAACTGCATCAGTCAACAAGTAACACGATTAGGGTTACATCTCCTTTTCCATAAGCAGGGTCAGCATCAAAATCACGAACAACCATTTTTTTTTCTCTCGTAGTTACGATATGATTTGTGTGTCGTAAAAAAAAAAAAATTCATTTTACATCGTAACTAGGAAGATACAAAGATAACAATGCAAATGCCTCGGAAACAAGAGACGCGCCGTCGCGCCGCAGCAGTTAGACATAGGGTTGGAGCCTCCTTACATCTAGGCAGACAGCTCTTAGAAAAAAAGGCATAATCGGAAATCATAGGTCGTCGTTATCATAAATTTTCAGCAGAGCAGTAAAGCTTCAGTGTCGGTGCATTTTGTCCTTGATCTTCTGCCCGATGCTCTTCTTCTCCTTGTGCCCCGACGCATCGGTACCGTCCTTGCTGCCGTTTGCGCCGCCCGGGTGGATGCCTTTCTCCTCGAGCAGACCTAGGTTTTTTCTTCTTGTTAGCTATTTTTATTTCTATTCACACGTGTATCTGTTGAAACTAATGGAGAGTGTGTAATATAACCTAGGTAGGTAGGTGTGTTTTCGGAAACTTACGGTCGGCTTCCCTACCGGCCCCCGGATTCGTGGCGTCGAAGTCCCCGCCGTCAGCCTTCAGGCCGCTGCTCTTAACGTACTTCTCGCCGGTGCCCTCGCCTGTGCTCTTAGCGTTCGGACCGTCTTCGTCCTCGTCCTCGCCCGCGCCTGTGCTTCCGCTGCTCTTGCTAGCGCTCTCTTCGCCAGGAAGGGGCTTGCTCTCGTCCTTTTCGATCTTCCCCGCGTCGCCGCCGTGCTCCCGAGCCACCTCATCAAGCGGCTTGGGACCCGGTCCGTCCAGCTTCTGCGCCTCGTTCGGCCCGGGCCCGTCGCCCTCGGCATCGTTGACGTCCGTAGGCGCGGACTTCGGGTTCGTCTTCGGGTCCTCGGGGCTCCGGGTGTCGTTTTGGGCCTTGGTCGTGTCGTCGGGGGTGCTCTTAGACTTTAGATCCGTTGACGGGTTGTCGGGGGTATCCTTGGCTTCGGCGGCGGTGCCCGTCTCCTTGGCGAACTCGGCGTCCCTGGTGTGTTCCGTCGGTGTTGGCCCGTAATTGGTCTCCCCGTTGGTATGTCCGTTTGTCTGGGCGTTGGAGTTTTCTGCTCTGGCAGCTTGGACGTTGGGATCCTCTGTTTCGAGAGTCCCGGGTTAGTTTCTAGGGTTATATTGGTAGGTAGCAATGGGCTTGGAGAACTAGGTATTACCAATGTTGCCAGCATCGTACGGTTCCCCCTTAGAGGTGTTGCCAGTTTGGCCTGAGATAGGCTCCGTGCCATTTTGCTTACTCTCACCCCAGACAGCCCTGACAGCCGCAGAAGTCACGTTGTTTATGGTCTCCATGGCGAATTGGATATTAAAGTAATATGTTAGATCTAGGTTACGTAGATGATGTGCTTAGGAAATTTAGGTATTAGATATAGTATGCTTGGCAATCAAGAAGAGGGAGTTTATTTAGGTGTTCAGGTCGTAAAGGGGTCTTGTAAATCTGGAGAAATGGAACAGCCAAGCTCAAATGGTAGGTTAAGGTAGTATTATATGGATATTTGCTACCATGTAGCAAAGGACTTACGACAAGGCAGGAGTTGGGCTCGTCTCTGACGTATTTCATCATGGGCATACGATAAGTTCCCTGCAAGGCCTGCACGGGAAAGATGACCGCTTAAGACGGCAACAAAGAAGTTCCTTGCAGGGACCAAATTGTTTCCTTTTTTTTTTCTTTAATACACGGGAATACATAGTATGTGGCTTGACGACATCTAACCCAAAGCTGGGAATGAGACTTTGTATTGGTCGCCACTTACCTACACGCTGACTGACTTATACGTCTTATACGTAGGAGTCATGTGCTAAAGCCAGGCTGGCAGGTAGATATCAAGATACCAAGGCACCAAGGCTTTGTTTTGATCTCGATCTAGAGAAGGAATTTTTAAGAAAATTTTCTGGCCAATGAATATGGACCCGACAGATCAATTCGGTTGCTTCTGCTCATGGTGAATGGTTAAGTCGAGAATAACGTGTGAGGTATCTACACTCAAACAAGGATAAACGTGGAGAAGAGTAGAAGAGGTACCTAAGATGAACGATGACGTTGTGGGGTTAAAGAGAAGTCGACGTCATTGTGTTACCAGGTATGGAGCTGCTCTGAGCTTCTAAGAGCTGCCACTTTTTTTTAATTGTTAAGCACTCATTGCAGGTGCTCAAGGTTCAATTGTCCATTCACATATCTGATGCACAGTAATGCAAACCTTACCTAATTGTTTTTTGCACCATCGAGATACATCATAGGCGTCCAAGCGCAATGCTAAGTCAACTTGTAGGCGCTGCTTGTAGGTTAGGTACCTACCTGGTAGATAGGTTTAGGTGCCTCCTTTTCGAAACTCTTCAACGGGGGTGATTTCGGAATAAAATGCATAATATCTAAATGGCTATCACGAGTTCTCAACGTTTCAGCTGATATCAAAGATAACCGTTAGAGTTGTAGAAGGAACCACGACCCCGCCATTGCCCACGTGCGTACCATAGTAAAGTCATTGGTCTTAGGTCTTATAACTTCGTCTTGTGCCTCATTTATCTTATCTCCTAAATCGCTGCCTTGGTATCTATCTCTACCTAGGTACTCAATAATGAGATTCGTTCCTTGGTTTACCTCAAGTTTAGGAATATACCTTAGGTAGTATCATTCAAATCATGTATCTCGACTGACGGTTTAAGCGAAGCTTAACTGAAGCTGAAGCTGACATGAAATTAAGATGAAGCTTGACTTCGCTATGCGCCCGGCTGCTGTACTCACATCTATTATTTTATCTAGGTTCGTATCTTGTCGTGCACTCCGACAGCATCCTCTGATTGCCTCGGGGGATCATCAATATGCTATCGGACATGGCGTGTCAGGTTATCATCGCCGACCACCATCTCCTATTCCCTCGGCCTCATCTAAGGATATCAAACCAGTCGCCGGCTTCATTGCCCTAGGCGATTCCTACAGCGCTGGGATCGGCACCGGTGTAGATGGCAAAGAGGATGACTGCAGGCGCGGGTTGGGTGCTCATGCCGTTCTGATTGCTTCCGATCTGTTAGCCAGTCAAGGCGGACGAAATTCTACCACCTTTCAATTTCTATCATGTACAGGAGCCACGACCGAACAGATCTTATCCAGTCGCGACGGCAGTCGTGATAGCCAGATCGATGCCTTCAATACTTCCCTACCAGCAGACTTTGCGCTATTGTCAATTGGTGGAAACGACCTCGGCTTCTTTGACATAATGAATGCATGTGTATTTCGCTTCTACAACTTCTACTCTCGTGCCTGCGAGACGGCGCTCAAGAACGCAAGAGACCAGATCGAGAGCGATGAATTTACACGTCGTTTGGAGATCATCATCATAGAAATCCTAGAGAGGGTCCGTTGGGAGAAGAAGCAATATTTCACCATTACCGTCACAGGATACGCCCGGTTCTTTAACGATGTCACCGATGACTGCGACGAAATGAGCTTCGGCGTCTGGTGGAATGGTCCGAAGCTGAAAAAAGACTTGAGGATTCGGATGAATGCAATGGTGCTTACGGTTAATGCCAAGATCCGCGAGACCATCGAAACGATAAACTCGCACTTCATCAAGGACAAAGTCATATTTATTGATTATGACAGGGGGTTTGATGGTCATCGGTTCTGCGAGGAGGGTGTGAAAGAGCCAGATTACGACCGCGAAGATACGTGGTTTTTCCTCGTAGGCGGTCCGGATAACGCCAGAAATGGAACCCGATCGAATCATGTTTCTAACGTCCAGACTTTGCCTCTGACCTCAGCTCTGGTTGACCCATCATCGTGTCTTGAGCCTGCACAGGCATCTGGGGATTGGGGCCGATTGGCTTTGTGCTATATGGCCATGGCGAAGCATCAAGACCCAAGCTTACAGCCTGCCCACGGAGACCTCGTTGCTGAAAACTCGATGTGGTATGTCCCAACATACTACGGCAAGACGTTCCATCCCAGGTCTCTTGGTCACGAGACCATAAGAAACAAAATTTACGAGATATGGCAAACCCTAGAATAGTTGGCTGGCTTAGTATCTCGTTTGCAGTATAGAGTTGCAAAGTAGAAAGCTCTCATACTGGTGATAGCATTAGGTATGCTAGGTACCTAACCTTCCACGCCACGTCTCATTTGAATCTTCTGGGTAATGGTGACGCTTCTACATGGTTACTTTTCTGAATATCGCCTTCCGAGCTACTTGCTTACATGATTTTATATCTCCACGGTTGGGTTGGATACCCTGGATACTCCAAGTTGACAATTTCTCATTATCATATACCCCTTCTATTTTGCTTTTTCTCTTTCATTTAGAACACATATGATGACCAGAAACGTCTGCTGGGTTCACTATAGCATTTCTTAGGAGGAGCTATGTTAACAAAGTTGACTGTGCCAATTCAGCCAATGATTATCGTATATTTTTAGATGTACAATACTTAAAATAGAGCTTCAAAACGTCTAACCACATATAATAACTACCTCCTATGTAAATATACCTACATAGTATGTCAACAAACATGTTTTCACGGATTGAGAGGATTCGTAGCAACAACCTCGTACCAGTTTGATACTAAATGTAGACTTTCACAATTGTCTCCACTGAACGATAGCCTATTCGAAGGATAGGCATACAAACAATTGCTTAGAAACACGGCCTCGAAATCTGGCCTGTAAATCCTTCCATTCCTCCAAGCAGCCGTCAGAATACCACCGATGCAACCAACGTATTGATAGTAGGGGTTTGACCGAAACAAAAAAGATTCATTGTATTTGGCCTAGACAACCGGACCAATACTGGCCAAGACCAGTGAAAAATTGCTCGATTTGATCGAAGAAGATTTGCGCGTTGGAATCAGTCCTAGAGCCTGGTGACTCTATCATCTGGCCGTATCCTCACTGCCAGTCAATTCGTGCTGAGCGTTATCGACGCCCAACGTGAGCTTTCGCCTGACCTACCAACACACCCCTCCGACCTCTCACGGCTCAAGAAGGCTGTCCGCGCCAAAAATTCCGGTAGCGCGAATGGCGGCGACGAGCAATTTCGGGGGGTTCGTCTCTCGTCAGCGCGAGAGACTTAGTGGCTATTGCGCGTTTCCTAGGCCGGCTGGCTCGAGAGGCCAAGTCTGCCTAGGTCCTAGGACTTTGTAGATCTGAATATTGCTTCACACCGTCTCTTCTCCCGGCTGACGTTTCAATGGTATTCCCGGGCGAAGGGCCGTGGCCTGATGGTTGATTAGGTTACAGGTACCTTAGGTTAGGTAGGTATTGGAGAACGCTTACAGACAAACTGTTCGCCGGTAGGCTCGTGGGCTTGTCGAGCTACTAGGTAGCTGCCATATAGTACGGCCTAGTATGGCCAGGCATCTCACGGACGAGGACGGCTCTTTGGGCTTGGGACGAGGGGGGGGGGGGGGGGTAGGTATCGACCAACCCGACGGCGGCCACGAGCCTGGAATTCCCGCGTTTCATAATTTATCGCATCTCGTAAGGCGGCTTTGGAAACACGATTACCTATTGTCACGTCATCGAAGGTTAGCCCACCTGAATGCTCTCAGTCGAAGCTATTCTCGGACAATTCCTAGGACCTAGCATACGCGATATGTTTGGACGGAGTATATTACTCGAGGCCTCACGCTATTTACTAACTTAGGTAGTTTATACTATCTACACTATGCCATTTACACTTTCCAGCTCAATGCGATGTCTGTACTGACGCGGCACGCAGGTTCGGAGGTCGGCTGACCTGCCTCATTGGGCGTTAATGGGAAACGAGTAGAGCAGGGGTACACGATGTAAACCCCAAGACGGGGAGCGCGAATCAACGGTGAGCTTTGGGGGGAAGATATAAATTTTTTTTTTTTTTAATTTTTTTTTTTAGTATGATAGCGTATATCCAATTTATGGCCGTATGGTTAAGTACCTCTTTTTGGCTTTTTGATAGTCGTAATGAATTTAGTAAGGCGCCATGCTGCTACGCAATATCAAAACTTGATACCTACCTGTGTATGGTACGACCTCTGGAAAAATACAATCCCTGCCAATGGAAGACGGCGAAAAAGGATCATGGGTAAAACCTGTGATCGCCGTGGTGCAGCTGGTGGCCGAAGTGGCGACGATAAGACCTTAACGGATGCGGCCCCATACCGGGAACCGAACTTGGGGAAAGTTGAAACTGTGCTCTTTGCTCTGCTCTTTGCTCTGCTAGGAGATATTTCTGCAGTGGCTTTCATTCCTGGCAGCCAGCCGCCCGGCTTATGTGGTTCATTGCCGGGACTGGCTCGTTTTTAATTAATTAAAGCAGCCAGAAAAGGACTGCTGCACGTTTAGGTATATGACATTGTTTTAGAGTTGCTTGGGACGGGAATAATACATACCTAAGGTACCGTATATGAATATTAGATTCACACAGCTCGTACTCGAATGGAATCGATTGGGAACAAGAATTTAGATCGTGTTTGAAAGCTTCCCGGGAGCACATCGTACTATGTATACTACCTAATGTACCTAACTGCGTTAGTGTGTGCTACATTATATGTACCTAGGTATGTAGTACATTGCTTTACCCTGTGGCACTGTGGTTAGGTATGTATCGTGTAAGAGGTAGTACGTCCCTCGCAGTTTAATTAGAAAAGTCGAGTCAGATCGAGACGGGAAGGCTTTAGTCTAAGATGGGCCTAAGGCGATCGCCGGAATCAGGAATGGAATGGAGTTTAATGGGACCCGGCTGTCAGGTTACGACCATGATATCATGGCTCATTCGGTTACTCCTGGGTTATTCTTGGTCTTTTTCTTCTTACATCTAGTCCGGGTATTATCAAAAAAGATGGCGCCGGCAGATGTGGAATTCCAAAGCTGCTGCTGCTGCTACACTAAGACGGGATCGAAAATTCAATATGTCCCATACCAACTCTAGTTACTAGGTACCCCTTTTTTCCTATACGAGCCAGACTTTGGACTTTCGGGCTAGAAAGCAAGTTAGGTACCTAAGGTAAGTAAGTTAGGTATTTAGCCAATTTTTTAGTGCTAACAAAAAAATCGAGAGAGTCAATTTCTTTATTGCCAAGTCAAGGGAATGAATGTATTCTATATTGAATTCCTTGCTTTACGTAGCGCCCTATTTTACATTCGATACATTTGACATCTATCGACTTCAGTCTAGGACATTTAGGTCAGGTACCCGATAGCGTAGGATAAGACAAGGTTCGAAATGGATTGCTGGAATAGGAAAGCTACATCATACATCATTTGCGCTATGCATGCACTATGCATAGCTCTTATGCAGTCTTATGCAGCATCGCGCATAACTAATCCATTTAAATCCATTTATGGGCTTTATGGGCTTTTGCCAAGGTGGTATGAAGTTAAAGGCTCCACGGTGATTGGCTAGACGCGTTTCTCAGGCATAACAAAGGAGAAGTCGCGGTGACGCGCTCTCGCGTTCCAATCATTTCTCTTTCTCTTCCCAATTCTCAAACACTTTTGCAGCACGTCCAGCAAAGTACGCGCCATCTTCCTGACCAATCATTTTCGATTCGTCTCGCCAATTTTAAACACTCGTACCATCTTTCAGCTACCATTCTACACACATTCATTACAGTCAAAGTCAGTCTACAGCTGGGGAATCTGAAGAATAGGAATAGTCTTGGGAGATAGTCGGTGCGACGTGGCCCTTTCAAGTCCGAGTCCCCAAAGAGCAGACAACCTCGACTCGAGCCTTGGACCTTGAGATGGGTTGTTTGCTTTCACATTCCTGAGGGTTTGTTGGTTAACTCTGCCTATCTCGCATTCGCCCTCCTTCGGCTTCGGCATTGGCATCTACCAATAGTAGCAAGTAACAATCAACTACCCGTCCATCAATAGGTCGTCGTAATTACAACATACAACAACCTAGTTGATATCTGATATCTCTTTTTACTATCACGGGTAAACAGCATATTTTAGACAATCTTTCAAACACGTTCAACAAACAACCCAATTTTTTCTTCCTTTTTTTACTTGACACAAATTGCAAACTACGACCATATCGTCGTTCGCAATTCGGTTTGCACAGCCTATTGCAATTGGATAGGGTTCGCAGGCCAGAGAGGAAAGAAGAGAAAAAAAAAAGAAGAGAGAAAAATACTGAGACAGGGTTTTCGTCCTGCTTCGAGACCGCATTACTATCAAAAATTGGCCAACCAGAGCACGTGCGGGAGCACATCTTTCAATTCCCCCACTCCGTAGTCACTAGGATTCGGTCAACTTTTCGCTTCACATTCCTTGCAACTTGGTCTTGCTTGGTCTGGCAGTTCTTGTTTAAAACAAACCTTGTTAGCACTTGCCATGGTCGTATCAGCCCACGACGCTATCGTCCAATCCTATCCTGTCTTTCACCTCCATCTTCCCATCCGCACATCCACGAGCGGGTCTACCTAAGTGGATCTTTTGCTGAGTTGGCGTTCGACTTTCTGCCAATCCTCGCTCGCTCTATGCCACTTCCATTAGCCCTATTCGGTCTTCACACTACTCACCCCGGTCCTGGTTCAATCTATTTTCTGCGTGCCGGCCCTGCAGCCTGAGAAGTCTTGCACTTGCAGACTTGCGGACTTGCAGACTTGACACACCCTTCGCTCGACTTATCCTCTTGGTCGGTCTTAACTCCAAAGGCATTCTTGTGCTCTATCGCACCTTGTAACGCCCGGCATAGCCAACAGAGAGGAGGTACCCAAGGTCGACGAAACAATTCAGTATCTCGATCCCCCACGAACCGGCTCTCCATCTCCTCTTCATCTCCTTTCCACCCCCCCTCTTCTCTCTTTCTCCATCGCCTCCCTCCCTCCATCTATCAACAAGAAGAACGACTTTCCGCCTTAACACTCCCTACGATATCAATGACAGCATCACAGCGACTATTGTGTATATCGTTATTTGAACTTTACGACAGAGGTTCACTTTTGAGACCTTCTATGCTTTAGGCACGGCAAGTGCCTGATACCTGGCGCGCCACAAGCAACCCTTGCTTCGTGGCTCCACAGCTCATTAAAGTCGCCCACCGTGAGTTCTCACTGCGTACTAGATCGTTCCATTTTCACCAATCTTTCAATCGTTACGCAGCCTAAGAAGCGGGATCGAGAAACCTTAACTTCCAGACGGATTACGCTTTAAGTCACAACCATCAATCGTATCTATATCCTAACCAACGTCGATAGCAAGTACGATAGTATTGCCGAGCGACGAACAAACCTTAAGAACACTGGCCAATATGGTCAAACCATCGCTTCTGTCGGCCAGTTCTGAGCCGCTTCACATATTCCAAGATGACTACCTGGACCAGCCCGCCCCATCTATCAGCCGGGCACCGATGCCCTCTGTTAACAAGCAGCAATCCCCTCGCCGGGCCCTTCAGAGCTCAACTGGGAACGTAATATTTAATCCGCCTAATGCGCACGCAAAACAGAACTCACCCTTCAAGGCAACCGGACGCACCGCCACTTCCCCGTTGACACCGCTCAGATCGCATGGTAGCAAACTCAATGCCGTATCGATACTACCCCCTGCGGCGCATGGACAGACAACAGATTCGATGCAGAAGAAGCAGCCGCTAATGTCCAGATTCAAGACTGTTGTTCAAAAACCCCCAGTGGATGCAAATGCAGGTTACGGAAAAGAGAATGTTCATCCTACGCTATATCCCGCCCCGTCCACTTTCAACATAAACCTGGAGAATTATTATCAGAATGCACCGCCCAGGAAACGAGGATTATTGGAGGCCGCACCTATTCAAGACTCGAGACCCGCAAAGAAGACCAAGCTGGAAGAATCTCCCTTACCGCCGCCCGATTCCTTCCCTGCGATTGAGGATACTGGCGCGAAGCCCTCATTTAGTTATGCTCAGCTAATCGGAATGGCAATTCTGCGGGCCCCTCAAAGGCGACTTACGCTCTCGCAGATCTACAAGTGGATTTCAGATAACTTCTCTTTTTATAGTGCTCAAGATGCGGGATGGCAAAATAGTATTAGACATAACCTCTCACTCAACAAGGCCTTCATTAAACAGGAGCGACCAAAGGACGACCCGGGTAAGGGTAACTACTGGGCTATAGAGCCGGGAATGGAGCATCAATTTATGAGAGAAAAGCCGAGCAAGAAATCTACGACTGCCATGGGAAACCCTCCTTTTATGTCTGGCAGGGTTGAACCCCCCCGTATTGAGCCTATTAATTTCCATGATGGTCTGCCTTCTCTCCCTCCAGTGCTTCCCGCGCAGCCAAACCCATACATACACGATTCAACTGCGGGATCCCAAGGCCCGGGCCATGCTGCACCTGAAGTATCGTCTGACGCTACTATTCCGCTATCAGATAATGTCGGACCGGAAGAGCAACCAGAGAAGAGCCAAGAACAGGCCCTGGTTCCGGAAAGTGGATCATATTCCCCTCTCCCTCCTGCAATACATTCATCACCTCCGATCCCGCGCCGCATGGAAGCTCGGAGTAACACACCTCCTCCGATCAGGAGAGAGCCACCTTCATCTGGCCCGCATAAGCGCGGCCATGGGCGCAAGTATGCTTCGATGGATGCCTGCATGGACGACAGCGGATATATATCGTCATTAGAATCGTCGGCTATGCGCCCAAGGGGTAATCGCATCCTTAGTTCAGGGACCGACCGTCCTCGAATCAAGCGAGGACGAGCTGAAGAAGAGATTGCTCGGCTTCGTGCCTCATCTTATGACAGTCCTACGAAGGGACGTCCTTACGAGTTGGCTCCTCCCTCTTCGTCACCATTAAGACGAGCAAACGGCGCTGGCCAAATGCTACCTCCTTTAACCCCTGCCGTTAAAATTAAGCCGCCGCCGAAGCCTCCTGCTTCCGTCTCGCCCAACACAAACTTGCGCATACACAGAGACAACGTCAGGTCCATGCTTAATTCGCCACTTCGTCGTGTTAGTAACATAACTGAAGATACAATTCCGTGGAGCCCGGCATTCCAGATAGACGACTCGATTTTCAACTTCAACGACTTCGTCACGGATTCTACAGAGTTTGATATTTACCAGGATCAGTCCTTGGATGCCTTCTTCGGTGCTGCGGACAATGGCTCTCCACTGAAGCGCTCGGCCAGGAGGAATCGCCTTGATCGGTCTATATCCATGAGTGCCCTTGGCGACCTTACAAATTCTGCATCGAAAAGGTCGATAACGTCGGCCCCCTTGCTGAAAGCGCCGGCCTCAGGAACCCCTCTGTCGTATGAGACACCGAGCAAGGTGTTCGAAGACATATCCTCTCCCAGCAAAATATTCTTAGAATCCCCTTCGAAGAATGTTTCTACTAAGAACAGCTGGGTCGGCCTGGAGGACTTTTGCACCTCTCAATTCTTCGAGGACGAAACGGACGAGAGCACGGGTATCGATATCCTTCAGGGCTTTGAGAGAATCGGTGGTAGCCAGCCTCCGCGTGGGCTGCCCGCATCCTCCAAATCCTCGAGGGCGCCTCTGGGTCGTAGTCTTACGACCAAATTTTAAAGCGCCTGCGCTGCACCTCATAGGGTGATGACCTATCACATTGATAATGATTACGAATAATGACCTCATTGCATTCCGGATATCTTCAATTCGATTGCGTTGGATGCGCTGCCTACCTTCGAAGGATATAGACCTTTTCGCCTATCTTCTCGCCCCGCGGTTGGCGTTCTTGCCTATTGTTTGATATCATAATGACGATACGTGTCAAGTACATATTTTCAGCACAACGCCTACATAATGAGATCTGGATTTTCTCATTTGCTTTTTTACTTGGGTTTTGTCTGGCGCAGATACGGGATAGGCCGAAGTTATTGTCTCCCTTGTACACGTGGTGCTCTTTAGCCTACGATCTTTAGTGGAAACACGGAAAGCATGCGATAAGGCGTTGGTCGGTTGGAACGTACTTTATTAAGGAAGGAAAGGCAAAGGGGAAACAAGGAAACGTGTTGAGGCGCAACGCCTCCGGAGGAGTTTTTTGCGAGTTTGGAGAGGAAACTTATTTTCTTCGGTTGAGATAGGGGGAAATATATCTGCTCTAGTGATAATTTTTTTATGCTTTTGCGAGCACGGAACGGACGGACAGATAAGCCAGGTTAGCCTATATGAAGGCATGCAATCATTGGAGTTAGGGTTTGTCTTGCCAGTACTTTTTTCTATCAGTACTCGTTACGCAGTACTCTTAGTCCGGCCTTATGCCATAACATGGTCTTATTTTTTTTTGCTCCCACCTCAGAGCTCTCTTCGATTTGTGTGATGGTTTCTGTTCCCATTGTGACTTTGTACTGTATTGTAGGGTTGTACTCGCTACGTTAGGTACGTTTGTCTACCTAGGTAGGTAAGTAACTCAGACTAGCATTATTAATAATATCACTACTACTACAAATATGATGCCACAGGGGATGTTGGCTTAGCTCACACGGACAGTTCAGGTATGATGTGTGTAGATAATTTTTTGTATGTATTTTTATTGTGGGGGGTATCAATCCGTGTGTGTGTGTGTTTTGTTTTATCTCGGTGTAGTGTTTATAATCACAATTACACCGTCCTTAAGTATGATTCAATCCGTGAAGAAAGCCCAAGTCTATCGTAGGTAGGTAGGTAGGTAGGGGGAGGATAAGAGGGATTAAAAGGGATAAGGAGGGGGATGGGGATGGGGATGGGGATGGGGTGCAGACCGAATTTCCCGAGCGCCCCGCGGTGTTATATCCCCAGCCCAGCCTGATGAGAAGTCACGTATTAGGTGAAATATATGAAGGCCATCCCATCCATCATCCCTTTTCCTTTCCCTCGGAGGAATTTCTCTCATGTAGGATTCCCTTGCTCGCTCCCTTGCTCGCTCCCTCGCTGGCTCGTTTTCTTTGTTTTCCTCCTCTCCAACTGTTCCTTCTTGCTCCGTCCCATGCGTTATTGCCATTATTGCCTCCACTCCATCCTTGGTAGCTAGGTGCCTAGTTAGCTAGCTAGTTGGTTAGTATTATATCCCCCCCTTGGCCTCGATTAGCCTACTCCCAAATTCTATAGCGTGCCCGTGTCCCTTCTCGCCTGCTCATGTATGTATGTATGTTCGTGCATGGTATATCCCACATGCGCTTACGCAGCTCAACTCATGTTATACGTTGTGTATCTCTCACCCTTGGGTCCCGCCAATACCCGATGGAACGCAGAAAGAAGGGGAGGGCTTAGTTTAGTAACGTTGGCTTAGATGCCTAATATATGCCAATACGCGTAGCCCACCCGGCGTCTTTTTGGTTGACGTTGATCTGGTAGGGGAAGGGGTTGGCCTCGCTGGTGGTTATGGGCGGGATGTGGTCCTTGTGGGTGTTGACGCAGGTCACGATCTTCATGGCGGTCGTGAGGAGGGTTTGTTCCATGGCTTTGCGGACTTTGGCTCGTTCTAGTATAGTATCATGCGTATTAGTAGATGCGGACGAATGAATGAATAGCCTCATCTCCTTTGGAGGAGAATTTTGTGTGGACTTGAGAAGGAGGAGGGGGAGGGCGAAATAAAGGATAGGGGGGACAAACCGCTCTCCGTACGAGGTTCCGCCACGGTGACTTTCACGGTCCAGGACTCCCAGCAGACCTCCTCGTCGCCGCCGCCGTAGGGGAGGTACCACGTCTTGCGGCGCTTCTTCTCGAAGAACTGGACGGATATGTTACCGCGACCGCCGGCGCTGCGGTGGGAATGGGTATTCGAGTGCGTTCGTTCGGCGTCGAGCTCGCGCGCCAGCTCGGCGGCACGCTTCTCGATCATGGTGTCGAGCTCGGCATCTTCGACGTAGGGTAGCGTGATGTCGAGGACTTCGCGCGAAAGCGGTAGCAGCGAGGGGAAGAATCGGTGGAAGAAGATGGTATGTAGGATTCCTACGCCGAGAGTTGTAACGCGTTAGCTTTTGCTTAAGTACCTACCTAACCTATGTAAGGTCGACATATATATATTTCTTTTTTATAGGTAGGAAGATCTGTGGGGAGGCGCAAAGGGGGAAGAGGGGGGAGAATATGGAGATTTGTTATCGTGGAGACGATGGCGGATGGACGGACAGAAGAGAGAGAGAGGAAGGGAAAGTGGTGATGATAGGTAGACGACAAGGTCGATGACGGTCGCGGGGCATATGATTGGATGCAGGGCATTATTTCCATTTCTTTTTTTAAATACCTCTTACTACATCGCGAACTGAAGCCGGGTCGGCGAAAGCCTCGAGGATAAATTCTTGGGGTTTTTGCTGATCCATCGCAAGTGTAAAAATGCCAAATTACGGTATGGTTCTGCTTTGTTTAAGAGGAAAGTTTTGCGGATTTATTGACGTTCCCCGAGGTCGTCTATCAGCAGACGCCGGCACGATGGATAGATGATCATTAGTCTTCGTTCTAATGCGTTTCTTCTGATGGAGGGGTCCAGACAAAGGGGGCTGAGCCGGAGGGGGAAAGACTTGGAAAACGTGGGGTGAAAATGGAACCTCCGTAAGTTACTAGGTACCTACATGTAGGTACTAGTACAGTTAGTACAGTAGCCTATCTTATCTATTGTTAGGTACCTAACCTCTTTCCGCAGTGTCAGTGTTTACGTATTGTACCTAACTAAGTTCTTTAAGAAGATCTCGCGCTTGGGCCGAGGCACACGTCAGAACCGAACCTCATTAAACGATTTTCCAGGTGAAAAGTACGAGACAAACGGTTGGCTGCATTACACCTCAATTAAAAAAAAAAATTAAAAAATTAAGGCCAATGCTAAGGTACCTGACCTAACAAAGTTGCACAAAAAAACCATTCACCTGAAGGCCTCTCTAAAACCCCCAAAGTTTCCAAAGCTTCCAAAGCCAAAACCTTGGGCGCCATCGACTTTTCTCCAAGGGCCCAGCATGATATCAGCTACGCGACGATGGTTCCGCCGTAATAGAACCCCAATAGCCATTGGTGCCAGTGTTGTTGGCGCTGGCTACTTGGCTACTCAATATGTGCTGAACAAGATCAATGACGCGCGCGAGCGCATGAGTAGCGACCGCATCGCGAAAGAGAAGTAAGACACCGCGTTTCGCAATATCCTGCGACAAGTTTACGAATAGCGATACCCTAACAATCCCTCCCCCAGCCTTCGACGTCGGTTCGAGCAGAATCAGGAAGATTGCACATTCACCGTTCTTGCGTTGCTGCCGACCGCAACGACAAACATCCTCGAGACCATGAATACCGAAAGGATCACGCTCGAGATCCAGCAGATGAAGGGCAGCAAGGCTCGGCGTAATAACCCTGATTCATCAGGTCCACCTCCCAGCATTGCTGATACTACTTTGACCGAAGAAGAAGGTAAAAGTATCGCCAGTCTACCGAGCGATAACGGTGCGTTCAATAGCCAGATGACGAGATCATCTGTGTCCAATGCGGGAGAGGGCTCTCAAGATGGCGGTCAACAGTCCGCGCAGAGATTGAGAAAAACGAAGAGACAGTTATGGGATGATTTAACGATAAGCTGTGAGTCGAGGTCCCCCCCCTTCGATTCAGTTTAAACTATGGCCCTCTATTCTTAGGCTAATCATCCTTTCTCTAGCAATAACGCGTGCGTTTACACTCGTATACACTTTGACCCTTCTTACTATGCTCACCCGTGTCCAACTTAACCTCCTGGGCAGACGTAGCTACTTATCCAGTGTAGTATCTCTAGCAACAGGAACAACACAGTCGACGATAAACTTGGAGAATAATGACGACGATAACCCAGAACACGCGTATGGAAGCGACTTTGAGACGAATCGGAAATACTTGACCTTTAGCTGGTGGCTACTCCACCGCGGTTGGGTCGAGATCATGGAGAACGTCGAGAGCGCCGTTCGCGACGTCTTTGGGCACCTTAGCCCCCGAGACCTGCTGAGCTTCGACACCTTCTCGCAGCTCACGCTCGAGGTCCGCAAGAAGATGGAGAGCAGGCCAGAAGGAACCGATGAATCGAGACCGGGCTCCAAGTGGCTACCGTTTTTGCTGCCCCCTACTAAGATGGAAGACTTTGTCCTCCGGGAGTCGGGCGTATTAGGCGACAACGTGTCTAACCAGCCGGATAGTTCATCGACGTCAGCATCATCAGAGGTGGCTCTCCGTCGTCTCCTGGACGAGACTTCGGACCTCATCGAGTCTCCTCCCTTCACGCGCGTCCTAACGCTCCTCCTCGACGCCAGCTTTTCCACTCTCCTATACAAGAAAGTGCTGCCGGGCGCCTTCGAGACACCAGGAGCACCTTTCACCGCGCCTCCCTCGCCAGACATGGGAGCGCTAGTTGGCCAGCAGGCCGCCGTAAGAGCGGCGGGCTCGAAGGTAGTCCTGCTCCCTAAGATCCTCTCGGTGCTCACGCGACAGGCCCATGCCATCGGCAACGGCATGCCGAACGAGTACCTACAGGAGATGGAGCAGGTCCGCGACCTAGAGGCCTTCGCCGCCGTAGTCTACTCGAGTAACTGGGAAAACGAGATACAGGACTCGGAGAACCTAGCCGCGGCGCGAGCCGCCGAAGAGGCGACGGGCAGCAGCAGTTATCTACACGTCCCAGAGGGTAGCGCCGTGGGCCGGTTCTCGCAGGTTTCGACTGTAGGCGAGGAGAGCATGGTCATAGTCGACCCGTCGCAGTCGCAGTCGCAGTTCTCGCAGACGCCGTCCTCTTTCGAGACGGCGTGGGAGCGAGCGATGGATCGATAGAATCCGAAAGGGGGGTTAGGCGATATGTGTGTGTGTGTGGTATGATATGATATAGAATATGATTACTACGTGAACTGTGGTTATTACTTGGCACAATTGGCTCTGTAACGAAATGACATGGGATGTCTTTGGATTTATGGGCGGAGGGGATAAACAATAATGTTTTAGTTTTTTTTTTACATAGAGGGCTACATCCTACATGTAAATACATGTACCAGCGGATACCAAAGCTCCAAAGTAAAGCTTGTCGGTTCCCGTAGGAGGATTAAATGATACCATCTCCAGCTCTAAGCTCCAAAGCCCTAGTTTGGGCATCTATACCGGATGTAAATCTTTGGGGTACATGCCTCGAGGATGGTGATATATCTGTGTCGTCCCGCTGCCGTCTATATATCTTTTCCCCCCTCTCCCATCTTTTATAACCCATCTTCCCGGAATAGATCAATTATTCGATCCTTAGTGGGTCTATAAATGGATGACCCCGAGGGTTAAAATTGAATTTGTAGCAGTTTGTTCTCTCGAAAACTTGGGGTCGGTATTATAACCCCGCCGTCTAAATTTTATTGTAGCGATGTCGTCACATCAGCCCTCTGATGAACTTGTCCAAACCCATCTCAAACATCTCGTTTCGCACGCCTTCGCCGCCTTTATGCTCGGCCGGCGCAAGGGGGTTCTTGACGACTAGCACGTAGGAGACGTTAGTTAGCATAAATGTAATCGCAGGGATAAGTTAAGTGCCCCCCCCGTCCGCCCCCCCTTTTTTATTACAGCAAGCCTTTCTTATAGCCTATAGCTCTGAAACCAACCAACCAAGCAAGCCAAGACCAGACATAAAACCAAGCTGGATAGACTCACCGTACTCAACCCAGAGGTTGATGTAGATCTGGTGCAGGACGTTGCGCATGCTGAGGGCGCCGGGCTCGGTGAGCATGGCGAAGCGCAGGTTGGTGGGCGTCTCGTAGTAGTGCAGCTTGTAGTGGGCGGTGCGGTAGGAGATGAAGGCGTCGTCGTCGCCGCCCAGCTTGCGCACCATGTTGCGCAGGCTGAACACCGTGCCGAAGATCAGCTTCGCGTCATCCTCCTTCTTCTTCCGCGAGACTGCGGCGGCTGCAGCGGCGGCGGCGGCGTTGTTGTTAGTGGCGGTAGTGGCGGATCCGGGCGAGGTGGAGGTTGCTGCTGTTGCCGTCGATGGAGCCGTTATGGATGGTGGTACTGCGGTCGTCGCGGAGGAGATGGATGGCGGCGGCGGTTGTGATTGGGGACGGGATGAAGGCGGACTCGCTATGCTTTGTGGTGGTGGCCGAGGAACCCAGAGCTTCGAGTATACGCACTCGGCTGCGCGGCGCGTGTCAGGCATTATTAGTTTGCATGGATAAATAATACAAGGTAGGTCTGTCTCTCTTACTGTGGCGATCGAAGATGTAGAACGAATAGACCTGTATAGGCATGACTGCTGCTAGCTACCTAAGCTACTTCTCCAGCGCGGGTCGCGGGTCGCGGGCTAGGGGAAGGAAAATCACATGCCCGGTGAGGGGACGAGTGGAAGTGGGATAAGACCTGACTGGGCAGTTCTTCTCTTCTTCTGGGCCTCGCCTTGTCGCTGTTGCGATTTGGCAATTTGGAAGATGTACGGATTAGGTGCTGGTGCTAAAAATAATGGGAACTAGGTAGGAATTGGGAATTGGAACTGTGGTCGGCAAGTCGGCATATGCTACGTACAAGATACCTCCTACAATACAATACTAAAACCAATATTTGCGGGCCGGTCCAGGGGGGGCCCGGGGGGTAGGAAGGCAGGGCCCAGCCTAAGAAGACGGTAGAACTTACAGTAGCGTCACGCTCGAAAACGTGATTAACATATTAGGTAGTTGCCCTAAAGATGCATATCTCATTAGGTACCTGTATAAGGCACGACATCGATGTTTTATCAATCGATGCTGATGTACTACGGTATGTACCTTAGGTAAACTTACGTAAGGTAAGACAAGGCATTTTTAAGTTGCTTATCAGTTGCCAACTACCTGCCTTAGGTTAGTAGTCAATATAATAATATATTTCCAATTCATACAACGCAACACGAAAACTCACACTATTAACCACGTAAGAATAAAATAAAATAAAAAGACGATCGTCATCCAGATCTCTATTCTCGACAAGTGGCCTTATTTTATTCATCAACCAGCATGATATTCAGCTGCTCAAGGGTCAAAACATGTCGTTATCTTCCCAGTTGTGAGGTCGTTAAGCCTGGGGGGGCAACCTCGAGCCCCAGCGGGATGTGATGCTGCAGCAAGCAACAGGGATCATGGAAGTGCAGTTGGGGGCCATGATTCGCCCAATCGCCGAATTAGTTGCATTTGGGCTGAACCTTTTTTTGAAATTCGTTGTGCCGGGGTCCGGGAGAGTAAGAAAGAGAGAGGGACGGGGTTGCAGAGAAGAAGAATACCTCCCATTTCTACCTACCTACCACCTATTTCACCTTTTTTTATCTACATACCTTTGAGCTTTTCAACTACCTTAAGCACCTAACCTAACTCATTTTTGTTTTGATCTTTATCTTTTTTTTATTAAACATAATTCGAAAGTTATGCGTCGGGAGCAGAGCTACTAATTCTCCAACCTTTGATGTTCGCTTGTTCCACAGAACGGGATAATCAAAACCGCCACGATGCAGACCTCATCCAACATAGCCTCGGCCGCTTCTACGCCAGCACCCGAGGAATTTACTAAATCAACCGGATCCCAAGAGCGACTACTCGATAGCACGCACAGCTTGCCCCTGTCCCCGCATATTACCGTCCAGCAAGATACGGACAAATTCGATCGACCGTCATTTGCCCCTCACTTGTGAGTCTTGGAAGCAGTACTATTATTATATAAATCAAGACTTCGTCGGGGTTGCCCCGCGATTTGTCTTGGCTGTTGAGTGGATGTATGTGGATATGTGGCTAAGACATCGATCCCTTCGCCTAGGTCCGCACCGCCCGATATTCCTCATTTCCAAAGTCCTATGAGACATCATAGGAGGACGCCATCACAGCATCGCGAAGTGAAGGTCCGTGGAGAATGGGATGAAATCTAGTGCGGGGTCGTGAACTGAGATCCTGTCGTAGGAAACCCTCAATGCTAGAACCGAGTATACGAACGACGAGACAGATGGCAGGTCGCAACAGACCATCAACCAGTACACCATTCGCGAAGAGATTGGAAGGGGTTCCTATGGTGCCGTACACCTTGCTACGGACCAATTCGGGAATGAATTTGTAAGCGCATGTGCCTGGTTTCGACATCAAGATTCATCTAATCATTCCTTGGACAGGCTCTCAAGGAATTCTCAAAACTTCGCCTTCGAAAACGAGCCCAGTCGAATATTCTAAGGAGACCCGAAGGTGGGAGGCCACGATCGCTTGGCCCAGGACAAGGTCTTTACCACGTCCATAGGAAACAGCTCAGCCACCATGAGATTGCAGAGGCAAAAGATGCCCTCTTCCTAATTCGAGAAGAGGTTGCTATCATGAAAAAGGTCAACCATCCTAATTTGGTACAGTTATTCGAAGTATTAGACGACCCGGAAAACGACTCCTTATACATGGTCCTGGAGATGTGTAAGAAAGGTGTTGTCATGAAAGTTGGTCTAGAGGAGCAAGCAACTCCCTACGATGATGAACAATGTCGTTTATGGTTTCGCGATCTCATCTTAGGCATAGAATACCGTAAGTTCATATGGAGGCACGAACCTCTCGCAGGCACACTAACCTCGTATTATCTTAGTACATGCCCAAGGTATTATACATCGAGATATCAAGCCCGATAACCTTCTACTCACAGATGACGATGTGCTCAAGATCGTCGACTTTGGGGTATCTGAGATATTCGAGAAACCTGATCACATGATGACTAGCAAGTCTGCAGGCTCTCCCGCCTTCTTGCCGCCTGAGTTATGCCAAGCCAACCATGGCGATGTATCAGGCAAAGCAGCTGATATATGGTCTATGGGGGTGACTTTGTATTGCCTCAAATATGGCAAGCTGCCTTTCATAAGGGATAATGTGTTGGACATGTATGACGCGATCCGCACTGATGAAATTCAAATACCCTCCGACAACGAGGACCCAAATTTCGTAGACCTCATCACCAAGATTCTGGACAAGAATAACGAAACAAGACTGACACTGCAGGAAATAAGGGTAAGTCTACTTAACCGTGGTATCGGACAACAAATACTAAACTAAACAGAACCATCCTTGGGTCACGAAGGGAGGCACTGATCCTCTACTGTCAGAAGAAGAAAATTGTGAAGACGTGATAGAGCCGCCAAATGCTCTAGAGGTCAACCATGCCTTCACGCGGAAGATGGATCATTTGATGTGTGTGGTAAGAGCTATCTATCCCTATAAACTCACCAGTTTCAAAGACTTACCTGAATTTGAGGTCAGTTGAAAGCAATTCGCCGGTTTAAGGGCCTCATTTCCAAGAGCAGAGTTGCAACCCCCGAGCATAAAACACTTCAAGTACCACATGCGCCGGAACCTGTGGAAAAGGAGCCTATCCCGGAAAATACAGACACGTCCGCAGCTTTGACCGCGCAACCAACACGTCAGAAGTCTATCGCAGAGGAGGCTGCCGAACTAGTCAGGCAGCGTAGAGCTTTCCTCGCAGCTCAAAGTCACGCCTCAACCCACCCATTAGCATCATCCGGAGTAGAGGGTAAGGGCCACGCTCATGACCTAACGGACAGGGCGCCACTTTTCCTGGGTATCGGCACGGGTGGACATGATGAATTCACTGCCTCTGATACTCCAGTTGATGTTGTATCCGACTCGCCTACCGGTATCGACTTTGACGTATATGACCGCGCGTTCGAGACAGAAATCAAACGCATCCGTTCCGACAAGAAAAAGGGTCGCGCTAAGACCTACCTGACGAAACTTGTAACGCCGCAAGAGAAAAGTAAATACGCCGGTGACGACTACATGGTATTGGAGGCTGCGAAATCGCCAACCATTAGCTCGCCAGCCTCAGGTGGAGGATGGAGTCTCGCAGAGAGGATAAACGAGCGGGTGGACAAGGAAAGTCACGAAGTTCAGGACGGCGCTAAGAAGGCATTCGATACCGCCAAAGAGACAGGGTATAGGTTCGCAAACTTAGTCATGGCCGCGACGAAGGACTTAAAGGAGAGGAATGCGGACTTGAAAAGGGACGGCTGAGTGAGCATTCCGAGACCCCCGGGTCGAGCGGTGTAAGAAGGAAGAAGACAAAGAGGGGTACACTATTTTACGCTCAGTCCATCACGATAATGACGCGTCACTCGCTCGCGAGGAGTTCCCCTAAGCTGTCAGTATACCCGGCTAATAAAAATAGCAAAGGGGGCGATCGAAGCATCGTTTGTGTTGCGTTAGGTACCTAGGTATGTATAATGAAGCAGAGCGGGCGTTCGGGCAAGGACGGGAAAGTCGGCGAAAAGTGGAGATTCGGAACGGACGGAAACGATTGTCGGTTCTTAAACCCATATAGCGATTCTCGAATAATAATATAGTATTATACGGGTTGGCCAGTTCGCATGTGACAGGCAGATGAGCAAGTAAGCTAGATATCAAGTACGGGAAGGTTCTTTTACCTTGGGTGGGCGAGAAAGACTAATACCTACTAGGTACGCAGGTGAGGAGAGGTTGTCGATCATGTTCGTCTAACCTGGTGTATCTACGTAATCCCAGGAATCGATGAATAAAGTACCTAAGCCAATGACCTAGCAAAGACATCATGACGGCAATGGTTGTTGGCGGTGGTATCATCTTCGAGCTGGAAACACATCCGCCAGCGAATGGACGAGCGCTGGACTTGTTCCTTTCCACCGAAGTTCTCTACTAGGTACTTGCTTTAGGAGGTATTTAACATTCTCACGCGCCTACGCAATGCCATGCAATGCAATGCATATCGATCTTCGCTAGGTAGGTACCTACTCGGATATGACTACCAAAGGTGGGATTTTGAGAGGGTAATTGCCCCCCTTTCAGTTGGGCAATTCTGTGTTGTTGTTGTTGGGGTGGTGGTAGTAGTGAGAAAATAATAAGGTTAGGTACCTACGAAAATGTATGTATAATAGATACCTGGAGCGAGATGTTAGGATGTATTGTACAATATAATGTGTAACAGGTACTTAAGGTACTTATTTCATATGTGTAAGATAGGGCTAGGGTGGTTTGGTTAATAAAATAGCAAAAAGAGAAAAAAAAAAAAAAAAAAAAAACACTTGTCATATTGGTAGTTGTATTGTTTTACATTTGTCCGCTCACCTGCTCTTAGGTTTGGTTTAGGTTAGGTTAGGTATGAGCTTTGCGTCTGGCTGGCCCCCCTGGTCGAAGCAGGGAGGGAGGGAAGAGTGATGATACGTATGTACTGCGTAGCATATGCAATGGCATGCACAACACACCATCGTGTTACTTGCAGGGAAAAAAAAAGAAAAGAAAAAAAAGGTGTGGCGTTAGGTACTACCTATGTAAATACCTAATGTATTGTATATTACCTGCTCAACCTGTCTTAGGTATAATACATAGTACACACCAAGCAGTTTGCCGCCCTTGTGTATATTCGTTCCACACAGGGTTGATAGTTGGTACAATACTATAATATGTATCGTAAAGAGAGACAGAGAGAGAAAGAGATGGATGGATGGATTATTTGGTACCGAACTTTGATAGACGGCATCGACTTCGCTCACCGCGGGAATAAACCAGCTCAGCTCGCTACACCTCGGTGCTTGTACAATACGTGTGTAGAAGACGTGCCTAGCATACGTGGAATTGGCCTAAGAGAGAGGAATGTGTTGTGCGGAAGAAAAAAAAAGGAGCAAGCAAGCAAGCAGGGAATGTACCAGGTATCTAATGTAGGTAAGGTAAGGAAAGGCAAGGCATGGTAAAGATAGTGTAGGCCAAGGAAAACGCACCATTCCGAGCACGTGGAGGAGTTGATGAATATTGTAGGTAGAAGAGAAATTTGAAAAAAAAAAACAAAAAAAAAAACAATACACGATGTAGGCTGCGCTGGCGAGGCTGACGGGATGTCTCTGAAAGCGGTCATACGGCCATACACCGCTCATCATCGGTCTAGTTATCTATTTTCACCGGGTATGTTTCACGGCGGGCGATAAGGCTGCTTGCTTATAGGTGAGGCATATAGAGATCGATCTGTTAGGTATGCGATTCAGGGGTTAAAGCCTTTTACTTGTTTTGCTTCGGCTCAATAACGCTTTGCTCGTCTGTTAGTAGAAGACTTTTTACAACTACCTAACATGTAAGTAAGTCTTGGGATTATTATCATCCGCCTCGCGCTTTAGAAATAGGAGACATTACCTCCGCTCCTCCTATGTGATTATTATGCATGTTTATATTCTCATGTATGTTAGGCGGATATATTATTTAAATATGTTGTTAGTTCCAAAGTAACCAACTCCAACTCCAACTCCAGCTCTACCCTCCTACTCTGTCACTAATTCACTTATCGAGAAGAGGAAGAGGAGGAAACCCATCCCCCCGAGGTAACCTAACCCCAGATTTCTTGACTGCCGCACTACACACCAAAGAAGCAAGCCGGTTTCGTTTAGCGAGACAAATCTAGATCCTCGTTGAGACTGTGACCCTCTTGAGTTCTGGCACTTTCGGCCGGTAATTCCAACAAGCCGAGTGCAGAACCTTGGCGCCACGCCCCCCTTTTTTAATTTTTAATTTTTGATGTTTTGTCTTTTACTTTTCGTCTGGCTGATTGCATACCCGTTCTCTTCAAATCTTGATTGGCGTCTTGTCTTGGCTTCGGCAATTGATAACCGGGGTAGGAACGGCCCGTTCGGAGAGATGCCAACGACTTTGAAAATAGGTATGTAGGAGAGGTAATGAGGAATTCGGTAGTATAACCGCATCTACTCGGTGTCGTTACTTTGGCGGACCAACGCTCTTAATTATTGATCGCCGTAAAAGACACCCCGCAACCCCCCCTTTTCCCATGTCCTTGACCTCGTTCGTAGGCTCTGCCTTTCGGGGATTATCTTACCAGCCTGAAACATCAACATCCCACGTTTTTTACAGAGTAACCTACCTAGGGACACGACAACGCTTCGCGTATTCCAAGATACTTACTATGTGCCTACCTTAGGTATAGACACGAGGGATTTATTGAGACGATAGCCGCAACCCGCATGGATGGCTACGCCCATGATTGGGTCTTGTTTTCCAATATCAAGTACAATATAGAGCTATCCCGCATATGACGCCACTACGCGACCGTACGACTAGCAGGGGACTAGAATCCCCCAGCAGTTCCCCTGCTTAATACCCTTGCTGGATGGCATCTCAAAGAGGGATGTTCTATAGTTGTCAAGTTGTATACTTTGGTAGCTCCCCCCAGATTTTCCAGTCTATCCAGTCTATCCATCCGCGTGAGTAGTATGAAATGCCACTACGTTATGGGTGTGACGACTGAAGCGACTGTACAGCGTATCTAGGATCTAGAACCAGTCGATAGTTTCCCTGGTAATCTCGTCTGAGTTAATTGCGCCGTGTGGGTGCACAGCAAAGGTTGGCTACCCTTCACGTTACCATCTAATGTTAGAATGACTGGCCAGGCTCAAGATGGAAATCTTATCCGATATATAGGAGGTAGGTAAGCTACTTCTTAATCTCAACCCATACTCTTCGGTGGGTTAGTATCGGAAATAATTGATTTTTTGGGGTTTTCGAGGGTATCTGTGCACTTTGTTCGTACCTTTTGCCGTAATTTTTTTCTTTCTCTTTTTTTTCTTCCTTCTTAATATACCCCGCTGAAGAGTGAAATTTTTGGAATATCAAGTCCAAAAAAAACTGTTGCTTATCCGATACAAGCGGTGTGACATAAAATGCAAATTCGGAGACTTCCAGCTTCAGTTTAGAAGTATAAGTAGTCCTGAATATCATTACCTGAGATGCATGGCGAATAGGAAGGTGAGCTGATATAAAATTGGAATGATGCTCAGCTCGGGAACGGGAGCTTTGTGCTTTGCGGCGTAAACTAGGGTTATTACTAGCATCGAATATGGCCATGATGATCGGCGCAAACACATCGTGAGACATGTGGTTATCGGGATTCTAGGTATCTGATCTTCATTGCATGGCGACCAAAAGTCTTGGCGCTGATACCTGTCCGCTTCGGGTTTGTCAATGGCTATGTAAGAATTTCGTTGCTACTTTTACTTTTTCTTCCTTGCGAATGCGCCGTCGCGGATGCGGGACGCACAGGATGGTTGCAGATGAAGGAACGGCTATTTGACAGCGACGTATTAGACGGCTAGTTGCTGCTGATGGGATAATCAGATAATGCATGTTCCCGGTATAGCTACATAGGAGGTAGTTAAGTATGCATCAACTCACGAGGAATTAGGATAAGTGAAGTGGATAGGATGGAAAGAATAGTTAGTCTAGGTACGTTGGCTGGCTGGTCGGATTGATATCCCAATTCGTTAAATGTGGTCAAGCGTACAATCAGAAGCTTAAGAGAACCCGGATTTCATGACGTCAATTACCAAAGCAGTAATGAATCCGGAAGATAAGTCGGACAGAGGGATAACCGCCAGGCATAACGTTTTGATGTGGACTACCCCGAAGTTTCCTTGTGGAACATCGTGGTTGATACTGACAGTCTAACACTGATCACTATGAATAGGCACATAGCAACATAGGCACATAGGTACCCTAGGTAGGTAGCTAATGGGCGGGCCGAGGACAGTAACCAAGGCCGCACACGTGAGATCTCAGTTTTCTCAAGTAGATCGGAATGAATTTCTGTCATAAAATTGTGAACCCCTCCCAGACTCCTGGGTCCAGTTGAGATCTCATCTGGTCGAGAGCCAAGCAGCAGCAGCCGCCGCCGCCGCCGCCGCCGTTGTTGTTGTTGTTATTGTTGTTGTCGTAGCCCTGTGACACATTTGTAGTACACATAGGGAAACTTCGGGATGTCTAAATTAAATTCGGGGCGGAAATATATCCACCCCTTTATGTAATCGTATTGGCGGATATGCGGCTGCGGTGGAGGTTCTTTGGAGGCCTCCTAGGTGATAATAGGTCAAAATGAAAACCACAGGAGCGAAAGAGAGGGAACCTTGGCTATACTTGGCATATAACTAGCTGTAATGCCTCCGGCCTGCATATAAGGGGAAGCTTTTGTGCTTGACTTGGTTATGCATGTACTTACTGTAGTTGTAGCTCTAACCGCAGCTATATACTATGTATATGCATGAAAAGCTCTCGACATCATGACTAGCTTGCAGTAGCAAGGATAATGATATGTAATATGTCGAAGCACTACATGGCCGAGAAATTGCAGGATATGTAGTACCTAGTAGAACGGACAAACTTGAAGCGGTGAGCGTATCCGGATTGGCTGTGTTGTGCGTTTAAGTTCAAGGCGGACGATAATCACGAATACTCGTAACATGTGGTCTTAGTGCGGCGTAGCCGAGCTAATAGCACGAAGGCGGTCCAGATCTAGTTGTTCCAATAATTATCTCCTTGTTAGGTTTTGAGTCTTAGTCGAGGGCAAGAAATGCCTCATCCAGTAGTCAACGTCAAGGACAAGAAACGCCGGCGTGCAACGTTCAGACATTAGTTTGTGGTGCTCCCGTAAGCTACTACGATTATTTAGGTAGGATATCGGCCTTCCGAGATGGGTAAGGTGCCATTGAGAAATAAAGCTCCTTTTGATTGTATAGTTGGTAGTCCAACATCCAACAGAAAGCCTTGAGAATGAAATATACAGTAGTACCAGGATAGGTTCCCCCGAAGTGTCTCTCTTTAGTCAAAACAAGACAATGGTAGAAAGAAATGATGCTAATATTAGAATCAGTAGACAAAGCAAAAGCAGGGCTCACGAGGTAGATCGGAACAATAGCATCAGTCGGAAATAATCGTTGTTGATCTAGCATGAGGCTCTTTATCAATTAGGCTGGTTGGATGGCCTCGTGGCATCCTCAATACAACACAACATATATAATATGCCTTGGTTAATTAAGTGAGGGTAGTAATGGTGTTTCTCTTTTGTCTTATTTGTTATTGGGGGGAAGATGGTGGGAAAGCCGAATGGTTAGTAAATGGGAGGTAATAAATGGTCAGATTGGCTTAGATGGATAATTCGGAAGGGATGGATTGTGTCACGATGCTCTTCTCTCTGACTTATTAGATGAGGATATATGTTCCACTTATACCACTTATACCACCTCATACCTGCCTACATAACCCAAGGTTACCTGCCGGTGCAGATTCGAGATTGCCTACTGGGGAACTACATAAAAGCCCACCAATTGCAACTTCTGTAGTTCCTGTTACGTGCAGATGCTTCCACCATCGTAGTTGCGACCTATCGCGCAACTGCTTAATCTACTAGCTCTATACTGGGGTAAATACCTAACCTAGCCTTCAGGTTGTACTAGATACGGGTCCCGTCCCTCGGGTTCCCTCTAGTTTGTAGACTTATCTTATGTAAGCAACGCCTAATGCCGCGTCTTGCGTTACGATTAATACCAATCTACCAAATAATATTCATTTAAAAGCTAGTAAGTAGATGTGTACCATGGATGCGTCTAAGGTGCGTCACTTGCCGGATACATACGTGCAGTACCCAAATAGGCAATGCAAGCTGCATGGATTCAAGCTGACTACTTCGTTATGTATGTACGGCCAGACAGCCCAGACAGCCTATTATATTATAGGTATGTAAAGTAAACTTTAAGTAAGTCATTGAATAACGACGTAGGTACTAATTATGTAAGTACTATAGTACAATTTAACTATATAGTAGTTGCAGTGCAGTGCAGGTGAACAGATGTAATACGTACCTGTTTTGAAGGTATCTTAGGCTTAGGTAGTTTAAAACATCCATTACATGCCTAGTATTTTACAATGTAGTATTGTACAGCTTGCACGACAGGAAGAAGCCAGAAGCTAGAAGTCATCCCACTCATTAGCGTGCATCCCGCGCTGTATTGGTCATACCTACCTACCTACATAGAGACGTGATCACCTTCACTTTTCCTTACTTCTAAGTTCTACCTAATTACCTTACGTATTATACATAAACTACGCAATACCTGATAACTAGTAAAAATGGAAGCTGCCCTAGTGCTTAAAAAAAACCCCTGCATAACACAAATTATATCAATCCTAGTATATAATATAAGAGGTAGATTACCTACCTAAGGTACATAACCTAGGTAATGTATTGTACAATGGTACATTGAAGATTATGTGTATGTAGGTAGGTATGTAGGTAGGTACCTAGGTATCTAAGGTACGGGACGGATACGAATACAAATACAAAAACCCTGACATCACCTACACCGCAGAGCTATCCAATACCCTTTTCTCTGGCCCTCCTTTCTCGCAATCAACGATTAATCGGCTCGTTCCTAGAATTGGAAAAGGAAAGGAAAAAAACATACGTCTAGTTTATTTGCAGCATCTCCACTTGGATCGATTCAACCTGGCTTCCCACGAATCTTAATTCTAGCTGCTTCCGTCCTCTGCGCGCCCTCCCTCTGGTCCTTGGCTTCTAAAACAATGACAATCTTCACTTCGTCGAAACGAAGTTTAGTTAGCTATCATTTGCGCCTCCTCTAACATTAGCTGGAACCCTCCCAAGGTTCCTACCGATTTTTTGCGCTTCTCAGGAAATCATAAGCACCGGCGTCTAAAACCGGCTCGGGCTGGCGACGTCGTACTCTTCTTACCTTGAACTAGAACACACACAGGAAAAAAAAAGATTAAATTCCAATCATCACCACTTACCAACCATCATCATTAGCTCCTCACAATTTCCCTCTCCCTTTCTAACCTACGTGACTCCTCTTATAATAAATACACCACTACCGGCTACTCGTTGGATTGTTAAATCGTTAGATCCCGCACTGTTACTAAGTTGACAGCTGTATCTAGCTGTACATATTACCTACGAATACCACCTTTGGCGCCCTCCTGCTCGAACTGCTCAGTTACCTAAGGTACTTGACGTTTTGACGGGGGTTTTTTTTAGGTACGCTTAACGCTCTACGCTAGCGCTAAAAGGCAAACCTTAAAACAAAACATTATCAGAGACTTCTACGTTATTCACTAAAGAAGTGCAAACAATTCCAGCTACCTAACCTAACGCTTAAAGCCTTTTTTTTTCTTCTTTTCTTAAATAGAAAAAAAAAAAAATTAAAATTTCTACGTTTCGAGATTTATCAATTTTATTCTTTACGCATTTATTCACTCGGTTTCCCACCCCCATTCTCTTGTACCATTAATATAGATTTACTGGTTTTTATCTCCAGATTCCGAACTCCAGCAAAGCAGCAAGCAGCAAGCAACACGCGGCTCTCCCCAACAGCAGCAAAGCCCGCACCCATAACCAGATTTTAATAATTCGGAGGACCTAAACTCTGCAGCACCTAGAACTAGACTGACTACTAGTATTATAGTAGCTCAGTTCGCCTCCCCACACTCTTGCCCTACTTTGATTATTAACTTACCTGTCACCGGAAACTACAAATTGGCATCCGCCCGCCTTTAATTAATTCCTTTTTCTTTTTTCACTTCCCTATTGCGAAACCCACCCACAGCGCGATCAAAACTGTTTTGCAATCCGTCTTTAGTGTCGCCAACACCTGGGCGCAGCCCACCAAGGCGACCTCGAGCCGCCAACCAGCTTTCTCCATTCGCCGAACTTGTCACTTTCCTCTCCACGCCAGTTCCCCGTCGCCAAGTGACTATTTTCCTATTCGAGACTTTGACCCATAACTATAATTACAACTATACAGTATCCAACTCACAACACCACCGTCGGAAATGTCGAGCGCTTCGGAAAAGACGGTCTCTCCCAGCGCCTCCAAGCAGTCTTCCATAAAATCGGTTGATATTTCCACGCGATCTCCGAAATTAAGACCGCAAAATGGCCAGCCCGTTGGCGACGCCTCTCATGCCGAGGCTCAGCCGAAACAACCCGAGAGAGCCTCCATCAAGGACAGGTTAACCCGAATGTTTTCCAATAAGGACGATATACCTAAATCCGTCCCTTTCGATGCTGGTCAACCGTCTAAGCGCGTCGTCCCGACCCCCTCTCCCAGCCTGACTGGCGTCAGCGCGCCCTCGAAACCGAACAGCCTGGCTCGTAAGCCATCCTCTGCTGACCCTCCTACCGCATCTAAACCAGCGCCCTACCAACGATTTGTCATGAATCCAGACGTCCCCGGTGGCCATGAGCATCATCTCAAGGGTAGCAAGCGGCAAGAGAAACTCTCTGACATGTGGAAGGCTCTACTTGGGAGAAAGCAAGACCAACCTGCCGAAGCTGACTTATCCTTGGTTTCTAGTTGGGTTGACACCCTTAAGCAGGAAAAAGATATGCTAGCCAGCGATAAGAAGGGAGGTCCAAATCAGAGCATTACTCTAGTCGAGAAATATGGAAAATGCCAAGAGGTAGTTGGTCGTGGTGCTTTTGGCATCGTAAGGATATCGCATAAGAAGATGGAGAATGGAGAAAAGCTCTTTGCCGTCAAGGAATTCCGCCGCCGACCAGAAGAGACGGAGAAGAAGTATAGCAAGCGCCTAACAGCAGAGTTCTGCATATCTTCCTCTTTGCGTCACCCTAATGTCATACATACGCTAGACCTACTGAAAGACGAAAAAGGTGACTATTGCGAAGTTATGGAGTATTGCTCCGGTGGTGATTTATACACGCTCGTCCTCGCCGCTGGGAAGTTGGAGGTGGTAGAAGCCGATTGTTACTTCAAGCAGATGATGCGCGGCGTCGAGTACCTACATGAGATGGGTGTCGCACACCGTGATCTTAAGCCCGAAAATCTGCTTCTTACGAGCCATGGCGCCTTAAAAATCACGGATTTTGGCAACGGCGAATGCTTCAGAATGGCGTGGGAAAATGATGCTCACATGGTTTCGGGTCTCTGCGGTTCTGCGCCTTATATCGCACCGGAAGAATATATTGACAAGGAATTTGACGCTCGAGCCGTCGATGTCTGGGCTTGTGGTGTTATATATATGGCGATGCGAACCGGACGACACTTGTGGCGTGTTGCCAAGAAGGATGAGGACGAGTTTTACGAGCGGTATCTTGAAGGACGCCGCGACGAAGAAGGTTATGGCCCGATTGAGTCATTACACCGTGTAAGTGGCTTTTTATCTTCTATCATCCTAGAGTTGCTGCACAATCCTAACAAATAGCATGAAGGCCCGTTGTCGCAACGTCATCTATTCTATCCTCGACCCCAATCCCACCCGACGTATCACAGCATCACAAGTTCTCAAGTCCGAATGGGGTCGTGAAATTAAGCTTTGCAAGGCCGGCGAAGAAGGTCTTTAAGCGATGCTGCTCTTTACGAGCCGCGTCTCTTGATTAAGGGATGAGCTTTCTGTTATGGGACCAACCGGTTCGCTACAGGTTGTTTCGTCTCTTTGGTGTCGTCAACTTTCTAGAAGATGATGACCCTGATGTTCTTCGCCACCTCTTCGAGGAGAATGGTTCACTATTTACCCTATCAAAACCATCAGTCCGACTTAATGACCCGAGGTTCTCTTTCATCTTGCATGGTGTTCCGGTAAAATTACAATTCTCTGCATTTTGTTTTTATTCTCCAGTCCGTATTTTTTTCAGTATACATTTAAGTCTCGATACTTCGGATCATGACACCAGGATTCCATCGCGCAGGCATTAAAACAGGACAGGTGATAGATGCGCCATGCGCACTGCGAGTGAGCGCCAACAGAAGCGGCTCTTATAATCCAATGTAAAAGGATAGAAATCATACTCGCATTTTCCTGGTCAGCTGCAGAGAAAGGAAAAGGAACTGGGGCGGCTAAGTGTCTTATTTTGTTTTTCCTTTCGCTCGTTCAGTTAGCACATGTTTAGGGGCGGATGTAATAAGCCGTGATTTGGTTTTGTTTGTTTGTTTAGAGGACTCGGATTCAGAGCATTCTAGATAGGCGATTCAGACCAGATTCTGAGGCTTGCCTTGGCGTCTTGTGTGTCTTGGAGGTTGGGGCATCTACCAGCGATGAATGAGCCGTCTGATCCGTTTTCTTTCGGGATAGAGCGGTGATGAACTCCACAATACAAGACGTTGTACGCATGGTATTTGTTCCATTTTCTTCCTAAAGTCGCGTCAAGTCAAGGGTGAGCATTCCTATTCAGCATACTTGATATGTCATGGTCTCTTCCCCTCCCCATCCATGGCGAACTTAAAAAGAAATATGTACCTATAGATCTAGGGAGCTGTCGGTGTATGCCAAGCAGGTTTGGTGAGAGAGACATGTCACATGCGTGAATGTCTTATAGATTGTATAGTAGTACCGGTGGTTGGGGGGAGGGGGGTCGTGAGCTTTAAGGGGCCGGGGGAACGGGTTTGGAGCCATAAAATTTCTTGTATAAATACCGTGGTTATACGGGTTTGGGTTATATAAGGGCTAAGTTGTAGTTGCGCTATGGATAACTACGCTGGACAGTAAGGAGGCTGGTCACCATCAGAATCGTCTAACTAAGCACATTTATCCGCTCAAGTGTTCATGAATGAGTTTTAGTCCAAGCAAGAGCTAGCTATGATCATATATTTTGTTGAATATAAATAAACCTTTACGCTTGTTTCCAGTAGTATAATAGTGTTGATCCATATGAGCGACGTCCGCATACTCAACACTTCAATACGTCGCCAGTACTCATCTACCTCACCATTTACTTATCCTTCTACCTTCACATATACATGTTGAAATGAGAGGCAAGGGGCTGTCCTGACTCCTTAGGCACAGCATCAAGAATATGTACCTAGGTACCTAAGGTATATAAGACATCTCACCTCACTCATGAAAAGAGGTGGTATTGGTAGTACATAGTCAGATAAGATTAACAACACATCACCACGTCCGGCCGTAGAAACAGTTGCTTCAGCCCTTCTCTCTCTAAAGATAAATAGCGATTCTAAATAATACGCAATAGAAATCGGCGCAATGTCCATATCTACTAAGGTACGGACGAGCTCCGAAGCCAAAGCGACATCGTGTAAGAGACTAAAGCTCAACTTTTCGGGCGTGAGGGTCCGCATTATCATTATCTACTATACTAGGTACTCCGGGGAGTAATAAGAATAAAAAGAAGAATAAAAAAAGAAGGAACCGAGACCTTCCAATCGCGCCTCGTTGCCTTTTTTTGTTTTCCTTCGGGTTTCTCCAACGGCTTTGTCAGGGATAACCGGTCGGAGGTTCTGGGCTGCTTGTTGAAGCGTATCAAAGGTACCTACCTACCTAGTGATGCGCATGCCGCGCAGTAACGGGCAGCCTCCATACCATAGGTATGGATGGACCTTAGGTTAGGTATACATCATGATGTTCTTTCCGTCGGCAATCCGAGGGAGGGTACTGCTCGGACCCGGTACATCTCGCGGCCCCCCGGGCGTCGGATCCGCGGGCCGGAGACTCCGCCGGACGTCCTTACATCTCGCTGCACCGTGGACCTGCCAGCCCACGAGGCAGTAGTATATCGGGCCTCGGAGAGCATACCCTGGTTTCTCGTCGGCATCGGGATGCTGCAGGATATAATCTTCCGCAGCCGGGACGCCTCGGAGGTCAGGAGCTTCCCATACCCACAACGCCTGGATTCGCCCGCGTTGTCGACAATCATAGGAAGGGATGAGAGGACTATCAGGACGATGCGGATTGTTAGGTTGGCCTGGAAAAAAAAAGGCATTGAGGAACTTGCTAGCATCGCTCCGTGGACATCGGGAAAGTTACCGCTAGCACCGCAAGATGATTGTTCTACACACCGGTCAATAAAGCCTCGTTAATGCCACGATGACTAGCTATTATGGCTCGTTCCGATGGAGTTCCGAGTTAGCTAGAGCCTGTGAAGCCAGTCCGCGTAGCCAAAAGTTTCGGTTTAACACGGAGAACCCTGTCGCAGCTCGTTGCCGACGACAATGGGCAGGGCGAGGTTGCATACGCTATCAGAGTCCTATGGTGCCCCTGGTCGAACTTGAGAAGTGAGTGCCGAAAGCTGACCTTACGATGATGCAGATATTCTTCCCGGTCAGTCTCAAGTATGATGACGAAGCTGTGGGAATCACATACATAGGAAGTTTTGGTAGAGAACATACTGTATCAAGTCGGTGAGAAAAGGAGGGCCGCGGAAGAGATTCTGGCTCGGATGGAAGCTTAGTAGAACATATTAAGTCTGTTTGTGAGTATCAGTATGTGGCGGTATTAGTGAAAACCTATCATGGCTGGATACAGGTCATCTTCTACCTGTTAAGGGTCTTAAAGAAAACACAAACTTGGAGTAAAGCGGTTGAATTCATGGAATTAAACTGCCCCTCGAAGCCAACTAGTCGTCTCAGAGTTTTGGGCGTCCCGTCGAGATCCCGTCAGCCATAAATCAAATCTCTCTCCTAACCGCTTGCCCCGGCATCCCTAAGTAGCCTTATTATTTCTCGGTCCCCCCATTCTTCTGCATAAGACCATATCGTCTCCCCATGTGAATCTGGGATGTTGTCCACTTTGGCTCCCTTTTCAAGTAGTTGCTCTACTATTTCGCGATGCCTTTCTTTTACTGCACACCATAGCGGAGTCCATCCATTAACTTTGTCGCCGACTTCGATATTAGCTCCTTTTTCAAGTAGCTGTTGGACTATGTTGTCGTAACCTTTTTTTGCTGCATATATTAAAGCTGTTTCCCCCAAATAGTCACACACGTCGATATCAGGTCCTTTTTTAAGGAGCTGATGGACTATGTTTTCGTGGCCTCTTTTTGCTGCATATATCAAAGCTGTTTCTCCGAAATCGTCGCACACGTTGATATCAGGTCCCTTTTTAAGGAGCTGCTGGACTATGTTGTCGTAACCTCTTTTTGCTGCATGCATTAAAACTGTTCTTCCATCGCTGTCGCACACGTCCATGTTAGCTCCTTTTTCAAGTAGGCATTGCACTAGTTCTCCGTTATCGTGATATGCTGCCTGTATTAGAGCTGTATCTCCATCCTTATTGCATGCATCGACGTCGGCTCCTATGTCAACCAGTAGCCGTACTAAACGGGCATTGTTGTTATATATTGCTATTATCAATGGCGGCGTGTCTAGTGACGTGCGGACATTTCGATCCCAGGAGTTAATCAGTGCGTCTGAAAATGGCAGCTCGGGTTGCCTATCGACTTTGACCCCGGCTTCGAGTAAACGTCGTACCACTTGTTCGAAATCTTGAAACACTGCCGACAAAAATAGTAGTTGGATCACTTGATCTTCCGGCTTAAACCGAGGACCATCTTTCTTCATCTTGAAGTCAAGGAGCGTTTCCACAACTTTCTCGTGTCCCATCTCGCAAGCCCACGAAAGAGCAGACCGGCCAAACCTTTTGTCTATAACGTCCACATCCAACTTATCCTCTTCTAATAGTATATGAACAACTTGGTCCAGACCATACAGTGATGCAACCATCAAAGGAGAGAAATCCTCAACGCGGGCCCTTTTCGATGGGTACAAATACCGAATCGTTGACTTCCATTTATGGTAGAACCATAATTTAGACTTTGACCTACTCATCTCACAAAGGGACCTTGCACGGAATATCATCTTTACCGTATTGTGGAGAGAAGCCTCCCGGAAATGATGCGGCCATCGAAATTTGGCATAAGTCGCAAAGTCCGAGCAGAGAGAATTTAGAGAACTGAGGTTTAGATAAGTGGTACATATCTCTGCCAGTATGCGGTGCGATTCCGGAATATAAAATGAATTTTTCCATCCCATCTTAACGGAAGGGGGAATTGGTTGTTTAGAAACCAAAAACTCCCTGGCGGTTTGGTGCAAGAGGTAGATTTTAGAATCGACGATAGTAACGAAAAGCCCGCAAAAGCCTCTGACTGTATCGCGAAAGCGATTCTCCGGCTGAACCTCGACTTCGCTGTAGAACAAGTACTCTTCTTTAATTGCAAGCGCTGTTGCCATTTGCTCCAATGAAAACGGGGTCTCTGCCGCAATGACAATATGGAGAAGCCTCCTGGCTTTCTCAGGATTTGTACTCTTATTTAGAATCTTTTCGTATGTTTCCTCAACCGTTCGAGGAAGTTGGCGAACCATTTCCCGTAAGCGTTGTTTCGTAATTTCGTCGATATTATATATAACTTCGAATACAAGATAAACCCACAAATATGTTCGGTTGGTGACGTGAGCAAGTTCTTTAAAGAGAACTAGTTTTTCTTCTTTGAGGAGTCCGCAGCGTCGGCTGATGTCCTCTACTTTTGCTCTGATGAAAATATCAATCTCCTTTGAGATCTTATCGACTTCCTTCTGGTCCTGCCCATTCAAATGGATTGTAGGGTATCGGTTTTCAAGGAGCTGGAATCCGCGTTGAATATGAACATACGGTCGACTGGTTAAGAGGAATTTTAAGCAGGATTCGCTAGATCCTGTCTCATAGAAACTTTCCAAGGCTTTAATTAGACGGCGATTTTCACTGCATTCATCCAAGGCATCCACGATGCAAATGACCTCTCCGGCATTTTTGCTGCATGCAGCATTTGTAAGGATGTTCCAAAGGCCTGTAAAGGAAGAGAAAAGCTGTTCGTCATTGGAAAATTTGCGAATGATCTCGTTAGTAAGGAGAACAGGATTCTGGAGGAAGAGTTGCATCGTATAGCACCTGCTAGGTTCTTCTGATTCTCAAAATCGTCTTTAAAGAAGAAATAGCATGTCGACCTTGTACTTGTACTTGGAAGAACGTTGTCCACTAAATGCCTTGCTAGAACTGATTTCCCGCATCCTGGATCTGCAGATACCCAGAGCAAGCTTGAAGTCTTGCTTCGTTGCCAATTCTGAAAGGTTGAGTGGCTTGTGAACCATTCACACGTGCCCTTTATCCGCTCTGGGTTTCTGTTCTTGCAATCCTGGTATGCCACGCTGGAGAGTTTAGAGAGGATTTCTTGTTCATTCCGTTGAGTTGCTAATATCTCCGCTAAGCCGGACAGGACTATGGTTAAATCGAAATAAGTATGGTGAAGAACCAGGATAGGTTAGGTGCGCAATAACTCACTACTTTGGATTTGATCGTTCTGCATTGTACGTCGGAAAGCAGCACCGTTATCCCCCATTAGGTCAACTGCCGCCTTGTAGATTTCATCATGGCCAATTGCTCTTACTCTTTCCTGTGCTAGATTATTCATTATTGGGGCTTCTTTACACAGTCGTTTCACGGCTGTTTTATAGGCGTCTTCAAATTTGTGAATAAGCCCACTTGTCTTTAAGTAGATTCGTCGAAGCAGCTTGAAAAATAGATGATGTAAGTCGGCCTTCTTAGACGATTCTAGCTTGGAGAATAACTTGCAGTCGTCGAGGAACGGTAGGTATGGTAGGCGTGGTAGGTCAGCGATGGTTTCTTGATCAAGCGCGACAGGGATAATGTCGTGAATTTTGTCAGGACTCCGGGTGCCTCTTAGCCTGAGAAAGGCAAGTTCAGTAAGTACATGATGAAAAGAACCATATGAGCGATTGTTCTTCGCGACATCTTTGATTTGATCCCTGAGTACCTCTCTACTGGAGAACCTAGCTTCTTCCTCGGTGTATGCTGCCACGATGGCATTCATATATGATAGCGTAAAAGGATCATCATAGTATCGTTTAAGTAAGGCAGAACAACAAACCACCACTTTGTCGACACTATCAATAGTGTTGGTCCGGGTAGAATCGAAGGGAGCTGGGAGCAAACAAAATTGATTTTCAAGAATGTCTTCTGCAGCAGCACGGTCATCCTCTCGCGTGCCAAACGGAGGTATTAGGCGTTTGTCTGAAAGACATTGGGCTCTAAGAACACCAAAGTATTGAATAAGACTTTGAACGCTCCCGGCATTGGCCTTTGCATCCACAGAAGAATTTTCATGTGCGTAGACGATGAATATACTAGGGGACGTTGGACGGCTAAACACATCTATGTCTGCAAGAAATCTTAGTATCATCAGGAACAACTTCTCTCGCACTAATGAGACTGTTAGCTGGTGTGCGTAAGTGATGACGAAGGCAGATGATCGAGAATGAGCCGGCAACCAAGAAACGTACCTTCGTCCTCTTGATACTGCACCGATTTAGCTGGATGGGCTTCCATTGTTGACCATCAGCGGGTAGTTATTCATGTTAACTCTTGAGTAGAAATCAAAAGTGTTCAGAGGGAGGAAAAAGCTACAACGAAATAAGGCTGTGGAGGTGGGACCTCGTCGCTTTAAGGGTGTAGTAGGTGTTGAAGCGCTGTGGCTTTTCCCATGTAGTAGAAAAGAACCAATTGCTGGGCCACACGTTGAAGTCGTAAGTCAGCCTCACAGCCGACATAGACAACAGCACAGTAAGACGACGTGCATAACCAATCCGCAGTCCGCTACCAATGGTTGACTTTTAACCGAAAGGCTGAAAGTACAACATGTTCGACTTTGTCCTATAGGGTCCTCCCCGAGGACATCTATATCCCGCATGGGCGTAGAAAAGTCAATCATTGAAAAGATGTTGTAGTTGTTAGGTTAGGTACTTTCTAACCTCCGCCGCGGAAATGCGAGAAGTATAAGTACATGATACGTCATGTACCATAACAGTCTGAATCTTCCCCGCCTACGGGTTCGCAGTGCACTGTTATTTTGGCTACTCGGAAGAGCTTAGAAGAAGCAGATTCAAGAATCTATTTCACCTGCAACAGTTGGAAAAGAGCCATATTATGTATCTACCAGAACACGCAGCTCTGGGCTCCCTCCTCATACACATCCCGGCTTCTAGACACAGTACTAGTCCCCCCTCGACCGCAGCCTCCACAGGTTGAATAAATACACGTCCTTCCTCACTCGGCCTGCCTCTTATCCCGTAGTCTCCTGCTATATTTCACCCTTAGCAGATTGACCCCCACCAATCATACCCTCATTTGTCCCGCCGTATCAAGAAGAATGTTTGAGATGAAAGATGGCAACCCCAGAAAGCAACAAAAGGAAATACTCCGAATCCTCTTTTTCCTACCAACCAGTATCAGCGCTAGGTATCAATATATCCGGACAAGAAGCCCCAGTGCAGTCGTGCTCCGGATCCTAGCATCCCGGTAGGCCAAGTATGATGGCCCGTGGCTTCCGTATTCACCGACGCCGTCTCAGAACGGTGTACCTAGTTTTAAGATATTATATCCCCCGATCCCATACCCGGTATCACTTAGATGATGGGTTAATGTTATGAAGATAGAATCATATGCGTAATACAGAAGCGGGTATAGTCCGTCCAAATTTGACACGGCTCATCAACAAATGCATATTGACCCTTCCCAAAAACCATATTGGAGCATGTATACACGGAGACAGGGCCATATGTACTTCGTACTGTGGCGTTAAGTCATGAAATTGTAAGTATCAGTTCGATCCGCCTTAGCAAGATCGCCGCAGGACGTTCACGAGTGGAACAGGTCCCAAGCTCTCTCGCAAAGCTTCAAAAACTCTTCGCGCTTCTGCCGCTGAGTTTCGGGGCTATCCCGTCCAGCGCCGAAGGGGCCTCTTCGAGTGGGTGGAGGTCCATGGCCAAGCGGAGGGCTACTGCCTTCTTCGTATTCAGCACGGGTCCTTCGCCTACTGGTACTCCGGCCCGTATCTGAGGGGTTAACCCCGTTTCTGGGTGATGGAGGGGTCGGGGGTTGATGTCCGGTATAGTGGACAAGTTTAGGTAACAGCTCGGGCCGTCCACCGGCTAGTTCATGTTGTACTTCCTCGGCCGACTTATATTCCCGACCTCGGCCTGACATGGGGGGCTGCGAAGGAATTGCCGGCGGGTGACCAGGCGAAGCTAATGGGCCATGGCTCGAACCAGGGTAGAAGGCTCGCGCACTTGATTCTGCGTGCGAAGGAAGTCCCTGGCCGCCGAATACATCGGAGATTGGAGGCAGACGATTTGCTGTTTGGTTTGCGGGTACATGGTGGATATGAGACGTACTGGATAGGTTCGACGGATGATTAGCAAGATGTCTAGTTAGAGGCTGCGGGTTATGGCGCCCGGTAAAGGTTTGACCCAATGGTGCAGATTGGATCACTCGCTCATGAGCGAACTGCTCATGCGATGGTGCTACAATGCTTAACCCCGGAGGGGCTTTGTTGCGTCGAGACATCCCTGGGGTCTTTGCGGCAAACTGGCTTACGGGATCCTTCTCCTTGCCATTGTCGGGACCGTCGCCCTTCGCTGATTGTTGCTGTAGTCTAGCTTCGATGATACGGCGTTGCTGTTCTCTAACATTCATACTCTGTTGTAGGTGTTCCTTCATGACTGGATCTTGAGTGACGAAGCCTGGTGATAGGCATGCGATACCCACTTCTTGGATACCAAGTCCTTCCCTCCCTAGCGCAGGACGTGCCGTGGCGGCGCCCGACCCGGTAAGACTCTTTGAGAGATCCAACCTTCTTGGGCGATGACGACCGGCTGGTATATCGGGAGATCCTGGCTCCTTCTTTACAATGATTTTAGGTCCAGTGGTGCCTGGCACATTTCGCGTACTGCAAAAAAAGGCAATAATTAGCAACAGGATGACTCGGGAAATACGGAAACCCGGGGACAATTCTTTATTTGTTTAAGTGTAGGGAAATTTTGTGACGGATTGAAGGATCTGTCGAGACCGAAAAGGGAAAATGGAGTAAAAACAAGAAAAACAAGAAAAAGAAATAAAGTTACTTACGCGCTTGGCGGAGAAGACTTTACCGCGGTCTGGGTAGCGGCTCTAGGGGGACTTCGGCTGGCAGGACGTTGCGTTGCAGAAGCAGAAGCATTTGTGTTCGGAGTGCCCGAAACTATAGCCGAAGTACGTGGGACAGAAGATGAAGCCGCCGTTGCGGCAATTCCAGTAAAAGTTGAGCTAGTACCTGCAGTGCTGGTGGCAGGCGCCAGCTCAGCATAAGCCGGTCTGTCGTGAGGAGCCGGGGAAGGGGCCATAGCAATCGCTGCGCTCATGGTGTTCAGATGGCTTTTTTTTCTTGATAAGTTAATTCCAGGTACAATGACAACTCGAAATAGAGTTTTTCTTTTTCTTGCCTCAGGTGCTGCTGATCCTCTCCTATTTTTATTCCCGGCTGAAATGGCTGATGCGCCACGCGGGAGTTGGCAGCAATGAAGAGATATGGGCAGAAAAGCCTTGAAGCGTTACAATAATGGTACAGACAAGACGCTGGAGATGTCAGCGAAATTGATTGATGAAAGAATGAGGCGCACTTTGAGCCCCCCTTCACGCCCGCGCTTAACTTTGCAGGCTTGAGTTGCAAAAATATTGATGTTGGGCCCCGATTATTGTGCAAATCGTTGTAGCCAATCGCTGGCTTGTCCTTTTATTCAATCTGCCCGACTCCGTATTGGTACGTGTTCAAACGCGCCAATGATCGGATTGCTCGATCGATTTAACCTATTAATTCCTCTGGTGAATTACCTTAGCTTGCCAATCACGAATGATACGGAGGGCGAATAGACAGCACGTCAGCTCCGAGTAAGCAATCCGTCTTGTATCGCACTTGATTTTTTTTTCGGGCCTTGAAGCCGGGCGGGTCAACTTAGGTCTGATACCGAAGCTCGAGAATGTAAAACGACTGGCGTAAAGTCTACGGGGCGGGATGAGATTCGGTGCACCAGGTATTCGGATGTGATCAGATTTCGATTATCGGTTCGAGGGATGCCCCTGAAGATCGGATCCGGTATGTGGTCTCCCCTCCTTTGTCTGAATTCGGACGGTTATTCTACGAGTACCTCTAGACTGGCTACGTCTGCCTTTTCTTTTTTCGGGTAGGTATACGTTTTAATAAATGCTAACTCGTTCGTCCTCCTCTTTAATACTACCACACCGGATGGAAGATGTAGGGGATTCTTTATATTGTGTTGCGCTTTGCGTTGGGCTCGTCGCACAAGTGGACAAGTCGCTCGCGGAGGGGATGTTCTGCCGGTCGAAGAATCGGCGTATTACTATGGTAGGAAAAGATAGCAAAATGTGGCTAGAATTGGAGAATCGGAAAGTCGGACGAAACAGTACGAAACTTGATCAGAATAAGGATTTGGTGTATATACGGTCGCAGCGAATTTTTCTTCCCCCAAGAGAAAATAAAAGAAGAAAAAGAAAAAAGAGAAGTAGAAAAAAAAAAAGAAGAAGAGGTACTACAGCGAGGAAAAAGATGTAGCGAAAGAGACTCGACAAAAGACGAGTTGTGGAAGGTATGGGGATTAAGGTATAAGGTTAAGGTAGGTAAAGACGGAGGGAGGAAAGGGTAAGAAAGGTTTCTCGAGGCGGAAAGAGGGGCAGGCTGATGATGGGCTGGATGGGCCGACCTTTCATGTTATTAGTGGTTTCCTTCAGGGACGAACGACTTGCTTCCTGCTGTACTGTACAAACACAAAACAAATGTACTTGCTCTATTAGGGTACCCTGAGTCACTAGCGTGCTTTAGCTGCGCTACAGGTACAGCACGGGCCCAGACGCGGCCTCGACGCTAGTGTGCCAGGTAAGGCACTAGAGATTCAAAAATTCCCCCCGGAATGCCTAGCGACTTATGAAAGGGGAGGCGGAATATGTTAGGAATGATACAGTTATGTGTGAGAGAAGTGTGGGTTCAAAGAGACCTGGGGGAGCCTAGGCAGCCTTGAGTTAGGTACCTGGTTACTCGACAGCTGCTCGACAACTTTTACTACCTACAATACAAACAAGCATTGGTAAGCCTATGACTTTTTGGACTTTGAATCCCTGTCTCGAAGAAAAAACACGGCTACTTAGTGACCCTTCACTTGAGAGGATTTTTTTTTCTTTTTTTTTTCTTTTTCCCTAGGATGATATAGTTTAATGTACCTATGATGTGTGATGTATGTCATCCTTTCCCTTTTCATCTTATTTTTCTTTTTCTTTTACTCTCTTTTTATTCCCAGTATGGCTACAACTACCTCTCGGTATAGGTGCCTACCTTAGGTACAAACATACATTCCTACCTAGGTACATATTATGTACTATCTAGGTATGCACTTCGAGCAGTTAAAATCCAGAAATGGTGTTTAAATGGCTAATACGACGCAGATGGTGAAACATAACTCAAGTTGGAACCATTTCAATTTTTTCTTTCCCTAACCCACACGAGCTCGCCACGCACCCAATCAATCAATATTTGCCAAAAGAGCTTGTTTAAGACGGACCTGTGGGTACAGATAAGGTACCCTCGTGAACGGTGAATAAATCAGATGAATCAGAAGGCTCTGTGGAACCGTTTCCGTTCTAGACGGCTTGTAAGTTGTAAGTTGTCAGGCAGGTTTGGTGGCATGTGGGTTGAGCCAAAGGCCAAGGAATGGGGCCCCCGTCGCTCTGCCTCCGTAGACTTGTTTTACATTGATGCTTAGCAACCCGCCTATCCGAAGCATCATCTCTCGATCGTGATTGGATCCCGCGAGATTGATCAAACTCTACCTAGGCAGCATCTAGTGTATAAGAAGAAAAGGTATACATACGTTCGTTCTATACGTCAACACCAACAAGTTGGTTGATTTACACAAGACTATCGAAATATGATGATACTACACTACATCAACTCTCGGCTCGAACGGTTCGGTTTTATCATTCGTCCAATCGCGTGGCACAAGTCGCCGAAGTTGCCATTAGCACGGGAGAGAAGAGGAGGATATGATTTGCGTCTATCGATTTCCCTTTTGCTTATCCAGTCAATCCCGCTCGTCGAAAATGTTGCCGCATGGTCCACTTCGTCGCACACCAGCGCAACGTCAATTTTCAGGTGAATTCAGGTGAAGCTACTCTAGACATGGGTCCTTGCATTTGGTTGGGCGTTATGCCTTTTCCGTTCAAGACAAGGATCACCACGGCCGCAACAAACTTGTTCGGTTTTTTCTCAATCCTTCATCTCGCTTTTTAGTATTTTCTTGTCTTTCTTCTTATCCTGTCCACTGCCTACCTACCTACCTCCTAAGCATCTACTATGTAGTAGATCGGACGAAGATTGCCTTCTACTACTACTACTACTACTACTATAACACTACTATAGCACTTGACCCGAACAAGACACCGTCCCGTTGGAAGCTTTTTCTCCTGCCTTAGCGCTGCCACTTGCATATGTAAGGTTGGTATGTAATAGCGTATACGATGTCTAGTATATGGAAGTATCTACTGTCTAATACCTTTCACTATCTCATTCCATCTTATCCCGTTCCATCCCGTAGGTACCTATCTAACGTAGTCCCATTAGCTTCCCTTTTTCTTAAAATGTGCAAATTTCAGAAAGAGTATCATCCATCATCAATACTTCACCATAATCTTTTTAAGTGATATCAAGTATACCAACCATCACCACCATTACCACCACCACCAACCACCCGTCCATGTACGCACATCGAGATATATGCAAGTAAGTCGCCCGTAGCGGTAATAATATCTAGATCTATTATACCTCTTTTTGAAATTTTCCGTACGTTTCAGTTTAGACTCTGACGCAAAGGAACTGAGGGAACAGACTGCGGGATTGCGGCCAGGGGTGCCGTGTCCTCGGCACGTCAAATCCCCAAGGTGGTGGTGGCCCGTGAAACGGTATTAACTTAGATGGTAGTAACTACTACGACCTAGCCTTAACTACCTACCTTTCTTTTCCTCATTTTACTAGTTACGTTAGGTTAGGTACTTGTTATTTATCACTTAAGGCCTAGGTATTCTAATATTGTATAGCGGATCGCCGCCATGGGCATGGGTGCAGAGGAGCTCTCGTGTCGGTAGGCGTACAATGTATTGTACATAGCAGATCCCCGTACACGTAGCGTATGAGGAGGGGTGGAGGAGGGGTCTGTCTGAAATCCCCTGCTGATCGGTTTGTGAATCGTGATTTCATTAGAGTATCCAGTGCGGTGCAATAGGGCAGGAGTCCCCCCTGTCAGGCAACGAGCAGTTCCCCGTCCGTAAGTTTGTCAATCCGATCAGCAGCATCTTCGTCATCGCCAAGTCCAAGCGCCTAGTTGTTATTATGTTTGTATGTATGTATGTATATGATGTGGATGATAACACGATGGGAATTACGAGAAGCAAGAAAACGCTGGGTCGTCCAATTATCCAGTACCGAATAACTGACGTCTACATGCTGCTACTCACTTGCTCTCGCTCTCTCTCACATAAACTGTATGGAATTTATAAAGGGATGAATTGCCGATGGGCGCTGCACACGACATGACTCCAAGGTGTTGTCAGCGCCTAACAAGTTGAAACGCAAACCCTTGGCTCTTGTCCAATCCGAAGATCAGGTGCCTCGTGCCATAATAGTATTTCATGTTATTCATCCCCCTTACGTTCCGTCAAAGCTATATTACGAAAGCTGCTGTCTCAGATTTTTTACGATTCGACTTGATTCGAGAAATGAGATCTTATCAACTTGGATGCTATTGACATCAGGTAGCATTGTAGTGTACGTATAATACATATCCGTATCGTGTTTGATGCACAGTACCCTCCTTGATACATTATCACATTACTTTAGGTAGATTATCATATGGAAAGTATTGCGCATTCCTCTTCTCATCAAGACATGGTAGTGAAAATTCGATGCGACATCGCTAAGTTTCAACAGAGGTATGTAGTATACGTCAAGGAGATTCGTGGGGGCGATAGAGAGAATCCCACGTTTCTTAGAAATGTAAATGCCAATGCGTACCTCGCATAGCAATAAGTCAGTAATATAGGATTATTCATGCATCTACATTTATCAATCAGCATCGTATATTTTAAGCAACAGGAGTGCTACCGGTTCTCTGCTCTATCGGGTATGGGTCCGATGCAATTTGCCGCGCGGCAACGGGAGACCTCGAAATAAATATAACATCAATCCAAGGTATAATACCTACCTTATTCAACGTCTATCCATCTATTTTATACCTACCTACCTACCTAGGTATATAGACTTGCCTCAAAACTCGTATTGGTAAGTGGAAAAGAAAAATCATTATATTTTCGTATCATTATTATTAATGTTATCATTATGAGAACGTCATCGTAAACAGCCAAAACGAAGATACACCCGCGCCGCAGAGTACCAGACACTGCGCCCATAAGGCCTCAAACGATATCTTGAAGCGCAAACAAGGCGCTTGCCCCCTTTTTTCCCCTCCCCTCTCCCACACAGCCACGATGCACGAATACTAGGTATGTACATACACTACACACGCACACGCGCGCACGCACATGGATACCACAGGATAATGCTCGTCGGTTAAATTAATGAGCAAAATATTGAAGAATGCCATGCGGATCCACTACTCGCGGTCCTTTCCGCATCGCCCTTCTAGAAAGACCACACACACACAACCCAAAAAATAGTAACGGGATCTCTCTCAGCTGAGGGAGACTGTGGACGAGGCGAGCGCACTTCCATCGTCGTATATTAATAGCCTCCTCCTCGACGGAGTGTACAGAATACGTAAGTACCTAATGCGGCGCTTTTGTTTATCCTCCTTCTCCTCAGCCTCCCCCCCAAACCCGTGTACATGAATACGTAGTCCCTCCGCGAGCGGTAGTCCAGATAGAGTGTTTTCGATCCTCGAATCCCCAGTGCCGAGGAGCTGAAACGGGAGCGCAAATCTCCCAGTTGATGTCATCGCGGGAGAAGATGTTGGGGGGGAAGGGAGAAAGGGGTACCTAGGTGTGAAACCACGGCAGCGCCACGAGGCTGTCGTGTAATATGCTTATTTATGCCGCAGCGGGTAGATAGATGATGGGTCGCTGTTTGATGTCGGATGCTCCAGAGATGTTCAATCAAGCTTACTAAAAAGGGTACAGTACCTCACGAGAATGGACAACCTTACTTTGATGCCTACCTAAGGTAGATAACTTCCGTCCGATATGCACGTCAGGTTTATAATCCAATCCAGGAGCTCAGACTGAGGTAACTGGCTCCCAACCAAGCAACGTATCGACGACCCGACCTCAGCGTACCTGAATAGGGGTAATCCAATCCCCCTTTTCCCTACCTATCAGCCAAGCCAAGCGTTCCACAGACGTCGTCTCCGAGTTAGGTATCACCTCGTCTTCAGCAACACGGGCCTTACGCTACCTACCAGGTACCTATCGACAATGGAAGTACGATTCAGGCAGACCAATAAATAACTACATGTCTCAGCTTTACCTACCTAACCTACCTACCTACCTACCTTCCATCTATCCCACGTGGTACCTCGTACTTAGTTAGTACTTACTTAAACGACCGCAGACGCGGACAGCGGACAGCAGCCGCGCCGAGCCCAATTCGTCCACGCTCGACCACGACACGACACGACCTGACTCGACACGACACACACACACCCAGGAACCCGGGAAGGCGTCGACGGATACGAGCTCGTGCGACGTGGACAAGAGAAAAAACGAGCTGGGAAAGGATTCCCAGCTCAATGCCCATCTAACTACCTAACCTACCAAATCTACACAATACGCCCAACCCTACCCGATGCCTGTACGCTAGGTAGCTAAGTTTCGGACGGACAAATACATATAGGTAGGTAGGTAGTAGCTACCTAACTACCAATCCCCGGACCCAGAGCGCGTACGGAGTTTATTGTACGTAACCTTGCCGCTCGAGAAGCAGTCAACCGAAATACCCAATATATAAGCAGGGTAAGGTACCTAACCTAGGCAGGTAGGGTAGGTAAGCAAATTGGCCAAGTTATATAGACCAGCAGCGGTATAAATGAACAACGAAGATGAATAGCTAAATCAATTAATCAATCAATAAATATATGTGCGCTCGGTGCTCACCCGACGCCAGATCGCGTAGCACCCACAATCGTGGGCAACACGAGCTCGTGACCGGGAGCAATATATTTTGTACGAGTTTTCTTCTTCGTATGACTTATAGGAGGTAGGGATATCTACGTCAGGGTAGGTAGGTAGGAAGAGAATGCAGTTGCACACAACGTAATCCACACCGGCCAAAATACTTTCTAAAGTAAAGCTCGTCGTGCCGCGGAAGCAAGATGAATTGGAATAAAAAAAAAGTTGCCACTGACGATGCGAGAGTATAATGCTATGCAAATGCTAAAATCCCCATAATCAAGCCAGTATCATCGTCCCCATACCCCTAACCCCGTCAGACGGGGAAGAAGCAACAGAAAAAAAAGAAGTCCCGTCGCTAGTAAGGACCTATCCAATGCGCCCGTGATGCTTTTCTTATTTCTTTTTCGGTTGCCCGTGAGTCTTTCTCTCCTCTCAGCAATCTAAACCGTTCTAGTCAAACCTGGCTTAAGTGTATATCTTGTATGTACCTCTAATTTCTATCATATCTTAATCCCAATCCGCTTGGCAGTAGCCAAAAAGGGGTTAGGTTTGTCTCTCTAGCCCAAGTCCGATTCCCTTCCGGCGGCCCCTTATCACCGCCAGCAGAGCTTTTCCTACGGCATCCATATCACCTAGCATGGTAATGTGACCTCTGTCAGTGCTAACCTGACCATCTCGCACAAGTTCATACCCCTCGGGAAGCATAGCCTCGCGAGCAAGTACGACACCGTCGCCGCTACGGAAGACAAGATCGTCGTACGCATCTGCGCATGCGATGGCCTCGCGCGATGTGACGCTAGCCGCCCACACGGTTGGTACTTCCTTGCCATAGATAACTGCTAGGGGTGGGTACGCGTTAGCTGCCGTATGCTCCGGCCGGTGTTGTGTCTCGGCTCTGAACCGCTTGATCTCGGCCAGCGTTCGGGTCAGGTACGCAAGGTTGCGGCTGCGCGTCCCAGCATCGTGGTCAGGGGTTTTCTGCTGCTGCTGGTGTGCTGTGCTCGAGTCTCCGTGCAGGGTTCCCATCTGCGGTGCTAGGGTCCTGTCATTAGAGACCTCAACTTTCCGTATCGCTTCAGCCACTAGATTCCGCGTTGGCGATCGGGATTCACTAGCTGCACTATTTCCCCGACTCCTTAGTTGTGTCGGAAGTCTTTCGGAGAGCTCTCTCAGTGAGCTGAGTGCGCCGGAACGAGACTTATAAGAAGGTAAAGCCGGCTCGATACACGGACTTAAGCTGTATTTAATCCATTGCTGGGGGTCGTAGAAATCAACTGGATACTGCTCGCCGGTGTATTTGTTGATAAAGCAGAAGCCGTCTTCCGGTAAGAAAACAAAGGTTGTCCTTAACGAGAAGTTAACCTGGGCTGTCAAGACCTTCTCATTGAAGAGCACAGCATCGCCATTGCGGAGCGGTCCTAAGATATTTATACATCGTTGTGGAGTCCCCGCAAATATTACCCCGGAGAATAGATCAGGTCGTTGGTTTACGGCGTGGCGAGTGATAAGTCCTCCAAGACTGTGTGCGATGACTAGTGCCCCTTTACCTTCAGAGCTACCAGACCCCTGATTCGAAGGTAGCTGTTCAAGAAAGGCAATCAATTTGCGCGAAAGTAAGTGAGGACTTAAACGCCAGTCCCAGCCGTAATCCCACACCCTGAGCTTCCCCGTTCTAGCATTTTCGCATTCCCTTAACCTTTTAAATAAGCGCTTCGAGATATCAACCGGCCCTATATTTTTAAGCATGCCAGAGGCGTATATTGTCTCTTCCATTCTCTCCTCGTCTTCGGGATCCAGGCCAACTTCTAAGTTAACTTTTCGTATGTTCAGCCCGACCTTCACAGGTACCCAGACCTGACGGTTAGTTCTGGTAGACCTCAAGATAGAACCGCGGTATCCACCCATGATGACAATGTCGCCAGTCAGCAATTCCAAAGCACGATCCATATCTGATAGATTCGTGTCGCTATTGTTTGACAGTCCGAACTCAAAGATGGTGGAAGTCCGGGCGGTCCCTGTTAAAGACGAGTCCGACTGATCGAACCACAGGCCTGAGTTCCTCTTGAGTGGAGCCGGAATAATATTTGGAAACTGTGGTAGTTTAAACATAGGCACATCCAAGCTATCGGTTATGGCTTTGAGCCTACTATTCTTCTGCTCTCTAATATCGTTCCATCTATCATCGTCACCTAGGGATGACATCCTAGATAGAGAATGATAGAGTATCGATTCGTCAGAAGTCGTCCGCCGTATTGTCCGCGGTCGAGATGGTGTGGGACCTTGAGTAGTACGGGTAGGCAGACCCATAAGTGACTGCCTATTATCCAACGGGGCTACGGTCCTAGGAGTTGGGACAGGAGTTTCCATGGATATGAGTCTCCCTGTCCTTGGTGCACTGTCGTTGGGAGAAGCACTTTTCTTCGCATCTAGCCTTGCGCTCTTCGCCGAGGAGGGCCCCGAAAAGAAGGAAGGTAGAGAAATGGATGTCATCGACACAGATGGCATGGATGGTAAAGCCCCCCGTATCCTCTTTAGTGCATCTGCCCCCCCGGACGAAGAACGATTGTGATGGCTATTATTTTGACCAAACACAGCAGATAGAGCTGGCTTTGAACTAGGTTCATTCTGCACAACCATCTGCTTTGGCCCCGATTGCCATGGCGATGGGAACCTGTACGAGGATGAGGGGCTCAAAGGAAGCTGACCTAGGGAATGACCTCTATTTTGACGCGTTTGGGTCCTTGTACCAGTCGCTTGATAAGCCGTCCTAGTCGAACCCATTGCCGACGGAGAGAGACTTTCCGGTTCACTAGTGATCGGTCCTTCGACAACACTAAACAAACCTCCACCGGGCAAACTCTCCAGTGCAGCCACTTTCTCTGCTGCGGGAGTCTTGGGAAGGGTAAGCCTTGTCGCCGCAGGACTTAAAGCCGGCTGTATCATGGATTGAGCATCATCTTGATTGATATACAGCGGCTCTTCATCTGCTGCACCATCAGACGACGGCGATGCTTCTCCGTCCGAAACTACTAGGTTAGTCGGATCTAATGTACCCCGAAGGGGCGAGGCCCGAGGTTGGCGTGTAAGTGTACTCGCCATGTTTTTTTTCTTTTTTTTTTTTAAATCAAGTACGGTACCTTTACCTAAGGTGTTAGGTGTTATTGAGTGTAAGCGTAAGACTTCATGAGAAGTATAATTGAATGAATTATCATTATCCAACTAGACTTTGAGGATGGAAAACCTGTCAGGAGTGCATTTGAGAAGCAGCTATAATCCACAGAACAAGTAATGTCGCATTTCCGGAACCACCGGGGATGCAATTATTGAATGCTCCTAAACGGAAATGAATTATTTTAAGTAGTTGAGCTTGCGACTCGGGAGCCAACGACGGAGAATGATCCACACTAAACGGGGTTGGTGAAATATAGCACTATTGGAAGATTTGCGCATGACTCGGGAGTGGATTCGTCGGGCTTTTAGGTCCTTTTCTTTGTTAGAATCGGGAAGGCCTGGACTTTGTTTATTAACGATATGTTTATTAACGATACTCCTTTTAAACGTCGGGTAGCACAGCACAATGGACTTGAGCTTAAACTTGGAATTGAAGAATGCTTCCACAATACAGAGGTAGCGAACTGAAACAACATTGAATGATAGGTATTAAAATCTGGGGTTCAAAAAGTGACGGGTCCAATGAACTTTACGTAATATCTGTCACTACATATGCAAAGTCGGCACTAATATCAATGGATCTTAGCGGGAGAAGCATTTACTATGTACGCACGTCCTACCTGCCTCTATTATACCTCAAGTAAGTATTATTATCTTATTATGCTCTAGTAGCTTGGTAACACAGCGCTGCCACGTACCTAGCTCTTACCTAGGTAGGTACTTACCTGTATGTACAGGCATGAACTCCTTCATGACACGTACTTTCCCATCGCAAACATTGTTTCCGCTCGAACTAGGCCCCGCTTACGTCCCGACCTCCTCGATATCCAGTCGTGATTGCCCTGCAATTCAACAAAGGAATCCACGGGTAGCTGCGGGTTCGTCATAATGTTTCAATAGGCATCCATTTATATGTACCTTTAGAAGATAACGAAGGTGCGGCACTTATCTCAGATCATCGAGGGGCGGTGAGTAAGCTGATGGGCAAATATGACAGGCTGTTGAGAGGGATTCCTTAGACCTGATGCAATGCAACTGTACAATCACAATCTGAAATGCACAAAATACCTTATCCATCTCGTATAAATATACGTAAATTTTCGTATAATGCGTATTTCATTTCGTACAAGTTACCTACCTCCCTTACCCTTTAGCCTCATTATTACATATTGTGGGGAGATAGACTGTTGAACCCCCGGGCACAGCCGCCGGGAGCCGGATCGGTAGCGGTTCGTTGAGCGGTTATTGGCTGTTTCGGCGCAAAGCTGACGCAAATCCATCTCATCTTTTGAATCGTTATGAGATCGACATGGACATGGGCCGCTCAGCTGCGCGGTATGATTCGGTAATGCATTTTTTTTATGTATAAAGTTATGTACGGGAAGCAGAGATTGTGTACCCCCGTTCTCACCACTCAACAGGCGCATTACCTCCCTAGGTAACCATTATAATCGACCACTTAGAGTATTCCCGCCTAACATCGTGAAAAAAAAAAAAAACAAAAAAAAACGCGCATCTTGTAACTCGAGTGCTTCGAGTCTTGGGATGGGTCTGGACTGTCTGGCATATTATGGCTAGATTCCAGCAGGTTATAAAGACCCTCTAGTATACCTAACTCGATCGGACTTATGGCGTTTGGGTATACCAGCAATTCCCCTGTGGTATCGCATAGCCACCTAAGGTAACCATAAGAAAACCACACAAAGGAATCTAAGAGCGAGCGGTTAATAGCAGGATCTGAGACTCGACACGTCCCCAGGTACCTAGCATACCCGTGGTCCCAAACTCTATGAGCTTCTTTCCAAGGTCGGGAATAAAAGTCTTCTGCATGCGGACGGCGCCACATGGATCAGAATGGTATGCATTCCTCTAAGCCCAATGCACGTACAGCAAAGGATCCCATGAGAGCGAAGGCTTAATGTACACTTCTACCTGGCACATCATGTAGCCACGGCGTCCTAGAGACACTTAAGTTAATCCATGGTTGAAACTCGAAATTGTTCAATATCCAAGTTTTGGAGATCGGTAAATACCGCTTCCTTTCCAACTTGGTGAGTAATCTATATCAAGTCGAAGAGATTTAATCGCATATTTATCTCCGACCTGACAATACTTTTGGAAGATCCTTATCCAAAGTAATGATGTACATATGTAGGCTAGGAAAGTACGTATCGGAGAATAGAGCATGAATGGTGAAGAGTTCAATACGCTAGATGTTGCAACCGGTCGTTGAAAATGAAGCCTTCCGCCCCCCCCCCCCCCAGGCCGTCAACCACAGTAGCAAAATTTCCTCTGCCGTTAATTGAAACCTACACCTGTTCAATAGACTCACTATCAGGGACGAGTTATGTCTTGATTATCATAATTCATATATGTCAACAAGCTCTAGCTATAAAGACTCACGTTCAAGACCGAGTCCCTTACAATTCTTATGGAGATGGGTAGTTCTGTGCGCAGAAAATAAAGGTGTGGGGAAAGAAAAGACGCTACCAGACTTTATTCTTATATCGTGTCCAGTTGAGGATGGAGTGGCGTGATGCTTGCGGCAGGTTTCAGCTCCGTAGACATGCTTCGGGATGCATGTACCGAGTACACCTGATCGTCTTGCGTGAATACGTGTGGTACCGCATGATAAAGAAGAATATCTGTCCATATTCACATTTTCGAGGAGAATATGATGCCAAGGCTCGAGTCTATTTCTTTAATCTTCTGAACCGACCTCTTGTATCCGGGATGCGACTCAAGCCTCTCGATGTACGCGAACACCTTGGGGAACAGCGCCTTCGGACCGCCGCTCTCCCACGTCCCGAACGTCTCGAACTTGTCCTTAGCCGCGATCAGGCCGAAACTGATCAGGATATCGGCGGACGTAAATTCCGGACCGCACAGGTAGTCGCCGCCCGACGTCGCTATCTGCTGCTCCAAGAAGCCTAGCTGCGCCTTCGCGTTGGGCTGGACGAGGAGACTGAAGATCTGGTTGGCAACCATGGAGGTGACGGGGCGGATGAAGAAGGGGATTTTCGGCCCCCTAAGCGAGCCTAGGATCATCGCCAGAATAAGCATCGGCATCAGCGAACCCTCGACGTAGTGCAGTAGATACTGCCACCGCAGCCACTGCTCGGTTTCGCCGCCGATCTTGCCCTCCTGGCCATCCTTCCAGCGCTTCGGCATCAGGGTGGTTCCTTGGCTGAAGTGCTCGCTGAGATACTGGGTTATGAACCCGCTCTCGGCTAGAACGATCGGTTCCGAAGAACCCGGGGGCGTGATGGAGAGCACGGGTGATTTGCCCAGCGGGTGGATCTTCTTCAACTCCGGAGGAGCGAGCATGTTCACCCGACGGAATGTTTCGAGCTCATAAGGCACTTTGAGCTCTTCAAGGAGCCATAGGATATTTTGAGCACGGGATTCCTCGAGCCTGTTTGAATATGAGATTCGACTCATGATGCAATGAGAATAACAAGAAGAAAAACTTACCAGTAAAGCTTGATCTTAGGTTGCTCTTCGGTAGCCATGGTTGATAATACGTAGATGTAGTGAGTTAGAGAAATATTGAAAGAAATATTGAATTGAGCGTAGACAGAAGGTAACTAACAAGTTACTCTAGGTTGTAGATATATTTACTAGAAACAGGAAAGATGATGAGTTTTATGTGCTAGGTACAATTATTTTATCTTACCAGGGCCACCACAACTCCGAGTAGCTTCGGATTGAATATTGGATTTATAGTACTATGTAAGGTATTTACCTACCTATATAGGTCCTTATTAGCTTTATTACTCATCATACGAACCTTTGACCAAAAGTTGCCGAGGCATAATTATTTGGCACTAGGAGCATTGCGGACGGTAACACCGAAGCGTCATGAGTTTTTGCGAGTACCTACCTCTAGGTACCTATGGGCCTCCAATTAGTAACACAGCTACGTCAGTGTTTAATGGAGTAGATCTTACACAGTACTAGTGCTGTCTGCGTAAACTCGACTACGCATCCTTAAAGGGGTGCTGCGCTTTAAAATACTATGTAAAAGCCTTACGTTTTAAATGGCTAGAATGAAAGTGGCAAGGATAAATATCCCCTCAGCATCGGTCGCGTATATATATTAACCTCACGCAAATACACCGGTTAAGCTATTCGAATCGAAAGCCAGTACGAGGACTATAGGTAGGTACCTATTGGTTATACGTCTATAGGCCTGCATATTTTAATTCTGCAAGCTAGTTTCGACGAAGGGGTTTTTTTTTTTTTTTTTGAGCAGTCATATTCTGACCGGTGAAATAGTACACAGTCCTAGAATCATGCGCGTACCTACTTGGATCCGTGCTCCCAGGCTCCCAGGCTCCCACGCCTTTGCTTTTTCTCGCATACTAGTCACCATGAAGCTCACATCTCGTCAAGTACAAGAATCGTCAGATTCCTCCATGTCTGAGTCTTATCTACTAACATATTCGCCAAATACAAGCCCGAAAGACAAACTACCCACTAGTTCGAGGAAGTGATTACAGGATATACTGCCTGATACGGATTACTTTCCTCGAAAAAGGTCTAAATCCCTTCGAGAAGAAAATCCATCAGCACCCCAAGATATCTCCAGCTCACTTCTCACACCGCAAAATGGCAAATACTCACCAAAAAACCAGCTCTTCAGTGGCAGCCAACTCTTCAGTAATAACCAACTGTCCAACGATATCTGACCTTACAATACAAAATTGGCTTGATACTCTTGAGGAAGCAGACGTGCTAGAGAGAGAAGAAACCTATTCCTATTCCGACATGCCTCCAAACAGCGTACCTGTCGAATCGGAAATTGGTATATCTTCCCAAGTGACATGGCTGAATTCACCGGGGTTTCGACAGCAGACGCTCCGTGAGAATTCGATGAAGTTACTGTACGATGACGATCCTATCCCAGAATGGGTACAAAGTCATATCAACAAGATCAACTCATACCCAACTTCCATTTCAGGATACTGTTCACAGCCATACAAACAAGGCGATGTTCGAAAACTCGTACAATAACTTATTGTATCTACAAGACCGCGACGATAAATGGACCCTGAAGCCTGAGGAAAACCGAGAGCTAATATCTCATGTGATGAAAACGGGTTTCCAAGAGCGTAGCCTACCTCCTATAATGGCCGAACCCGAAAATACACTTCACAACCCCCAACCCGATCTACTCTATGGATACAGCAGTTGGGACTCTCTTCCTAAAGTAAAAGGCAAAAACTACATACAATTTGCTCCTACAACTTTAAACACCATCATATTTCCATATTTGGCTATGGAATTCAAAGGCCATTTAGGCAGCATATATCAGGCAGAGAACCACGCTTTTGTTGAAGGTCGCATCTGCCTCGACACAACTTGGCCTTGTCTGGGGGATCAGGATTTTATCATCGTTATTGCTGCCAGCCCCAATACATGTCGCATATGGGGTATGTGGCGGACAGTAGAAAAGGAGACACCCGATCATGAGGAAGCCCCAGTATATTATATGAAATGTATCACTAGTTTCGATCCGCAATTTTTCGACATGGCAAAAGAGCTCCGAAACTACATATTCCGAATCCAACGTTGGGCCCGGGAGGATAGATTTCCTCGCATTGTGAAAGGCATCGAGGAATGGGAAGCTAAAGGCCGACCTCCACACCGGTTTACTCCCGTAGGGCGTTGAGATGTAAGACCGGGCTACCTATGCTGCCTAATGTTACTGCTTGCCTAAGTAAGATTCGGAATAAATATAAGAATATGTATAACTAATTCCTAATGTTGAAGTAACTTACTATGTAGGTAGTTAATCGCTTTTCTAAAATAGTACAAGGCAATAGCATAATACCTCTATAGTAAACTTGGTACGCATTTGCACGGTAAAATACAGGTGATTATAGTGGACTTAGTATATATTTGTATAATACGTTTAATGTGAAAATGTGCGATATAATATAAGAATATTTGCATTTATAAAATCAAACGAACAAAACGTATTATTATAAACAATGATATGTATATATCCTGAGATACAGTATATTTGTTGCGCCACAGTGAGGCTGATAATGAAAAGGTCCCCACGTCGCAAGCTCAACCCATCCAAGACGTGATGTCAAGAGCGAATTGAAGCTACGATCAATCTATCTCAAGATAAGATCTCCCGAGAACAACCACCTAAATATCTACCAATCCAGCGTCCGGCTACTGCCTACCTCTGACAAGATGGCTGGCCTAGAGCACTACCGTGCGTATACTATATCCCTGCGAGTTCAATTGAAATACTACTCGCGGCAACAAGCAAGCAAGGAAGAAAGCTAACATTGAAATACCAGACATGGCGATGGACCCGGGCATCCAGAAGCTGGGGCGTACGTCTACCCATTCCTCTCCCTCCTCCTCCATTTTTTCTTGCTCTCCCCCCTCCCCCTAGGATACCACGAAGAATCCATGGCGCAGCAAGGAAGAAAGCGCGCAAGCCCGTCGAGGAGGGAAAAAGAGAAGGACAGACAGGCCACGGCTGCTGAGCTGAGCTGAGCTGACCCCGATTCCCCGCAGAAATGAACACGAACCGCCACAAGTACTTCCGATGGACCCCGCGAACCGCCCGCATCACCTTCATGTACATGGTCGTCGTACCCACCGTCCTGGGCGTCATCGCCTACAAGACAGATGTGAGTTGCTCTAACCCTGCTCGGCCAGAAACCAATCTAGGAAAACACACACACCAGGTTATGAAGATCGCTGACTGTGGCGGCTACGATACGGATATAGGGGAAATGGGATTTCCGAGCGAAGAGGAAGGGAGACTTGGTCAGCGAATACTGAGAGGCGAATTGGTACGGGAAGGAGCCGGGACGACTGTATATAGGTTTGGGCGAACTACCGCAGTTGAAAACAGAGCTTTTATGAAACAGTATCTTCTGGTATTTCTACAGTTCGAGAGCTCGATATTGTGGGTGTTTGAGCTTGAAAGTAACGTCGAGATAATTCTGGAATCTGACGTTGCCGTATACTCTCTAGTGGAGATTCCCAACAGTGATAGGATAATACGTGGAGGAGTTACTCTTAGAAGAGGACACTGATGTGAGGTACCTTACGTTAGGTAGTTTCTCGACAACAAGCACGACTTCAAAATAAGAGACACTTTCAAACGCAAACCAATCAAACTGCTATGTACTAATATATGCTATTAGCTACCTAGACGAGATACCTAGCAATCGCAAACCAAACTTTTCAATAGATATGTTTCCCCCTTGAATGCCCGTTCCCTTTCCCATCTATAGCCCGAAAATGCACACACGCACGCCGTAAATAACCCCATGAAGCGGAATAATTTTAACTAGAAAGTTTTTTTTCCCCTTTTTAATTTTTTCTTTTTTAAAAAAAGGGGGTATCTGTAATCGACTTGGTTGCTGCTGAATACTCGAAGAGCATTCGGGTATCACTTTGCGCCCGCCAAGAGATAGAGACACAGAGAGAGCCAAGGCGGGACGACCTGCTTCGCATGCCAAGCCAGTAGTAGGTAGTAGTAATATACTCACGAGACTAGATGGCGATGGGCAAGAACTGTTAGTGGACGGTGCCGAGCTTGGAACAACCCACTTTGCTATCGACCACACTTTCCAAAAAAGAAAGACACTTGCCGCCTATGGCCGGGGCCACTCCTATCTTATGTCCGTCTTGGACCCCTGGCACGCCCCGCAGGGGACGGCTCAGGTAATCGCTCCCCTCTCCTCCACTCGCCCATGGGTATGCTACCACGACTTCCAGGCCCGTCGTACCCCCTCCCGTTATTTCTTATTCTCCCAGGGCCGGGGCGGTCGCCCCCGTTCTCCTGCTGTCTTCTGCCGAAGGAGCCGCTGGAGGTACGGCCTATCGTAGACCTAGGCTCGCCGGGACCGCCACCGGGACCGCCACGGCTGACCCTGGCGCTGGAAATAGGGGCGACGGAGCCGTCCGGGAGGGGAGGGAGGATGGCGCAGGATATGAAGTCGCCGACGACGAACTTGGCGTCCTTGAGGGTCTTGTCCCCCTCGGACTCGATCGTCTTCTCGGCCTCGGGGTCGTTGGGGTCCAACCCCTTCCCCCCGTTGCCCACTACCACGCTACCTAGGTCTTTCACCGCGTACTTGGCCGACGTGGGGCCCGAGGTGCTCCGGGTGTCGGGGAAGATGAGGCGGAAAGCGAAGCGGGTGCCGATGGCTGGGTTAGGGACGAGGGACGGCTTCAGGGCGGCAATTATGTAGGTGAGCTCTGTTAAGGTGCAGTCGGGCCATGTGTATATCGGCAAATGCGGCGGGAGTTGTGAGGTATCGAATTCGTCGGGCCTGGGGACGTTCGTATATGAGCAACTCAGATGATTTCTCCCCCCTTTTTTCATTTATTTTCGGAGTATCGCAGGGGAAAACCCCCCCATGATGGGGTCTACTCACCTGTGAAACGCGCCGGTTCGATAAAAGAGCCGTAGCATAAATGGTGGTGTCGTGTGACGATTCATTGTGAGGTATCACTTCCCCCCAGGTGGTACCTTTTCAAGGAAACACTTTGTTGAGACTCAAAGCATATTGTTGCTGCTGCCGTACTTATAGGAAAAGTTGACTTATAGAGGTTATAGAGGTACGGCTTTCTGGGGGAACGAAATTGGTAGAAGAAAGTCGGGAGAAATTGAAGCGGCACGGATAGAAGGTAGATTAGAATATAGAAAAATACGGAAATTTTAACTTTGGGGTAAAATAAGTGACGAGGCTACGAACAATCGGGTTCGATTATATGAAGCAAAGCAAACAAACGCGGGAGCTCGAAAAGCTTCGCTGATAAGATTCTAGGTACAGGTAGGTTAGGTATGAGGTATGTAGGTGGTGCAGGGAATTGGGGGTTAATATGGCTGTTATATGACGGTAAAAGAAGTGCTAGAAATGTTTAAATACTACGATTTACCTCCTAAACCTTTAGAAGCCCCCACCTACCCCGGGCAGTTTAGCGGCTCTTTATGATGTAACTTGGGTAGACCGCAGCGTAGCGTGCAGGTGTGTTCCTGCTACCTAGCCGCCTAGGTAGGTAAGGCAGGTAGGTACAATAGACGGTGGCCGTCTTTCCCACTAAAATCTCGCCAACCTCCTTAGTAGATTGACTCCTATTGGACATTTCCAGAAAACAATAATTGAACCCTGCGACCTTTTCGTCCACCCCAAATGCCGCCTAGCGATCGCCATTCCATCCAACAATTATATCCGCCACGACTTTTCCTTGGGACCACGTAGCTGGGACCTCCACTCATCTTCGCATCACAATCGTATTCTACCAGCCACTTCGGTGGGTTTCTTTTTCTTTTTCTTCTTTTTTTCTGCAACCTCTCGCCAGAGCAACCACCCGCGCCCCCCCAAACGCAAATATGGATTTCGCATCCCTGATGTCGAAAGAGCTCGCCAAGGCGACGGGAACGACGACATCTTCATCTCCCAGCGACCCTTCCGTCTCCTCCTCCAACAACAGCAACAACACAAGTAATAATAATAATAATAGTAGTAGTAGTAGTAACAACAAGAAATACATACGCCGCGCCGAAGTCGAAGCCCAACGCGAAGCCGCGTACCGGGCCGAGCAAAAAGCCCTCGAGGAGAAGCGCGCGGCGAAAGCGGCGGAGAAGCGCAAGCGCGAGGAGGAGGCGGCCGAGGAGGCGCGGGCGCGGGAGGACAAGCGGCGGAAGCTCGAGGAGGAGACGCGGCGGCGGCGGGAGGAGCAGGCGGCGGAAGAAGAGCGGCGGCGACGGAAACGTCTCGGGCTGCCGGAGCTGCCGAAGGGCGATGGCGGCAGCAACAGCAGCAGTCGGGAGGGAAGCGCGGGCGCAGAAGGCGAGGAGGACATCCCGGAGGAGCAGCTGGTCGCGAAGCTGCGCGAGCTGGGCGAGCCCGCGACGCTGTTCGGCGAGACGCACCGCGTGAAGCTGCGGCGGTACCGGCGGCTGACGACGGTTGTGACGGCGGGGCCGATCCCCACGACGCTGCGGCTGGTGGAGGAGAAGGACATGAAGGTGGACGGGACGATACCGCAGGACAAGGCCGGGCGGCAGTACCTGTTCCGGCAGCTGACGTCGTACTTCACGATGGTGCTGCGGGAGTGGGAGGCGGCGCTCGCGCGGGAGGAGAACCGCGACACGTTCGCCGGCAAGGCGGCCGTCAACGCCATGGTGTCGAGCCGCGACAACATGGTGCCGCTGTTCCGCAAGTTCGAGAAGGGCGAGCTGGAGGACGACATCCTAAAGCCCGTCGTCGAGATCGTCCAGGCCGCCCAGGAGCGCCGGTACGTCGATGCTAACGACGGGTATCTGCGTCTGAGTATCGGTAAGGCGGCGTGGCCTATCGGTGTTACCATGGTGGGTATCCACGAGCGAAGCGCGCGTGAGAAATTACACAATGGTGAGCGGGGACACATTATGAGCGACGAGGTGACCCGGAAATACTTGCAGAGCATCAAACGGTGTCTGACGTTCGCGCAAGTACGCTGGCCTCCTGAAGACATTAGGCAGCTAATGGGATAATATGTGGAAATAGTACTCCATTAATTCATTTCTCGACTATCTCATCATAGGGTATTCGCGAATCTCATACTGTTGAACGACATAACATGCCATGCAGACATACCCCTAGAACCATCCTGTAAAAAAGGAAAAAGAAAAAAAAAAAGACTGCAACGCAACGTCCGTGACGCCTGTATCCTAGCAACTCCTCACTATGCTCCGTGTGCCTATGTATATGGCTGCTTTTCCGCAGTAACAACCAGGCTTGTTCCTGACTACCTCTTAATCCATCTCCTTATTTTATCTAAGTCCCAAATAGGTACTTCATTCACATTCTAATCGTGGGATCCAATGCCTGGAATAATTCGGATTAGCTCTCATATAGTAAAGCGTTGTTGTCTTATTTCCAGCAAAGTGATCCCACTTAAAATAATACGTCGCCGGATGTCGGCTGTTTTCTATTCTCGTCCATCCAGACGTCGCCTACGCCGGGGACATTGCCGGCTCCTCCGCCAACAATCTTCTTAATGTTCTTAACCTCTAAGTCAGCCGCTGCGATGTTCATGCGACGAATTCTCTCCAGGACTTCCTTCTCATAATTCTTGGCCGAGTCCAGAGCTTTCTTCTGCATAACTGCTCGGGAGTTGGTTGAAGTGGCAACAAGGAGCTAAATTAATATATTAGTAGGTAATAGACCAGCTTCGACAGACGCATCTTGACTTACCCTGTCGATGGTATTTATGCGGGCATTTAGAGCACCCGTTCTAATCATGCTGACGAGTTCCGGCTCGATAGATTCCCCAGGTTTGGCAAATGCTGTATTCAAGCTGTCTAGGGTGACACACGAGAATGGTACGAAGTATTGGATGATGCATTTGCTGCGAATCTGGGAGAAGATGGCAGGAACGTGCGCCTGAAGATAGATATCGAGAAGGTAATCGTTTCGGTATGATTCGAGTATTCCCAGACAAGCCGAATATCGTCCGTTAACAAACAAGCTAACCGCCTTACGGATGTGCGGTTCTAGCTCCAGGAAATTCCTAAAGCTGGCGTTATCTAGAACTCGGGCCTGTAGCTCTTGTCGATCCATCGAAGCGAGCGCAAGAAGCCCACCGTATGTCGCGACGTCATTTGGGCTGGCAACGTCGTTATGTGCCTGACAGCCGGCGGGGTCACCAGCTTCAAGGAAGCTCTTAGCAGCTTCATAGTACCGGCCTTCCCCAAGTTGAGCTAGACCATAAATCATCTTCTGATAGGGCTGCTCAGGATTCTGCTCGCCGCTCCCTGGGCTTACGGCTAGAACCTTATTTGCATTTGCCAACACTGCAGCCCAGTCTCGCTTCTGTAGCAATATACTAATGATATGCTTGCCTACGTCTTGGATATGGGACTGGGTACTGGCATCTGGTCGCATCTTGATATACGTTTCGGAGGCTCCGTTTAGATCACCAATAGACTCTAGGTGTTCACCAAGGTCACGGTGGCCAATCTGAGTGGGTCAGTGTTAGTTATTCCAAGTTCCTTTGTTCTTGATTTAGGAGTAGATTCATACCCTAATACTCTCTTTGACCAAATTGTTTTTATACCCCTTAAGCTCGGATTCAAGCCGATGAGTTTCTGTCTTGTTGGCTTTCTCTGTTGCTGTGACCCAGGCTTCGTCCCATTTAGCCTCAGGCTCATCAGGTGCGGCGACACGAATACATTCAAAGGCATCACGGTATCGCTGGACATCTTTTCCACGCTTGGCTTCGGCTACGGCGGCTTTGAGGGCGTCGACGCATAGAGGAACGGAACATTGTCCGATTAGCAATAGTCGCTCGAAACGGGTACGGCCTAATAAAGAAGGGTAAGCATTTATTGCCATAGGTTTCAAAGCAGGTGTTTTGACAATGGTAGTAGAGTACCTGATCACGAACCTTTGTAATTAGAAATGTATAGATCAAGGTCTAACTTAGGAGCATCTAGAACATGTTAGCTTCTCGGTAACTTGTAGAGTAACTTGTAGAAGAATCTGTTGGAAAATTGCTTGATACCTCTAACAATAATACCGCCCTGGTTATCCATGGCGGTAAAGTAGTTAAGGATGTGCTGGTCGGCTGCCATGATGCCAGCACTCGAGATCAGTGTGTATGATCTATGATCAATTAATACCTTATAGCTTCGCTATGATTTGGCGAATAGAACTATTATAAAACGAGGATATCGAAGATTCGCGGATTTTTAGTTCGTTTACCTAATTTTCCGTTGAATGGTCTTGTTGAATGGTTGTATTGTAAAGGAAAGAAAAAAAGAATGTGTATCAAGGCTGTGAACGGAAGGTTGAGGCTGCTGCTGCTACAATATTGTTTGGGTCGGCTTTGGCTTGTTTTGGCGGGGTAGCTACCTCTTCACTTACGTTGGAGCAATTACCTACCTGTACCTTATCTCCCTCCATTGGACCTTTATTCAGGTACACAGCTACCTACCGGTAACGTGCCCAGCTAACATGGGGCGTAAGGCTTAAGTGGGGTCTCTCAGCACTAGAGCAGACTAACCCGGACTGACCTAGTAGGGGGTGCATGCTATTAATTTTGGTAAGCACCTCGTCAGCCCGTTTGTTAAAGTTCGCAAGCCTCAGTCAATCATGGAGGTCTTGAACGGTTAGACGTGCGAGTGTAAATCGCATACCTTTTTATTATAATTGAGAAGGTTTTCATAATTAAGAACAATACCTACCTAGGTACTTATCTCCTTTTTTTTAATGCTGAAGAAAATACCTATTTAAATTTATTCATATCGGTAATGTACAATACAGCCTCGGACATAGGGCGGCTTCACGGCATGTTAGGATAGGCCAAGCAAGGAGGCTAAAGTGGGTAGCAGACCGAATGATGAAAACGGCTGACGCTCAGTCACCTAGGTTAATAAATATTTTCAGGTGGGAAAGATGGTTGATAAGTAGATCGACGGAGAAGCCGGGCTTTTTGTATTACCCACGCTATTACGAAGTACATAATCCATTAACACGTCGTTTTGGCACTATGCATATCATAAATACCTATATTATATCTGTAGGTATAGTATCTCCTTTTTCTTTAATGTGTGCTATAGAGACGCGTCTCCTAAAATCTGTTATACTCTAGGACTTCACTTATAGAAGAAACCTCAGATACCTAAACGCGTGATACTGTACGAGCGCGAAGAACATCTATTTAAATGTTTATGGAAGAATGGGTGTACACTGTACGGTAATCTTGGTACGTCTATCTCTATTCTCCTACCGTGGTCTGCCATGTTCTAAATGAGAATCATATCGCGAATATTGCCAAGATCAAGTCCACTTTTGCGCGGAGACGCGAGCTCCAATCATGGCAGATTCCGGCTCAACGAGCTTTTTCGGTGGAGAGGGCCAAGACGGCGGTGTGCCGGTTTTCCGAGATCTAAGCATCTATCTTCAGTTCATATCAACTCCTAATAGCAACTGGGGAACTGGAGTTGGTGTCGAATACAGGTTCTTGTCAATAGTATGAAATGAAAAAGGAATAACAGGTAGGTACCAAAACAACATATACTTGGTTGGGATATCGTACTTTCGAGTTTATCCTGGCTTCAATTACATAATATCGGTTATGTTAGGTAACTACCTAACTACAACGATGATATATCTACATAGTAGGTTGTCAGCTATGGGCTGTATGGTGGCTCATCTCCACCAGGTCATCGCTACTCCGCGAATATGATGCAGTAAGAATGGTTTCGGAGGTTTCGAGGCGTTGCCAAGACCACTGCGACGGGCTCTCCGCGTATATACTATGTCAATGGACTTCTATACGTGGAGATCAGACCTGCAATGAGCTGCAACAAGCTGCAATGATACCCTGTGTTCCTGACCAGTTAACGTGGCTATGATGATATCGAAGCGCGAGAAGCCGCCGTTGACAAAGCCCATAGCCGCCTGCTGGTGTATTCCTATTGGCAATATGCTAGAAGGCTTTCCGGGTCCTTGGGCTGAACATCGTCATAAGGGGTAATGCTGGGATCATACACTTATCAAGACGTAAGAAAAAGAGAGAAAGAGAGAGGGAGAGAGAAGTTCCGATGGGGAGGGACAGTGATACAAATAAGTATGGAGCTGGCCCATGTAGGTATTTCCCTTTTTACATAGTATCTCTCTCTCTCTCGCTAGAGCTCGAGCTCATGGTCAGGTAATCCAATCTTGTAGGTAAGGGTAGGCTTATGTACGTACTTGGCGATCAAAAGCTTAGTGGAAGTCATCCATAACATTCCACATAGTTAATAGTTCTAGACTTGAAGCCAAGGACCATCCTGCTTATTGGACAACAGCTTAGAGAGAAATCCGGTTTGGATGGGCTTGGCTGTTGATAGACCAAACAACCCGAAATCATATGGAAAACTGGATTGTATGTAATTCGTCTAAACGAATGTATTTGTATTCAGGAGGCCTCACTAGTTTATTTCGGCCTGGTTAATTTTCAGAGTAGAGAATAGGGAATGGAGAATGGAGAAAAGGTCATTTAACCCAGAGGCCTCCAGTCAGCTTCTCACGAAATAAACCTATGCACTAACAGATTAACGTACTATGTAGCCGTGTAATTAATATAAGCTTTTTTATTTTAGTTAACGTAATCGTTTACCTTAGGTTAGTTGAACGTTGTAAAGTTTCGGACACGTTCAGGGGAGTAGATTATCAGACGAAATAAATCTGCCTTGACTTCTAATTCACTAAGATCTCCTTCTTCATATAACTGACGAATGCACTTATACCAAACTTACCTAATTCAATGCTTATGCTTATACGTATTTGAGGTCACTGAATCGGAGCAGGTAGGTACAATACATGAAGTACCTAGTCTAATTCTGTACCACCAACCAGCTGTACCTACTTCGTCATGACTTGTCAAGAAAGAGTAACAACCTTACAAGGGGTTGCCTACCTAATACAGGTAGGTTTTGAGCTGTCCCCGCCTTGTCTGCTTCTAAAGACAGGACCAACCCGAACTATATGATCCTGGTTCATCTTGCCAAGCACCTTTCTATTTGCATACTATGTACATACATGTAGTCTCCCCACTCGAGCCACCATGTCTTTTTTTTCTTAAGCGTCCCATCATCCCCCCTTGAAATGCCTTTAGTTGAACGAATTGGCTCCGGCTTTTCATTCATCGTATTATTTACCTCTCTTTTGCAACTGTCAGAGGGGAGACATATCCTAGCTGTGCACCATACATACCATATATTTGTCTAGTAAAATAAGAGATAATAGGTTGGTCCTAAGCATTTAGGTATCAAGCCTATCATTTCCGTCTTTTGGGCCGATCGGGTTATTCCGACCGACCACCTTCTTTTTTTCATTTCAATCTGTTTTGATCTTGTGTTTGTTCGTCGCCCACAAAGCCCACCTTCACTACGCAGGTCGCTACAAGGACCAAGGACGTCAGACGCGAGACCTGGAAACACTCTCTTCCGGTAGGTACCTAATACCCCGTACACTTTTTTTTTTTCTTTTTTTTGTCCGTAGGCCTGCAGATGTATACACCTCCCTAAGAACACCAAGGACAGGAGAGAAAAGAGAGAAGACGAAGGAGAAGAAGAAAAAGAAAAAAAAGAAAAAAGAAGACCACCCTTCACATACAATTCCACTTACATTCACCTATGTACGTAATAGCAGAAACTGCTTACGCCTACCTATCTTTAGGACGTACCTACCTAGCATACAATGCATAACCAACCTACCTATCCTATCCTATCCCATGTAGGTAGTAGGTAGCAGGTATTGTATATGTAGTAGGTAGGTCACCTAACATTAGGTGCCCTATGCTATTGATCTACGCTACTGCATCAGCGTCCTCGGCCCCATCTCACCCTACCTAACCTCTTTTCCTTCGACTCACTTCACCCACGTCTTCTATCCTAAATGTTCGTGCTCAGATAAGATCATGTCTTTACTAATTTTCCTACTTCTTCTTCTATCTTAATAATTTATCATTGTTTTATTTTATTTTTCGCGTTCTTAGTTAACCGCGAGGCTATATACTTTTATTCTATATTCTCGCTTGTTTATATTATTCCAATTAGGTCACTCCCCCTCGCGTTGCTGACTTCTTTCATACTTCTAGGTAAAATCAAGTTCTACGCCATATTGTGGTGTCTATTCGACGTAATTGGTATTCCCAGGAGCAAGAGTAACACCTCAAAATGCGCTGGAACAAGTTTCCTATCTCATAAATATATATGAATATAAAGCGCAAGAAGACGGTAGCAGGTTACTCTTCATTCAATTTTAGGCGGGTGCCATTCCTGGCACCCACGACCGACCGGACATGTCACCTCTTTCTCGCTCTTCACGTACTCCTGCTGATCGCATAGGATCTGTCAAACCCGAAACCTCAGATGGTCAGCTGTCTGATGAAGAATGTTCTTCTTTACAAGCCTTGGAAACTGGTTCTCCGGCCGGAGACACTCCAGCTTCTGCTCCTCAAGGTAGCCACGTCGAAAGCTCTAGCGAAACTCCGTCTGTCCCTCTCCAAAAGCGTCGCAGGGTGACGCGTGCTTGCGAGTATGAAGCTCCAGACTCCATATCCCTGTTTTGACTCCTCTTGCCTTTCAAAACACGTCTCTTTTGTGAGCGTGTCTAGTGTCACCTCGAGCTTTTTTTTAGCCAGATGTCTTCCGTCTCAACATTTAACCAATTTCTAAGGATATAAATACTGACTTGGTTTACTCTAGCGAATGTCGTAGGAAAAAGATAAAGTGCGATGGCAAGCAGCCATGTACGCATTGCCAGGTGTATAGCTATGGTAATCTTTACCCGCATTCCTTGGCATTTTCTTCACGCGGCTGATGTTTTATTGCTAGATTGCACATACGATAAACCTTCTAACAGGCGTAGGAATCCGGCTCCACAGTATATAGAGGCCCTGGAAAACAAGCTGTTAAGAGCAGAGAACTTGCTACGTAGATTCATGCCTGACGTCGACCTCAATGATCCAAGTTTGGATCCTGCGATCCAACAAGAATTTCGCATTCGGGAACAAGCTCGATCTCGGACTTCAGCGACTAAGGGAAAGCAGCCAGGCTCTTCGTCGTCCGTAGACGCTCAGTTACATTCTATGATCGAAACCACTGGCCACCTCGACCTCGATGACAGGGGCAACTACGACTTTCATGGACATTCATCTGGATCCGTCTTTTTCAAGAGGATGAAAGAACATTTCCGTGGTCTCCTTGGTAGAGATTATCAGGTGCCATTCCTTCCTCGCCCTCCTCGACCTGTCGGCGTCCTTACTCTAGACTCTCCAAGACCCCAGTCAAGCTTTCGAGCACCGCCAAGTCGTCATACGCCCCCTCCCGATTTTCCCCCAAAGGAGAGAGCGCTTGCATTGTGTTCCGAATCGCTTAATAATGCGACATGTCTTCTACGGATTGTCCATATTCCTTCTTTTTATAAGATGCTGGACGACCTGTATGAGAAGCCGACAAGCACGGCTGGGACGGAAAATAAAAGAAACCTGGCGTTGGCATACTCCGTCATGGCCCTCGGTTGCATGTATACCATGCCTGAAAACGATAATTCTGAAGCGCCACCGTACAAGGTCGCAATGGATGAAGCGTAATATTATGGTCCCTCCTTTTTGGGCTTCTGTGGTTTGTTTTGACTGACTTGTTTGTTACAGGATCAAATATTATAGCGCTGCAAGAGCTATTTTACAAGACATAACGGAGTGTCGAGACCTCATCTCACTTCAAGCTCTCCTTTTTATGATATTGTTTATCCAGTCGATATCGAATCTAAGCACCTGTTACGGGTTTGTGGGGATTGCCTTACGATCCGCGCTAAGGATGGGCTTACACCGACACCTACCTCACATTAAACTAAACCCGATAGAGGCCGAAACGAGACGAAGAGTTTTCTATATATGTAGGCAGATGGACACATATGTCTCTGCACTATTGGGATTCCCGCTACTTTTGAACGACGAGGACATCGATCAGCCTTTGCCGACCCCTGTGGACGATGAATACATCACGAAGGACAAAATACTGATCCCGCCACCAGGGACCCCGTCCTTCCTCGAAGCGTTTAATGCACACGTGAGACTGATGGACATTCTCGGCAAAGTTGTTAAAAATATATACCCGCTGAAAGGCATGGAACAGAGCGATGCTGAAGGTGCTGGGCAGCCTTACACATCCTATATAATCAGCTATGGGAAAATAAAAGAAATCGAAAATGAGCTTCAAAAGTGGAATGAGGACTTGCCGGATGCTTGGCGGCCCAACCCTATAGGCGCTGTTGAAGTAGTTCGGTAAGCTTTCTCCTAGAATGGATCTTGGTCTCGAATGTTTTGCTGATTGGTTTTCTAGGGTGCGTAACTTGCTAAGGTTCACTTACGCTCATATCCAAATGGTGCTATACAGACCGTTCCTTCATTACGTTTCTCCGCGCATCACGGCCGGTAAGGATGTAAATGAACGTGCCTACGCCTGCGGAGCCGCTGGTATTAGCGTCGCGCGAAACATTGTACACATTGGGTCGGAAATGAGAAAACAAGTTTCTCTCGTTGGTCCATATTGGTTCACTCTTTTTACGGAATTCTTTGCTATCATAACGCTAGTCTTTTTCGTGCTGGAGAATAAGGATAAGCAGGGATCCATGGATATTTTTGCGGATGCTGTAGCTGGGAAAGAGGTTATTGAAAAGCTTTCAAGAAAGAGCATGGTTGCGGATCGCATATCACAGTCTCTAGCCGTAAGTCTAAACTCAGCAACAACCTTAACTAGTGGGATATGGCTAATCTCAGCAAGATTCTCTTTGACCAATTGCCGGATAACCTTAAGGAGGCGCATGCTGCAATCTCGCTGAAACGTCCTGCATCAGAAGCACAGGATAATACGTCGATGCCACTTCCATCGCACTCGAACGATTCGATACATCATATTCCAGAGAGACTCAGTCAGTCTCAAGGGAAATCATCGAAGAAGGCCGAAATGACTCCGGTTGGGCTCGCTCCGCAACTAGGCCCCATTGACAGCTCTTCCCTACTACAGCCAGAATTCGGGAACTCGTTTGCGTCGGATTTTCAATTCTCGCCGCTAGATTTATCTATACCATCCCCGGATTCTGCGACGGCTGCCGCGCTGCATGAGCCTAGTCCTCTAGATTTGCAACATCAGGGGTTCGGGGCGAGTAACCCAATCCATCAGCTAGATGCGGTGATGTTTCCCTCGGATGACCCCTTAGATTATCCCAACCAGCCTCAGCTTGATTTCAACGCTCATCAATCGGGTATACCAAACGGCAGTCCGAATCTTTCACACCACGGTCATGCGCCGTTCTATGTACCGAATTTTTATGACGGTATCGAGGGGCAACTTATGGGACCACTACCACCGTATTTGATGCAGTCACAAGCTCAACCGGGCTTTAATTTCCCAGCACAAATGTATTCCGATCCAATGTTGTTACAAATGCACACCCTAGACCACCGACATTCGCCCCATTCCCAACTCCAAGCAGACCATTCACAGTCCATGCGGCGACGGGGTCAACAACCGGGGGAGATGGAAGAGTTACTAGGTAGTGCGTCGTGGCAGCCATTTTCCTAACATGGAATGGACTAGGTTTATGAGTAGAAAAAGGATACCCCCCTGCATAATTGCGACATCCGCGGATGTTTTCTTAGATAATGGAAGGGACTGGAGTTTGGCGTAGGTAATCAAAACATTGATGATTGACGCTGAATATGGCCAGTCATACACTGCGGTTGATGAGTTTTCGTACTATGGACGTCACCCGAGATATATAAACCTTATATAAAACCCTGCTGGAGTCTTACACCCTCGAGGAAGACAATGGGCAGGATCTCTAGAGACGCGACTGGAGAGCATCTCGTGGTGGATGATGCTCAATGATGTATATATAATTAAATCGAACCAGGCACGTAACTTGGCATCTTCGCTAATTACGGGCCACCCTATAAAAATTCAGCCTTAAAGAACATTTATTGGTGATTAATAGTCAGCCCGTGATAAGAATCCTATCCACTCGAGACGCCGATCGGATTCGGATCGAAGTTAGCTCTACTTGGGTCCCAACATGCCCAACCCTCGGGGCTGATGTCTGAAACGAATGGGCTTCAGAGGAATGCAAGGGGGTTACGTCGGTATATCTCTCGTTGGTCCAGGTTGTGGAGACCAAGTAAGAGACCAGACTCAAGTCTCTTCTAGTTCTTCTAGCTCTTCTAGATATGCGGCACAGCGTGGGGATGCTCGGGCTTCCTGAGCGGCTGCACGACGGCCTTAGGCAGATGACTTTAGCGTTCTAGAGATGATCTTAGCCCATCATTGTTTCGGGGGCAAAGTTTGCTTGGTACGTGTAGATTAGCTATAGGCATGGTGCTGCGATGCGAACCGAGCTTTGCCACGTGAGGTCTGCCCAAGCATCCAACCAGGCTAAACCAGGTAAGCAATTGCATGATATTGTCTCGTCGAATGAGATCAGCCGCCTCAGCTGTACGATAGGATCACGCCAGGGGTATGTGATGAAGCTAGTACAACAGTGACAACACCCCACCGACGATGCTGTCGTTGCTCTACTCGTCAGAAAACAACCAAGATTCCGGGAATTTTTTACTTTTTTACTTTTTATTTAATTATTTAATTAGAAGATGGAAGCTATAGATATCGAGCACGACCTGGTTGTCGTTGAGGAATTTGATGCTTTGTACGTTTCTACCGCCCTCGCTAACCCCTTAGCTTTTCACCGACACTTAAAAAACAAACAATGCCCACGACGACAACGACGATGGACCTTCACCAGTTCCGCTGCAGGACGAAGGGCCTGGTGCAGAGCGCCGTGTCCGCCGCCGTCGCAGTCGTGCTTAGCATCCCGTTCCTGTCCAGGATACCGCTGACGGAGGTCATTGGAAGTAGATCTATCGAGGTTATCAACGTCGCGGAATTGGAAGCCCAGGCTGACGAAGACGTTAAGAGATACCCTGGTGAGTTTACGAGCTTTGAGTTTTAACTGAATCCTGTTCCACGCGAGTCGCATACCGATGATATATGGAGTTGGTAGCCCAATTTAGCCCATCAGCCAGATCGTATTATTTTTATTTTCCTCGATGCGCCTGTATTTGTTTTGCATGTATTTTCGGCGTTAGCCCCTGAATGATGCGGCGCGTGGTTATTCTTACAGACGTATTGCATCAACTATCTGAACATGCCACACCACCAACTGCATATACTGCACCATTATCCATTATCTTTCACGTTTCGTTTTATTTCTCATTTGTCCCGAATGGTATTCAGGATCGCATTCTAACGCTGCTCAGCCAAACAACACGCGAGAAAGGTTGCCAAAGAACTTGGAGTCGATAATGGAATCATCTATCTACCGGGCCAGCTAGAATCAACATGGGAAGATTCAGATCAAGGGCCCCCATTTCGGCAACGACGATAGTATGTCCGCTTTTTTAAACCGTATCATTCAATAACCCCCTAGCACTAACCGGAATGCTCAGTTTCTACTATCTGACCGGGGTCGATTTCCCGGGCTGTAGCGTGACTTACGATATTGCCGCAGACAAACTCACGTTATGGATCCCGTTCACACCTCCGGCAACCATACTCTGGTTTGGAAAGACGCCTACGCTGGAAGAATGTCTCGCCAAGTCGGACGTTCACGACGTCAAGTACATCGGCGAGCTCCCGGCTTACCTGAGCGCGCGGTTGACGACGATCAAGTCTCTGTACGCTCTCCGCTCGGCCCAGTTGCCAAAGTTCGACGGCTTCGAGCAGCTGCGGTCGTCCCTCAAGATCGACGTCACGTCTCTCCAGCCCGCTATGGACGAATCTCGGGTTATCAAGTCTGACTATGAGATAGCTATGATCCGTAGGGCTAACCAAATCTCGTCCGCGGCCCACAGGAAAACGGCGTTGCAGTTGTCTGGCATGAAGAATGAGTGCGAAATCGAGGCCACATTTGCCGCCGCGTGTAAGGCGGCTAACGCCGGGGCGCAAGTTTACCCCATCATCGCCGGCTCTGGTTCCAACGCTTCGACGCTGCACTACGAAGCCAACAACGAACCGCTTGCTGGACGGCAGCTTGTGGTGCTCGATGCTGGCACCGAATGGAATTGCTACGCTAGCGATATAACGCGTACCCTTCCCCTAGGCCCACGGTATAGATTTAACTTGGAGGCCCGAGCTATTTATGAGCTGGTCCACAAGATGCAGGAAGAGTGCATTCAGCGCATCAAGCCAGGCGTCATCTTCCGGGATTTGCAGCTACACGCAACGTTTATCGCCGTCCAAGGCCTATTGGAGCTCGGAATCTTGCGCAACGGAACTGCCGAAGAGATCTTCAAGAACGGCACCGGCGCCGCTTTCTTCCCGCATGGACTCGGTCATCATGTTGGGCTTGATGTTCACGAGTTGGTTTCCTCCCTATTTATCTCCCCTTTAATCCCCCTTAAACCCCTTACCCTCTCATATCCTCCACCACCGCCACCACCACCGCAACAACATTCCCCTATGCCTACCTCTTTGTGTTCCGGTTATAGTAACAAGAATATCTCCCCTAGCGTTCTTAGCAAAGACCTTCTGCGTCCCGCCGGCGAGAGCATGTGGGGAAAGCGTCGACCTATTGGCCCCCAGTCCGTCCGCGCCATGATCAAGCAAGCCGCAAACAGCGCTGCTCCCACGCCTTCGTCACCAACCAGTACCGGCACGAGCACATCGCAGGACCCCCAGTTGCCACCTACGCTTACGGAGTCGTCACCAGCGCAATCCGCAAACCCGCCTCTCCCGCCTTCGTCCCCTCCGGTAGCAGCAGCAGCCACAACAGCGGAACCGACGTCCGCGCCCTCAAGCCGGAAGAACAGCAGCGACAACGACACCGTCAACGGCGACGTCAACCCGCCTCTCCCACCGGAGCCCCAGCTGTCCCGGCGCCTACCCTTACCTCCTCCCCAGCGGCAGCAGACCATCTCGCAGCTTACCAGCGACGGCAACGGCAAGAGCAAGAAGCCGAAACGGCCGGTCCGCAGCGCCCTGCAGCCGAACATGGTGGTCACGGTCGGGCCGGGGATATACTTCTGCCGGCCGTACGTGGAGGCGTACTTCCTGCGGCGCCCCGAGCACGCGCGGTACATCGACGCCGCGGCGCTCGAGCGCTACTGGGCCGTCGGCGGCGTGCGCGTCGAGGACTGCGTCCTGGTCACGCCCGACGGGCGCGAGGACCTGACGACCGCTCCGAAGGGGAGGGACTTGTTGCGGTTGATGGGGTATGCTTAGGAGGACGACGACGCCGATTCAATTTTTTTTTAAAAAAAAAGAAATTGAAATGAAATGAAATGAAAATGAAATTAAAGAGAAAAAGAAAAAGAAGGGGGGTGGGAGTATCTGGCCTCACCGACTAACTAACTAATAAAAATAAGGAACCAAAAAATGAATACCCGGAATCGAAGAAAAAAAAAGGACAAGCAAGCGAGCGAGCGATCTTAGGTATATACTTCTCGGGACTTTCTTTTTTTGCGCGAATTTACTTTGTCGGTCATCATCCGCGTATACAGACACACACACGCAAGGTAAATACCGATGTATACGAGGGACGGGATGGATGGGCATAGGCGTCCAGGGAAAATTTCAACTACCTAGCTGTATATGTTTGTATCTTTTGCCACATTTATGTATGAAGCACCTACGTACGTACAAAGGGGGTAGTCGTCATCTTTTGGGGGAGGGGGGAGTTTTCCAAGCTTCGTTTGGTGGGAGTTTTGAATTCCTAAAATACTCGATTTTCGCGAGCAGATTGGACCAGATCAAATCTTATAAAATAAATGAATAAATAAATAAACCGTTATATTAGGTTAGGTATCTACCTACTTGCGCGGATTACCTTGCATTTTCGTGCTTTCTTTTATGCTTGTTAATATGGCATCTCACATAACGATAAAGTCCCCCCCTTTTTTGGGTTGCTGCTATATAGTACAAGACGCATAGTATATAATACTGGGTTATCATCACAATGCAATTTTTATTTTGGCTCGGGGAAACGTCTCTTTTTTATAGACATTTATCATTCATGCGCTAGACAACGACAACGATGACAGTCATGCAAAACCCATTTCACGTCCTAATATTTTATACAAAGTTTTTCTTTTTTACCCAGCGCCTACCTCACACCTTATCAGCTCTCGCCCAAACCCGCATCTTGGTTATCACTTAGATTTAGATTTTATCATCATCATCATCATCATCATAGGTATTTCTTGGGCATAACCTTCTTCCGCTCGTAGTAGATGTAAGCGGACACTATTAGAATCTGGCTTCCGATGATGACGAAGATGAGTTTTCCGTGCTTGGGAGCGGCCTGCACAGCGACGTGCTCCAGCATAGTGCCGTGGTTCGTACCGATGAAGCTCTTAACCGCGTGCTCCGATTCCTTCACCTTCGTGTTGATGTCGTTTCGCATGTCCCTAAGGTCCCGCTGCAGCTTGCTGATCTCGTTTTGGAGCGAGTCGAGCCTATCCAGCTTGGACAGGATCTGCTTCAAATCGTGGACCGACTTCGAAATTTCCTCGTGTCGCTTTTCGCCAATGCTCCCTAGACTTGCAACCTGGCGGAAGATGGTTGACAAATGCTGGTTGGTGCTTTGTATACGGTTGTGAAGATCGGTGAACTGAGCCTCGGAGCTTGTGTAAGTGCTGGCTGCAGCATCGGGGATGGAGTCACCGAAGGCGTCGCCTTCATTGGGGTTCCGGTTATTCGGTGGGTTGCGGCCGTAGCTCATTTGTGCTTGCGCTTGATTCTGGTTCGATTGTTGTTGCTGCTGCTGCTGCTGCTGTTGTTGCTGCGGAGGTGCGTCGTATTTAGCGTCAAGATTCTCCGTCATGGTTACCATCTTAAAGATCTCAAAGGAATCGGGGTTGTCTCCCGCTGCGGCTGTGATACCGAAGTAATATCCTGGCGGGATGCTGATCTTGTCGCTTTCGAAACATAATCTACCGTCAATCTCAACCTTGAATACCTGGGACGTCTGTCTCAGCTTGATCTGAGAAGGCCGACCTAAGTTACGGTAGGGGTAATTGCAATGCCCAAAGGCTAAGCTGTCCACGTTCTGGTGTGCCTTGAAATCGATGGTACCGTCGTTCAAAAACCCCCTGATCATACCACCCGAACCACTGTGCTGGTCGATCACGAGGGCCAAGCCATCAAATCTGTTTACGGCGTAGACGCTGGACGAGCCGATTTCTTGGTTACCCCGTCTCGCAAGCCAGATGTTGAGATTCCCGCTACCTCTTTCCTGCCCATTCACCCTGAAGTCGACATCTGCCACCCACGTCAAATACCTGTTCGGTTGGTCTGCCCATATCGCGCCTCGAGTATTACCGGGTGCCGGTGGTGTTAGGATCACCTTGTTGGAAAGAACTTCGGGTACGTCTGGTGTGCCTTGTATGGAGAATCCCGGTACAGTAGCTTGTCCTCGATCGTTTATTCTGACGAACTTCCGTTAGACTTCCTATCCCGAGAAGATACCCTTTTAGACCTTCTCCCCAGGAACTCACCTGCCAGTATAACCAAAGCTTAACTCATTGACAAGGAATTGCGCCTGGGCATCAGCGAATTTCGCAGTTGTAGCAAGCCCGAAGGCAAGTGTTGACGATCGTAACAAACGCATGCTTCGATTTAAAAGTCGAACAATAGAATAGAATTAATATGTTAAAATCTTTCCCTAACAAACAAGATAGGTACCTAATATTAAGGAATTTATTGGAAAAAAATAAATAGATATTAGCCTTTTTTGGTAGTGGTGGGAGAATATACGGAGTGAAGAAAGCAATGAAGCTAATTCTGTCTGTTCGTAAGGACACTTTGCACCAAAGCTGTCCCAAGTCTGAGCCAAAGCTCTAACAGTGGCGGGGAGCTCAACTACCTAAGGAATGGGAGAGTGAGAAAAAAAACGAATTGAAAAGAAAGTTTGCCTTTTGAATTAAGCAGAAGCAGTAAAAATTATCAAACTTAAGCAAGTTGAAGACAATCTATGAAATTGATCCAAGGAGAAAAAAAAAGTTAAAAAATTCAAGACAGATTGTGCTCTTGTGAAGGGGTGGATAGCTTAAAACCTTCACACAGCCTTCCCCCATAAAGGAGTTAAGTGTAACTGCTTCCCGTATTCCTTTCAGTCTAGGCTAATTGAAGACTTGGAGGCTTTGAAACAGTTCGTACCCGAGTATCTCTTTTGCGCTAACGTCGTAGTACATAGGTACCTTAGATAGGTAGGTGTGTATTCGGTACTTGATCCCTGTTTCATATTTGTAGGTACGTAGCGGGCAAGGGCAGGCAAGGGCAGGCAAGGCGGCAGCTGGAAAAAAGGGTACCTTAATGTTGTGGGTGTGGCAGGCGAAGAAGGCGTGTGGAAGGCGTGGAAATTGGAACAGATCAACTTACCTACCTCTTAAAAAAGGAAGGAAATGCACGGACCACCATTTACCAGAACCTTAGTTAGTACCTTGTCAGATTTTCGAGGGATGTCGCACGTCGGTGAAAAATAGGTACGTACCGACTCTGTGGAGCTTTGTCATGTCATCCTAGCCTCAATTGACTTCAATTCTTCAACTAAGCTCCTAAGCTTCGGCGCTACAACACCCATCTCGTCTCTTTTTTTGCATCCTGACAAGTTATCGGATTTAGACCTTCGAGACGTGTCATGAATTCTCAATCGAGATGACCGAGACATATCCTACTCTTGCGCAATGCGCAATAGTTTCAACAGCATTTAAGATTCTCCTGTTCCCGGCCTAGTAAGTTCAGGTGCTTGCTTGTTGTACCAAGCTTCCACATTTCCACATTCTCACCCCACGATGAACTCAACAGCTAAGCTCTTCCTCTAAGTAAATCTACCGATTTTGAGGTGCACCGAAATTGGTTGGCAATAACGAATAGTCTACCAATATGGGAATGGTATTACGAGAAGACTTCTGAATGGACCCTGGACTATCCGCCCTTTTTCGCATACTTCGAATGGATTTTATCTCAAGTAGCAAAGCTGGCCGACCCGGCCATGCTTCGGGTTTATAATCTAGGCTACGATAGCTGGCAAACTGTATACTTCCAGAGATTCACGGTCATCGCCACGGAACTAATACTGTTATACGCCTTGCAACTGTATGTTATAGCTATACAACCTAATTGGCTTATAGTACTGACATAACGCCATAGCTTCGTTGAATCTTCACATGGGGTAACTAAGCGTGCAGCGCAAGCAGCCGCAATCTCTGTTCTCCTCTCGCCCGGTCTTCTCATTATAGATCATATCCACTTTCAGTATAACGGAGCTATGTATGGCCTTCTTATCTTATCCTTGGTCTTAGCCCGCCAAAAGACGGGTCTCCTAGCCAGCGGTATCGTCTTCGCAGCATTGTTATGCATGAAGCATATATATCTTTACCTCGCGCCGGCCTACTTCGTTTACCTTCTTAGGACCTATTGTCTCTCGCCCAAGTCTGTCTTTCGTATCCAGTTCCTCAATTGCTTGAAGCTGGGGTCGGCCATCGTCGGTATATTTGGACTGGCATTCGGCCCATTTGCACTCAAGAACCAGATTCCCCAGATACTGAGCAGGCTCTTTCCATTCTCCCGCGGGCTCTGCCATGCGTACTGGGCCCCGAACGTGTGGGCTATGTATTCCTTTGTGGATCGACTATTGATATTTGGTAAGTGGCGCTATCTCTGTCTACAGGCTTTCGTGACTTACAAACCTAGTTGCACCGCGGCTGGGATTGCCGGTCAAATCAGAGGCTATTAATAGCGTTACAAGAGGCCTAGTAGGGGATACAGCCTTTGCAGTACTCCCCGAGATCACACCTAGGATATGTTTTGCGCTCACTCTCCTATTCCAAGCCATACCTCTCATGAAGCTATTCTCTCGCCCCAACTGGGATGCTTTCATCGGAGCAGTCACACTCTGCGGCTACTCGTCGTTCCTCTTTGGATGGCACGTTCATGAGAAAGCCATTCTCCTCGTGATTATACCCTTCAGCTTGATCGCTCTCAAGGACCGGCGGCATCTTAGCGCGTTCCGCCCTTTGGCAGTATCAGGTCACGTCTCGCTCTTCCCGCTACTTTTTACTCCTGCCGAGTTCCCCATCAAGACAGTCTATACCATATTTTGGTTAGTCTTATTTTTGATGGTGTTTGACCGCACCGCTCCAGCTTCGAGTCGACCACGGTTCTTCCTCTTTGACCGTTTTACTATCCTCTATATTACGGTTAGTATACCGCTAATCGTATACTGCTCATTGTTGCACCGAATCATATTTGGTAAGAGCTACGAATTTCTGCCTCTCATGTTTATGAGTTCGTACTCGGCAATAGGGGTTGTAGGCAGTTGGATAGGATTTATGGTGGTATATTTTACCTCGTAGACTTGGGTACTTTAGGTAGTTAATAGCAAAATCAGAGTCTAAAGTCTTTTAATGCCAAGTTAAACTAGCTGAAGTAAATATAGAGAGTATAGCAATTGTTCTTGGGTGGAACACTATTTGGACGTTATAGAAATAAAATGCACTTTAAATAATAAACAATGGTCGGGAACCTCGGGTAGAGAGTTTAAGCAGAATAGGTGACTGGCTTTTCCTGACGTACCTGCTTAGGTTAGGTACCCAGGGGGGGGGGGGGGGTTGTGGGCTGGCTTCCAGGTGGCAGCCATACATGTACATAGGTGTAGTGACTAAAATTCCCTGACAGGCTTGCTAAGGGCCCAGTCTCACCGATGGCCTACCGGTCTCAAGGAACCACCCGGCTATCTCCAAATAAGGGCCTCTCAATTGACTTAGGATACACGGTTTATAAAGAACAGAAAATAATGCGCAGAAGATACTGGAGATTGTCAAGAAAATTGCCACTTCAGCTGCATTAGTCTCTATACATGGTTTTAGACGGGTAGGTTGTTAAGACGGCGTCACGTTGATATACAGCCGCACTCGGAGCAATATTGCTTATAAAATTATATAATTCACCAAGCGGGTAGAGTAGAGGACGAGCTTTAATTTAAGTTACTCAGGGCCATGTTCCGAAACGTTGGTTGGGATGAAAAGGGTTTTCGAATATTCTTATCGAGGTCGAGGGAATTTGGGATAAGTTGGCCCTATATTAGACTCGGAATTCAAGGTTGTTCTTATATCGTATATATTTTACAAGTACGTGCTTAAAATCAGCAGATTCCGTACTCGTTCGAATTGCCAAGAATAGGCGATCCGAACGAGTATAAGAATGTTGTTGAATGTTTGCATTTTAGAAGCGTAGGGAGCAAAGAGTGACGATGGGGTAGGTAGGAGTGGTTATTCAAGGTGGACACGACTTTTGAGGCCCATCCCAAATAAGCGAAAAGGACCCACTATGCGGAGCTAGGTTGGGATATTGAACCAGTAAGAAAACAAAGTTGAGTGGCTTTTAACCCCCGTCTCCCGGGGTCTTGCTCTGCTTCCCGTGTGCCGTACATAAGGTACCTGAAGGTAGCGTTTCCCTTCTTCCTCCTTGCCCTTCGCCTTATTATTTTTAGTCCTCTCTCCTCTCCTCTTCTTTTACAAAACTTTTTTACAACAACAACTAATCCCGTCGCGTCCCCAATACAGTCTTTTTTTCGCCTCCTGCAACCACCCTCGGTTTCAACCTACTAGGCTGTTAAAGACTGACCTGACGCGTCCTGTACAATTTCGACCGCGTTCCTACTATATTTGATAGGTTCACATGTAAGTCTGCCCACGCCCACCACGTCTACATCTATGCCTATGCCTATGCCTATGCCTATGCCTACGCCCACCTTATCATCAACCCCTACCCTCGATTTCAACCTCGTATCTTTCCGCACCATGACCACATTTCGTCGTTCACCACAATTTTCACAACAACACACCAGAAAACTCACAACCACCCCACGTCACTTAATTATATCTGCCCTGCCATCTATAAAATCAGCTTACACGTGCGAGCCCCGGACGGAAGGCTGACTTTCAGCCTTGCAGGATTCTTTGTGCGGCTAGTTAACAACCTTTGGCTTTTTTGGGAGCCTGTAGGCGCAATGGTAAGTTGTGAACTGCATATTGAAATTTGAAAGACATAACAGCTAATATTTTTCTAGGTCTTATTCAAGCGCAAGCCGGTGCAGTTTCTGCAAACCCCACCGGTGGAAGATGAGTCCATGGAGGTAGCATACACCTGCACACTTTGCACGCTTGCACACATTTGCACACCCTGCTAACACCTCTTAGGTTTGGCATATCCCCCAAACAGGGGAGATATTTATTACTTATGAAGATTATCTAAATCGGTAAGTTTTTCTGAATTTGTAATGGTTCGATAATGTGCTAACTTACCTCTTTTGCTAGTATGGACTTTTATAACCAGGTTCGTTCTTAACTTAACTTTGCTTGCTTGCTTGCCCTCCTGGTAGTTAACTGATATATATAATCTAGCCTCGGTTTATTTGTCAGATCACAGGCCACTCTGGTCTATCCTTCTTTGATGCTCTTAAGAGTGAGGTATGTTTATTAGGGGTCCTGTCGTATATGCGTCCTATTCCTCTAACTAGTTATAATATAGCTTGCTGGCGCACAGGAAGTCGACCAGGCCTTTCCAGAAGCTCTGAAGGCCCCTGTTTTGCGCCGTGTCCAGTTTCAGACTATTTCTCGCATTGACACACTTGTTGATATGATATATGACGAGTTTAAAGCAGATTACTATCCAGGAGAGTCCGTGATGGTACAGTTAAGTAGTGGGGAGCGCGTAGCAGGGACGGTGAGAGATAAAGCTCGCCTAGGAAGCAAAGTCCTACCAGATGGGACCCTTACGCAGCCATTTTCACGCTACATGATCAGCCTTGATAATCGGCCAGGCGAGGAAGCTGTTATGGATGGCGAGCATATCTACCGCGACAGAAAGATTTTCACGAAGTCAGTCTTGCGGTCTTTCATCAAGAAGACCGTAACCCGTGAGGCATGGACGGGGGCACCCTGGTTAGTTAAGCACGATGTTGCAGCAAAGTATCATATCGACACTCGAGTACCGCCGCACTTACGGTATGACAACAAACTGCTAGAACGAAAGCAGCATCAAGCCCAGAAGAAGGCATCCCAGCCAAACAATGGGTTACAGGATATGAATGGTATGGGTAATGCCTTTCAGAATTTTGGCCCGGCTCGGTTACCCGAGCTCAAGCCTGCACCCAAGAGCCATAAGGCAATTAAGAATCACCACAGTCAGTCACCACACCACCAGGATATGGACGTTCACGATGACGTCAATATGTTCTTCCCACCGAACCAGGGACCCCATCCTCAGGTCCCCGGAAACAATCCTTTCCATTTCCCCGTGCCATTTAGAAATAACATGGCGCCTCCCCCACCTCCTGTCCAACCCCAGGCGGAGCTGCCACCACCACCTCCGCCTCCACCTAAGTATCCCATTGAAGATCTGCAGCTTGAACCTCGTGATGATTATGTTCGACCTGCCCTGAAGTTTATGTGTGCCGACCCTCCGGAAGGTGTTGTTGACAGTGTCGCTCGAAATGACAAGATCCTGATGAAGTCTATCGGTTCGCTATTGGAGACGTGGGTAACCCTGAACGTCTACTGTGAGGTCTTCAAATTAGACTCATTCACTTTCGATGATTTTGTCGAGGCGATGGAGATTACTAAGGAAGATACACCTTGTCAGCTTTTTACTGAGATTCACTGTGCGGTCCTTAAGCAGATTGTGAGCTCTGAAGCCGACGGTGGTCAGCTGCTGGTGGAACTTCCAGAGCTTGAAGAGGATGAGGAGGACGAAGACGAGGAAAGCGAATCCCCCAGCCCCGAACCCGAACCCGAGCCGAAGCCGACAGGACGTGCTACTAGAAGTAGTTTAGCGAAGTTAGAAGCTGAGAGGATCAAGGCCGAGGCAGCAGCGGCGGAGAAGACTCCAGAGCCTGAAATTAAACACCGTGCTTCTGAGGCTTTGGCAGATTTCGACTGGGTTGAGCAGCTCAAGAAGCGTGAGTTCCAAGATGGTGGTTGGGAACTGATTGTTGTCGGAATTTTGTACCGGCTATCTAAAAGGCCGTGGCAGACTGAAGCTTGTGAAGAAGTGTTAGCCAGCCTCGTACCTCCCGACATGGAGCCGAGTCAGGAGAGGGTCCGCCAACAGTACAGCAAACTCGATTTTAATCTTCGTGTTTCGGCTCTTGAGATGATCTGCCTGTTAACTGTCAGCACCAAGGCTGTCCGTGCATACATTGAAGAGTGTGCGGAAACCCAAACAGGCTATCGGAAGGAGAAGATTGAATGGCAAAAGCAGAAGAAAGCAGCGTAAGTTGGATTTCTACCTATCCTGGGGTTGATGTGAATAAGGTACTGACTCTTTTGCAGTAACGAGGAGCTGAAAAGCCTTTATGATCAGCACAAGATTCTCCTCCCGGATAATATGCCTCCATCGCCGCCAGCCGAAGAAGTAGAGACAAAGACTAATGGCGATGTGAAAATGACGGACGCCGACGAGTCGCCGGAGGAGCAAAGTGAGGCTGAGGACAGTGATGTCGACGCTAATACCCGCCACAACACTCGACGAGGTGGCAATCGTGCAGCAGAACGCCAGCGAAAACGTGAGGAGGAAGAGAGAAAGAAGGAAGCCGAGCTGGCTGCGAAGGTACCGAAACAATCCAAGCAGTTTTTGAAATTGCAGAAGGATATCCAGAAAAGGGAAGCTTTGGTTAAGAAGTGCGAAAACGAAATCAGTATCCTGGATAATGACCTTCGAGAAGCAGATTGTTTCCGAACTCGCCCTCTTGGTAAGGATCGATTCTGGAATCGTTACTATTGGTTTGAGCGCAATGGTATGCCGTATGGCGGATTGCCTACTAGCTCGACGGCCCATGCAGGCTATGCCAATGGCTGCATCTGGGTCCAGGGCCCAGATGACATGGAACGAGAAGGATATATCGACATGCCCCCGGAACACCAAGAAGAATACAAGGCGAAGTTTAAGATGACAGTACCCCAGAGAAAGAAGATGGAAGAAGGTCGGACCAGCGTCTTCAATGCTCGCCAATGGGGCTATTACTCAGAACCTGGCGAGGTTGACTCACTTCTGAACTGGCTCGATCCCCGAGGTTTCAACGAATCTAAATTACGAAAGGAGATCGTGGCGTACAAGGACAAGATTGTAACGCATATGAAGAACCGAGCCCAGTACCTCGGCCAAACAGAGGAAGAAGAAACCAAGGAGCCGACAAAAGAGAATGGGAAGAAGGAGGAGCCTAAGCGGATGACTACAAGAAAGACGCAGGCTAGTCCAGAGCCCACGCAGCAATTCCGTTGCCTCAACTGGACCAACAATGTTGCTATTGATGAGATCGGACACCTCCATAGCGAGCCACCTCCACAGCCGAAAGGGAAAGGTCGCAAGGGCCAGAGAAAGAGCCGGGGTTGATGTTTTACGCCTTTCTATTCATTGACTACTGGACCATACCAAGGTTGTTTACTTTCGTGCAATCAATATTCGATTCACAGTACATAGACACGCAAACAAGCAAAGGGTTACGATTGAAGATGGCGTTTCACTTCGACATCACATTTTCTAGAGGGCGGCAACGTGTAGAGAAAAATATTTTTCATCGATGGCCTGCATGGCGTTACGGACGAATCAAGGTGTTTTCGGCGGCGAGGTAAATTTTTTTTTCACAAGGTCGTTGTGTTACAACATAGTTTGGTATGGGGAGTTCATACATTTATCAATGCCAAAGGGAAGGGGAGAGAAAGGGGATGGTCTACAGACCCTTGTATATAGGTGCGGTGAGGAAAGGAGAGATGGATGAGCCACATTTGCATATGGCATGAGGGTCTGAATCTATTTCTATAGCACGAGCTTGACTATCTAAACAAGAGAATTTTGTTGCAAGTCCAAGCCTCCCTAAATACCTAATTAATGATCGAGTCATGTGTACCTTTATATGTAAAGAATTGTAGGTACTGTACTTGCAACCTGCCCAGCTTCATTATTACATACCTACCTCCTAACGTACCCAGGTACCCCCCAATTAAATACGGTACGAATAATCCAAGTTCAAGGGCTCGGAATCCTACACTTTAGGCCGCTTGTTTTTTTTTTCTTCTTCTTATACAGTTGCGAAGGTATTACAATTACTACCAAGTAGGTAACTAATTTGCTGATGTTTCTCGAGCGAATTGCACCTTATTATAGCAACGGTGTACACGTAACTACCACGTTCTCAAGAATATCGACTCTTAAGAATATTGACGGTTAACTTCAACTACATGTAACAGGTACCTAACCTAGTCGGATTTCAGAGCCCAAGTTTGATCTGTACCTAACCTAAGAAGTTAAGTCACATAGTCATAGCATTAACAATGGGACGAGATAATCAGAATGGTTAAAATTATTTGCTTCGAGGCACTTGTGCCTCATAACCAAATTTTATTTATCTGCAAACGCCTCTAAATACACTGTGGGCTAAAAAGTCTCCTTTCTGTGTCTCTCTCCTTGACTTGATGCCCCCATATCAGATCAGTGTCATGCGAATTCAGCTTTCCTTTCCTCTAGATAGAAGCCAAGGGAACGTAATTAAACGGGGAATATCATGGGTGAAAAATAGGGGCTGGGCCGTGTTGGTCCTTTCCCCTCTCGCGAAGCCTGGAAAGCTTTGCCGTCAATGTCTCCAACCACTAGGGTTCATTCAGTTTGTACATTCGTTGTAGAAAGAAAAGGAAATGGGCATCGTAGCACTCCTCGCGAAGCAGGATCGCGGCTACTAATTTGGTTTTGCTTTTTTTGTGGGCATTAGTATTCTGTGGCCCTTATTACTGTTTGGCTGGTTCACCTCTAGGAAGAAGGGCGATATATTCGTGTTGTGGCAACTGCACTCACACAAGGTTGTAAAGTGACCATTTTCGGGCACTAGTATGTTAGTATCAAATTACAAGTCAGTGACAACTGCAGCAGATCAGTCGACACCTGAAGGAGTTTCGGGATGGGCATAATCGAGGTATAATGCAGCTCTGCCGGGACAAATGGGGCACGTAGTATTGGCTACTACTCAGCCCACAGCAGCGGCTGGAGTTTGTAAAGCAGGCTGTGGTCTCTTCGCCGGTGGAGGGTTTCCCTAAAATACATGTCAGCGAGCTCCACAAGGGTTACAAGGTCCTCCTTTGGATATCCTGGCCGTGGCCACGATATTGACCATCTACCATGCATCTCTACATACTTCGGACGAGGCGTTGCGCTTCTTTTGGCCGGCCATGGTATCGCTGTTTGGAACCACCTTTCTAATGGGGCGAGGGCGCATTGGCTTGACTTCTCCGGGTTCGAAAACGTCATCGGGGAGATTGGTGCTGCAAATGTTAAGTAAAGTATCACCATACGCCAATATCGTAGTGTACTTACTTCTTCACGTGCTGGATACTCAGGTAGTTCAAGCTTGGCTCGTACTTGTCCCATTTACTGCACAGATCCTTAAATGTGTTGACTTGGAAAGACAAATCCAATGATTTGGCGCCTAACATGTCATCAAGCTTAGGTTAGGAATCACAGCGGAGCGGTCGCTGGCTCAAATGGCCGCATGAAATATGCATATAACGATAGGGTCAAATAGATGAGCACTTACCTTCGGCAAGCTCGAGGCCTACGTAATGTGTCGCAGTGTACATCTTCGTTTCGACAGGGGGTGCGCTGGGGATGCTCTGCAAATCGATTTTCTGGTCTTCGGGATCTGACTTCATATCAAAGCTCATTGATTCGCCATTCTCGACTTTAACCGCGGGTTTCTGTTCTGTCTTATCCTCAGTCTTATCTTCAATGCCGTTCTCGTTTTTCACCTTGGTGTCCTCGGTCTTCACCTTGGTGTCGTCTTCACTGTCGTCATCCTGGACAAGGTAAGCCAGGCTTCCATTTCGAACTTCTTCGGCTTCCTGCTCATTCTTGACCTTGTGCACTCTTTCGTATCCCTTGTTGAACGGGCGCGCGATCGCGACAGAAGCATGCCGTTCCAGGTCGCCCACTAAAACACGGACCTTCGACTCTACGAACCCGGACCATATCTTGTGTGCCTCCTTGGTAGTGCTGGTCGCAATGACGGCCAAGTAGTACTTATGGTCTGTAGTGAAGAACGTATGCTTTACAAAGAGATCCTTCCAAGCAAGCTTTCCGGCTCTTATCTTATCAGTGATATCAGCGCCGCGTTCCAGCTCGCGCTGTATGATGGCCATAGTAGAATGTGTGATGTTGAACGTCGCACACATCTGAGGATAAGCAGGAGTGATTACAGGCATCAGATGATAGCTATCGCTCTTGTATATCTATGACCAGTTAGTCAAGTCAAACGCTTACTTTGCTAATATGAGCAAATACCAACCTTAGGATTCCAGACACGGACATTGAGCGGGCCATCATCCATGTGCTTCAGCTGCACAGGTACAGGCCACTGCCAAACCTTCATGATCTGGAAGAACTTAGAAACAATGGTAGCACTCGCCGCCTTTGGATACAGTTGGCAAACCCGTGCCACCATCATAGCCCATACTACTCCACCGGGGAATCCGATGATGTTGGCATAAATAGCGCGACGTTGGGCCCATAACTTGATCGCTCGGAGGGCAAGGCGAAACGTGCTTTGCTCCGGGACCAAGTTCAAAATTTCTCTCGTGACCCTGGTTCCGTTCAAGGATCGGAGCTCACGATCATCTAAGCCACGCAAGTATTCATTGTTATTCAGGTTCAGTTGTCCATGTGGCGGGAACTGCTTCAACGTGGCTATTCTCGAGAATATTAGATCAATGCTGATCCCCCAATATTCAAACTTGATGATAGGCACGAACGCCTCTTCTACCGCAGTGAGATCTGTTACCGCGCCTTCGGGAGCCATCTCTTGCAGTAACGAAGGGAAGTACTTGAAATAATCATCACGGGTGACGTATCGGGGTGCAGTGACGAGGGTATCAATATCAGAGCCGGGGCCGTAGACGCCTAAGCAGTAACTTCCGTAGGTGAAGATCTCGCCACGAGCATCTCGGATGAGAACTTCGTTTTGCGGTTCCTTTTCTTTTGCCACTCGTCGCACAAACTCGTCGGCGATACGTTGAAGATCAGCAAGGATTTTCTCCCTAGTGAAGGTTTGTTAGTTGCGATTGATATACAAGTTTCAGTACAAACTAGTTGCTTTTCTTACCTCTTCGTGGTTTCGGCTGCAGACTCAAACGTATTTTGTCGTCGCAGTTCTTCTAAGAGAAGATGTGTAGACTGTGTCTCGGCCAGAGTAGGAAGGGCACTTGAGATCGGAGGGGTGATGCCCCAGGTCTGTTGAGAATTGGCCATCGTATTTTGTGAAGAAAACATGAAAGGATGATGCTTAAAAAGATGCCAGGAAACGAAACTATCCGGATGTAGAATGGATTAAATAATTAAAAGAAAGTAAAATACTGCCGCGCAGAGGCAGAAAGTGGTAAGGATCTGAGTTGGTCTCGTCTGTGACAAACAGCATCGAAAGGCGTTTTCGAGCAACAATCACATTGCCTTTTTGGGGGGGTATCTTTTAGGATTTCGAGGTATTTGCTGCTTGTAAGCAAGGTAAATGCCAAAAGGCGACCGTTCTCAAGGTATGAACAGTGACTGGCGCGAAGATGGATGATAAGATACGCGTAGTGAAAATTGATGAATGTTGGAATGAATGATGGGTAAGGAAACGGAAATGGAGATGAAAGAAAATACTGGTCCTTAACTTTAGGTACCTAACCTAAGGTATTGTACATAACATAACCTTAACTTTGCCTTGTAGTACCTTACCTTAGGTACATAAACTAATCTAATGTAGTACCTCTAGTGTAAACCGTACCAATTGCCCAGGCTGTTTCCAGGTCATATCGTTTATCGATACGACCTAACGCGCGCTTATCTAAGACTGGTTCAAACTTCAAGGTACATTAGGTACATTGTGCGTTTACCAAAATAGCCGCTGGACATGTAACAAGCTTGCCTAAGGTAGGTAAGTAACCTCGAGTCCCAGTCAAATTTAGCACGCTAGCAGCCTAGGAAGAAATTCCTTCTATTTATAAATCCAACTTAACAATAGAAGAAAGACAACACTCAAAATGTTTTTTTTTTTTTTTTGGAAAAATACCTGGTATACCTAACTCCATCATCTCGGACATAGGGTATTGTTCACGTTTCTATAAAATTAATCCAGTCTAGGCAAAATGCTCAGAATTCCATCCATTACATAAGTCTCTACTCAAAAGCAAAGCTGGACTTATTTATTGAGGCCGATGCTGCGTTATGAGTAGAGTAACTATCGCAAACCGTCTTGTACACATAACTACTGGCATATTAGATGTCCATACCCCAACGCCTTATCCACTCGTCCGTGAGAGCTATTTCGAGGGGATCCATGTGCCAATGCTGCCTTGAGATCCAAAACGCCAATCCCCCAATCACACCAAAGCTTCCTATCACTTCTAAAGCAAACCAACCCTTTGCTTTCAAGTCCGCCGCTATTTGAAGCAATCCTAGTGGATCTTGATGCGGTACCGTCTTCGCCGAGAACCTACGTTTTGATAGTCTCTTTTCTCCCATTGGGCTTGTGCCTTGGGGTTTATTCAGAGCTACAAGTGTACCATCTTGTACACATTCGCTCAACCTCTCTGTGAGCCAAATGGCACGTTCTCCCCGAGCCAGCGATTCGTACTGGGCTCGCTCACTAGCCAAACTACGCTGGAGATCGGCTGCCCAGTCCGCCACATGCAATTGGAGTGGGCTATAAGTCGGTTGCTGATTGTAAAGGCGAGCAAGCTCTAGACATGAACGTGGACCAGTCGGATTCTCGGGTGGACCACCTCGAAGAGATGGTGCTCGACCAGGGAAACCCAATGGCCGGTATAAATGGCTAGGGCGCGATGGTGTGGTATTTCTCCATTCCAAATACTTCTTTGCTGCAGAGTATCTCAACCAGGATATCCCACTTGGACTAAACACGTTGTCTACAAGATATTTTAGTTCCGACGTCATGAGAGGCTGGACATATTCAGAGCTCATGAGAAGGCTTGCGTCCATTATATCATCATCTGAGCCGGTCGCACTAGATACAGCATACGGTATACTGGGTATCGCCGTTGCAGATCCATCGCTGGCTGTTAATGCAAAGCTAAATGTTTGCAGACCCGCTTCTCGAAGCTGGCCGACGAGTTGCTCCTTGCAGAGAGCAAGCTGTTCCGGCGACAACGAGTCAGCTTGGGCTAGAAGGGGGATGACATTTGTCAGTGGGGTTAACCGGCGGATATATTCTATATCGACAGGTCTTATCTCTTCAAGGTTGGTTAGTACTGGTATCTCTTCAAGTTGAACCGTTGCTTACTTTGTGAGATGAAATAGAAGACTACGTCGATTTGAAACCCTCCGCTGCCTCCTAGCATGTTTAACATATCCGAATCGCTTAGAGAGTCTGAGGATATCTTTTCTAGGTGAGATTCTATATATTCAACACAAGACATAATAGTCTCCATAGCCTAGGCAGTGTCAGCATATTCAAACAGTTGGAAATATTAGCGCAACCCACGGATGAACCATTTCGATATCCAGGTGTGTCTACGAAACACACATTACGCTCTAAAACACTATCACCTAGACTTTGACGTCTCTGGGAAATATGAGGTTCATCTAGCATGGACCACCATTCCGGATAAGGCTTAGTACTAGCATATATCTCTGATATAGCAGATGTCGAGTTTGATGCCTTTCTAGGTAAGCTTGCGGGCTTTTTATGAGTGCTTGACTCGGTCTGAGACGGAATAGGGTCAACATGGACGATATGCTCGCACGTTTGGACGATTGCTTTGACCATGGAGGTTTTACCGATACCTAGAGCGAAGTCTATTAGCTACAGCTAAGCGATGAGCTTATTAGGAACAATACCAGAATTCCCGGCAAACAACACCTTCAACCGTCCTAGGCTTTTGCCCGTCTCGGTGAACGGGCGCCGGCTTGGCATCTTGATACTTGGCATTACTAGTTGAGGAGCGCTTCCACTATCTGACACATTCGAAGGCCTCTGTTCGAAAAATTCGTCATCGGAGCTAAATTCATGGTCCGAAAGCGACCCAGCAATCGAGTTTCTCCTCGAGGATGGAGTGCTAACTACGGAACTCGTGCAGGATGTACCTAGCATAATGGGCGTTATCGGCCGGGAAGGTGATGAACAATTCTGAGATCTCATCGAAGCCGGGCTATGCGCGAAGACAGAAGCCCTCGAAGATTGGGTATATGCTGGCATATAATCTCTTTCCCGCTGTATCATAGCCTGTTTTGAAGATTCACCGTCCTTATCATTCGCACGATGAGATGGCACGTTCGTAGAAGCAGCAGACTTCCGCGCGTCTAGAAAACGACTGTGCGGGTTAGACTGCTCGAGGTAAGAATCGATGGACGACTCGTCGGCAAGGAAAAATGACATCTGGCTACTGGAACTGGATGCCATAAGGGGGACCGGCTCGTGGTCGGCCGGACGCTGACGCCCTTGCCAAGCGTGGTCGCCAGGAAAGGGTCGCATGATTAGAGGATCACATCTAGATAGAAGTAGAGAAAAATACGGGAAACGCGTCCCCGATTTGGGGTACTACAAGAGGTAGATATATAGGTAGGTATATTACTAAATATAAATATAAATATAGGTATAGGTAGGTATAGGTATAAATATATGATATGAACCTATATCGTAAGAGAGGTTGGGAAAAAAAGCTCAGAGTGGTTCGTTAAGGGGAATTCACAGACGGCGGTGGATGATGACATGAGTCGGTATTAGATCTGAAGATGGGGTCTTCTCCTTTTGGCTGTATGGAGAGTTGGAGCCGTTCCATGAATGGTTGAATAAAGGCCACCCCGCATTAGATAAGCTCAGGAGGTGCTGAACCAGCTTTGTAGAACCCTCTTGTGGTGCAGGTACAATGCAAGTACAACCCAATGGGGAGAGTATGGCCTTAGTTTTTGCTATTTTTGCTATATTTACCAAGCCTACCAAAGTGGGAATTTCGTACCCACTTGTACACCTCCACTTTTGGCTTGTTGAGACTCAGAGGCGATCACTTGAATGTTTGTGAAACTCGACGTTGAATAGTGTGGTGCGTACGAGGTACCTAAGGGATGGTTGGTTGCATTACTTGCCTTATGTACGTACATAAAAATTACGTACATACATTCAATTGTGTTGCCTACATACATGTACTAACCTAACCTTGGAAAGGCATGCGGTGACATCTTCCCCCCCCCCTGCCCACGTTGTGTCCATTCTCGTCCATCTGCCCCTCAACTTTCAACCGCTAAAAGGAAACCCGAGATAATAACCTGACCTACTTTAACGACCTTGTCGACCTGCCGACCTACCATTTTAATCCACCCCTCTAATTTCGAAGGTTTATCTGTAACGGATGATTTACTGAAGGTGAAGCGCCCTAATCCGAGCTGGTATTCGCCATATAATCTTGCCAAGAGTCATTCTCACTGTCGCCTGTCGCTTAATAAAATTTCTCGGGCGTCTCTTTGTCTCCCGCCGTCGAAAATCAGAACCCGTGCCTTGCATTACGACAAGGCTATTTTAACTCTCTTTTCCCCCCTACCTTCACCACGACTTCCAACGCCACCTCCCCCGCAGACAACCCTGGTAGACAACCCACGGATTTGGATCTTCTGAGCGAGACTTGCACGGCTGGCAATATACTATTTGATCCGACGTACACCTCTCGACCTCGTCCAACTCAAATCAAGATGGACGCTAAGAGGCACCCGAGCTCCTTTCAGCAGCTCGAGAAGCTGGGAGAGGGTACCTACGCTACGGTACGTTCTCCCCGCGTACCCGAAGATTGTAGTTGGAATGTCCTTTGTTAACTTATATATGGGAGTAATTAGGTCTTCAAGGGACGGAACCGCCAGACGGGCGAACTAGTCGCTCTCAAGGAAATCCACCTCGATTCCGAAGAAGGTACCCCGTCGACGGCGATTCGAGAAATTTCGCTCATGAAGGAACTGAAACACGAAAATATCGTCGCGCTCTACGATGTGATTCATACCGAGAATAAGTTGATGCTAGTATTCGAATATCTGGATGGAGACCTTAAGAAATATATGGATACCCACGGCGATCGGGGCGCTCTGAAACCCATGACTATCAAGTCTTTCATGTTTCAGCTGTTGAAGGGCATCGATTTTTGTCACAAGAACAGAGTTCTACACCGAGATCTGAAGCCCCAAAACTTGCTCATCAACAAGAAAGGCCAGCTCAAGCTTGGGGATTTCGGGTTGGCACGAGCGTTTGGTATTCCTGTGAACACGTTTTCAAACGAAGTCGTTACGCTATGGTACCGCGCTCCAGACGTCTTGCTAGGTAGTCGAACGTACAACACCAGCATCGATATATGGTCGGCAGGTTGCATTATGGCCGAGATGTACACCGGGCGACCCCTGTTCCCCGGCACAACGAACGAGGACCAAATTGTACGTATCTTCCGCATAATGGGCACCCCTACGGAAAGAACCTGGCCTGGTATCACGCAGTTCCCCGAGTATAAGCCCAACATCCAAATGTACGCTACGCAGGACCTCAGAGCTATCCTGCCCCAAATCGACCAGCTCGGAATCGACCTCCTACAGCGAATGTTAGTGCTGCGCCCGGAGCACCGCATCAGCGCTCACGACGCATTGCAGCACCCTTGGTTTTCCGACTTGGCCATGCAGCACCAAATGCAGCAACAGCAGGCGATGCAAGCCCAAGCCCAAGCCCAAGCCCAAGCGCAGGCCCAGGCACAAGCTAGAGGCTTTGCCGCTCCCACCGTGCCCTCGCAAGGCGTTTACGACCAGGGATATTAGTATTATTATGGCGGGCGCTAGGTTATGGTTTAGACACGGCAGCTTGTGTCTAGGGCAGTCGTACCGCAGATACGCTTTAGCACGGATATGAGTTATCAGATAGCGAATTCAGGTTTATACTTTATTGTATTGCGGTTATAGAATAACCACGACGAGGGCTTTGGAGGAGGAAGCGGGAAGCGGTTAGTAGCTAGTAGCGTGTGAACTTGGGTGTCCTGTTGTAGCACGGAAGGATTACGGGTGGGCAGGCGTTTGGGCGGTGACATCGTAACGCTCATAGATAATGACCGCATTCATATGGGTTGGTAGAGAGATCCATTAGTTACTATTAATAAGTGCCGAAAAAAGGATATACCCAATGGCTCTGCCCTTCTATCTACTGCTTTTTAGCTTGAGATGAGTATTGTCTTGATGTGAATTAGCTAGATCGGACTTGAGCCAAATTGCCACCCTACCCGGCCTACCTAGGTAGTATATTTGGGTTGTCACTGTCAGGTACCGAAAAGGGGTATGTATTGTACAGGGAGATTATGAAGACGGTGACTGTCACTAAAGCTAGGATAAAACGGTGGACTATATCATATGAAGGTGAACGAGTCTGATAGTCCATAGGACGCCACTCGTCTCTCCTTTCTATTAGACCTATGTTCTAGAGCTCATAGCCGGTGCAAATGAATTTGGAGCAACACTCATTAGGCTTTACCCCTAGATCCTGTTGGGCAATTAGATTTATTTCATTTTCAACCTACAGCGCTACAGTATACGCTTCGCTTTAACCCATAAGAAACGGATGTTTTTTTCAAGACAATATATATCTATCGTCACCGTCCTTACTCCCTCTTGTTGACTAAACTGTCGTCAACGTCGCTCTTGAAACGGTCCTTGTTGGGTTCCCGCGCCCACGTCTCCGCCAACTCGAAACCCGGCTCTTCTTCCGGGTACCCCATGCTCCTGCGAACCTTGGCCACCTCCTCGCGGACCCTCCTCGCGACCTCGATCCTGAGGTCCACGGCCTCCCTGCCGTATTTCAGCTCGTCGGTCAGCTCGCCCAGCGCCGACGCTTGTGCGGTGTCCTTCTTCTTCTTCCTCTCCTCCTTGCGGACGAGCTCCTGCCACCGCGCGCGCAGGTCGCCGAACTTCTGCTCCGAGTCGAGCAGCTCGCCGAAGGCCACGCGGAACCGGACGGGGAAGCGCGGCAGGAAGCGCGGGAACCCCCGGTCCTCGGGCATCACGCGCTGCGGGCCGTCGATGAACATGGGCAGCACGTCGGGTATGGGCTCGCTCTCGAGGATCATGCGCGAGACGCCCCACTTAAAGTACCGCATGGACATCCTCGGGTGCTGGTGCACGCACGCCTCGGGGAACACGTGCACCCAGCTGTGCCGGTTCCGCGCGTAGATGGACGGCGAGACGTACAGGTCCGTTCCCGTGGTGGTGAATGTCATATCCCCGGAAGTAAACGGATCCGATATATCGTCGTGAGATCCTTCCGAGAGAGTTGGCTCTGGGGGTGAAGACAGAAGGCGGATGGCCTGCTGGACAGTAGGCTGAAAGAGTCCTCCGTGGTGTGAGTGCTTTAACCTATGAGTCGGTAATACCTGACCGGCATAGAAAAATGAAGCAAGTAGCCTAACTATATATGTTAGCATGAAGAGAAAACATCCCTACCTCCTAGGTACCTAGGTAAGTACCTAAGGTAATGAGTTGGTCATGGAATTAAAGGGATGCGCTCACTTATTCTTATAACATATGTCGTGGGCCCCTAGACCCCATCTATGGTTTGATGGGTTGAAGGCATAACTAAACGGTAGAACTCCCCATATTAAAGGATCATCCAGTCTATATATATACAATGAATTAATTCATTGATGAAATATAATTAGAAGCTTTTTGAGATATATACCACTTACACGCTGACGTGATTCGAGACTGAGGTAAAATTAGTTCTTCATAACTATCACGAAGCCCGTCGTCACCCACCAGTAATGAGACCCCTCTGCCTCTTTTCGACGTCTTTCCTCTGATCCAATACTTGTAACAAGCGCTCCAGGCCGGTCACCTCGACTGAATTTAACCCATATAAGAAAGTTCTAGATAGGGCTGCCGTCAGGCCCATGACAACGGATGAAGTTATGCGCCATGGCAGACTTGGCTGCTGCTGGAGCGGCAGCCTGTTAGGGTTCGAGTTGGACATGTCGACTTCGTGCGATGCCATTGACTTTTGGGGTTGGGATATAACGGCATAGCAAAAGAAGTATTTCTATATAAGTTAAAGGTAGGTAATTAAAGAAAGACTAGGTCAGGTACCTCATAATGTTTCGAAGTTTTCTCTTGAAGGAGAATTGCCTCAGGTACCTCTTAGCACGATGGAGACAGCGAAAACAAATTTAGGTAACGGCGTAAAAGTACAAGGTACTACTCAATGTACTAGCTACCTCTATTTTGCAACTAGGTTAGGTAGGATCTTTTAGTACGTGACGGTTGCAAATGATGCAGAACTAGATGACGGCTCTCGTTACCAGCTGCAGGGACGGGACAATCCCATTGGATCGGGAGATAACGATACACCTATGGACCCCTGTAATTACAGTACATCGATACTTAACATTACGCCTTGAGCCTTGCAGATAGATACCAGAGTACCTAATATCCACTTTAATGTTTGCGACAACGAACTTGAAGTTGTACCTTTAAATACATGACCATCTTCTGTAATAATTATTTCGAATTATCATCTCCAAGATGTCCCATAGTAAGGTTTCTCCTTTTTCCGAATAATTTACCTGGAGGGACTAAATAAAATAGCCACTCTTACTAACACGTCTTGTCCATAGGTAAACGAAACACGTCGCGCGCCGTCTTCACCTCTCATGAACGGGACCTCGCTAAACGAGCATGGAGCTCGACGACGGCTCGACTCTCTCGCGAGAGCTTTCTCCCCTTCTCTTCCTGCGGCCTGTGTCTCGAGATAGCTAGAGATCCTGTGTCGTGCGTGCACGGCGATATCTTCTGCCGCGAATGCGCCTTAAGCAACATCCTGGCCCAGAAAAAAGAGATCAAGCGCCTCGAGAAGGTCCGCGAGCAAGAGGAGCGCGATACCCTAGAAGAGAAGGCCCGTCTGGAAGAAGAAGCCCGCGAGCGCGCTATCCGCGAATTCGAGATGACACAGATTGGTCTGGATGCGAAAGCGAGGAGTAGCAGTGCTCAGAAAGACTACAACGCTGCCCGGAAAGGGTCGACCGATAGTCACGATCAAAGCAATACACCAATAGCAGGAGAGGAGACATCTAATAATAACAATGGGAAGAAGCGCAAGTTCGAAATAGACGCAGAGGAACTAGTGCGGATAGCACAGGAAGACAGGGCAAAAGCACGGAAAGCAATCGACGAAGAGAAAGCAGCAAAACCCGCATTACCATCATTTTGGACACCCTCGGTAACGCCGTCTTCCAATACGAAAGACGCGCTCCACGACGTGGCTAAGAAGCCGAAGACCACGCCGATATGTCCGGCGTCAAAAGAAGATAGCCCGCATACGTACTCGCTGCACACGCTTGTGACGGTAAACTTCACCGAAGAGGAGGAAGAGGAAGGCGGTGAGAGCGGCAAGACGACGAAGAAGAAGCGCATACGCGTGTGCCCCTCGTGCAAGAAGGGGCTTAACAACGCCTCGAAAGCGATGCTCGCGAAGCCCTGCGGGCACGTCCTGTGCCGGAACTGCGTCGACAAGTTCATGCGGCCGTCGCGGCACCACGATCCTCACGCGTCGGCGGAAGGTTCCGGGGGCTTGCGGTGCTACGTCTGCGAGGCGGATCTTACGGATAAGAAGAATAAGAGCAAAAACGAGGGCGGCGAGAAGGGCGAGAAGGGCAAGAAGAAAGATAAGGAGAAGATACGGCCGGGACTGGTTGATCTGAGGAGCGAAGGCACGGGGTTTTCGGCTGGAGGCGTAAACCAGGTGCAGAAGTCCGGCGTGGCGTTTCAATGCTAAGGCATGCTTACCTACCTACTTAACTTGCCGCAACTGTAGAACGATTTACCCCTAATAATCTGTGATATCACGAGAGGAACCCTAGAGCTAGATATAACAGGAGAGAATTGATGAATTAACCCGAGTGTAGCAGCTAGTCGTAGCACCGCTGCCAACACTAGAAAAAAAAAACACATTATCTAGTATGAGGTACCTATGGCCGACCTATCCTGTCGTATGTTATGCTCAATAACCAACCAACCAACCATATCCTGTATTGTATTCCCCTTTTCCCTCCTTTTCCAGTCCCGAATCCGAACTCGATTTCCCGGCCCAAAGTTGAATCGTCGTAAACCTCGTGCATCATGCGACCTATCTTCACACGCATTTTTCCTGCCTTTTTTGATCGAAATGTCCGTAACCCCCTCCCCTTTTTTTCGGTTTCGCAACCATGTACCCCCAGGTTTACAATTCCCCAACTCCAAGGCCCTCCGAGCGCCCGAACCAAAACCAGCCTTCCTTTTTTTTTTTTTTTTTTTTTTTTTGGAGGGGGGAATAGTCCTCCCGTATCCGAGTATAGAATAGGAGATTGGTGGATGAGCTAGGAAGAAAAAAAAATAAAAAAAAATAAAACGACAAAGGAAAGGAAAAGGAGTGGTATGGACTGTCTCAGTCCTGTTAAGGTAGTTAGTAAAGCAACAGAATAGACTTTTCCCTCCTCCACCACCTCCTCGTACAAAAGAAATCCAGGGGAACCAGAATGATACGAATACGGCAGTAGTTCGTATAGGCCATTCTTATGGATCCTCCTCCCCCCTGTTAACACATTGTCTTAGGTATAGGTAGGTAGGTATCTTTTTCCTTATTGGTTAATATGGCTTGACCCCCCTCTGCGAATTGTCAATCATATTCGCTACTACGCTTCCTCCCTCGTCGTCATCCGCGTCCCTGCCATTAGCCGGGAACGGTCGTCGGCCGTAGCCTGCGGCGGGGTACGACGTAGACGTAGACGGAGACGGAGACGGAGACGGACGAGGAGGAGGAGGAGGAGAGGGTAGTCGCTCGTAGCGGTACCGATCGTAGTTGTTGTCGTGCCGGTGCCGTAGCGAGTGCAGCTGGTGCTGCGGTTCTGGCGGCGGCGGAGAAGCAGTTCGCACCGAGAGAGGCGGTGTACCAGCCCGGCCTTGAACCGGAGGAGCCCCAACCATACCCTCCATTTCCTCCAGCGGACCTTCAACCCTCGCTCCCGACATGCTCCCACTCCTATTCCTAACGCCCGTAGCCTCAACACCGCCTGCTCCTCCTCCCATCCTATCCCCCCGCGCCCGCATCTCCGCCGCCGCCCCCGCAACAGCAAAGTACAGTCTAAACAGCGCCCTGTGCACGAGATCCTTCGCCAGCATCGCCGTCCCGTGGCCCAGAATACCCCTGGCTAGCTCGCCTAGTATCCCCTTGTACAGAGCCCCGACGCCCTCCGCGCGCGCGATCCGCACCGCGGCGCCGAACACGCTGCTGCTGCTGCTGCTGCCGAGGCTTGCGAGAGTCCGTGTTAAGTCCGATTTATACCCGCCGCTGCTTTCGCGCCCGGGGAAGCGTTCTGGCGGCGCGAGGTTCTCCGTGAAGGACACTTTGCGGAGAGGAGGAGCAGGAGGAGAAGGAGAAGGAGGGGCTTCCGTCTTGGGGGATATGGGTTCGTCGTTGAAGGGGGCCCGGCCGTGCGTCTGCGTCTGCACCTGCGTATCTAATTTGGGGAGTTCTTCGACCGCTGCCGCTTCGTCGGTCCTGGGCTGCGCCGATCCGCTGCGCGGGTTGTTCGGAGGAGCCGTCGGGCCGTCGTCGGTCTGCAGCCGGATGCTAGCGGCGGCGGTCTCGAGGGGGTACGTGATAGCCGTAGCGACGGCCTTGCTGACGGCCGCGAGCAGGAACGTCGCACCGGCGCCCGGGTTATCCCACCTGTCGGCCGGGACGGTCTTTCTCTTGAGGAGCTCCTGCAGGCAAAATGTGATGCTCGGGTTGAGCGTGAGCACCAGGGTAGCCGGGTAGCCGGACCAGAACCCCGCGAGACCCTGCTCTTTCCGGACAGCGTCGACGGCGTCGCGGATGCTGGCATCGCCGTCGTTGGGAAGCGGGGCCGTCTGCTTGCGCGCGAGCACGTTGGCGATCGGTGTGGCGAAAAGCTTCGAGCAGGCACTAGCCGCGACACCGATAGCCAGTTCTTCGAGGACGCTTAGCCCCGGCACCGACATATCCGCTCTTCCCCTCCGACCCCGGCCGTGGCCGTGACCGTGGGCCCCGGTCCCGAGCCCGAGCCCGAGGCTCCGGAACCAGTCATAGAAGAGAAAGAAGAGGAAAGAGTCCAAGGCAGATCTGGCTGTGTCCCGAGCTAGGCCAGTCCAAGGTGCTCTCGGCGCGCCACCGGACCTCCAGATCCGAGAAAAGGCTTCGGCGACTCCTGGACCCGGAGCTGCCGCCGCTGCCGCTGCTACTGCCTCGGGCCCGGTCGGATCGGTGGGAGTGGTGGTGGTGTCTCCGGCGTTGCTGCTGGTGCTGCCGGTACTGTCGAGTCGAGCCTCCCGACGAACTGGTCGCCGTGCTTGGAGGCGGGTAATCGCTAGGGAGAGAGGATACAGAGTACATGTTGAGATGAGCGTGCCGGCGGATCCCGAGACGGCGTGATGTAAGGCTGAAAGCAATCTGTCTTCTTCTGGAGGTTGTGGTATATTTGTGTAATAATTGGCGTATCTCGACGATGTCATGGTTTGTCTTCCTTCCAGGCGTTATAAGTGGAAAAAAGGGGGCAGGCGGAAAAGAGACTATATGGTTTATATCCCGAGAACGAAATGTTCCGGTTTGGGTTCCGCGAAGATCTAGACTTACAGTACGAAGACGAAATAGGGTACGGAACACAAGACATACAAGAATATTGTCAGCTGATTCCACACGCTACCGAATCTTGGATAAGACCTTGTGGCCGTGCTTATGTGTGTGTATGTCCGTATGTGTGTTGCCTCGTAACCCAATGGCACCAGAAGTTAGTCGATGGTCGACCGTGCTTAGGAGGGGAAAAGGCCGAAAAGCCCACTAGGTTGTATATAGATTATGTAGTCTACCATGTAGTCTACCGTTCAAATATCTGTTTGCCCATCATTGGGTCAACAGTGTCGCACAAGGCCGGCGCCATATTGTTTGTGTGTTAGTATGTGCTAGACGTGCGTATGGATGGGATGTATGTGTATGAGTTGAGCGTGAGAGAATACTTACTTCACGATGTGACCGAGCCGCAGGTTGGCCTGAGCAGAGAGGGGCGGCTTGTATAATAGTATAACAACATCATAACCGGTTCATAGCTAGTTTATATATATGCCTTATACTATAATTTATGTAAAATGCCTAGTATATGTTGTTTTCCGTACAAGTATGCAGAAGATAAAGAGTAAATAGAGAATACTCCACCCCCTTTTATGCTTACATACAGAGACATTCCTTGCCTTGCATTCTATGTCTTCTATCTCTACTATATTTACCTCTAGCTGATCCTATATCCAGGTTTCGAGGCTGGTGATCCATAAAACGGCTTTCTTATTTACGTTGGAATATCAATATTCTAAGGAGGGTGTACCGGCGAGGGGCTTCCCCGAAGCCACATTGCCTTATAGAATGTTATGAAAACGCATCCGTGGGATTGGAGAGCTTACACGTGTACAGGCCCCTCATGCTCCATCCCGCCGTGCAACCTCCAAGTTAGGCCTTGCCCAGATACCGCCACTTCGGGCATCGACACATATGCCCTTATACCTAGCTCTTCGGTCTAAACAGCTTCTATTCCGGGTCATGATATTTATTGGAATTTGATAAGTGGTATCATACGAATCCTAGAATACTGCCTATAGCACCTAAAAAAGATAACCCAACGCCGGTCCAAGGAGGTAGCAAATCTGGTATACCTACTGACCTGTTACCTTCTCCTAACGCCCCTCGAGTTACCTCCTCCTAAACAAACTCAGACGCTGATAAAAAAAAACAAAAAAACACTCGCAATTGTCCGGTACCCCCGAAAAACGCCCAATCGTTGATAACGATGATGATGATAATAATAATGCCCAGCCCGCCCAAATGCATTTACCTAATAATCTGGGTACTTACCCAACCTCGCTTGTGTGCCGGTATTGAAGGGCCCAATTCTATATACGACGTATATGTAATAATAAAGGGGATGGTGGTGCCGGCTCACTCCAACAGATTTATAGTTGCCAAAAGGAATCCAAGCTCTCAAACAACTTGTTTCGCTAAAACGCTTGCTCAGACCGTCCGTTCGACATATTCGTTTGACATATTCGTATGGCATGCTTGCTGTATCACAGTAACTTGTCCTAAGCTCGGCTTGCTACGGACGGTCGTCGTGAATTGGCCTGCATACTAAAACTGGAGGACCGTCGGACGCCCACGGCACTTATCATTCCTAGGTCTGGCTCACCCGGTGCGTCGTCTAGATCCATAGTATTCGTATCTGTATGGTTTTCGGGGAGCTTCTGAGCACCATATCCAACAACCTTGAAAATATTGGTACGGCCGCCATTGGTTGCTGTGTGGAGCTGTTCACGGAGACGCGCTAGTTGATATGTCCTCTTGATAGGCTCAAACACGGGCGGCGGCAAGACGGGCTGTGGATTCCATCGGGCTAGTGCGCCCATGACAGCTGCTGTCTCCTCATCAGAGTCGACTGGTCCGGCATTAGCGTCATCGTCGTCCTCTAACGGGGCATTTGCATCCAACGCGGCCTCTGTAGTATACATTAGTCAGTACGATCAAATATCTAAGCAATTCTTTTTTTTTCTTCTGTATCTTACTTTGCTGTTTCGCCTGGTTCTTCTTCTGATATGCAGCGAGTAGCATATCGTAAGGCAGCGATCTACCGGCAACGGCACGCTTGGCTCCCATACTGTGGCTTTTACATGTTAAAGACCGCGCACATGGTTGCCCGTTCGGTAATATGACACCACATTGCTTTTCGACATCGACAGGACCTAGAGATTAGTTAGAAACGATATAGTTCAGAATATAGTTGGACGGAACCATGCGTGGTGGCTAGATACCTTTCGGCTTGGGGACCTTTGGTTTCGGCTCCTCCTTCTTTTTCTTGTTTTTGGGTCCCTTATCGGCGTCACCGTCGGCCTTTCGTTTCTTGCCCTTCGGCTCGCCGTCCGGCTTCTTACCCCCTACTTTCTTGGTTGCTTTCCCACTAGTTCCCTTTTTCTCTGGCGAGCCATCATCGTCGTCGTCACTATCGTCATTCATTTTGGCATCTCCATCTTCGTCGGCTTTCCGGGCTTCCTCTTCCCGTGCTTGTTCCTTTGCTCGTTCCCTCGCCTCTCTAGCTTCCTTCTTGCGTTGAGCTTTCTCTTTTTTAATCCGTAGGCATTGGGCAATATGTTCCTTGGCTGCAGTTTTTATGATGCCTTTTTTACAATGTTTGCATTGCTGGAGATTAAGACTATCTTCGAGGGGACGTCCCGTCGCAAAGGTTTCACGGGAGATTTCGTCTAATGGGTTGACAACAGGTCCGGGGGATGGGGCGCCGACGATAACGGAAGGGTTCTCGGAGGATTTAGATTTCTTGTCATCTATACATATATAATAATAAAATAAGTTTTAGAAGCTGTTGGTGTTATAAAGAGAGTATGATTTTTTGAGGCGCAACGTACCATCAGCAACGCTACCATCTCGCCAATTACCAGGCTTTAATTGCTTGGGCACAGGTTTCTTTAGCTTGATTATCCCGTTGGGCTTGTCGCGTATGGCTTTCTTCGAGGCGACGTTAATTGTACCTTCGTCATCGGGACCTAGAACGTGGGGCGAACATTCGTGTCAACACGGCGCGCTGTGCAGTCAGGTCTGCAAGTCAGGTTTGCGAATGGCTACATACCTTTGCGCCCTTCTCCGCCGCTCGCCATTTTGATAGGTACTTGACTTTTTTAGTCGGTCACATTTATATTACCATGTGTAAAATATTGCGCTGTTATCATAGATTGAATTCGAGGTGATGGAAACGTCGTATGTAGCGACTTTTAGATGGTTCCAAGGTTTAGATTGCAGTTGTTGAATGATTGAAGAGGCGTTGACACTGGAGCTAAAGCCTCGTGGTTCCACTTTGAAAGGTGCTTTGATAAGATCTTATCGCCCATTAGTGCTGAAGCGCTAGCCCGTAGTATTGCCGCAAAAAGGGTTCTTTATGCACGGGCCCACATTTTCATTACCTCCATTATGTACTTCGTACTTCCATCAAGCTCCTTGAACTTTACATACATGAATCGTCTTGCGCTGATGACAATTGTTCCTGGGTATTTCTATATAATGCCATTCGCCTGTATTCCCTATCCCAGATATGCCCAGTAGAACCGATCAGTTAAAGCACTTCTCGTCGCTCAGCCACACCTATGTACCATGAACGCCTGTCCAGACTCCAGATAATATCACCCATAACGGATAACGGACATCTAGATCGCTCAATATATCCGCATGTGGCCGTGCTCCTCTTCCAACTTTAGTACGAGCCCGGTCGGCCCTCTACCTAATTTGGACCGATGCTCTTCCATAATTTCTGACAATGACTTGGCATGAAGCATTCCCGTCTGTCCCCAAACCACTTGCATCACATTATAAGCCCAGTCCCAAAACTCCGGCGGAACGTTTGGAGCGCAACCAGCGACTTGGAGATGCCAGAGCAGGCTAGGTACTCCTACCGCTCCCGAGTTGCCGAACCCGTCCGCCTCAAACTCTCGGGTCACTTCAGGATCAAGCATTGGGTGATGCCAGTGCGAAGGCACACTTATAAGAATATCCTCGGCTAATCGTTCAATGGTGGTGTAACATTTTACTCTCTGAGGAGCTGGTAACACTCGACTGCTTGATATAGGATAGACACTAATAAACTTGAAAAGCTTTTGGTTAGTAAGAATGTGAGCCCAACGATAATGATTCCATATCCTGGCAGCCCATATCGCATTATACTTGTGCCACTTTCCGCGAAAGACCGCTTCTGGAGGGTACTCCCCCATATTTTCTATAAAGGGAAAAATTTCTCGTAGCCGCTTGTCTAGGTCACCAAATGTATTATCCAACTCAATGAATTGTTGTATAAGGTTGTCCACAGCTGGACGCCCGTCGGTATACGCCGTATGTTCAGATAACACCGACAGTTGGAGAAGCCGAGCTATAGCAGTAGCTAAATCGATCAAACAGCCTTCCGTGACTCCCTGCATCAACTGCTTACAGAATTTTAGAGTTTCGAAAAAGCCAGGTGGAAGAGGCGTGCTTGTCGCTTGATAAGGGATGAACTGAAATAGTCAGTACCTAGATCGCATAGAATTCGGGGAATGTATAGGGAGGTACCATGGAAAATAACAATTGCAATACACCATATACGCCACCAGTAGGGACTTGCGGAAGAGGCAATACAGATCGTAATATAGCCATTGCCCCATTAACATGCGTGCTGGCTAGCCCTACTGCTACTCTAGATCCTCTACCTTGAACAATCTATACACGGTAAGTAATTGGTCCTCGAATATGAACACTTCCGGGTAAGGGTTCACCTCGAATAAAGCGAGAGACACGACACTTCGAAGGCGAGCTACGAGGCCTGCTGGATCATTGCTTGCAATTAGTTGGCCGGTCTGTTTAAGGGACGCGACGTATTTAGAGCGCGCAACTAAGTTCATATTTTTGTTCCCTAACAGGTTAGACAGTCCTGCGAGACCTACGGCTATCATGACGTTCTGAGCGACATCTGACCTCGAAAAATACTCTGCTACTTGCTCGCTCGTCCTTGGGGAGTCCGGATGGTGTAACAAATACCGATCGATGTAAAACTGCAGTCCTTGTTGCTCCATATTTAAATTTACCTTGTTAGGTATCTTTGCAGGGGCCAGCTCGGATGGTGGCATAGGTTTATTCTCCGACGGACTATCTGAATTGTTACTTGAGCACTCGTCCGTCCATGCCGAGGCCGAGGCTGAAGTTGAGGCAAAACTCCCGCCAGGTTCAGTAGGCGACCCCGAAGAACCCCATTGAGCGTGTGCCTTTTGTATGACTTTGCTACTCTCATCGCGGAACATGAGAGATAGCTGATCTCTATATCCCGGGCATTTCTTGCTGACTCGAATGCACTGTGAGCATTCCGGCCGTTTTTTATCGCACTACGGTTTCATAGTTAATTCCGGATCGGTTCATATATTATGGCCCCGACCGAATGGTTCGATCGAAGCGAGTGCAGGCGAAGTAACCGAACCTTGCGGCATCTCGCATATAATGCCGCTCGGTATACTTGGCTTTAGCTACAGGGCAATGATAGGGCAAGGGAGGCGGGTGCAGGTGTTTGGTGAGGTCGTGAGCACATACGCACCTTTATACGTCGGGTTCGACAGTTCTGGCACCCCTGAGAAGCCTTTCCACAATAAACCATTGTGCGAAAGATCTAGGATAGGCAAGCTGAGCGAACAAATCAGATTGGTGTATTGCCTTAGTTGCGCGCGTCAAGTCTTGTGCCTCCGTAAGTGACAGCAGTCGTTGGTCAATATTGCGGCTGGCAGGTATCGAAAAGGGAAAGCAATTCGTCGAGGTCGTGGGGAACAAGAAGGATCATGATTATGCGAGAACTAGCGGCATTAGTTTCGCTTTTTCCCCCTTTCTATCCGCTCCTTGTATAAAAGGATAGCTTGATGCCACTCCGGACCTTGTTTAATTTTTTCCAGAGCTTCCGAGGCGGTTTTATTTACCGAGTCCGGACGGAAACTCTTCACGTGTTTTCGAGATCGAAAATCGGTAACGGACGGCCCGTGGTTTGCAACAACGCTCAATCTATATGGACCACTAACCACCAATAATAAAAGATGGGTGATATACTCCCAGCTGAGCCGCGTTTTTAATGTTTATAGAATTCAATGTCAAGTTACTCAGACCTATGCAGAGATAATACTTGATAGGAAAGCAGAGAGTGCTGGACCTTAGAAGGGGGAACCAGGAGCTGAGTGAAGTGACCGTGATGGGGGTCCACGGTATTCGGTAATAGTTATACTGTACGTATATCCGACCTTGTCTTGTTTGAGAGGTTGAGATGTAAGGAGCGTTGATTAATCGCTTAATCACAATCCTTCAAAGTGACCAGTAAGTGATCAGTCTCTCAGCCTAACAATACCGAGTAACCTCGCTCCCTATCCTGCATAGATCATGTATCTATTATTAATAGGTACATATCTGCACGGGATGAGTTGTTTGTCTTTTTTTTTTCCTTGTTTTCTTTCCGTTTCTTTATGTATTACGCTGTTGTTATCTCACTAGAATATATATGTTAGTGCGTGCGTATGATGCGTACCTAGGTTGGTTTGTAGGTATTTCACCTACGGAGTTCGAAACTCGTCCAACGTCGAAAAAGACAAAAAAAAACAAAAAGAATTGCTACCGAATAGGAACTTCCCCGCTTTCCTTTAGACCCAATCGTCAATTTGGTGTGGGGGGAAAAGTACATAGATTGACAGGGGTTTGATGCACATACCTAAGATTGACATGGTTTAGCAATAGTTTTGGATCAAAGGTTTGAACACTGGCAAATCCGACAGCCTTGAAGGGAATTCTCAGGCAAGAACGTACAAAACTAAGTACACGAGGGAAGACCCACGCAAGACCCAGGTAAAACCATAGAAGCCAGGGGTGAAGCTTCTTGGGTTCTAGTGTATATTCCACATTACGTAGACATTTGGTAAGTGGGCAGGTGGGATCCGCTGAATACCTTAGGTTAGGTACTTACCTAGGTAAGAGGTATCTAATACCTACCTGGTCAGGTTAGGTACTTGGTTATTTCTAAGCAAAAGAGGTTGCAGGTAAGGTTGAAGTCTTAACGGACAATCAACTTACATTAGATACCTAGGGAATAACGTCTAATAACTATATCCAATGTTATATACATATCTAGGTACTTATACGCATACCCGTTTTTTTGGTGATGGCTTCCCATACGTTACCAATTGACATCCATTTCCTCTTTACTCCTTACATGAATTGTCCCAATAGGATTCTTATTTTTTATTTTTTTTATTAAGGCCACTACTATCGCTCTTCTACGTCCTTGCGCACATGGACAGTATTGCTCGATGCACAGTAAAATTCCTGCCCATGCCTGAAGGCATCGTCCGGGGTTTGTGGCCGGGTGCTACGTCGCGAGTATCCGGCTGTCATTGCCCGACGTGACGTGACCCCGAGGTTCCGAAGACCTTGTTGTAAGGCATCAAACGACCTTGGGAGTCGAGCGAGTCAAACAAACACTTGGCCGGGTTGCTGGGTTGTCGGGTCGTTTTGGACTTCGTTTTCTTAATTAAAGCACAGCATCCCTTTAGGGGCATGGCACGATTACTAAAATAAGGCGGACTCTCCAGTTTCGGGAGATCGAGTGGTTGTTCATCTGCCTTGTACATCTCGTACTTCGGAAAATAAACGCGGGTGACAGCACCTCGCTTACCTAGCTGGTTCAAGCAAGGCGAATACGCGAGATACTTTTAAAAGCATTTCGATCGACTATTGGCCAGATCCGGGGTTAAGCTACAGCATGCTACAACATGTGTTATATGGCAGAACTTCTATTTCTTATACATATTCCGAGTGCTCATGTTTATGACGACAATGGATGGACAGGTAGTTGTATTCAGGAGAATACCTAATTTCATTAAGAACAAAACAAGATTCCGAAATCCGTCTATTTTCCTATGTTTCTCTTAACTCGACAGCCGAACCATCGTCGTTTGACGTTTCACCTATTTCGACTCCTTGTTTGGGGACTCTGAAGCCCATGAACGGGACGTATGATCCAGGAAAGAAAAAGCAGAAGCTACACACAACTAGAAATATAGGCAGTGTGTCCAAGATGTACATACTACACAGTGTTAGCTTACAGGTAACTCTCAAAGTAGACTTTCGGCCACTCACAAATACTCATGCTGTGATATAGGGCCGTTTGAGCTTTCGGCAAATTCGACTACACGAAACACAGACCTAATCTAGAGAAGCAACATTAGAAGTCACGTTCTACCCAGCAAGTATTACTTGGTATCTTACCAAAATTAAAACGCAAGACACGTTCACCGCATATAACAGGTGTCTCCAGTTTGGGTTTATTTTGCGCGACACCCCTCTAACGAAGACAGACTTGCCTCCGTCAGCTACGTCGAGCCTTGATAGAAGACTCTTCTCGAATCGTTGCGAAGTGAAGTGAAAACGAGCGGCAATGACTGTGAAAAGACCAAATACTGCTATCTGTATAGCGAGTCCCGCAAGTGCGATGTTCTTGGCCGTATTCATTTTGTTAGCGGCGTTCTCGTCTGTTGCTTGAGTGCTCGAGATGGAAACCGCTCCGATAAGCTGAACTAGAAGGGAGATTATGTCGAAAGTAACGAAAATCGGTGTGATCCATCGAGCTATAAGGACCAATAAGTACAAGTAGATAGGAGGCAGCTTTAATGAAATAGGTACGTACGTGGAATCCAGAGCAGTTTTGTCGTCCTTTCATGCGCAGGAACAACATGGAAAACGATACGGCCGAACACAACATAGATGGCACCAGCCATAAGTACAGGGGCGAGGATTATCACGCAGAATTGCACCGCATATAGACTTAGGTTCGTAGGTTTCCCAGCCGACGCAATTCGATCCGCGTATCCCACTACCTCCACTATTGTCGGCGTGTTAGAGACCATTTGCGGCATACTATTAAGGATTCCTCGAGGAACCTACTCAGTATTGCAAGGAGCTGAACTGTCCAAACCCACGCCCTTTTACGGATGGTCATGACGGAAGACCAAATAAGAGTTATACCGAATAGAGCGAGGCATAGTCCAGCTACTGCCTCAGACGGGTCGTAGGGATAGAAGGAAACATTATGTCTAGATGACATGTCGACGCTTTCAACTTACTTTAAAGAGATCGAATAGTCCAAAGCTCCCAAAATGCACCTAAACTACCTATACAACTGTATAGTACAAGGAATTAGGGGGAAAGACAACTTTGTAGAAATTTCCAACTCGATCGAATTCCGAGGGAATCCTTTATTTTCTTTATAATAACTTGCCAGAAATTCTGCAGTCAGGGCTCCGCCGCCGCCGTGTGCAACAGCTATGCCCGACTTGTCCGCTATGTTATGTGTAGATCATCACTCCTGTCAGGCTTCAAGATAACAGGCTTGGCACCGAACCTTGGCTTGCATTTGGGTGAGATTCGGCCGTCGATTTCATAACGCTTCTAGTAAATATCCGCCACAGCCATCAGAAAATGTATCCCGTCCTGACTTTGCTTCGGGTAGTTAATTTTAACTGGTCTGCTTGCTTACGCGTCGTGTCGTTTGGGAACCCTTTTTTGCTCGTTGTCCATTGAGGCTGAGCTGCGAGCTGAGGGTGCGTTGGATTCGCTAGATGCCTGTGATCTTCCCAAGACGGTTAACAATTCGCATTGCACTGCCACAATCGTTCCAGAAGAGAATGGTGTTGTTATTTGATGATTTAGGGGGCTTCGTTTATGTATGTGCCGTGTAGCTGAACAGAATTGCTACCCTAGGTAAAGACAAGACTGCTCAACCGCTCGCAGCAACTCCTGGTCCCTCTCCAATCCCGTCCATTTCTTCAAACCTACCTACTAAGATAAGCTGCGGCTGATGGTGATGCGCAATGAGGTTGTAAGTCCTCGCCCCTTCAGATAGGAGACCTCCTTGCTCGTTGGACCACAACTATAATTATACTATCTTGGGGTATCTTTTGCCCTTCATACCGGTGCTGAGGATTTCTGAGATATGCTTTCAGCATGTTACAGCACCGAGAAGGTGTCCTCGACGACCCCTTATCCTTTGATTACACCATCTCTTACCACCCTTTTCAGATCTGACCAAACGCTACTCAGGGATAACTCCAACCTTATTTACACATAAAAGCCTAGTTTCCGTCTCGATCCTCTTCAACTCTTGCCTTATGCTCTTTTCTTCTTTGAATTCCCTATTGTTCGTCCCGTCCATATCTAACAAGCGATGAACTTCCTATACCGGCACCTTACCGTTGAGTCGCCAAAGATTGTCAAACAAACATGAGTAAAAAGCCGAGCGGCGGAAGAAATATGCCGAGTAAAATGTTTTCGGAGATAATAGCACCGATATAGATGACAAGCACGTAATCCTAATGTACATGTACATAATTTGAAGACTGAAGCATTTTGCTGAGTCCATAGCCGACTCAACCCCTGTTTCAGACTTTCTAGTATCCAATGATTCGGGGTGATAACCCGTGTAGATATATTGGTGTTACAATCTTTCACCTGTTAATAATTTCATATCCGTGAGTATCAGCAATCCAGACACATTTCAATTTGCAATCGGCAGTTTTCCATTTTAATGTCAGCTAACTACTAGATGTAGGAGGTAGGTTTGTAGTATCTGACTTATGAGGTACCTAAGGTACCAAGTGCCACATTATAGGGCTGTCTGTAAGGGATGATTGGTATTCCACCACTCGTGTTCGAAGTCAAGCAACGCCCGTAATATATTAAGCACGTACATAACGATCATGAAGCCGTCCATCTCAGTGTGTTTAACTTAGAACATGGGTGGCTGACCGTACTTCTCGGCCTGTAACTGAGTGCTCGCAGCCACCCCTGCGTTGCAACCACTCGAAATAGCGCCCGGCGTCACCTTATACGGCGTAATGCAATCGCCGGCGGCGAACACACCGCGAACGCTAGACTGGTGTACCGGCGCGTCCGCCTGGATATCACCCATAGGTGTAAGGGCAAGCCCAAGCTGGCTGACGAAGGGGCCCTGAACGCTAGTTTGAGGGTTGTGAACTAGGAACTTCTCCTCTTTGCAGGACCCGTCCGCGAATTCTACTATAACCGAACTGGCCTCGGCGTTCTCTCGCAGACGTTTGATTTGACGGGGCTCCACTTTGAACTTGGGATTGTCGATGGTGCTGAGTTGAGTTGCCATTTCGGAGTTGCCGTGTGTGTATAGGGTCACGCTGTCGCTGAGCTGGGCCGCGTTTTCTGCCATGTGGACTGCCATGGCGGCTACCAAGATGGGAGAAACGACGAGCACGCCGGACGATGATGCGCCGCGATCTTCATAGCCGTGGCAGAATAGGCAGTGAAAGCTGAATGGGCGCTGCTGTCAATGAATACTCGATATGCAACGGAGAGGAAAATCTTGCGCTCACATTCGCTTGGTCCACAACTCTGCGTAGCCTTCGATGTCGGGGTAGGTATCAGACGATCCGACGGCAAGTATCACCTTACGAACGTTCCACTCCTTTCCCTGGGCGTCGCAGACCTTGAAATGGGAGTCGGTCTCCTTCTCAACCTTGGTCACTTCGACGTCGGCGAATTGGATGGTAGCGGAATAATTGGCTACGATGTCGTTTTTCGTCGCGCCGCGGAAGTCCTTGGGGTTCCTGTTCTCCCAACCGGGCACCATGTGCAGCTGGGACGCCTTCGCGTTTCGATAAGTTTTGGAATCGAAAACGACGGCAGTGTGCAGCTGGCGGGCGAGTGTTGCTGCGGCAGTTAGACCCGCGGGCCCGCCTCCGATGATCGCGACGTCGAGGAACTCCATGGTTAAAGCGATACAATAGGTCGTAGCTGAAAAGAGGGTTTTCGTTTTAGGTGCCTAAGTTAGAAAGGTAATAAGAGAGACAGCAGGATAAGTACCTAAGATATTTAGAAAGATCCCTTTTTTGGTTGGCGAGGAGGGTTGGTCTGAGCCTTATATCCCTTGCAGTTGAGGTGCTTGTTTGCTTTGTTGGCTTCTCATGAGACACGCAGCCAACAGCTAAAAGGCAACAAATCAAAAATTACAGTCCTTGTCCCGCGCCAACCCGTGCCATCCGAGAATACGTATTCCATGCAATGAGTCCCAAGAGCGCCCAAGCCTGACATTCAATAGGTGAGGTTAGGTACCTGATATTCTTTCCATCAACCGCATCAACCGCATCATCATTCCTTTAACACCCTATTTGTTCGACCCTTCCAACAATGGAATCGCAACGAAACGCGGCTGAGCATGCCGCGCAGCCCGGTAACTTGCGATTAATACTGATTATGGTTGCGCTTTGTTTAGCTGTCTTCTTGACGGGCATGGTATGGGCGCATGGCTTGGCGGCCGAAGCAACATCAGAACAACGCTGACATTCATCACAGGATCAAACTATCTTAGCTACGGCTACACCAGTTATCAGCGATGAATTCAATGCCCTAGCAGACATTGGGTGGTGGACAAACGCTTACTTCCTCACCCTGAGTAGCTTCCAGCTGTTCTACGGAAAGCTTTACAGCCACTTCTCCATCAAGCTGATCTATCTAGCCGCCGTCGCCTTATTCGAGGTCGGGTCTTTGATCTGTGCCACGGCTCCCAATTCCGTGGCTTTGATCATCGGCAGATCGATTGCCGGCCTCGGGGCCGCCGGCATTTTCTCTGGTGGCATATTGATCACGACCAAGATCATCCCTCTCGATCGCCGCGCCGCTTACTTGGGCATCATGTCTGGCGTGTTCGGGCTCGCAGCCATTATCGGCCCGTTTCTCGGTGGAGCACTGACCGATAGAGCTACCTGGAGATGGTGTTTCGGGATCAACCTGCCTCTAGGTGCTGTCACGGTCGTCCTGTGTGCCGCGTTCGTCCGTATGCCCAAGGAGCAGAGCACGCCAGCTACCAGCTTCGCCAAGAAATGCCAGCAGTTAGATATACCAGGGACGGCCTGCTTGGTCGGGGCCCTAATATGTCTCTTACTTGCGCTGCAGTGGGGAGGTTCAACATATCCTTGGAAGAATGGACGCATAATCGCCTTATTCATTGTCTTTGGTGTCTTGACGATTGTGTTTGTCGTAATTCAGACAACTTCGATTACCGGAACTGCGCGTACAATCCCTTCAAGCTTAGCGCGGAACCGTGACATATGGCTCGCCGCCAGCTATGCTATGTGTATAAGTGGCGGCGTCTATGTCGCTGTGGTCTACCTGTAAGTGATTTTTCGAGAGTTATTCTTTTTAGTTTGCCCCTTTAGTCTGTCTTGAGAGTCATTAATCCCTGGAAGGGACATCCACTCCTGAAACATACCCCATTGTCTTGCTAAGAATAGTAATTGCTGACTCCCTTTTGACAAAGTCCGGTATGGTTTCAAACAGTGCGTGGCTCTTCAGCCCTTTCGTCAGGAGCGTTGCTCTCTCCTCTGATTGCCGGATATGTTGTCGGCTCCATCATTGCAGGTGCAGTCACCAGCATGGTTGGATACTATAACCCGGGAATGATCGCAGGCACTGCGCTGGCAATAGCCGGGGCCGCACTTCTAACGACGATAAACCTAGACTCTTCTACAGCTCGAATTGTCGGGTATCAGTTGTTATATGGATTTGGCGTCGGCTTCGGCTTTGGGCAGCCCAGCTATGTAGTCCAAACCGTACTGCCAAGCGCCGACATACCTGTGGGGGTAACCTTTATCACGCTAACCCAAAATCTCAGCTCGTCCATTTTTGTGGCTGTGGCACAGAGTATCCTACAAGGCGAGCTGCGCTCCCGCCTTCAATCTGTAATCCCCGATTTGGACGTCTCCTCGCTCCTAAACTCAGGTGCCGGTGACTTGATATCTACGCTACCGCCAGAGAGCCGGGGGGCAGCAATTGAGGCTTACAGCCGCTCTCTCATACTGACGCTTTACATTTCGCTAGCTTTGAGTTGCGTATCTGTTATAGGGGCTTTGGGGATTCGGTGGGGCTCTATGAAGAAAGTCAAGAGTGAAGCTCTTAATGGTACAGAGCCTCAAACGATCGAACAGGAGGAAACAACGGAAATAAAGAGTGAAGAGCACCAGGTTAACGAAACTAATGAAAGCAAGTAATTCGAGGTAAGGGGTCGGTGCAAGTAATTCTGCATTACCAGTGTTCGATAATAGATTCTATTTTTGGAGACGGGTATAATATGTTCTGAATAGAGTTATTCGATATCCTAGTTGTTTAGGTTACCCACCTTAACCACTATGGACAATTTGTGTTATCTAGATTAGGTAGGCAGTTATATTTCTTATATGCTATTGTAAAGCCCTGCCTAGGTTCAAAGGGTTTCGAGTAATAAGTAGAGTTAATGTATGACCAGGACAGGAGCTTTTGTCTCTCTTCTTTATTATCAAATCATCAATAGCCCATACGTAAACGAATAACAACGATATAATGACCTCGATGGCTCAGCCTGTATCTCACACATTTGGGATAAAATTCATATGATAGTACACTTTTCCCGGATAAAAGTTACTATGTCATCTATCTCGTCTGGAATATTATACCAATGATACCGTCCCGGATAGATGTTCCACGAAACGTCGAATCCTGCCGCCTTAAGGACTCTCTGCGCAGCCTCTCCATTGCACATCTCGACCTTTTCATCTTCAGCACCATGCCCGAGGAATATCGGTGTAGACAACGACGTCCCCCTATCGGCAAAATGTGGAATGCCATTTGGATCTAGCAAATCGTCGAAAAGCTCGACGACCGGAACAATTGGGTTCCCTTTCGCACGGATATGCTCTTGTTCAGTTGATGCAAAGCTATATTCCTCGACAGGGCCAACCTTACCACCAAACACAAACGTCTCGCTTTCGCTTCCGATGAGGATGTCAATGTCAGGCTGGAACGGGAGCCATCCGCCCATCCCCACGAATCCCCCGAACGGAAACCAGGACGTAAGAAGGCAAAACAACGCCATCGCGCATCCCTGACCAAAACCACCCAAGACGACGTTTTCGTAAGAGACCTTTTGACACTCGTCCTTAATCAGACGGGTTATTTCATCGTGTGACTCCACAAGCCCCTTGACTTGGGAATAAGGTCGGTAGAAAAGGTCATCTAAAGAGGCTATATCGAACCACCCATGCGAGTTCGCTCGCCTTACTATACTCCGGCTGTCAGGCATGAGGTGGCGATAACCAGCAGTAGGAAATATAAAGCGCGCGCCGGGGAAGATTTCCGTCAGCTTCTTGCCGGCGGAGGTGAGGCTCGTCTCGATAAGCTCTTCCCCAAATTCACGGCCATTGGACCCTAGTTCGTGGAGAAGAACGAAGCTGTGGGTATGGTTTGATGCAGGCTCGATAGTAAAAGTTGATGAACGCTCAATGCTTGGTGCTAATGCTAACCCCATGGCCTTGCGAGTTGGCGTTGCGTTTATTTCGTCACAAAGATTTAGTACTGTACCTTGGGTAGGCATCTAGGTAGATAGGTAGGATGGATGTATGCCAACTTGGGAAATCTGGGGCGTTGAGTTCAGAAGCTTTTGAAATTATACAAGCTGAAAGATAATGAAATTGGCTTGTGAGTAATGACATAGGCATGTTTTACGCTAGGATTCCCAGAGAAAGCTGATAAACTGTAAGATGCAATTATAAAGGAAGTTTTCACAGGTTGTTTGTCCTTCCAACGTATTGAGTATAATTTATCTTAGAGAGGTATTCAATGTACCCCACCTAATATTAAGTTGAGAAGTGCCTTATAATAATTATTCATATGGCATGCCAGCTACATAGTAGGATTTAAGTAAGTAAGAGTTCGGATGCGGTGAGCTCATGTCGTAACTGTAACACCAACTTTAAGTTCTTCCCTCGGTTTTGATTGTATCACCGCTTTGCGATACAAGTACGACGTATCCCCCGTCCCCGGTCTGCGGCTAACTTCTCGGCCCCACATACCGGAGGATACGGAGGTACATGTACGTAGTCGCAATTTGAGCGGGTCCAAGTCTAAACGGCATAGCCACTCATATAGTGGCCAGTAGCCCGAAACTGATAACAGAATAATATGTACCTAAGATAGTTCCTTAGATAGTTCTATCCCAACATTGCACTTCGTTTAACTCTTTTCTCCTATTGTTTTTCTTTTCTTTTTTTTTTGTTCGACTTTCAACTACTGCTTCTGAATCTTCTTTTACCATGGTGCCAAAGGTCGACGAAGGCGAGAACCTCGCTCGCATGGAGCGCGGGGAGCTTTATTACGCTTTCACTCCGCAACTAATAGCTGGACGCCAACGATGCTCGCGTATCCTAAACCGACTTAACAACGCCGGTGATTTAACCCGCCGCGAGATTGCCGAGTACTGGAAAGAGTGAGAGGTGTACAAACCCCTCATTTGACGACCCGAGTATCGTGTTAACTGTTCGGGTAGACTGACCAAGGATGACCGCCCTCTTCCGCCTCCCGCGGCCACAGATGAAGAAGAGGATGCAGTCCTTCACGAGTATCCCTGGGTAGAACGGCCCATCAGGATGGACTATGGGTACAATGTTCAGGTCGGAAGCAATGTATTCATAAATTTCAACTGTACTATCATCGATACCTGTAAGGTATTCATCGGCTCGCGCACTCTCATCGGGCCGAACGTATCCTTTTTTAGCGGGACGCACCCCTTAGATCCAGACCTGCGCAACGGTACCAACGGGCCGGAACTCGGGAAGCCAATTACCATCGGCAGCGACTGCTGGATAGCCGGGAATGTAATAATACTCCCCGGTGTGACGGTCGGTGATGGATGTACAATTGGAGCGGGGAGTGTAGTAACCAAGGTAAGTCGACGTCCGCTAGCTTATAGACTGTCCCATCGTTAATAATTCTTTACTTGTAGGATGTTCCGGCTTATCATTGCGTGGCTGGAAACCCTGCTAAAATAATTCGCAAAATTGAACGAAAATTTAAAGCTGAACAAGACGCTTTAAAAGATAAGCTTGCGACACCCGAGCCATGACAGCCGAAACGGATTATAAATACGGGCTGGCCTTGTAAATGTCTCTCAATATCATCAAGCACCGGTTTTCCCTGCCCTTCCACGGCCCAGTTCATTCTCTCGGCGATGCTCATGAACACCAAAAAATATTCCAGAAGGATGAGAGCGTGCGGGTCGAGGGATTCTACATCTTTGATAATCATTTCGTCGAGCGTGCACGACCACCAAATTGCCATCCTAGGCTCAACAGACGACCTAGCATATTCTAGGAGTTTGGTGCACATTTCTAGCCCATCGATAGCACGGTCACAGTGTTCTGTCTTAGATAAGGGCAATTCTCCTTGAAATACTAAAAGTAGAGAAAACAAGGCAAGAAACATATCGAGAGGAAGTAATGTGTGCTCAAGAGATGGGATGCTATGACTGGAAGTTAATGCACTTTAGAATCACTAAGTAAGAAAAGAATAGAGAACTACCTTTTCTTTTCGCTCTTTTCGCCTCGAAAAGCCATATGCCATTATGTATGCAAATTCGGTTTTTGATATCAGAGGGAGAAACGGTTCGAGACTAATATGTAGCCTCTAACAACCGTAAATAGCTCTAATAAGTTGTGAATGGGATCTTCGAGTCTCATATCATCCATTCTTGGCGGGAGTGATTAGACATAAATTACCACCATCATCGATATTGAATCGGCTGTAGAAGTGCAATAATGGTGTAATAGTTCAAACTCTCGACATTTGTCGATTCCCGACGGAGTTGACACTGTGGAATTGGCCCTAGCTAATATGCCGAGATTAGTGAAAGTTGTTTGCGAGTCCGCGTCTTGAGAGCTAGCATCATCTGATGATTGAGAGACCAAAGCTCCAGTAGGTAGGCGAGAAAGACCAATTTTAAGGACGGAGGGTATAGTTGACGCCGTATCGTATACAATTGGCACATGGCCATTAGGTCAACAGTTGTACCTTAATTTTCCTTGGCTTGCTGATGATACGACCATTTCGGGACTCCGGGCGGCTTCGTATAGAAGCCATATTGGATTAGAATTGAAGCACGAAAGTTAGTGCAGTTACGCAGGTAAATATAATCCAGAAAACAATGGAAAAGGAGAGAAAATGTAACTTACAACACACTGTCGTCAGAATACGAGTATACCCAACCCGAACCAAAAAAAAATCTCTGATTAGCTGGATCTCATAAAGTCTCTTTCCGCATTAGGCACTATTTGTGTCACGCCTGAAAAATCCAAGCTGTAACCCCCGACTCATCTTACAGCTGCAATGGACCCTTATGCAGGTCTGGTCTGTCACATGGACTAATCATGTACAAGCGTATACCTAAGATCTAAAGCAAAGATCTCGAGTACGACTACCTGCCTAAGGTGAACGAAGAGAAACCCGAGATAATACGAAAGGAAGATGGACATAATCGAGTTGACGGATGGGGATGCATTTGTTCCCCTCCGACGGCGATGGCTTACAAAAGTCTTCGTCACCAGCAATTTTGTATCACTGCTCTTCCAATCTTCTGGTATGAAATTATTATCTATCCAAGTCCTTTACCAATAAAATACTTTGTTGGCTAACTGCATTACCTATCGTAGACGACGGTCTGATGGCCGTAAGTGATGACTCTTGCAACGTCAACAAAAACATGATCGACATAGGTCTCTTCGTGCAGCTCGCCTTCCTCAGCTTGTTATCCTCGTAGCGATGGTTTGGATGAATTAGTTCCATCCTAGTGAGATTGGTATTCTTCTTTGTGGGCACGAGCCGAAGGAGAATAGGCTAGAACTGGTAACTGCGAGATTTGCCGGGAAAAGTTGAAGATGAGGGAGTTCAGGTACGGTTGGGAAATGATCGCATACATCTTATATTAGGTTAGGTACCTAGGAGGTAGGTTGGGGTAATCCCTTCTCCTCGGATAAGGGGTATATGTAGCCCCCTCACTGGCTAAGGATTGACTTTTCACCTCAACGTTCGACATAATACAATTTCATAAGCAGTTATGCTCTGAAAGATTCACTATTTGCTTCATAGGAGGTACTTAAATGATTCAACTACGATCATTCTAATGCCTAATAGAATGTTAGCGCTAGAAACCACGAATTCGTTTACGTTGCTTTCTAAACATCATATAATCATGAGCGCTATAGCATCGTTATTCGGCTGACTTTTCATATTTCTCGTGTTTGACACTTGGCTACCTATATATATGCTTTGCTACTGGCAATATTTGACATGGTATCTAGCTAATTAAGCCAAAGCTATAAAAACAGATCGAGCGAGCTTATTTAAAGCACATCAGGGGCTATCGGAATCAAATTCCGTATTGCTTTGAAAACCAATCTGATATGTAGCGACGGGCAAATGGCCCTTTTGATCAATAACGCCTCGTGGCGATTTCTCCTATCCAGCTTCATCGTATGTTCCAAGTCGATTTTCAAGTATACGACACTGAAACGCCCCTTTCGGGAGCCCTGAATTGCAAATATCTCAGGCCCAGTGTGAGCGCTGGGCCTGCCACAAGTAGTAGCCAATATCGACGGGCATATGCAAAATTATCTGAGAGTGTATGCCTATGCTCTGTTAGTGACTGTGAGGTATGTAGGTACTTTCGCCATCAATGTGAACATACTAAAAGACCAAAACCTATTTGGGTATTCGAGTTTTGTGTCATCCAAATAGGAGAGTTATCCGACTGCGTCGCCACCGGTGCTTTAACCAGATAACTCGAAGACAGGAGTGCCGTGAAGCTCTCCGTAGGAATCAGGTAGCTTTGCCGACTCCTTACTGTCTAGCGGCGTGGTAATCTGACTTTTCTCATTGTTGCTCGAATCCTTTGTGGATTTTCTCATGCGACGAAAAAAATAAACACCTAAACCTGCCAGGGCGACAGCGCAGAAACATGCCACGCTTATACCTGCTATTGCTCCTTTACTCAGGGTTGAATCTGATGATTCGGCCGTCTGGTCGGTTTCCGGAGTTGGACCAGCGATTGGTGCGATACTGATGCTTGGTACCCCTGACGAAGATGGAATGAATGACGTATCAAAAGTCGTCAACAGGGATTGCGGCAGGCTAGACTGCAATACGGATGAACTGGTAGACGGATGATCGATTATCAAGTTGGTTGTAACTCGCAATGGCAGTGGCGGTTTGCTCTGATCTGCGTCCCTGTAACAAGTGTTGTCGTCACCACAATGATATCCCCAGGGACAACAACCGGTCCCGCATGTGTATAGCTTTCCTTCACGAACTGTCGTCTGGATACTGGCGAGGGAGGTCTGTTGATTCAAGTCGCAAGCGATGGGGTCAATATTGACACAGTCTTCCTCGCTTGTGTTTGGACAACATAGAACCGTGGTGTTGGCCGCAAGGACGATACATGTGGTGTCTTCACTACAGTAAAATATCTGAGGAGAAGGCGGGTCGCACTGATTGTAATGAATGCCTCCGACGTCCATCCTGCCTATTTTGTTTGCTACTATTATCTGAGTAGGGTATTTGAGTAAGTTTTTTTTTGTTTTTTTTTTAAGCTTGGAGATACTCAGCTGGTGCCTAGAATGAATTCACGAAACACACATTCGCAAGTTGGAACATCAAAAGGAGAAGGTTTGAGAGGTTTGTAAAGAGGTTTGTAAAGAGTGAAGGGCCACCACGTATTAGGGGTATGGGATGGGTATGCCAAGTGAGATGTACAAAGTGAAATGACAGTGCTAGCTCAAATCTTCCTCGGTGCGGCAAGTTTGTTTTTTTCAAATGCCTCCAATTAAAGACGGCAGAATTGGTGATATTCTTGGTAGGCCGCCAAGCTAGGGTATGTTTTGTTATCACAACGGTCCTCAACCTAGCAAACTTGCAGAGAGCATGGACCTTAATTACCTATCTAGGTAGGTACCTGTTTTGTGTAGATCACATAGTATTTTTTTTTTAAAAAAAAATCTGATCTTCTCTTCCGTACCATAACTTCATACTATGTCGTTTTCATACTCCTACCTTTTGCTTGTCTCTATAGGTGGATACCTAGTTAGGAGGCCCTGCATGCCTGCCATTTTACTGTTGATGGAATAGATAATGACAATTTATTTGACTTAACTGGAATGCACTTGAGTTACTAGGTATCTTAGGTATATATACACATAATTTTGTGACTCTATTTTTCGTATTTTATTGTAGAATCGTCAAGCATTTAGTGAAGTATTTCATATACAAGCATTTCTTTATCGATAAAATAATTTTGGCGTTGAAAGATGCCTTACATAGTATGTAATGATTAGTAAGCTTCGATCTCAGATAGAAAATTCAAAGCTCCGTGGGGTTTAGATTAAATACCTCTAACCAAATGAGGATATTACCTAGGTACCTTTGAAGGGAGGGGGGGAAAAGAAGGGAAAAAAGGAAAGACCGATAAATATCCGGCACGGTACTACAACCTCCAATTGTTTGACAGCAACGAACTGTAAAAGACTTTACATGCCTGCCTGCCTCCCCACACACGCAACCCACGGCAAAGGAGAAAAAAAAGGAAAGAAAAAAAAAAAAAAAAAAAAAACCTTGGCCAGTCCGGTCCAGTTTATTAGTTTGACCTAAAGACTCATACACGCAGACCTCAATACCCCTGCTGTTTCTAAATTTCCACAGAAATTATTCCATCGCCACCCAAGTTTCCTTCCGTCTCTACACAATTTCTAACACTTATCCTCAATTGCCTCGCCATATTCGTCATTGTTGTTCCTTCCTATTATATCATCCTTCCTCGTCCCTCGTCCTTTCCCAGCTCGGATCTAGATCTTCTCCCCGTCCGTCTTAGTCCGCCTTGATACCCGATTACGTTAGCGTGCGCCGCGTCCTACTGATTGGAAGTTACCACTGAGGTTACCGTAGAAGTATACAAGGTATGTAATAACAGTAATACAGGTACCTGCCCTATTGCCCTATTGTTATTGTAGTACTGCAGTACCTACCTACACTTTACATAGTAGAGGTACCTAGGTATTGCAGGCGTTGCCCGCTGCCCGCTTGCCCACTTCGTACCTACCTTCTCCGAACCCGTCTAAACAAAATCTCCAAATCACAATCGCAACCAGCGTTTCTCCACCACAACTCTAATAAACCTTCCTCCATTTTATCCATCACCCACTTCTACTCCTACATACAATTTTACAAATCTCTTCCTGACGGACATTTACCATCCCCGCCATCCACACCCAAAAAAAAATATCGCCTTTCTCATCTCCCCTCTCTACCTTCCCCTAACACTATCATCGACTAGTTCGATTCCTCCCTCCCACCCAATCCGGACAGTTTCTTGCTTTGTCCCTCTTGAGACGCAACGTTTCGTCCCGATATTTTCTATCAGGCCATTGAAGCCGACGCAGAGTCTAGGTTTCGCTACAACCGTATAATTCGTTTGTGAAATCATTGCCATCTCTAATAAAGAGGGTAGCTTTTTTTTCGTTATCAAGCACCCCTCTTCTTGACCTTGTCGATAAGATCGCTTCTACCTAATCAGGCGCGCAAATTTCTTCACAACCCAGCGCAACCATGGCGACAAACGGCAACGTCAACCATACCGACCAATTCTCGGCGGCCCCTGCTGCTACAGCTTCCGGAAACCCTGCTCCTCCTACCGACCAGACAAGTACCACCAGCTCCAATAACAACCTTGGAAAGGATGAGGTCGCTTGGTTTTTCGTCGAGCAGTACTACACCACCCTCAGCAAAAACCCAGAGAAGCTTCACGTAAGTCTCTAGCATATGCAACATTCGACAGGAAAACGTTTACTAATTCACTGTCTAGTTATTCTACGGAAAGCGCTCTCAGTTCGTCTATGGTCTTGAGGCAGAGGTCGCCAACGTTTCTGTCGGCAGACAGGTATGTTTTACCAAGAATTCCGTCGTGACTATTATTTTCAGTTCTGTACTGATGCGCTTTGTGTAGAACATCCAGGAGCGTATCAAGCAGCTAGATTTCCAAGACTGCAAGGTTCGTGTCTCCAATGTCGACTCTCAGGCCTCGTACGACAATATCGTCATTCAAGTTATTGGCGAGACTTCCAACAAAGCTGGAGATCCAAAGAAGTTTGTTCAGACCTTTGTTCTAGCCGGCCAGCCATCAGGATACTTCGTCTTGAACGACATTCTTCGATACATAGATGAGGAAGGTGACGAGGAGCCGGCTGAGACTGCTCAGGAGGAGCAAGCAGAGCCTGCGGCCCAGGCTATCCCGGCAGCCAAAGAGGAGCCAGAAACGCAACCCGCAGCACCAGTTGAGCAGCCTTCATCACTTGATGCCGGCGTTGTCGAAAAGAAATTGGAGGAAGTGAGCGCCGCTCCCGAAGAAAGCGCTCCGATCAACGGTGATGTACCGGCTGAGGCAGTTGCCAATGAAACCCCGGCAGCTCCAGAGCCCGCGAAAGAGTCCGAATCTAAGGCTGCCCCCGATGCTGAGGAGATAGCTCAGGAGATCGCAGAAGAAGATGCCAAGGAGCCGGAGAAGCCCGCCGACCCAAAACCAGCACCCGCGCAAGCACGCCAGCCTCAAGCAAACACCACTGCTGCTCCTGCTGCTCCTGCTGCTCCGGCTCCGGCCCAACCAGCTAAGCCCATGACATGGGCGAGCCGAGTGGCTGCCGGTGCTGGTCCCCGGCCTGTGGTACCTCTTCCGAAGGCTGCAACCCCTGCAACCCCTGCAGCAGCGCCGCAATCCCGCCCGGTCGCTTCCACACAGCCAGCAGTATCTCAAGCACCCGCCCCAACCCAAAGCTCCGAGGCCGCAACACCCACTACGCCTGCTAAAGAGACATCTACAGAGTGGCAGACAGCCGGCGGTGACTCAAAGCGACAGAACAGACCTCAGTCGATTTCTGGACCCCAAACTGACAAGGATGGCACTATGGGATACGTAAAATACGTCACAGATAAGGTAGACAAGGACGAATTGAGGGCAGCATTAGCTCAGCACGGCGAGTTAGTCTACTTCGATATTAACCGTTCGAAGGTAAGTCATGATCAATTTTTAATTATGTTACTCAATCTGACATTTTGCAGAACTGTGCGTTTGTCGAGTTCGCCACTCACGCTGGGTACCAAGCTGCTGTAGCCGCGAACCCTCACGTAGTTAATGGCGAGAGCATCGTTGTGGAGCCCCGCCGTCCCAAGGCAGGTGCTTATGGTGGTAGCAACTACAACTCAGGGCGGGGAAATTTACAGAACCGCCCGGGAGGCCGCGGAGGATTCGAGGGCCGGTCTGGTAGCCAGGGTGGACGAGGTAACTTTGGAGGACAGGGTCGTGGTCGAGGTGGTGGTGGTGCGCCCCGAGGCCGAGGTGCCTCTCAAGCTACGAACGCATGAATATTCTAGTTACGGTACGAGGTCTTACGAAGTGAAGTAGGTACGGAGTGTATCCGGACTCGGAACTCTCAAGGAGCGGGAAGCCGTCACTGCCACGCCTCAGAAAAGCGTTAGATGCAGGATTTTGGAGTTTAGAGATGGAGTGGTTTATGACTTGTACCAGAGTCTATGCAGACATCTCTCAGGAGGGGGGGTGTTGTCTTCAAGTCGGGTTTAATTTGAGCACGCATATATCATTGCACGGTGATCCCTTCAGCTAATGGGGCCTCTCTTCTGCTTGGAGAGGGGGTTTGTACATTGATGGACGGCTGGAAAAGTTGGCATTCATCTGCATGGGAGGAGTGAATGGGTGATATTGGGAAATTCAAAGGGCCAGACTTGTACAGTTGTACAATAGGGGCAAAGTGAAAAGAATTTTTTTAAGACTACGTTATGTGTACTACCTAGTGTAATGCTACGACTGAACGACTGGTGTTAATAACTCTGAATCTCGCAGTTACCTGTCGGCGTCAAGGATGCATTAGAATCCGACGTGATGCTTGTTAAAAAAAAAAAAAAAAAAAAGTCTGCAGTAAACAAGGACTTGTCATAATTGAATATCCATACTCTTGTTTGAAATTGGGTACCTCAGGCAAAAAAAGCACAAGATCTAGGTAGTCGAGGGTGGTGTGACAATGACTGAGTTTACGGGATACACTCCCGGAGAGGAGTCATAGGCGGATAATCCCCAAGAGGAGTATGTAAGATCTAGATCAACCAGATAAATCGCATTGTAATGATACCTAGGTACCTACCTAAGGTTAGGAAGTATTTATATATATATATATATATTATACCTGGCATCCTTCCCGCTTCGTTGCATACGGCAACCTGCGTGTTCCCGAAATTGCGCAGATGCGTAATCCATCTGGGACCAGGCCCTCCTTTGTTTCCCTCGAGCGCGTATTGACGCGTCCCAACTCTGCAGCCTGTCGAGAATCCCAAGGAGAGGGGTTTGGGATCTGTCGTGTATTATTATTACAAGGTCCCGTTTGACTCGGAGAGTTTATATTGTAACTTTAGGTTATGTACCTACCTAACTAACTTGAAGACACCTATGTACTCGTGTATATTCATAGGGCGAGTCATCAATGTTTTATGATACATCTCCGATACCTACCTAACCTACCTTGCAGCCTTCTTATAGGCGATGAAACATTTATACCTACCAACCAACCACGTAAAAATACCCCTTTCTTAAGTACTACCGTAAGTAACGTCCGCGGGTAAGCAGACAGAGATGTAGGTTAACCACAAGAGGCAAGATCTAGTACATAGGTAGAGAAATAAGACGATGAATATAAAAGCGCGATAGACTTGATTCTTGTGATTGATTGAATAATGCTATCTTATGTACATAAAAGAAAGCTTAGCTGCTAGGTACCTACCCAATACATCAGAAACTCAAAACTGCTGGTCAGCTCGACTCCAGTCGCCTTCCATGTACACCGGAACGCCAGACCACCCAATGCATCCATCACCTTCCCGTCCTCCAGAACTCACCCATACTTGGAAAGAAATAGCAGTCCTTTCTCACAGCTCAGCCATCTCAGCTTCGACCGTCCTCGTCTCCTTGGCAAGGTCATCTACGACATCGTCCATCTGGCTGTTAGCACCGTCGATGTCCTCGAAGACCTTCTGCAGAAGCGCCATGAGCGACTGCATCTCCGCGCGCTGCTTCTGGATGTCGCTGAACAGCTTCGCGTTGTGCGCCTGTACCGTTTGCAGCTTCGCGTTGAGTTGCGACTGCTGCTGCGCGAGATGCGGCGCTAGATGCGCTGCCAAGATCTGGTCAGGGGGGAGCATATGCGGTCTTGAAACATTTATTCGTTAGCGTATGCAATAAATCATACGCCAGATAGCCGATGGGAATTTAAAAGGAGGAAAAAGAAATTAAGAGGAGGGGAAAAAAAGAAATGAGTAAAATGGAAAGGAAACGTGAAAAGAAAATACAGTTAAAAAAAAATCAAAAAAGAAAACGTAAACGTACAACACCGGGGATTCGCTGGTCGTCACCGACCCAACTACTAATCCGGCCGTATGCGGCTTATCTATGGGAGAGCGGACGGGATCCCGAGTTTTCCACATCGTATGGTCGTACGTGAAAGACACAACTACAATTGCGACTTATATAGATAGGTATGCTCATTTGCCAGGATCCAACGAAAGAGAACTTACGGAATAGGCGCTTCCGATCCAACGCCGGCTTCGTCCCTTCTGCGCTCGGCCTCGCTCACCAGGCTTTCGAGCTCGTTAAGCTTGGCCACCACGTTGCGGCTCTGCAGCACAGAATCGAATTCTTTCTGTTGGAATATCGTAAGCATTTTATTCGCACGACACCTTTTTTTATTCTCTCTTCTACTTCCGCAATATTCAAGTTTTTTTTTTTGTTTCTTTTCCCTGTTCCCCCGCCCGTCCGCCCGCAAATAGATAGTAAATAATAAACAAAAACGCATCAATCACAAAACAAGAAGAGAATTTAGAAGTTAGAAGATAAACGAAAAGAACGGATATATATAAAGACAAAAAATAAAAGAAATAGAAATAAAAACTCACCTGACACAGCGCCCCCAACCGGTCCACCATCTGCTTCTGGACGGCGCGCAGCACGGCGGGCGCCTGCGCGGCGATGGTCGGGTAGCAGGCGGCGAAGTTGTCCCAGCTGATCTTGGCCAGGGTATGCGACAGGCTCGAGTCGAGGACCTCCTGGAAGCGCGACGCGCGCGGGCCCGGCGTCAGCGCCGTGTGTCGCGCCGGCAGCGGCGGGGACGCCGTTGCCTGCGAAGTGCTATTGCCGCCGCTATTCCTACCGCCTGCTTCTGCTACTGCTGCCATTGCGCGTGGTGGGTTGATTGTTTGTTTGTTTTATATCCCGCTTGGTTTGGTGAGAGACACGATAACAATAGTTAGTTAGTTAGATTATGGGTTGTTAGCGTGTTGGCAAAAAAAATGGTATTAGGTAGGTATGTGATTGGTCCTTAAGGCTCTGACGTCGATTAAAAAAAGGATGGGAATTGGATCACATGAAAATAACCGATGAATATGATAATGATAGGTAAGATATGGGAAACTGATTAGATACGCGCAATTCCAACTTGTGAACCGCGATTTTAGGTTGCGGGAGCTTATCGATACGTCGCGACCGCACGTGTAAGGACGGGAACAACCACGCTGAATTTCTGATAGCTTAAATCACAGTACGTACCTAGGTAAGTCTTACATAAGAAATCACTCTTGCAACAGTACATAATATATACTCTCTATCGAGGATTTTATTTTTTTAAAGTCTATCTACATTTATTTTTATTTTTCGTTTTTTTTTTGTAATTCCCTTGGAAAAGGGGTCATAAATGACGAGAGTCCATTTAGTCTATTCGGAGGTCATGCATATTATCATTCTGTGATGTTCATCCACACAGTACAGTACAACGGCAACACATAAAAAATAAAATAGAAACAATAGAATTCGACATCGTGGGATATCATGCGAAACATCTCCCACACTATCGTGAATTCCAATCCTCTCCAATCGTCATTATCTTTCGAGGGTAGGAACGTGCCAATATATCCTACCCCTTGAAATACATACATTTTCGTCGACCCAATAAATCAAAGTAGACGCCAAAACTCCGAACAATGAGTGTAAGAAGAGACCATTAAGGATCCCCAAGACCTTTAATCGAATTCGACGGTATCCGTAGGTCTCTGATCTCTTCGCTCTTGGCGTCTTCTTCGTCTTCGATCCGCAGCTGATGGAGCTATCGAATCTGCTGGGCCTGCTGGCGAGGGGGTTATCGCGCTCCATGTCGCACGACTTGGTGCCGGAGTCTCTAAACTGGAAACAGTCGGTGCGCCTAATGGTCCTCCAGAAGGTCCTGGCTGGCCAGAGTAATAGGCCGAATCCTTACCTCCACGTCTTCCAGCCATAACAGGCGTCGGGGGAGACATCGATTCAGAAACTAATCCCTCCGCTCCAGCTTCTTCTGCAGTCCTGTGCGAGCTTGAGTCGCGTCGGTATCGTTGACGGCTGGGTGGTGCTTCGCTCTCCGAGAAAGTGCTGATAGAATCAGATCTACTCCTATGTCGGTTCTCTGCCGCCGCTTCTTCTTGTGTAATACGGCGCAATGTGATGTTCCTATCTCGGTCGTCGTGATATTTCACTTTCACGCCTAGCGGCTGACTGGACACTTGGCTACGATCCCTGCGACGACGTTCCTCTTCCTCTGCAGCCAGACCAGCTGCGCTAGCGGCGGCTGCCATGGCTGCTTCTTCTGCTTCTCTGCGACGGCGGGAATCATCTGGCCTATATGTCCCGTTTCCAGCAGATGAGTAAGACTCGGTGCCGGACCCTGGATGTAGGGGATGAAGAACTCCGTGAGGGTCTGGTGGCATAGATGGCATAGAAACAGGATCAGTGATAACACTCTTAGATCTCGACCTTGACCGCGAGTGCGAGCGCGAATGCGAATGGGGCTGCGAGTGTGGCTGTGAACGCGGGTGCGAATTTGAACGAGAACCAGGAGCAGAAACTGGTACTGGTACTGGAGGCGCACCCCCTCGCGCACCAAGGGGTGGCATTGGTGGACCGATAGTACTTGTTCCTGGAGGACGATCTTCAAGCATTGATGACTCCGTTTCGTATGTCAAAGTTGTGGCTGTTGGAGCGGTGGGCGGTACCCGGCGTCGTCCTGGTTTAGTTGGTGTATTATATCCGTCACCCGTGTATTTTGACCCGTGACGTCCGTCTCGTCTTTCGTCCTCCATTTTACGGCGTTCTTCTTCCGTGTGGCCATCTCCTCTCATCTTCTTTGCCAACCAGCCCAATCCGATAGCAGCAAGAATGCCCCCTCCTGCTTTGCTCTCCTCGTCGTCAATAGGCCGCCTTGATGGGCTCACGTACGACGAATAATCTGAAATGTAACTACTCTCTGTAATCGGTGGTCGGGGATGAGATGCGCGCGGCGTCACAGGCTCAGTGCTAGCGCTTAAGATTGTTGTAGCAGGAGGATGGCCAGGGCCCGGGAGTAGTGGAGTATGCGGTCTTGGGCGAGCGTGAAGTTCTGTCCGATCCTCACTAAACTCACTCTCTGTATACCCGTCAGTAGCACTCTTTCGGACCCGGCTAGGGCGGCTAAACCGACTAGGCGTATCAGTCGCGACAGCCGAATATTCCTCGTCGTTATATCTTCGCTTTTCTCTTTTATCCCGGGCACCTTTAATTAGCGATCTGGCTCCGAAGAAGCCAGCCAAGGCGACAAGCCAATTCGATACGCCTCTTTCATGGCGATCGGTCCTTTCCGAGATTTTTTCGTCCTCGAAATAGCTTGCAGAGCCTCTCTGGGACGGTATCACCTCAGGTGGACGACTTCGTGGCTGCGATACGCTAGTGCTTCGTTCCTCGTCCATTTCGCGGTGTTTTCTCCCTCGTAAAAGCGCCCAGATCCCAGCCCCTGCGACGAGTGGACCTAACCATCCTGTTCCCCGTCCGGATTTGCGTTCTGATTCTGTAAATCCAGTTTCGGAGCGCCCAACATAACTCGTCAAGTCATCTCGATCGCGGTCGCTTTCATGGCGCCAACTAAGGATGAAGTATACGAGCAATAGGAATGCCATCCACACGGCATATAAAACGAAGGTGAACAAGGGAGATCCATAGAGAGTAAGACCAAGAGGGATTTGAATGATGCCCAAGATCGCTATAGCTCGACCTAGCCAACGATGAAGCATGAGCCTAAACGACTTCCTTCGGATATTCTTCACTATGCGGCCCCCAATAATTTGGACTAGAATCATGACATATATAGCAAGCCCAATCCCATGATGGGGGTTCGTTAAGCTTCGATTAGGGCCCACGGCAAACCATCCGAGCACAAATACAACCGTGCTGAGACCGACAGCGAGAATGTTTAAGTATGCGTGCAGACGAATAAGAGAGCCATACGGCCGAAATCGCGCGTACATAACGGCAGCCGGTACGATGAAGAGAAATGTTATGACGGCAAGAACACCATGACCTGTTACCAATTGGTGATATTGTTCTACCGTTGCAAAGCGGTTGCCCATGCCTAGAAGAAGTTTAGATTCGGATCTTCATGTAGGTGGCGAGTGTTGACTTACCATTGAATCGCATAGTCTCGAAGTTAAGTCCGGCCAGGTTCGGCAGCAGGAAAGTATTCTTGGTGAAGTCCCAAGTTCCATCTCCGACCACCATCGTGTCCGAGGCATAGGTCGCCGACCCGGGCGCCGATAGCGTATCGGCCGACGCCATGACGGCGGATATGGCCGTCGACGAGCAATTTGATTAACGGACTTAGAAGCGTCACAAGGAGAAATCGGTAAGAATGCGGGATGATAGGGTCCTATAAAAATTCGGAATGTAAAGTGACAAACTATCCACTATGCTAGAACGGATATGTTCGAACTTGGGTATACCGAAGGTATGAAGCGGTGAGTTCCAGCGGTATGCGAATAACTAAAATAAATTTTATGCCTTCGGCTAAGTTGTCTCGAAGGCCAGAAAAACACTTTCAAGCCAAAGTATTTGAAAGGAAAGAAAAAAAAAAACTCGATGTTCGCAAATGGAAAAACTAGTCATGAAAAAAGAGACATCTTGCGAGGTGGGATGGCTTTTGTGACATGGCACTGCAGATAAAAAACTACCGTGTAAATTATTTGCTGGCAGGGATTCGGGGAAGCTCCCGACCTTCAGCTGGGAGCCTGCGTTGTTTTCACCGTCGGGTTGCGGGGTGACGAGCGGGAATCCCTGTCTGCTCTGCCTTTTCTTTCCCTTCCCAATCCCAAGCTCTGCTCAGCTGCTAAAGTTACTATTTTTCCCCACTCTGGCTTTTTGGTAACGGTAACAACCTAACCTAGAAGGCTTAGCAGCACGATTATGTACATTACATACATCAAATGTACCTTAGGTACATACAATGTGCGTTTCACAGTTATCAATAGAAAGGCCCGCTACGCCACAATCCGCCAGCCCGCTCAGCTTCGGTCCAACCTTGGAACTTAAACCTAGAGAATTATTAGGTTAGGAGGTACCTAGGTACCCGACGAGATCCAATCCAGATCACCGTTTACAGGTCCCACGTGGAGCCGAACCTAACCTTCTTATTCGAAAGCTCCATTTGTGTCACTCCCGATTGTTCTCCTTAACCCTCCTTTAACCCGCCGACAACATGTTTCTTTCGCACAATTATTCCTCAACTGTCTATCCGTAGCTTTACCGTCGCTAAGGAACCATGTCGACGGTCCGGTTACCGTTCCTCTATCCGCATTTATTCCGGGCAGCCCGCATCGGTGAGTCTGCAGCTCACGGAGCGAAGATCCGATGTCGCAAGTCTCCGACGAACAGTAGTAACCCACGCATGGTGGCATTTTCATCCTCCACCCCATCGAGACAAGCCGTCTTCGAGAGACATGGTAAGGCCGTAGAGCCATTACCTGTTACGCCTGATGTCGCCAACCTTTCGGCACCAGGCCCGGACCCCGCTAAATCGTCGAGTTCCCCGAACGTGCAATCGCCTGGTAAAGCAGATGCGAATAAGGAGAAACAGGCAACACAAGAGCCTCAAGCTTCAGCGGAGAAAATAGCGAAAGGAGCAAAAGAACCAGAAAAGACCAAGCCTACTCCTCCGGGGGCATCTGCAGCCTCCGGCCCTGCGTCTTCTAGTCCTCAGCAAGCTGCCACGGAGGCTAAGATGCAAGAAAGTGGTCCGATGGAAGCAGTTTTGCACATGCCACCACCCGAAGAATTCCACCACCCCCATATATCAACGCCGCCTTATGTTCATTATTTTGATACTTATACCCTTGTAAAGCAGCTGGAGGAGAGTGGATATAGCAAGGCGCAAGCTACCACGGTCATGAAAGCTATTAGAGGACTACTAGCAAAGAATCTAGACTTCGCTCAAGATGGACTAGTGAGCAAAAGTGATGTCGACAACGTAGGCCCAAATTTCCCACCCTATCTTATATATATGTCGATGGCTAATACATCCTGAATAGGAGACGTATTTATTTCGTGCTGCATGCTCAGAACTTAGCGCCGAGGTCTACAACAATAGGAGAGCTGCTGACGAGACGACGCGACAGCAGCGTACTCACTTGCAACACGAAGTCGATATTTTGACCCAACGGATGACTCAGGACCTCATGACGCTAAAAGATGATGTTAAGGGCATGTTCAACGACCGCCGAATGAACGTGAGAGAAGAACAGAGGACGATGGAGAGCGCTGTTGGTACCCCGCTATCTAGAGCCTGCTGCTACACCCGCTAATCGTCATTATAAAGATTCAACAGCTCAACCTGAAAATCAGCGTGACCCTCAACAGCGACTCTAGGTCGGATATTGAAGGATTACGCTGGGTGCTCATCCGTCGTTCGGTTTTAGGTATAATTTTCATGGCGGTACTCACTCTCGGGACCCTCCGTTACGCGACATACGTCAAGCACGAGAGGCAAAGGGAAGCAGAAGAAAAGGCTCGACATGCTGAGAGACTTAAAAATAGTCTAGGACGGGAAGATCATGCTCCCCCTTTCGACGCAGCGGAAATTCTGGCGGCAAATTAAACCTTGATACCCGTGGGGATAGATGGCGGTAACAAAAGCAATATGAATTTCTATAGACGTATTACCACGAATTATGTATAGCGCAAGTGTTAATTTTATACGAAACTGCACGTAGGTTATAAACTCCCGAGTCCCAGGGCCTGTTAATCAGATTCAGCCGCCGTAAACGCCTTTGCGCAACCCAATGAATAATAGAGTAATGCTGATTTCCCGTGTCCATAAATTCTAATCCCTGTCATTCTGAGCAGCCGAGTCTCTTTCTGCGGCTTTCCTCAGCCTTTCCTCTTGCCGCTTCCAGTGACTCCCTTCTTCGTAGTCTTTGCTTATCTTCAGCGCGTTTCGTAACCGCTCGCTCTCTTTTATCTTCGCATCGGCTAGTTCGTGAACCTGGTGGGCCTTGAGCGGTTTCCTCGGCACGGCACTCCTATCGCCCTTGTTCATCTTTGCCTGCAGTTCTTTCCTCAAGGCGTCGCAGCGTTTGTCGATCTCGTCTTCGTCAACTCTACGTCATACGACATTAGTCAGGGAACAAAAGCTAGATGCGTAGTTGGCTAAGACATATATACCCTTCATCTTCGAGCTGATCGCGCAATTCGAAGACCTTTACTTCGACTTCGCGCTTGCGATCGTGCTCGAGGATCTCCTTGTCTGGCTGCCGCTGCCTGTGCTTCAAGCTGTCGAGGTCTTTGGTGTTGTAGGGAGCGGCTCGGTCGCGCGGCCTCAGGTGCGCTAGGTTTCGTTGGACATAGCCGGAAGTACCACTTCCTCGTGGTGTAGAGAGACCAACGTTATCAGACATGGTTACGTCGGTTGTGTTAAGACGCAAGAATACCTAATGTAAGGTAGACGGAGATGATTGATTAAGGACCTCGGGAATAGTAAGAGATTGGACATGTAGGTACCTAGGTACCTGAAGCTTGGTAGGACTAAAAAAAGGAGGCGGTAAAGAAAGGCAGAAATATAATGGTGGGGTTCCCGATTTATGGATCTAAAGTTTAGACTTAGGTACGTACCTTAGAGTACCCTGAAGGTTACAACTTTTGCCCCGCTGCCCCGCCATCAAAGATGTATGAGGTATGAGTCTAAAAGTTATGAGTCGCAAAGCATAAAACTGTCAAGCAAAACCTTAAGACGATATAAATACTAAATACTCAGGTATAAACCTAAATAGACAATGTTAGCATTATTTTTTATATCTATACTTACCTAACCTAAGGTACTTCACTTTACCGTTTACTCCGCAAGTCTTATTCTTATTTTCTACAACAACATTTTTTGTTGAAGGACTTTTATTTTAGCAAGATAGACTATGCCTGCACCAACTACGACGCAGTCTTCCTCCGGGACTGCAAATCCAGCGCTGTCTTTTCCCCCAATTACAAGAGATCATATAATCAACTGTTCATATGACTCCTGGTTTCCCAAGTGCGTAAAATTGTGATATTAAACCATCTTTCATAGAATATATAACTTACAAACAAATAGATATCGCATGTCATGCATCAAATCGCGTATAATACCTCTGTCGCCAGAGTTTATTGAATACATCCGCGAGGACGGCATTATCCTTGCCGATGACGACGTGGTTGAACCAGAGGATGATGAATGGGAATCAGCCCCCTCAAGCTTCCGGCCACCCGTCGAAGAAGTTGACTCTGACTCTGATAGTGATGAAGACGAGGATGAGGAACCGAGATTACCGCCAAACCAGAGATTTCCTGAGTTGCACCAGACAATCAAAGACAAGATCGCGGAACTGGGCGGCGCTGTCGCACCCAAACTGAACTGGACCGCACCGAAAGATGCCGCTTGGATATCGCCACACCAGAACACTATTAAGTGTACAACCCCTAACGACATATATCTGCTATTGAAGAGCTCTAACTTCATCACTTACGACCTGGAGCATGCCTTCGACGACTGCACGCCTACCAGCAACTCCTCTTCCGCCAGCACCGCGCCAGCTTTCAAGCCCGTGCTCGTGCTGCGCTCGTACTTCAACCCCCACACGGCCATGGAGTTCCGCTGCTTCGTGAAGCACCGGAACCTGATAGCCATCTCCCAGCGCGACCTGAACTACTACGAGTTCCTGAAGTCGCTGCGCTCCGACATCGTCGGGCGCATCAGCCAGCTGTTCAACCACAAGCTGCGGTACACGTTCCCCGACGGCAACTTCACGTTCGACGTGTACATTCCCGAGGGCGAGGACGAGCCGCTTAGTAGGGCGCGGCTCATCGACATCAACGCGTGGGCGCCGCATACCGACAGCCTGCTCTTCGACTGGAAGGAGCTGCTGGATATGGAGGTGCCTAGTCCGATGCTCGGGGTAGTCGGGGGACACGAAGATTCGTCGGGAGCGACGGATAACACGGATGAGACGTCCGGAGATGAGGACGAGGACGAGGACTTTGTGCCGGAGCTGCGTCTCATCGAGAAGGAAGACCCGGCCGCGTTCAACTTCAGCTCGCCGCAGTACTCGGCGCACAAGCTGCCGAAGGACGTCGTGGACGCGAGTCTGGCTGGGGAGGGGGGCATGCGGGATTTCGCGCGCAAGTGGAGGGAGATGACGGAGTATAGGGAGAACATGGCGAATTGGGAGATGAACGACAAGAAATAGGCTACCTGCTTAAGCGTAGTAATACGAATCTTGTATAATGCATTGCCTTCCTACAAATACCCTAGGAGTCTTTAGGGTCACCGCTTACAATAGTATATGTTATGAACTGACTAATGCCAAAATGACACTAGACATAGGAAGCAAACATAGAATGCAAATTCGCATTTCCATCATTGAATTTCACTCTACCAATACTTCAACCTAAGGTGCTCCCTAGAATCATAAACCGGGCCCGAATAACCTCATAAGCGTGCAAGCATCCCTAACCCAAGCCTGGTTAGAAACCACAAGAATTTCTCTCCTTTTCTTTTTTTCTTTTTCTCTTTACCGACCCCGAAAAGATGTCACTTTTCTCCTTGGAATCTCTAGTCCGGACCATCCAGACCACGATACCCGAAGCGCCCATCCCATATTCCAAGGTCCTTAGCTAACTGACTGACATACATCCTGAGAAAACTCGGCTTGCCAAAACCCCCTCTCACATAACCACACAGCAGTCCCCCAGCTTTTTGAAAAACTTGGACACCAGCCGCTCCAGCTCGTCCGGCTCTTCCTCTTGCTGCTGCGGCCGGCCTCCCTGCTGGTGCTGCGGCTGCCCGTGCCCGTGTCCGCCGTGCTGAGCCGGGGGCTGCGGCGGGAGCGGCGGGATTACGGCCTCGCCGCCTTGGAGATTGACTATACATATATGGTTATGTGAGTAAAAAAAAAAAAAAAAACACCGTAGGGCGTCATGTTGGACTTTTGGATGATGGGGACAGGGTTGGGGTTGGACGTTTAAACAGCTTAGGTGAATGACGTACCGTAGATCCGGCCCGCGTTATCCTCCGTCGCGTACTGCAGGCCGAGCTCCCGGCACACCTGCTCGACGCGGGGCTTGAGCTTCTGCACGTGGTCGGTGCTGTGGTTGCCCTTGCCGACGATGCTGTTGTGTCCCGACGGGATGGTTTTTAGCGCTTATGTTTTCTGTTTCCTTTTTTTTTTCTTTTTTGAAAGGGAGGAATGCAGCAAAAAGGGAGACAGGGGAGAAGAAAAGAAAAGAAAAAAAAAAAAGTAAAGGGGGATGGTAAGGTAAAGGTACACGACGACGTACACGTGAAGATGGGTCTGCCCGTGCTCCTGGGCGTACCGGATCCTGCGCTCGAGGATGTCCTCGGCCTCCTCGACGAACTGGCCGTGGAGGTCGACGGTGTCGTCGGCGACGCGGCCCGGCGCGTTGTTCTCCCGGAAGATGTACTCGCTCGCCTGCCGGTTGTACTCCTCCATCTTGGCCGCGTGCCGCTTGCCCTCGTTGCTCAGCTCCTTGGCCTCCGCGCCGTCGCCGCGCTCGTACGCCTGGTGCGCCTGCGCATTGTTTTTCACCCCCGGGGTTAGAATTTTGGTTTAGGTAGTTTGGATTTATTAGGTAGATAGGTAAGGTAGGCAACGTGGTGTGGCGCGCGAAGGATTCTCGGCTTCGGTGGCATCTCGGTGGAGGGAAGGAAGAAGGATGCTTATGTATGAGGTATGCTAGGTGTGGAGGTGTGTAGGTGAGAAGGTATGGAAGGTGAGAGGGTTAGGTAATGGAGGAGGGAAAGGGATGGATGGGAGGGTGGGTGAGAATATAAAGTAGGGTATATTAGGTATATACAGATGCAAGAGGTAAGTAGGTAGGTATACGCAAATAAAAAAGGAGGTACATACCCGATCGAAACAACTGTTCCGCTTCGCGGCTTCCGCCCGCGCTAGGTCCCGGAGCCGGTCATATTCGGCTTCGGCATCATTACTCGGACTATGGTTGAAGGCTACAACGGTATTGCCAATGGTATGTAAGCTAGTGAATGGACCTACTACGATTGAACTAAGTTCGGGGGTATATGGTGATGATGGTGATGGTGATTGAAGCCTGACGTGGGGGATGTTGCGTCACTTGGGACACCGGACATGTTCACGTAGTAGTAGTAACTATGCAATGCATACGTACCTCCACCTCCTAGCCGTGTTAGGGGAATAGACATTATGCTAAGCTAGATGTATTATACGTATACCGCGGTGAGCCGGGAAAAGAGTGATGCAATTAGGAGTTATAAAAGCTCGGTGCGTAATCTGTCCAGGCGGTCTAAAGCTTTGGGTAATTGTATTGTACCTGCACGTATCGGCAACGGCGCTGGAGCCTCAAATCTCCTAAGGAGAAAAAGAAAAAGGGGATAATGATAACAATAAAAAAAAAAATAATAATAGCAACAACACTAATAGACTAATTTACTTTGAGGAGACGAAGGCTTGATTGAGCTAGCGAGGCAAAAGCAGGGCGTAAATGATCTGCAGCGCATCCGCTCTCAAAGCTGGCTGGGCTAACGTTACCGTCGGTGGCTGGAAAATAGCTGGTTGCTTTTTTGTTTTGCGCGCAGCGTACGAAGTAGGTATCTAAAAATTCACCTGAGACCTGATTCGCGGGACTCATAAAAACCGGGCGCCAATAGAGGAAAATAATAATAACATAACCACTTGCCTTTTCCTAAATACAGCAGACATCAGTCCACCTGTCCACTTGATGCATACACTAAATAAATGTTTTAGTAGCTCTTGGTGGTTTAAAAAGCTGGCCTATAGGCTCTCTTTACGCGGGGAAAACTACATGCAGAAGACGGCAGGTTAGACTCTTTTAATTTACTGCTTAAACTTCCTGCAGGATGGCTGTAGGATGGGTTGGTCCCGGCACTCTGTATGTGTCAATCCGGCAGACCAGCATGTCCTTGGGCAGCATGGGGTGGCTCAGCTCGGAGGGAAATACCACCGTAAGGTAGAAGAAGTGTACTTGCTATGTATACTTGCTATGTACAAGTTGAGATGTCGTTGGCTTCCAGAAGGCTTCTTTGTTCATGCATTCAAGCATGATCCTTCTCAACCTGGAGGACCAGAACAGCCTTGTGAAACTGGTTGAAACGCGGGAGTATGCTGCTACGTATGTCCATAACTGCGTAAATCAAGTTCAGCTGAGGCAGTCCTAGGAATATACATACCGTGTGGATCTGCGTGGATGGCTTGTGATTTAGGTCTCCGCATTGTAGAATTTTGCACAGGCACGCATGTCGTTGGTCGCTTTCGGCGGCCAGATGGAGTTCCTGTTTATACACCAAGGCAAGCTGAGCTGACCTAAAACAAAGCTTCGCGTTTCTCTTGCAAGGATATACTTGTACAAGAAAATGAGGCCAAAATTCTCCGTCTCGGCCTAGACTCCGATTGAACACGAAAGAATAAAGAAAAATAAAAATAAAGATAAAAAATAGTGCTGCTGGGCTGGAATAGCGTCATCTAGCCGCAATGGCGCAGTTATAACCTGGCGACCTCGTGGCAATGGAGTAGGACTAGGTTTGGGCTGACTGGCCCGGGCTTCATCCAAGATTAATAGAGAATAGGGGAAATTGTACCCGAGTATGTAGTTCCCTAGGGGCCGGGAATGACATCGGTGGGTGATACTAATAAATGAGAAAAAGGTAGGTATTACCTATTGCACCTTGTCAGCCTACATGGTATTGTATAATACCTACACCGAACCCCTTACAGTTTAGAGAGAAACAACTACGTAACAGGTTGTATACGCGGTGGATTTAACCTATATGATTACCCTATAAAGATACTGTGTAATAGACGAACAAAACTTCCTACGGCGCGAATTGTCCAGACGACCCCATATTGCTCCGACATGTCATCCATATGCAGCTTAGTGTTAACTAGGTACCTACCGGTAAGAAGTGATAACTCTCGTAGATGCGAATTAAGGAAAATTTCCAACATGGACGGACCATGGACGAATGTGGACTGGTGTCAGGGGGGTGTTATTACCTATCTGATCAGATGGATCGACTTTCTCGCGTGGTCGGCATGGTTCATATTGCCAGGTTGATTTTTGTCATGCTGGATATGTTGTAGAATGTAATATATGTAAGGTAACAACATCGCTGCTCGAGGTTTCAGAAGTTCTTTCAGAAGGTCGAAATCAAGGATGTGATGCATTTTGAAACTGAAAGCCATCCTACTGTTTAGACAGGGCCGAAGCGCATTATATGCCCCTTCTATATTATAGGTTAGGTAGTATTATTATCGTGGAGGAGTTGATCTTAGGTACCTTATTTTACCGTACGTGGTTTACCTGCGCTTCTTGATTCATCTTAAGTTAGGTACTTGTAAATGCTGATTAGCCTCTTCATCTGGGTAGGTATATATAAAATATTACTATCAGGGCGACAGGTCAACAAGCATAAGGCCGATTTGACAGTTAATTATTTTTAGCTCGTTCTAATGAATGACCCGCTAACGAACCTCTTAACAACGATATGAATTAATAAGATACAGAACCCAGCAGTCTAGCAGTTTAATGAGAATACATAGGTATCTGACCCAAGTTAGCCCTTACGTATACTTGATCTCGTTTCAGCCTATGAATCACTCATCGAGATGACAATGCTTGCTCTATAAACGTATTATGTAGCATATGTCAGATCATATTACCTTAGGTACCTATGCACGCTGCTATTTACATCCTTTTTCCTTTTGCACGCAACCGACGATCTGGTGGAGTTAACCCGCTTGCTTATGAGGATCCTGGGGAAACGGAACGGCTCAACTCCTATCCTATCCTGTCCTATTTTCGTATACTTCTAGAAGCGTTCAGCAATTTTTTCGTTGTTTCGAAACCGGGTTGAAAGACCGAGAGCTCATCTTCAGTTACATATGCATTGCAGGTACTTCGCCAAGTACTATGTAATCGCATTGCGCGTTTGTTCCAGCGCTCACGTAAGGCGTATTAGCGCTGCATACAATACATTGTCCTACGGATATGTTAGATACATGTGCAATTCGAGATAGTTACCGTCTATTCGCTCCGAAGCCTGGCAGGCCTTGCAGAAAGTGTGGGTGACAGTGGAAACGGACCTGCAGTCAGGGTTGGGGACAGGGATTCGAGGCCCATTCTGATGTGCCCATTGTTAATCATCTGGCCATTCATGATAGGTACTATGTATGCTGCTCTTGTTTCGTTTAGGTAGTCCTCTGATCACGTTCAATTCTATCATTGTACGTTATGATATTTTCTTTTATGAGTACCTACCTAACCATAGTACTATGTACCTAATGTGCTGCGGTAAGTCCGAGGCATCTGGCATACAGTACACCAACTAGGTTAAGTACCTCTACTGTATGCGAAATCTTGGTAATTCGAAGTTGGGTAAATTTGTACTTCTCCCACCCCGTGATTTTGTTTTTTGTGGCTCTTTTTGTTTACCAATCCCTCGGTTGTGTCTCCATTACTGATGAAATGCTTATCCGCTGCTGGTAGGTGGTGTTTTTTTGTGGTAAATTTGTTACTGCATTTAGAATTATCAATACATCATTGTGGATATAAATCTGTACTAGCTACATATACAATTCGTACTTAATGCTGACGCTATCTCGATACGCATACTAGGTTTAATACCTAGTGCGCGAGACCAGCCTATGCAACGCCTAGCCTATCAGGTAGAGCATTAGTGAGGTACTACCTTGTATGCCTTGTATGTATGCATATGTAAGTACATGTACATAATATATTCCAGGTCCACTACCTCTGTACTACAGCGGCGCGGGCAAATTGCATCAGAACCTTACATTACCTAAGTAAATGTTTCAAAAAGTACATCAGGTAAGGTAGATACCTGTATGAAAAAAAAGGTATAAGTGCCTGAGAATTAGTACTTTATGCGATATTAATTTGTTTAAGACGTATCTAAGCCTACTACCTATGCTTCAGATCTTGTTTTACGGCATCAACTACCTAGCTCAACTACCTAGCCTAGGACATTGCCAGAGGGGATGTGCCAAGCTGGAAACACTCAAGTTGAAGTACAATACGGAAGAGTAGGCACTTTTACTACGGATTAATTGTAAATAAGACAGTTAAAATTTTCAATATTACCTACCTTCCTAGGTACCTAGGTAAACACTGAGCATCGACGTACCTAATCCATCTACAATGCTAGGCAATAGGAGGTACCCACAAACCCTCCATCCGCTAGAGGATATCAGGCTTAGCGTTGGCTTTGTTCCTCGCATAATCTGTGATTGATCTAACTATATTCAGCCATAAGTCCCCTCTGGTTGCTCAGTCTGATGCTGCCAGCCCCGGCGCGACTTTTAACCATGTACATGTACCACCCCATTTCCGAATTAATTCTCACCCTTTCGTTTTTCCCCTTCTCAAAAACCAATTCCTTTAGGACAGGGGCGTCCGGCAACAAACCAGAGCTGCACTTTCAAAGGCAAAGGTAACTCCACTTGGTCATCCATCTCGCCCCGTCACAATCTCTCGCGCGACCACCCTTTTTTTACTCTTCCTTTTCCACTGTCAGCTTTTCTCATCACATTCGCCGTTCCTTTCCTTCGGCGAATTTATCTCCATTTCTTATCTATCGTGTGTGTCTCTTCGTCAATTCAATTGGCATTTTCCCGGTATGTTGGTTATCATGTCTATTTAACGCCCTTTTTTGAAAAAGAAAAAAGAAAAAGAAAATCGTCTACGTGAGGGAAGCAATCATATTTGCTACTGCGTCTAGATTGGCGCAAGCAAGCGCTTGTTGGGACTTGTCTTTCCTGCGCTTTTGAATGAAAGACGGTGTTCTGCCGATTTGGGCTATTCGTTTCTAGCTTCTTATAGGACTACTAGCCCTTACTGACATCCTTCCTTTTAATTTAGTCACCGCTCGACGTAGAGTACTTTCGCGATAGACGCCGAGTTTACATTCGTTATTACATTTAGTCTAGACTCCTTTAATCAGTCAAGATGGGTTGCGGAATGAGTACGGAGGAGAAGGAGGGCAAGGCCCGCAATGAGGAGATTGAGAATCAGCTCAAGCGTGATAAGATGATGCAGCGCAACGAAATCAAGATGCTTCTTCTGGGTGAGTACCAAGGACTCCCTTTCCAATCGCGGCAATCTGTCTAACAGTAGAAGGTGCTGGTGAATCTGGAAAGTCGACCATCTTGAAGCAGATGAAGATTATCAACGAGGGCGGTTACTCGCGCGACGAGCGAGAATCATTCAAAGAGATCATCTTCAGCAATACTGTTCAATCCATGCGCGTCATTCTCGAGGCTATGGAGTCGCTAGAACTTCCATTGGAAGATCAGCGAATGGAGTACCACGTTCAGACCATCTTCATGCAACCAGCTCAAATCGAAGGTGACGTGTTACCTCCCGAGGTTGGTAACGCTATTGAGGCTCTTTGGAAAGACCGTGGTGTCCAAGACTGTTTCAAGCGCTCGCGTGAGTATCAATTGAACGATTCGGCCAGATAGTATGTACCTCTTTTCTCATACCTCCTGGCTGTGGATCATCTAACCATCGCAGCTACTTCGACAACATTGCGCGTATTGCCGCCCCTGACTACATGCCTAATGATCAGGATGTCCTTCGATCTCGCGTCAAGACAACCGGTATCACGGAGACAACCTTCATCATCGGCGATCTAACTTACCGAATGTTCGACGTTGGTGGTCAGCGATCGGAACGTAAGAAGTGGATTCACTGCTTCGAGAACGTCACCACTATCCTTTTCCTAGTTGCTATCTCTGAGTACGATCAGTTACTTTTTGAAGATGAAACTGTCAACCGTATGCAAGAAGCGTTGACGTTATTCGACTCGATCTGCAACTCGCGGTGGTTCATCAAGACCTCTATTATTCTCTTCCTGAACAAGATCGATCGATTCAAGGAGAAGCTTCCCGTCAGCCCGATGAAGAACTATTTCCCCGACTACGAGGGTGGTGATGATTACGCTGCCGCCTGTGACTACATCCTTAACCGGTTTGTCAGTCTGAACCAACACGAAACGAAACAAATCTACACGCATTTCACATGTGCGACAGATACAACTCAGATCCGCTTCGTCATGGCTGCTGTCAATGGTATGTAATGAGGATTTCATATATTCGTATATTCATTGAAATGCGTACTAACTATGTTGAAGATATAATTATTCAAGAGAATCTTCGTCTATGCGGTCTTATTTGATCGAGAACAAGAAGCCGTCACAAGGACGAAATCTATGATATAGAGCACTAGCTCACCCAATACCCCCTCCCGTACCGCATAACTCGATTGCTTGCCAGTAATGTTATATATCTGGCTAACGACTTGACCTGCGCCCTCACCATGAACTGGCAACGATCTCCTTCCATGTGTTTGTTTTGCGCCCGTTTTCGTCTCGCATACTCCTTTTATACGTTGGTACGGCCGCTGTCGGTTTTGCGCCAAGATTCAGGACACAGTCGATCGTACGATCCGGAAATCGTGACAGAAAGGAGGACGTTTGTTGCAATCTAAAGTCACGGCGGATTACATACCTTGTTTAATAACGAATTCGCAGTTGCGCCGGTTCATTTCCATTTTCTTTATTTTTCTCTTTTTCTAGTCTAAGGCGTAATGAGAGCCTTAGTGGACGGCTGAATTTCAGCCTGGAGGTGGACCGTAGGCAGTTGCTTCTTTACACACAGTAAGGAGAGGATGACTGATGAAGCTATACCAATAAGGGGGGGAAAGTGTGGAAAAGCAGATCCTGAACAATCGGTTGGATCTGTATAAAGATCAATAAGAAACCCATCCCGTTATTCTAATCTGTATACCCTCTGAGAGAGCTGTTGTCTAGCAGTTGGCGTTCGACGAATTGAGTGGCCATAGATCGTGTCACGTTAACTACCTAAGGTGGCATTTAATTGTACAGTATAAAAAGACTTTGTTATGATGTTATTAGTGATGGCTTTATAAATGTTTGGAAAAAATTTGATGCATTGAACGTGATCTGAATTTAACTAATACTGTAACTTTCTGCGATTCTGGTCAACTAGGACTTAGTACGTTGTTGTGAGTAGACATTTGGGTGGCACGCCAAGCTGGGATGACGGGTTTACCTAATCTTGCTGAGATAGAAAACAACTCTTGACGATTTCTAAGCTTATTTTTAGACTTGACATAAGGTAATCAGGATACCATAGTATTGTCTTGCAGACGGGAACTCACTACCTTATGTAGAATTTACCATGTACCTAATGTATTAGATCCGGAATCACCTTCCTAGCATAGCTTGCACCTTCCACAGACGTAGCTGTTGCCTTTCAACGTTCTTACCTTACCTCTCACGTATAGTTATCAGTTCTTTTCGGGTACCTATTTTAGCGTTGTTTGTACCTAACCTTAGGTAGGTATCTGCCTAGGTACTTATTATAAAGGATTTATGATTTATGATATGGTTCTCGTGGTTTTCTAGAATCGATCCTCCCTAATGAATCACGTATCGTATTATCTAGGTACGTGTGGAATTGAGTAAATTGCGGCAGTTACAGTGGAGTTGACTTTACCAGTTGTCTTTTCGGGTACGTGCGTATCCAGTGCGGGGACCGCGTAACATACAAGTACATGGCATTTATGTACCTGCATGCATTGGCAGACTGCGGGACCTTCCTTAAGGTACATAAGAAGGTACAGTACATAGGAAGGTTAGGTACAGACTTATTATTGTCCTTGCACACCGCCCGGCGAAACAGCGACCTAAAGCTAGGAATTTTTAGTAACGGCCATTTCCGAGAGTGGGAGAAGTGGGATTACTTTATCTTACATCAATTTTACACAGCTGCCGACAGCTGGAAATTATTCACTCCCTCACAAGACATCATCAATCTGACTACCAACTGTCAGCCAGCAGGCGGCTTTTTCTAGATCACCTGGCCCGCCATGAAAGGCATTATTCAACCAGCCCGTGGCGGCCGACCGAGCAAGGTCACCAAGCCGACCGGCGCTCCTCGCGCCAAAGTCAATCGCCGAATCGGCGCAGCTGACGGCCTCTCAAACCAGGACCCCGATCTTGAGCAGCACGATGTCACCACTGATGATGATTTTGAGAATGACCATGGCGCTACTTTCGATTCCGAAGCTGCTGCTGTTGCTGCTGCCGCCGCCGCCGCTCAGCAGCATCATCATCATCAACACAATCACCAGCAGGTGGAGCTCACTGCAGCAAGCATTCTAGCTAGCAGTGTGCAAGGCAGTGCTGATCAGCACCCTGATCTTAGCGGTCATCTCATGGAGGGTGGCAATGGCGGAGTCCAGACTACGGAGGAGCTTGCTCATCGGTCGGGATATATCAATATCACCATTGAGAGCGCTTTGGCAAAGAGACTAGCCCGCGAGCCTGGCATGCGTGTTGCCCATCAGCGACGTGCCAGCCAGAAACTTAACTTGGTTCGGCGCAGTAATGTCGAAGCTCTATTTGCACATATCGCCGGTGCAGAGGCACCTCAGCCTTGCAAGAACTGCCACAAAGGCCATGGCCCCTGGACCAGTTGTGTTGTTATCGACGGTCAAATGTGTGGTAGCTGTGCCAACTGCTGGTTTAATGCTTCCGGTGCTCGATGCTCCTTCCACGGTATGTGATGGACCTTCATCCTTTTCACTAAATGTATAAGTAAGTAATAGTGGGCTAATTATATATATAGAGACTCGCAACCCCCAGTCTCACGGAGCTCAAATCCCGAACAATGATGGCTTTGCCTACTCTATGGCTCCCGCCCCCGCTCCTGCCATTCCGCAATTCAACTTTGCTTCTATCTCCGCATCGACTGATCCGGTTGTGCGCTTTACGGTAGAACAAGCAATGGCTCAAGTCCGCGGGGCAGATCGTACTAACAGGCTTATGATGATGATTGATGCAACGTCTAAGCAGTTGGCCTACCAGATCTGCTTGTATGAGGAGGCTATCCGTGAGCAGCAAAACCAGGTTGGTCAACCGGGCCCATCTGGTACCCAGGCCGCTCCTCAAGGGGTTCCCCAGTCCGTCTCGAATGAGCAAGAGGCACCGTAGAGCGGCCACCGCCTCGACGACGTGAGGCAATCCGAGGGTAGCGGCAACCAAGAGGGCGAGCCTCAAGAGAGCGAAGCCCTTCAGTACGACCGTCGGCTTAGATTGCTGCCGCTCGAACGAATCTCACCTGAGTAAGGAGAATGTTCAAGACGGGTTCTAAGTGGAGGAGCGACCTCTTTGTTTCAAATTCTTGGTCAAACTCTAAGTTGTCTATAGGAAGAATTTGGAACATTCTCTTTTTTTCTTTTTTTTTCTTCCCCAAGCTTGTTGGTTCTAATTATGCATGAGTCGATGCGTAATATATGGGCACGCACGGAGTTTAGGTCGACGATGTTTTTTTTCTTCGCTACAAAAAGAAAAAGAAAATATATCCAGAAAAGGAGGAAGGATCACTCTGCTTAGGCGCGGCCTAGCATAATGCGGATCGTTTTCGAAGAGGTGATAAAATAATTATATTTACAAGAACTGAATTGTCAAAGTAGGCATCTTGTCGATGTGAAACAGGTGATACGACGTTGTAAGTTGTAGGTATATAGGAGGTACCTATTTTGTATCGTAACATGATGTGTTGATGTGAAACTTAAGTTATCTAGTTGAAGAGGTTATGTATGGTCTTAACTATATTCCATCCCTCTTTATATGTTTAGAAGTAAATGAACAAAGCATAACCAGACTCTAAATCATTTAAATCTATTATTACAACGACGTTTTCGGTGATACTCATAAGAATAACCCGCTCGAGAATTGCAATTATTCGTCTTGGTTTCTTGAACTTAAAGAATCAAACCTCCAATCTTACATTGTTTTAATGTCCTTATCAATCAACACATTGCAATCATAGCCTCGTAGAAAACAAACCATGAAGGTATATTTCTCTTCTATCTCCGGCCTGGGTATAATTCTGCAGTAAATAAATTAAGACTATCGTCGTTATACTGCACCTATAACCTAAGTTATGACTTTCTGGTCATCTCCTTCTATAGCTTTGGCCCTATAATTGGCAGGATGGCCGTGCGCCTTGCGGTATTTCCTAATCTTAGAAAAGATGTCCGGCAGCGCAAATATCCATATCAGCGGCATGAGGCAGGCCATGATCGTGTCAACAAACCAGTTGTTCCTCGGCGAGCCTCCCAGCGAGCTCCACCGCAAAATATATCCGAAAAAGGCCGTCGTTACGGCGTAATGCCCCTTTTCCAGACCCCGAATCGAACTCGTAGCCACCGCGTCGGGAGTCTGCACCGGGTCGCCTTCCTCAATCATCTTTGTAATGCCCGGCTTCGTCTTGTTTTCGCGCTCGTACCCGGGGCTGCTGATCGAGGCCGGATACACGACGTGGATCTTCACGTTCTGCGGATACGCCTCTACCTCCTGGACAAGGGTATCGGCCAGCCCGCGCAGCGCGCTCTTGGCAGGCGTGTATGGCCCGTATCCGACTATGGGGAAGAAAGCGACCACGGACGAGGTGAAGATCAGGTGTTTGGGCTCGGGCACGACGGGCGCGTCGGGCGCGCACCACACCCGCAGAATGGCGTGGGCCATTTCGGCGGCGCCCCAGAAGTTGATGTCCATCTGGCTGCGGGTCTGGGACAGGGGTACCTCGAGCCAGAAGTCGGGCGTAGACATGCCGGCGACGCACCACACGATGTCGATCGGCCGGTTGTCGTTCCAGGCCACGGCTTCGGCGACCAGGGCGGGGGCGTAGTCGGGTTTCGTCACGTCGGCCGAGATGAAGTAGAACCGCTGGGTTTTGGGGTTTCGGGCGGCGGCCTTGGCTTCGGCCATCGCCGCCTCGAGCCTACTCACGTTTCGCGACACGAGGATCACGTTCGCGCCTTTCTCGGATAGCTGGCGAGCTACGCTCTTGCCCATTCCCTCCGAGGCTCCTGTGATCAGGACGGTCTATATGAGCAAGGAAGAGACTTGTTAGAGATACACACGGAAAAAGTGTTGTTAGTTTACGTAGTTCATTTTAATAATCTGGCGTACCTTGCCCTCCACGGGCATTTGGTTGCTCCAAGAAATGCCCATTATGAAGGTTGGAAAGTATTATTATGATTATAGGATAGGGATAGTAGTGAGTGGCATTAATTCGTGAAGAATACCTAGAACATTGAGCCTATGGAAGAGATAGGAAAACGTCACGTCACGCAATTATTGGGACATAGGAAGAATAGATATAATGAGGGTACCTATTGGTAAGTTGTAACTATCGCATCATGTATGTGTAGGAGGTACTATGTAGAAGAGCAGCGGAGAAATCATCTGAAGCTACCTAAGGTACTACCGCTAGTTACCTTAGTTGTTTTCAGAATAAACTTTTAAAAAAATAGACCTAGGGATCGTTTTGAGCGCTCCGCTATTGTGCATGACGACCTAACGTTGGTGAAGTTATTGGCCCACCACGGTGGATCCTTATTGAGTTGCGGACTACGGTAGCATTGATAACGATAAGAGATTGAGCCTAGCTGACTTTTCGTGGGGAAAGAAAAAAAAAGTTCAAACCGACTGCGAACATCATAAAAGTCCGTAGCCGAGCTTGCGACTACTTATACCAGCTTACATCTGTTAATTGTTGCGCCATCGCATCGTTACAATGGGAAAGAAGAGAAAGGCATCGAGTGGTCCTTCGGAGCCAAAGGGCCCTCGCGAATATAATCCCGCTGATGCGAGATTGGGTCCTATCAACACCTTCGAAGACATAGCCGACTCAGAGGAGGAATATTTTATGAACAAGGACCAAATTCTTTTCGAAGATGACCGAAAGTCCAAGAAACAGAAGAGACAGGAAGAGGAAGAAGAATTCTTGGAGCAATCTGACGAAGAAGCTCTTGCCTACGATGACGATGACGAGGACTCAGAAGATGACGATGAGGAAGACGACAGAGACGTCCGCAGTCGCCAACCCGCGAAATCGGCCAAGGGACAACCTGATGATGGATCTGAAGCTGGAGAAGAGGAAGGAGATTCTGGTTGGTGGGGTTCTTCGAGAAAAGAATATTATAATGCCGACAATCTTGAGACGGAGGCCGATGCCTTGGAGGAGGAGCAGGAGGCCCGACGGTTGCAGAAGAAAAAGCTGGCGAAGATGTCAGAGAGCGATTTCGTTTTCGACGAAGCTGAGTGGCTCGCTCCTGAGGCCGAAGACGCAGACGAGAACGAGGTTGTTACTGAGGTCTTAAAGGACGTCGAGATTCCCGCCGACATGAACCCCGAGGAAAGATATCGCATTCTACGGACAAGATACCCCGAGTTCGATTACTTAGCAGATGAGCTACAGCACCTTCAACCTCTACTTGTGACTATACAAAAGGAGGCCGAAGGGCAGCCGCCTAAATCATTACCCGTGGTTAAATATCGCATTCTGGGTTGCTACGTTGCTACCCTTGCTATGTACTTTGCTACCTTATCGTCACCAGCTAGAGATGCCGCCAACGGAGCTGCAAAAGCTCTTGACCCTGCAGAGCTACGCGATCATGAAGTTATGGGAACTTTACTGGAGTGTCGCGATGCGTGGAAGAAAGTAGAACATCTGAAGCCAGCGGACCACACGCGTGTCAATGGCGGCATGCCCTCGCCGCCGGAAGAGGAGTCGTTAGCAGTTGAAGAGGATATCCAAGTAGAGTCGAAGCCTCCGAAGAAATCAAGCAAAGATGCCAAGGCCAAGGCCAAGGCGGATAAGAAAGCGAAGGCTATTGAAGAGTCACTTGCTGATCTCGATGCGCTTGTTTCTATTAAGAAGAAGTCGAAGAAGTCGGGCGTTGAGATTGCGGCAAGAGACAGTGATTCGGATTTCGGGGAAGAGGAGGTTCTTGATGCCAAGTCGGCTGCTGAAAAGGCGGCTCGCAAAAAGAGTCTTAGGTTTTACACTTCGCAGATCGTGCAGAAAGCCAACCGCAGAGCAGCGGGAGGTAGAGATGCAGGTGGTGATATGGATATTCCTTACAGGGAGCGTCTAAAGGATAGACAGGCGCGTCTTAACGCCGAAGCAGAAAAACGTGGGCAGAAGAGTTCAAAGATGGGCGCCGAGCTTGGAGATGCTAGCGATGAAGAGGACGAGCGCGTTGCCACTGCTGTTCGAGATGACGAGGATGAATATTACGACATGGTCGCCGCGGCAACGAGCAAGAAGAAGGCAGAGAAGGCGGCCCGAGCAGCAGCTCTTGCAGCAGCCAGCAAGAATGACCGCGTGGTGGAGAAGGAGGAGATCGGAGAGGATGGCAAGCGTAAGATCACTTACCAGATACAGAAGAATAAGGGACTTGCTCCGAGACGCAAGAAGGACGTAAGGAACCCAAGAGTAAAGAAGAGAAAGGCGTATGCAGAGAAGCAGAAGAAACTAAAGAGTATAAAACCTGTATATGGAGGCGGCGAGGGCCGGGGCGGATACGCAGGCGAGCTTACCGGTATCAAGCCGGGTTTGGTCAAGAGTGTCAAGTTGTAAAGATGGTATATATCGTTTTAATTATCATCTGCATATTTATACCTATATACGAATCAATTAGTTCATCATGTTAGGTACTTTGAGGTTTCTGACAGGTCGAACACCCATGCATACCTACCTCGTAAGGTACCTATTTTCTGACTTGTAGAGAGTCACTTCGATCTTTCTAGCATAGACATGTACCGACTTACCTACCTACCTAACCTAGTCTAGGTAGGTAAGCACACGACATGGATTTGAGTATAGTAGTTAAAGTTACCGTTCCTGCATATGACTATTATTAGACAACATCCCTACTGAAGTCGGGCATTAGGTAGGTACCTAGGTGTCTCCTATGTATGTAGCGCAGCTACGTGCACGTGTTTAGCATGTGCACGCCCGCGTACGTTCATACATGCATACTATGACACGTCAGGTAAACAAGGCTTTAGGTACGCTTATAAATATTAAGTCAGAATAAGCATCGCAGCCTTATCATTTCTTTCTCTTTCATCTTTATATCCTCGTATATAATTTAAAATCCCCACTGCGACTTTACTCGAGATGCCGCCTATCAATACTCATTCTACTCCCGATACGGGTTCTCTGGCCAACGATGTCGACTTCCCAGCCCACGCCCAAGATACTATCTCGTCCGTCTCATGGTCGCCTGTCGCCAATCATCTAGCGGCGGCGTCGTGGGATGGCAAGGTGCGTATCTACGACGTTAATGCTCACAACCTAACCGCAAAAGGAGCAGCGATGTTTGCTGCGGCCGGCCCTGTCTTCGACTGCGACTGGGCCAAGGTAAGTCTTTCGGTTTCTTCTAACTCTACAGCGTGGAAATAAAAAAAAAATTGAAATTGAAAATGAAAACCAATATTGGAATCCAAATAGGTAAGTAGGAATGATGGATGTGGCACTGGCGGAGGTAGACGGGGTCGGTATTGATCTGGGGAATCAGGACGGGACTATGGTCGCTGCTGGAGGAGCTGATAAGTCGCTCCATATCTTGCATCTGCCGACAGGTCAGCAAGTTACTCGGAACTCTCACGAAAAGCCTATTCGTGCCGTGCGCTTCGTCGAAGTCCCGAACTCGAACACCCACATCGTGGCGTCCGGGTCTTGGGACAAGACAGTCAAGTTATGGGACTTTCGTCAACAAGGACCAGTCGCCTCCCTCACGTGCGACGAGCGTGTATATTCGATGGACTCCAAGTCTCTCCTGCTGGTGATCGCTACTGCGGAGCGTCGTATCCATCTCGTCGACCTTCGGAACCCCACCGTCTTTTCCCAATCCCTAGAATCCCCGATCAAATACCAAATCAAGGTCGTCACCGCATTCCCTGACGGCACGGGCTGGGCGACGGGGAGTATCGAGGGACGGTGTGGTATGAACACCGTAGAAAAGCTTGGAAATAAGTATGAAGAACCCAGGGTTTGCCTATTGTAATAAGCGCATGCATGTATGCTGATTTCGAACTCGTATAGCAATACCGACTTCTCATTCCGCTGCCACCGCGCGCCGCAGGACCCAAAGACAAGAATCACCCAGGTCTATAGCATCAACGACATACAGTTCCACCCTGTCCAGCACGGAGTCTTTACCACAGCCGGTTCCGACGGCGCGATTTACTTTTGGGATCGCCCCTCCCACAGCCGGCTCCAAACTTATCCATCAATCGGCAACTCCGTCACTACAACTAGGTTCAACCACGACGGCACCCTCTTCGCGTACGCGCTCGGGTATGATTGGAGCAAGGGGTGCGCGGCGAACAAGCAAGAGATCGAGACGAAGCTGAAGCTTCACCGCGTTACGAAGAAGGAAAGTACTCCGAAGGAGATATAGGAGAAAGCGGGATAGGAAAGATGGGGCATTATACGCCTAGAAAGGATAGGCTGTGGCAAAAAGGGGGCGTTATGAGATAGATAACTCGGGGTATAAGAGAATTTGAGTACCTAACCTATCGATGCCTTAGAGTGGGCGCAATTCCGATTTAGGACGGGCAGTCTTGTATCAATGGAGGAGGATCTTCTTTGTCAAGGGCCTGGTAAATGTATATCTTGGGAGGAAACGTGGAGGTACCTATCCAGATGAATTACCTATACGCAAAACCGTCGTGTTTCACGCGGTTGGAAAGCAGAGGTTGATAAGGTCAAATAGACAGCTATCGCATCTCATGCCTGCTTCTGTGTGTGTGAAAGGGCGATTAGAGAATATAGAGTTCGCTATAAGTCAAGTGCATAAATATTCCAGACCTGGCCCGAACTCGATTCTGCAAGATAAGCTGTACGCCCACGGTGTTGGTATGTCTGTAGCCTTAAGTCATTTGCTGTTGGTACCTAGAGTATTATTGATTAATACTCCTCTTGACTAGGGTGGGTTGCAATGAGAGCTTTAATGAGCCGCATTATAGTTCAAGTACATTCTGAGTGAAGAAGATATAGTTGAAAGATCGTATAACCGCGTATAAGTCGCTATACTAAAAATGAATGACCACGGATATTTACCTAAAGTTTATACCTGCATATTATACCTGGGATCCGTCTATAAGAGGCACCTACGTAGGTATTTTAACATCGCGCTTCTGTGTAATAGAGCTGAACTCATTGGCGATTAGTCGGGCGGATATTTGTGGGTCTCTATAAAGCTTATACTATGCATAGAAGGTACCCCTCCCTTTGCCCTTGCCCAAAGGTTTCCATCTCATATTGCTGCTCAAGCGCCGAGCTAGAAATAAGCAACTTCAACTGGTACAATACAATAAAATATAAGGTACCTAATCTAAGTTAGAAGAAATAACAATAATAATGATAGTAATAAGCTTTGTTTTTCTTTTTTCTTCTCTATAACCGCGCATTTCATCTCATTTTATTTCTCACCCGGCTTTCTTCTCAGATGATACTACTATGTAGAATCCGCCCACCATGAACGACTGGCGATCCGAATATCTCTCCTCCCTGCAGGAGGCAGAGCGCAGTAACCCCGTCAACAAGGACCTCGTCCAGGCTTGTGAGTACGCCTAGTCGCTCGCCCTGGCTATACTTAGTTTTGGTTGTACACTACACTACACGCTTGCGCTGTGCTGCTTGCCTCCTATCCCACCGCATTTGCCCGTATTTCTTCTTGTTTGTTTGTCTTTTTTTCCTCCTTCTAACCATAGCCTTCTCGCCTCCCCCCCTCTAGGCTCTCAACTTGCCGACCGCGTAGCCGCGCTCGAAGCCGAGAAGGCGGTCTGGCAGACGTCGACGGCGACGAACCCGCCGGCGTCGCTGTCGTCGGGCAAAACAGCCGGCATTACGACAGATCATAACAATACCGCTGCCGCCGCCGATCCGAGCGTCGTAGCCCAGCTAAAACTGGACCTGGCCGAGGCGCTCCGGTCCAAGGGCCAGCTGCAGAGCCGGCTCAAGGCCGCCGAGGACGAGCTCCGGGGCCTGCGGGCCAAGACGAAAGTCGACGCTAAGCGCATCGGCGATCTGGCCGCCGAGCGCAACGCCCTCTCGGCGAAGCTCAAGGACCGCAACGAGGAGCTGGCTGGGAAGAACAAGATGCTTAAGGTACGGATTCCGATACCGAATTATATAAACTCAAGATTTATATATATACCTATATATATATATGTGTGTGTGTCGGGTTCAGATGCTGACGTGATACAAAAAAAAACAAACAAACAGGACATCCAGGATGAGAACCTGACGCTGAACATACAGCTGGACGTCACCGAGCAGAAAGCAGCCAAGATCGCGGCTGATAACAAGGATCTAATTAAGAGGTGGATGGATCGGATGAAGCACGAGGCGGACGCCATGAACCAGGAAAACGAATCACCGAGCACACTGAGTCGGAGGTAAAAAAAAAAAAAAAGAATAAAATTCGACATGCCGATCATCTCATGAATGTCATCGCGCTTTTTTATTGTATTGATGTGTTCTATTTTATATAAACCTTAGACTGATTTGGTAAGTCCATGCCATTTGATCGTCTCCCTTGGTATCCCTCAAATCATGTTTATCTATGCGAATATGGTATCCTGCCGCGTGCTCTGACCTACCGTTGTTCTTTTGTTCTTTTTTTTTTCTTCCCGAATTGTATACACGATAATATTGCTGACTGTCCTCTCCCCCCTATAGACTAGTCGGCATCATTATTTTCTAGTGGAGATATAGTAGTCGCCTTCCGCCGCGGCCCAGCTGACCCAGTTCTCGTGGTACCGATAATGCTGGACGTCGAGGATGCTATTTGCTACATCGTTAATGGCTGTCTTGTTTTCGTGGACGAAGGATTTCAGCGATATGATCTTGCAACCCTTCTTTAAATCCAGAAACATATTAATAAGGGCGTCGTTAAGAGTCGAAGTGAAGGCTTTGTTGTTGACGAGTATTACGTCGGCCTCCTTCAATTTCTCCAAGATCTTAGTGTTGGTGCGAAAGTCGCCTCTCTCAAGATGAACCCGTCCGTGCGCAACGCCCCAGAGATGGCATCTTGTTTTGAACTCTTTCTCTTGGGCTTCGGCGAGATTGCAGGCGTTCTCCATCATCTCGCAGCCGTAACTTCGACAGCCGATCTCGAGTGCCGCTTGAAGGACGACGTTACCTACCCCGGAACCAAGATCGATGAAAACTTGGTCGGAAGTCATTTTCGTCTGCTCAACGAGCAGCTTCGTGATGAAGGGATGCAGCAACTCCCCGTAGACGTTATCGCTTCCCATTTGGTATTTCGTGAGCATCTCTACCTTCGGCGCAACCGTACGGTCGTACACTTGTGTGAGGATAAACGACACCAGACTGGGCGGAATGTGGTGTAGTTGGTCTATGTTCTTCGCTATTGTACCATTCTCAACCAGTTCTAATAATTTATCGTTGTAGTTTTGAAGTGCCGCTCTAAATACCGACACATCTCTATATTTCTCGCTTATTGCGCGCTCCATCTGTCTTTTGAAGCTTCCGTTGTGGTCGATGAAAGGTTTGGCTTCGTCATCTGTGAGATATGTCTCGGCCACATGTTCTACAACGGAAAGAATGTCTTTGACAGCATCGATCTTATCTTTCTGCCATACTAGCTCGTATCTTGGTTTTATGTCAGTGCGTCCGCCTTGCGATACCTTGGGGAGTTGATAACCTTACCTCTCGCGCTTACACCGCGACGGGTATTGCAACTCTATTGGAACCTCTTCAGGTTTTGCGCCGGGAATCGGTGGACACTTGGTAGCGACCGAGGCGATATCAGCCGCGTGGATAATACGTGGGTCCCTGACCTCATCGCTGAACGCCTTCTTATGGCGCAGCTTGCGATTTAGATCCACCGACCTTGATTCGCTACGCCGCATTCGCTTTCGGAACGGATCGCTATCGTCATCTTCGGACTCGGAATCGTTTCCGAAGGCGGGGGAGTCTCGTGGGGTGCTGGCCACGGCTTTGCGCTTTTTTACGATAGGGCGTTTCTCATCGGAAGAGGAAAGGTATGGCGACGCGCTTTTGGGTCGTGAGAGGCGCTGGTTTGGCGAGAGGCGGGGTGACGCGGAATATTGGCTTGAAGACGCGCGGGGATGGTTCACGGCTAGGCTGGGTCGCGGCTTGGAGGGAACGACGACCTTTTCTACGCGAATCTCCTGAGGTGCAGCCTTCAGCCTCGACTTCTGATTAAATATGCCCATAACTTCTAACGGTGGGGTAGGTAAGGGTTTAGGAGGTGCTTCGAGCGGGGATAATCTATGTTAAAGGGGATTAATATTGGAAGAATAACGATGCGAAAATATTGAAGATATTGAGTTCCAGACCGTCTACGCATATGAGGAGGTATGTATATAAAAATGGTCAATGCGAGAGTGAGTGACTAAGTCATAAGAACTAACGCAATGCACAAATGAATGTAAGGCATTAGGTAGATACGCAATCAAGTTCAAAAGAAGGCGGCGGAAAGGAGGGTGTAACGAGGCAACGTGAACAAGTTAGAAAAAAAAAAGATGGCTTGATTGATTATTCATGGGATAAGGTGAGTCTTCCCCTACCCCCCCAAGAGTCCTACGTTAAAGGAACCCTAGCCTAGAAAAAAGACGGGCGCGGATACAGGTCAAGCCGCTGTAGCGAAGCGTACCTCTACATCTGTACTCCACCTTTATCGATAATCTTTTCCTATCATCTACGGTTATGCAACTGAAATTGGGAATTGAAGGTTCTGTGGTACCTATGATGACCGGGCGGCCCACCCGAAAAGCTTGGCGGTCTGGTTGCCTTGCATCGGACAATTCGGTACCTATGGTAAGACAACTTATCCCCACTTAACTTTCTTTATGACAGGTTGGGTACATGGCTACTATGTACACTATACAGTCTACAGGTACCAACTGAAGCACGTGTCGCACAAGGTACGTAGGTACCTCTTATCAAAGTCATTTCACCTGAGACCTGAGACCTGAGATCTGAGTAGGTCTCCCCTATCAAACAGGTGTATTCGTGATACTGCTCAAATACTATGTATCTCTAGGATATGCACATAAATGTCAAGTTCTTCGATCCTACAGTTCCCATGGATTTCGATACTTCCATTCGTCACAACACAGCTTCCACCCGCGGGGATGCTCGATAATGTGATAAAGTAAGGGCAAGAGGCTCTTGTTACTGTCAATCATCGTTCAACAATGACTTTAGCGAAGCGAGGCTGCCAAGGCTGTTTCAATTTTTTATCGGTCATGAAAGACGCCATGGCCTTCAAAGAACAGGTATATTTTATACTACTTACCAGAGTAGGTTTCATTGTTGCCATGACTGTGACCATGGCTCGATCTTCTTCAAAGTATGGCGAAAGGAAGTGTTTCTAAGTAATAATGGGCGGACTAGACATTGATCGTAGAACAGAAGAAATCGCTTACCCGGAATAGGAAGCCAACCAAGGCCTCTTTAAACCATTGCTTTGGCATTGTTGCTTAGATGGCGAGATCTAAACAAGATCTAAGCAACAATGGTGCTTTATTATTTCAGTACTAATATGGGCAGCGTGCCATCCTCGGAGTGGACATCGATGAATATACTTTTTAAACTAAATTTTTATCTAATTCTAAAATTACCATCGACCATTTCAAAGGTCATTATTATAATGTCAATGAGAGGAATTATCGGTTTCCTTACGGCGTTGGGCTTCACGGCCCAGTTTGCCAACGGCCAGCTCCAACCTGATTGTAATCCGCTCCACGAGGATTGCCCGCCAAAAAAGGCTTTACCAGAGGGGAATTATTATGTCGATTTTACCAAGCAAGAAGGGCCTCCTTCCGACTGGACTGTTGGGAACTCCGGGGTCGTCGATTTCACTTCCAATGGAGCCGAGTTTTCTTACGCGAAAGGGGGGGATGCGCCGAATATGTGGACCAATTTCTACATGCTTGGCGGCCGCTATGATGTCGAGATGAAGATTGCTCCGGGCCAAGGGGTCATCAGCAGCGCGTCTTTATGGTCAGATACTCAGGACGAAATCGATTTTGAATTTTCGGGTAACCAGTTTGGCCAAACGCCTTTCCCGCCTAAGAATGGGATGTGGGCTCTCGAAACGAACGTCTTCGCACAGGGAAAGATGTGGGAAGGCGCAGCTATTTACCAGAAAGATTCGTACAAGCCTGCAGAGCAATTCCACAAATATTCGGTAGAGTGGGATGAAGATAACGTGAAGTGGTATGTGGATAACAAGCTCGTCCGAAGTCTTCATCCCAAGGATACTCCTAAGGGCTTCACCTTTCCCCAGTCTCCCATGAAACTTCAACTTGGCGTATGGGGAGGCGGATACCCCAGCAACAATTACCGGACTATCCAATGGGCTGGGGGCGAGATTGACATGAAAGGTGCTCCTTATATCATGTATGTCAAGAGCGTTAATATCACAAACAAGTATCCCACTTGCCAGTACAGTTATAAGGATAAGGTATGTCAACTACTCATAGGCTGCGGTAATCTCACTAACGATTTACAGAGCGGAAAGCAATCTTCTATCGAGAAGATAGAGAATGGATGTAACCCTGATCTAAAGAGGATTGTTAAGAAAGACCCTGCCGCCAATGACTATCCTGTCAGTTCTCCAGTGCCGGTGGCTAGCGAAGCAGGATCTTCTACTCCTGTCGGTTATCCCACATACGCTGCTAGCTCACCCTCTAGCAACCCAGTGCCTACTTTACCTTCTTCTATATCCATAAATACGTACCCGACAAGCTTGCTCTCTAGCAGTAGCGATTTGCCTAGCTCTTCTCCTGTCGAATATCCTACGTACCCGGCTAGTTCACCTTTAGCTAGTAGTCAGCCAACTTCTTCGTCTGCAGGATATCCTACCAGTGAGGTGGACACATCCAGCATCCAATCGTCAAGCTCTGTTGCGGCTAGTTATTCTGCGTCCCTGGTTGGGTCTTCATCTGTTATAGTTTCATCGTCTACTTCGTCAGCCGCTGAGAATTTCGAGACCTATCCAGCCTCGAGCGTCCCGTCAGTAAGCATATCATCAGCGAGTGCATCGTCGGCAAGCGCATCTTCAGCAAGTGTATCATCAGCTAGTAACTCTAGTCCTTCATCTGTTGGAGTGTCGTCCTCTTCGACCACCGACGGGTACCCTACTCAACCGCTAACCGAGTCTGGTACTGTATATACACAGTCATCAACCTTAACGACTCCTGAAGGATACCCAGTAAGCTCACCGACTACTGGTAGTGGGATCTTGAGTAGTTTAAGCTCAATTTTCTTGGGCACTAGCAGCAGCAGCAGCGTGTTAACTCAGACCGACTCTAGTGTGATCATTGGGTCTAGTTCTACCGAGGTAGCTAGCTCAAGCGTTGATGCTGTTAGCTCTAGCACTCCCATAAGCTCGCAAGAGTCCGGCTCTGGTTACCCAGTTTTGTCCCCATCAGCTTCATCGGCTTCAGTTTCATCGGCATCGGTTTCGTTCTCTTCAGTGACACAGCCTGGCACTTCGAGCGTTGCTAGTGGCTCGGTTGTCTCTTACACAGCGTCTTCTCAAAGTGCCTCATCGAGCGCGATCGTGGGAAGCAGTAGTACTATATCTACAGTGTATTCGTCGACCATCTATACTATCACATCCTGCGCACCAAGTGTGACTAATTGTCCTGTCGGGCAAGTCACGACCGAGTCGATTTCAGTCTCAACGACAGTATATCCTGTCAGTTATCCTGCCAGCTATCCTGTTAGCCAGCCAGACGAATCTCAACCGATTACGTCTAGCACTGTTAGCGATACCAGTGTCGAGACACAACCCGGCTCGTCCGCGACCGCATCATCCGCAACCACATCATCCGTAGCCTCATCGTCCGTAATCTCATCGTTCGTAGTCAGCTCATCTGTAACTATTTCAAGTGTGTCAGAAGTATTCCCTACGACTGAATCGGGCGTCTCATATTTTACTTATCCAACCTCTGGTGGGCCATTGTTTTCGCAGACATTGCCGAGTACGTACAGCGTTAGCAGTGAGATCACCACGTCGGCATTATCAACAGTCTATTCGACGAACGTTGTTACTATCACCTCATGTGTCCCCTCTGTGACAAACTGCCCCGTGGGCCAAGTCACTACTGAGACGGTTTCCGCGTATACGACCATCTGCCCAGTCACACAGACTATCCTTGACGGCATAACGTATGGTGTAGTGGAAGGGACAGACGCTGCCTCTCTACCGGCGCCATCAACCTACCCGGCGAGTTCACCAAGTTCCAAGCCAGCCGGATCCGCGTCATTAACCAGTTCCGGTAGCCTCTATCTTACCAGTAGCTCGATAAATTCGGTAACAGTAAGTTCTCCGGTGCTTAGCTCCGTTAGCGGTTACCCTACTATTAGCTCGGGAATCTCTGTCGGATCTAGTTCTTCGGTGGTTAGTTCCAGTATCGTCTTCCAAAACTCAACAGCATCTACTCCTAAGAGCGTCTCGGAATCATCAATCCAGTCCTATTCAGCCTCGTCTATCCCAGCTTCGGGCAGTGAAACTAGGATGACCACCTCGACAGTATACTCAACAAACATCTACACGATAACTTCTTGTGAACCTGGCGTTACGAATTGTCCTGCTCAGTTAGGACAAGTGACGACGGATCTCATCTCGTTGTATACGACCGTATGCCCAGTCTCCGAGTTGCAAACTACGGTTGGGGTAAGTTCCTCGGTGCTTCCGGTCGCTACACAGACTTCGACGCCAGGCCAGGCCATCTCTTCGTACGCTACCCTGAGAAATTCTTCAACGGTAGGGTCCATACCAAGTTCGAGCGTATCTGCGCCAGTCCAGTCAAGTGTCATTGGAGACGTCCCGTCTTATTCGATGTCCACTGGTTCTGGACTTGTGGTCGAGTCAAGTACTAATCAGGCTGCATCATCGCATGCAACGTCTGCGCAATCTGAGACGGAATCTCCATCATACACCACGTCGACTGTCTATTCGACAAATATCTATACCGTCACGTCTTGTGCTCCAGGTGTGACCAATTGTCCTGCAAGCGGTGCGGTGACAACAGAAATTGTTGCCGTATCTACCACAGTCTGCCCTGTGTCGGACAGTTCGGAAGATACCCCGGGGACTACTGTCCCTGCCACGGAATCGCAGTACATAACTACTGCGATTACGTTCAGTGATACGGTAAGCGGTTCGGTTATTGTGGTGACCACGACTATCAGTTTCATTGATACGCCTGCACCTACTTCGTATTACCCAACTCAAGGGGTTGGCACGGCTAGCACCGCAGGAACCGATGCGATCGCGTCGAGTTCGCCTGGCATCTATCCTAACATGACTAAACCAGGCACAACCGTGACGCTCGGTAACTACTTCACGACTGTTATCGAGTATGATACGATTACTCCCCAGGTTCCCGCTTCTGTATCGTCTGGAGCTACCCCAACCAGCTACTACACAGCATCTCAAACATCTCCTGATGTTCCGAGCTACCAAATGAGTGAAGCTTCCAGTACTGTGGGGGCGACCGCAACTTCTGTCCCGGTTGTTATTAGCCCAGCTTCAAGGTCAGTTTCTCTGTCTTGCTTTTCCTTAGCCATCTGCTCAATAATCCTTCCAATTCTTTGGGGACGTGCGAACTGATGGACACTCGTACTAGCTACCTCGTAGCATCGTCGCAGGTCGTGCCTGGGGGGGATGCGCCCGGCCAGTCTTCTTCGTATGCGGATGATTTGACAACAGTAACTGCTTCTACCACGGATACCCGCACCGTGTTCCAGACTCGATCTTCTGAACCGTCAGGCACGTGCGTGTGCGAACCCTCGACCGTCTCTGTGACTGTCACTCAGACAGTCGCACGAATCACCGTGACGAGTACAGCCGAGCCGTTTGTCGCGACCACGTATCCCATGAGTACCGGTCCTATCGGCACTGGTGGGACGACCGCGAGCACTTACCCGACGAACACGCCCGTTGTGCGAAGGTGGTTTAGGCGAGGGCATGGATATGGGGGCGCTCATGGTCACTGATGAGATAGGGATTTATATTGCATACTTGTTATATACCTGTTACTATATAGGTGTTCTCATGGTATTTAACTCAGGTGGCAGGCTCCACGGATTTAAAATTTCTTGTAATTATTGTATGAATTTCTGGCTTCTATATTAAGTATATGAGAGATATAGGTAGAGAAGGATCAATAGACACTTCGTAAATACGATTTATATGCCGTGCGTTTTTCTCGTGAAGGCATAAGAAACCCACATCTAAATAAGAAGGATAGTGGTCATCACTGTGATATTTTAGATCATCCATCTGACATATTTGGTGGATTATGAACTAAGTGAGACGAAATCACAGCACATGCACTGCAACAACCCATGAAGCATAATGCTTGCTGGTTAAAGCGCCTAAGGTTTACGTGGACTCGACACTTTATTCGTTCTGAACGTGTAAGGTTCTTAGGTGAGACAACTACGGACCACGTACTCCAACTCGGAGCTGTGTCTTAAAACACGCGAGATCAAACTCGAATTGGTAACGAGACGACTAAAAATACCTATCATCTTCATGCAGGTCTGACATCTACATGTGAGAGGCAATATGTGGAATTAATAGACTGCTAGGGTAAAGCCTTACTAAGTATTCAGTCAGTATTCGTACCTCCTTTCCACATCCGCTTTTCCGTATATGTTTTTCTTTTTTTCTTTTTCTCTTTTCGAGGCTTAAGCCAGGTTCTTCTTATTCCCTATCTCCTATCCCTACCTCCTATCCACCACTGCCGATAACCGATGATCGTGGTAATAGTGCTACTGCCCATATACCCCCCACGCCGACGCCGTACCCAATCGGCATGTCCCGAGTATGGACGGATCCATCTATATATAAATATAAAAAGCCGAGCGGAACAGCCGCTAAGGTGAGGATGATAGGGGAAGATGACGGTCGGCGGGCGCGACAGGATCCTCGTCATGTACATGTGTAATCTACAAGGTGTAAAACAAATCTGACAGAACACCAGCTCCGCAAGCTAGACCGTAAAGAGGTCCGGTAAGAATGTCTGGGCTACGCTGCGACTCAAGTTTATATAACAGCGCGGACCCTAGTCGCGGCGTTGCTGCCATATCGATGTCGATGTCGATGTCGAATGCAGACAAGAAAGCTGATAATAAGGAATTATTCTGGCGTCAACATTAAGCACGTATACATCTATATATACCTATGCAAATTTCTAATCTAGGTTCTACTGTTATCTGTATCCTCGAACCAGGTAGCCATGTCTGGCGTTCGAAATATTACTGTTCCGTGGGTGCCGCTGGACGAGTTCGACTGGTCGTTCGCCCGCACCGGCCCGTTGCCCTGGAACCTGACAGTCTGGTAAGTGACAGATCAAGTCCGGGACCCACGCCGTATACCTCCCGATACGGTTTATCTGCTACGTGAGGTAGTGGCTTATGGACCATAGGTGTCTTCTCGCCGTCTTCACCTCTCTCCCAATATGGATGACCGTCGAGCTTACTGCCTGGGTCCTTTATGCTTTCGAGCGGTGGAGCGGGATCTACTTCTGGTCCGTCCTAGCTACGACGTGGGGCCTGTCGATCCGCGCCATAGGCTTCCTGCTCAAGTTCTGCGTGCCCCAGGCGAACTGGATACTGACATACGTGCTATCGGAAGTCGGTTGGGTCGTCATGGTAACCGGGTTCAGCATCGTCCTGTGGTCGAGACTGCACCTCGTCATCCCGCCTAGCACGCGGATCCTGCGCGCCGTGCTCGCCATGATAATCATCGACGGCTTCCTGTTCCACGTGCCGACCGTCGTGTTCCAGTACTTCATATCGAATTCGGAGACACACGTGAGGTACCTTCCGTACATGGACGTGATGGAGCGTGTCCAAGTCTTGGCCTTCTCGGTGCAAGAAGCCGTCATCTCATCCGTCTATATCTGGGGGACCCTGCAGATGCTCAAACTGTCCCTGAACGCCAAGGCCAAGAACACCCTGGCGTTCCTCATCATCGTGCAGGTAGCCGTCGTGCTGGCCGACATCCCTGTCATCGTGCTCGACTACTGCAATTACTTCACGCTCAAAGCCGTCATACACTCCTTCATCTACGCCTTCAAGCTGCAGATCGAGTTCGTCGTGCTTAATGAGTTCAAGCGCCTTGCCAACGGCGGGATGACGGGTGGTAATGGGTCTCTCGGGAGAAGATCCGATGACCTTGCCCCGTTCAATGCTAGGCCTCTCGATGTGCCGAAAGAGGGCAATAGCATCGGCGTGTATAATAACTCGGGTGTGTCGGTGGTTGTGTCGGCTGGTGGACCGCCGTCGTCGAGGGCGAACCGGTCTGATTCGACTGGTCAGCGTGCAGAGCAACCTGATGCTCTCGAGGCCCAATACCTAGGAAGGTATGGTGTGGCCATGTGATCTTTAGTTATTCAACTTGTTTAGGCCCCCCTCAATATTATCATGACAACAACTTTAACACATATCCTTCACGAGAGCAACGTAGAATCGATTCTAACAAGGCGCGAATGCTAAGTGGGTAAACCGAAGAAAAGCCAGCATCGTAGGTACCTGTTTTGGAATTATTCGACCTCCGATAGTCTTATTTTTTAGCACCTATGCTAGACCACAGCTTCCAGTGACACTCTTCGGGGTGTTGCCCTTTTGATGTCAGGAGGTGTTCTAGGCTCCATTTCTATGGATTCGCTGTTGCCATCCCTCTGTCTGGTTGTGTTCCCCGAATATAGGACGTCGGTACTGTTTTCCCACGTGGCAACCGTGATATGAAAAGGATCTGGGACGCCTCTCGGGCTTTTCCTCTCTAGTTGGTCTGTCCTCTCTCTGCCCGGCCAAATACGTTGCGAAATGCCTCTGTTATGAGCGGGGATAGGCTTTCTCCGCCATAATAATCTTACAACCGAAGTACTCGCCACCGGCGCCGACCCAACGATCATAGCGACGGCTTGCTCTGCAGTCGCCATGATTAATACAATCGGATATATGACCGTCCTATTCTCACCATTTCCCTCGGGTATCTGGTAAGCGAGTCGCGCAATACTAACTAGTGGTGCTAACGCGCCAAAGGCGAATAAGGCCCAGATAGCCCATTTCCTCTTTCTTGCCGTATGCAGCTTCGATATGGAAGCGATAGGAATTATAAGCACCGCAATATCTGTGATAATGTTGATCGTCGAAGCCATTACCAATACCAGCCACTGGTTGACGCAACTATGACCCCATGATAGGTGGTAAGGAACGCATTGTAGCGTGGTCACAAGAATAAGAGCAATCGTATAAAGGAGATTGAGCCATATGACAATCTGTATGACCCACCAGAACGCTGACCTTCCGGCTCCTATCGGGAAGAATATTCGGATATAAAGGAGCAGGATAGACAATCGGGCGAAGAAGATGGAGACCCGCGCAACCATTTGAACATCCAGGAAAAGCTAGAATTAGGAAGAGAGATAGCATTAGTTTTACGGCATGGAGAAAAGAAAGGGGCCTTGGCCTTACTTCGAGGAATCTCTTCAGTTCATCGTTTGGAACATCCCATATATTCACTCCGCCTCCATGTTTCATCATTAGAAGCTGTAATGCGCAAAGGCAGATAGTACCCATCCAAGCAAAGAACATTGCCCCTTTCACGCTATTAATTAGACTACAGTTGAATATAAGAGGACGAGACCGAGATCCGCACTTACAGTCATCCCACCAGAGATGCTGGTTTATAAAGTATCTGGTGCACATTCTTGCCAAGGTGAAGGCTGTACATAACACGATCATCATAGTCATGACGCCTATCATCGTGGCAGAGCTGATAGGGGCTTCGACCCTTGCTGAAGCACTAATGCCATCTCTCTGCCAAATCATCGGGTCGATGTGACAATCAAATTCAGGTTCGGGTTTTATTAGAAAGGCAAGAAAATTGATTAGGGGCTCCAACGCCTAGACGTAAGGGAGCAGTAGCCATATTATATGTGTTAGCAGAATCGCAAGTTTGGGCAGCCTTATCATGATGTGAGTTGTACGAGAAAAAGGAAAAGTTAGAAGGAAGAAATGCATCGAAGCTGAGCTGGTTGAGTTGAGCAAGACCGTGATCCAGCCGTAAGCTGCATACTGCATATCCCCTCCCTTGCCTATTTGGGGCTGATATTAACTGGACGATCATTTGTTATACGGTCGTATTAATCTCCCTCATCCCTCACCTAGATTGGCTGTACCGCGTAATACAGAAAACACTAGTCACTCTGGTAGCCAATAAGATACGCGTCGGGGGCCTTTTCTTTGTTCAACTGTGAATTCTGGACGGGCGAGCACATTGTTCTACAAAAGGGCGGAGGTATCCGTCTCTTCAAGACATTTCTGCCTTCTGCTCCTACTATGTAGGTGCTTACTCGAAATAAACATAATCTTCAACGCCGATCTGAAGTTGCAGCACACCCTCACACACCCCTTATACACCCTTTTACACCCTCATACATAGGTACACGCACACCAGGAAAATGAAATATAATAATCGTTCAATCTCCCGGCTAGCATTCGCGCTATTATTGCGAGGCGCGGCATCCCTACGACTCAACATAACAGCGATCGGAGCAAGAGATGGCTCTTCGACGCTCGAATGCTGGCAGATGAACACGCCGTTCACATCCTCGTCGGACCCCGGGACGGCTGGAAGCCTTGTGACGAACCTGGGAGGTGTCTCAAATGTTTCCTATTCTATCATCCCGCCCGAGTACGATGGCGGCTTACACCATGCGCCATATGCACAGTAAGTATTTATTGTCTTGCCTTCCCCGCGCCTCCTGCCGCCCCCCTCCTCCCTCCGCCATCAAAAAAATGGCCGCGTCACATCATGTCACGTCACGTCAAATCACGGTACGGCAAACGGAGTTAAGCTGTCTAGGTTAGGGTAGTTACTTAAGTCTGGGTTACTAACGCAAGTGATTCTCTCTATGATCAGGTGGGTTTCCTTCACCAGCGGATTGGCGTACATCACGCTGCCGGACGACAACAGCACCAGCGCGCTGGTGAACGGGGGCCAGTTCGGGCTCATCTTCGCGGCCGACACGGCGGGTGTCAGCGAGCGTGGACATCGCACGCAGTACCTGGGCAACACCGAGACGGTCGCGCTCCAGATCCCGACGTGCAACGGGGAGGTGCCTGCGCATGACGTGCTGCACATGGGGCCGTGCGACTCGAGCGAGGTCGCGGGAGTGCGTGAAGTCGCACTCGCGGGGAAAAAAAGTTGAACGTTTATTATGGCCGCCGTGTAATAAGTAGCTAGACGTATATTTCTTCGCAGAACTCGACGTAATACCTATTATAGAAGTACATAGTAATAAATAGTCTTCTAGGGCTTAGGTTAAGTACCTCTTACTTAGACCTAGGTGCCTATGCTTTCAGTACTGATATTTGATATTGCAATACAAATACAATCGAATGATCATTTGCCACCTAATAACTCGTACCCCAGACGTAATAAGCCACCAATTATTTCCCTCGGTGACTTAAAGAAGACTTGTAAACTTAGGTTACGTATTCACTCGCTAGGTAACCAGTCGTTCTTATCCAAAATCTGAATGATCTGATACTGTAAGCGTAGGATCAATATGCATACGACAAGTAAATATTGATCTGCTAGAGATACACAGTTGATATGTGTATACATACTATATGTAGTAGTTAGTTAGAGAAATATAAAAATACTCTATCATGAGTGACCCTTGGATTAACTTGAGGTTTTAGATTTATATATGTTGCTTATTTATTTCGACTCCTTACCGATCTTGAATCTGGGGTTGTAACATTTTAGATGAATGTTGTTACAAGGGCATGTTAGCGTGTTTATGTTAGGAGGTACCTGGTAGAGTTGCATTACCTATACCAATCTTTACAGTACGGCACTGCACATTTATAGCTGGTGAGATCCACTGCGTTGGGGCCAACCCTCAAAACTAACTAACTCGAAACCTAAGCCAGACTAGAAGAGCCGGTACTAGCGTAGTGAATTGCGACGAAGAGAAAAGATTTTTTTTTTTTAAAAAAAAGAAAAAAGATTAGCGAGCTCAGCAGGGATCGAACCTGCAATCTTCAGAGAGCGGAGAACCGTGAGTGGAACCGAAATCTGACGCCTTACCATTAGGCCATGAACCCCTTGATGCTGAATTTACACATCAGCTAATTGTCACTATATTTCAGTGCTCACCAGCGAGGTTTTTCAGAAATTAAAAATACTTAACTATATATTCGCGAAACGGACGTTTATATACTTCGTTTAGAGGCCACATAGAAAAATTTTCATCCATAATGAGATTATTCTCTGACAATGGGCGTCATCAACATCAACTCTTCGACCCCTTCGCCAAAAAAACTTCTCCTTAACCAAATCCTGGGACAACTTTCCTAGACTTTCGGCGCCCTCGCTTGAGGCCGAGTAGGAATTCACCAACTCGGAAATCTGGCAATCCACGGGGTACAACACGTAGTTCTCCTTATCATCCTTCGTCGTCGGAAGGCCCCAGTTCCGGATCCAGCGCGGCACCCGCGCCTAACGTTTTGAAGGCCAGCAGCCCGCTCTCCGCCTAGTCGGTGACCATGGCCTTGGTGTCGGGCGCGGCGTCCCGGATGATCTCCGTGTTCGTGATGCCCGGGTGCAGACTGATGCTCAGGATGCCGTGCTTCTTGTACAGCCGCTTGCTTTCAGCGCGATGCTAAATAGCACGTTCGCTGCCTTGCCCTGGTTGTACCCCAGCATGGGCAGATACGACTTCTCCTGTGCGTCGACGACCCCCTACTGCTTGTGCGTCTAGTAGGGCGGCAGCTCATCCTCGGGCAGCTCCTTGTTCTCCTTCGCGTAGTTTAGGTCGCCCCACCGCATGCGCACCGTCGTGGGCGGCAGCGACGAGACGTTGATGGTTCGGGTCGCTCTCTTCGGGTTGTTCTACGCCGCCTTGAGGAGCTTAGGCATGATCAGGCAGGCGAGCAGGAAGTGCCCGACGTGGTTGGTGGCAAACTGGATTTCCAGTCCATCTTCGTTGGTCGTGGGCTGGGGAACGATGCGCTGTTGACGATGATATCGATGGTTGGGACGTCGTCCCACGAGGCAGCGGCTGTGACGGTCCTCTGCGTGGAAAGATCAAGAATGAGAGAGCGGTAATCTACGTTGGGCAATTTAACCTTAAGCTTGTCGATGCTCTCTCGGATCTCGGATGGAGTGTGGCTCGCGAGGATGATATGAGCTGGTGACTGAGAAGTCTTTACGTCGAATTAATAAGAATATATAACGATATGTAGAAGGAAGGGATACCTACAAAAGCTTGTACTGTTGCAGATCCAATAACGGCGACGTTGATACTCGTTACGAGAATCGTTTTGTCACGGATATCCCCGGCGAAAGCTTTGGCAACCTCTAATGTCTCCGTGTGGTGTTATGTCGGCGTCCAGTAAGTGCTTCATGGAAGATACTCTGTAAAGTACCTAGGTACCTAGATACGATATCAATCTATAGCGCCCGATTGGAATTGGCGTTCACGATTTCTTGATTGATTATTTATTTCTCATTCATATAATTGATTCCCTACCCGCCCTGTGCCATACGTGTACGGAGTTGATTTCTTGGATAACTACGCCTTTTGCTATACCAATAGTAGTATGGTTTTCGAACTTTATAGCATGGTGCCCAGGGATACAAAACGTTAGCATGTACATGTCTTATGGATGAAGGAGTTGCAAGCTCAAGCGCCCAGACCTATTTCTTGGCTTGTACTTCGTAACGATTTATATACAACTTCTACGAAGTAGTTGAGACTATGTCATTAAGTGCTAGAAAGGCACAAGTATATACTTTACTTATCCCTATCAAGAAACGAGGACTTCAAAAGAGGTCGTGATATACTGTCTTGGGAATAGTTTGAAGAGCCGTGCCCGGCACATTAACGGAGATAAGCGACGGAGACAACATTAGCTTCACATTTAGCTCAACTTGGGACCTCACTAGCGAACTTGGCTGGATAAATTTACCATGGAACAAATTGGATGATCGTTCTCATTCATTACTGCGGCTGGAATGCAAATGGCATACCTATCATCCACATACTCATAAAAAACTGCTCTGACGAAGCAGTAAGCCAGTAGATAGTACAAAACCTTTAACACCTTAAAGTGAAGCTTGATCTTCGGGGATAACGCCCAGCCCAGTGTGTCCACAACGCTTCAAACCAAAATAGCCTCCCCCATTTTTTATCCCTCCCAAAAACGCCGGAATCCAACAAACCCGTTTTCCCATCTCGCTCGGCGAGGTATTTTGTCGCCCCTGTTCTATTTCTATCTCCTCGAAGCTAGGGCTTGTTTATCAACACCTGAAACGCAAAGCTGCGACAGCATCATGTTGATATCCACCTGCTTTAATCTCGTCGGCCTGCCTCCCCTCGAGTCGTCTCTTCCCCTAGTGTCTGCTGTTTGACGATACTAGCGGGGACATGAGTCCGGGGAGAGCAGGTATGCACGTGCTCTTCTGTGGTGTTGAGACCGGCTTGAAACGCCGAAGCTCTCTATCGCCCCGGGGGCTGATTCAACTTATGCCGACATTCTTCTGTGGAGAAAGACGGGGAATTCGAAGCCGTCTTCGAAGCTCAACGCATTCCTTCGGTGGTGGGAGGGAATGTGGTACATGTCGTAGGCGTTCTCGTCTTCGTCCAGGGCTGACTCGCAGTCACTGTAGGCTGGGCTGCCGACTTCGAATGAGTATATTTGGACTTCTTGCGAGGGTGTGTTCTTCTTGCTTGGCGTTGGAATAGCGATGGACTTGGTTTGTGTGGCGTAAGTGGTGTTCTGGGCCATGTTTAGAAATTGGTTATATGTGTATGAGTGTATGTACGAGTGTGTGTATGTGTGATAGTGTTTGATAAGACCTGTGATTGTTCAAGATGCTGATACTGACTTTTTGGTAGTAGATGCTCTAGTGAGTAGAAGAAAAAGGGTCCTTTTATGATTAGATCGATCTAGTTATATATACAGATCGAGTGATCGAGATCCCCTAGTTCATGGCGAAAGGGTGGTCTGAGAGAGTTCGTCGAGTACCTAAAACTACGGGCAACCGAGCCATTCTCGTCTCACAGGAAAACTACAGAGAGTTTCAGAGTCATTTTTTTACGATGCATTCGAATGCTCCGAAATGCATAGTAATTGAAAGTGGGTTCAAATGGTATGTTTTTTCGAGCCAATGCGTTTACCATCGTATGACCGGGACAAACCGGCCGGTACGGAAACACCGCGAATTGACGAAACCAGCCGCGTACCGTCACTTACATAATTTAACCGGGCGACTAATCGTCTGGGGAAAATCCTGGAGTTTTCCCTGAGGCGATTGTCTGGACTCGTCTAGCCTGAGGCGATTTCCGATCATCCCCTAAAATCGTCAACTTTGAAATGGCATTGACCAACCAGAATCATCGGAGATAGGGGCTTTAGGGGCTTATTTAAGTTATCCAAGATTTATTAACACATAAGATCCTTAACTGAACCCCCTGCCTTATAACGGCGATGCATACCTAATTCATAAAGAATATCTTGTGCTTTAACAAAAAATAAATAAATAAAAAATCAGGCAACTAACATATATCATTGCATGATGTACCTAACTTTGTATGGTTTACTACCGTCTCAATTGTGACACAAAGGACATCCCCATGGTTCTTAGCTTCTTATTGAAATAATGTACCTATTCTCTATATCGCATCCACCTCTTGGCAACTCCACATACTATGTGAAGCTCTATTTGCCTCCCGAATTTTTTGCTAACAATTTAACAGTCATATGAACAAAAAAAAAAGCCATAATGCTGTAGTCTCAACAAATCCACATTTCTATGTAGGTAGACATGGCTGCCGTGTTCCACGACAGAGACACTTCTCTGATTTCGAACGCGAATACGATTTCCCATCAGGTGGTTGGAAATGCCATGATTCCAAAAGGTTTTGCTTATTGCCCCATATCTTATTGGAGTATTGGCGCAGTGACAACGAGTTGTGGCTTTGTAAGGGAATCAATAAATTATATGCATTATATCATGTCGGACGTGGCTGCTGAGCCTGCAGTAAACACTGCATGGCGTCCTGTGAGTTACTCCGAAGGGTGACACGATGAGTCTGGATGCTGCAGAGTTCAACTAATCGTTTTCCCCGCGTCGACTTTCACATGTCGCCACGCCGTTCGAATGTGCTGGATGTTCCAATATGCAGGCGATATACATCAATCACCTTGAGGAGAACCGGACCTCCTGAGAATCGGTCTCCACGTGACACTTGGTAGACACGAGTCCAGGTAGTGAACTTAATCAATGATGTAGATTCGATGGCTGATTGGGCCAGAGCTCAGAACTACTGCAGGGTGGTGTTATCGAGAGTCGTGCTTGAACGATAGTTGACTTGGGGAAAATAGTTCGGGCTAGGTGTAGCGTTGGAATATCACACCATTACTTGACCACTGATGAATCATATCCAAGTTATACAAAACTGAAGTAGTATTCCGTAAACAATAGTAACTTTGGAACGAAGAGTGTTTAATAGTATATGTGATGAAACAGAAATGTCCATCTATATCGTTCGATACCTCGTGACTACCTACTAAAGCTTGCAAAGCGTCGGATGAGTCGAAACTACCCAACCTAGAGATAGTCTTTAGATGACTACCTACCTAGGTACATAGGTCTACATTGCTTCTTCAATTATCATGCTTAGACATCTATGGGAATTAATCCCAAGCGTCAACTGAAAGATGGGGAATAAAGAAGAGGTCATAACTAGTGGACTGGGGCTTCTAAACCCAAACTCAAAATGTCCATCGTCATACCTTAAAATCTATTGGTCAATATCGTCTTGCGAAGCTCACAATAAAAAGTCAATGACAAATAGGTGTGATGCTAATGGTCAGAAAACATAGTGGTACAGTACAATGTCATACTATGATTACATTGTAATCATGGAAAATTTATTAACCACTCTTTAATTCTAACTGCAAACTAAGTCTTATAATAATAATAATAATAATTAAAAGCCGTGGTATAATGGCTCTTTCTGAGATAATCGTGTTAATTATATTCATTACTACCTTTTATAAGGTACTTAACCTAAGGACTTTACCAAAATACACCTCTTATTTCGAAAAGCATTTCGCGTTCAAGTTCACCGTGCTCCTTCACGTACCTATCCGTGTAGCTCTGCATAATTTGCCCGACGAATGAAAAGCTGGGAACGGCGCGGGGTTTTGTCGATTAAACATCTCAATGCGCAAAATGCGTCTACTGAAAGGATATTAAACCAGTCAAGCAAGGTTCTTACGAAAATCGTAGATATGCTTGAAGTCGGCGAGATCACAATACAAGAAGCCCATGATGGATTTAAGGATGGCAGGTTTACCGCCGAGGAGCTTACCAGCGCGTTCCTTAAACGCATCGCCAGGTGGGATAAGAACGGCCCTCGGATTAATTCAACCATGGCTTTGTCTGGTACAGCACTGGAAGAAGCAAAAGCTCTTGACGACTACTTCCAAGAGAAGAGGGAGCTGAAAGGAAAGCTTCACGGGATTCCGGTTCTAGTTCCAGATCAAGTATAGACACCTTTGGGAGATCAATAGACGTAATGCTGATTAAATCATCTCTAGGCGACTACGAAAGGAATAGCCACTACGTATGGCTCAGCTGTAGCAGGACACAACGTACCCGACGGGGACGCATTTGTAGTAACTAAGTTGAAGGAGGCTGGCGCGGTGATCCTGGGTAAAACTACACTCTCAGAATGGCCCACACCTGGGTTTAGTGCGAACGGTGCGACTGCTTCTGAGTTCACAAAAAATCCCTACAATCTTGATCACGGTGTGCGAGCATCATCCGGTGGTTCTGGTGCGGCTGTGACGGCAAACTTCACCATATTGGCTGTGGGAGAAGATACAGGCGGCTCAATCAGGGTCGCATCTTCCTTCTGCAATATCGTCGGTCTTCGTCCAACCCCTGGCCTTATATCTCGGACGGGTTTCTACTCTTTGATAGAAACACAAGACACGCCAGGACCCATGGCGCGGACTGTTACTGATTGCGCGCTTATGCTAGACTGCATGGTTGGTTTCGACCGTAGAGATGGGTTTATGGGTTTGGCAGAGATGGTGAAAGGCCGCCTGCCACAAGGAGGAAGCTATACTGCTTTTCTTGACCGTGGAGTGTGCATGATCAAAACGGCGCGTATAGGAGTTATCAGACAGAGGTTTGGCCCAGACTCTGACCCATATTGCAGAGCAGTCAACAGAGTGGTCTGGGCTGCAATTGATGAACTTCGCAGCGAACGCAACACTTTCATTGATGTGCATATCGATGATCTCGACTATCACATGAATAACCTGCTCACAAAACTGCAAAGATCACGCCGCGATACCACCGGTCCCCTAATCAGCGACCCCCTAATGACAAAGCCTTATATTCCACATGCTATCGCGGATCTTCCGAGCACGCTATACGATATACCAGATGATCTCAAGAAACCCAGCGATGGCCTGATTTTTAGGGAACAACGAGAATTAAAGTGCGAAGTAAATGGGCTCATCGAATCGCTCGGTCTTGATGCGCTCATTTTGCCCGATGTCCAAGTGCCTCCTCCGCGGTTCGAAGACGCTACTAACGGCAGGTTCATGAGGGATGGGGAAGAATATTTCCCAACCAACACGTCCCTTGCCACCATACTACACAGTCCAGCCATATCGGTGCCAGTTGGGTTTACTGAAGATGGGCTTCCGGTCGGTATGGAATTAATCGGTCGAGAGACTCAGGATCAATTTCTGCTCGAATTGGCTTACGGGATAGAGAAGAAGATTGGAAAGAGGAGAGCACCGCCAGCGCCGTTGTGATCATCATCAAGTATCAATCAATGGGGACTTGTAAATGCATAATAAGTGGTTCATATTGAGCTAGGTCGAGTAGCTGACGTAGATAGAGTGCAGAGAAGCAGACTATCTCTATATATGTCCCGTACGACTTAAAAGTTAAGAATTGAGAGGTCACAGCCTCGCCTGTTCTCCCACCGAGACTCGATCAACAGCCCCAATCCCAGCTTTAACTTCATCCGCAACAGCTTGCGCGAACGCCGCCTGAACGTCATGCTCGTGGATCCAGCTCGGGTCGACGCGGTTCTTTATCCGCGCCCTCAACTGCTCGTCCGTCTCCGGCTCCGCAGCCCTCGAGTACCTCGCCACCTTGCTCTTGTTGGTCTGGTGGACGACGCTCATCACGCGGTCCGTGTGCGGCTTCCGCGTCCTCTCGTAAATGCGCAGCGCCCGCCGTATCTCCGCGTCGCTCGGCTTCCCAGAAGCACTAGCCGCCGCATCCGCGGGGAACACGTGCAGGATCGCCGACGCGAACGCCCACGCGTCGTCGAGCGCGAGACTCCCGCCCGCCGCGAACGCGCCCCCGTGCGCGTGCGCCGCGTCCCCGGCGAGCGTAACCCTTCCGTCGCCGAGCACCCACGTCTCCAGCGGGTGCGCCGCCGCGTTCGGGTACACCCTGGTGCTGGGCACCGCGTCGACGATCCGGCGCACGAGCGGCGACCAGTCCTTGTAAAACTCCCGCAGCACGTCGACGTCGCTGTCCGAGTTCCACGTCGAGTCCTTGTACGGGGCGTCCGGGGCGGCGGGATCGGCCTGGTACGATCCTACCACGGTGAAGAGGTCCCTCCCGAGCCTCGAGACGAAAAACGTGCGGTCCGGTCCCCAGAAGTGGGTCGCTTCGTCCGGGAGGTCCTGGATGTGCGCTACGTGGGAGGAAGGGAATACGGACCGGAACGCTACCCATCCCGTCCACGCCGTGCTGGAAGTAGGCACGAAGAAAGTTCTGACTGCCGAGTGGATCCCGTCCGCGCCGAGAATTATATCGGCCGTGGCGGTGGTCTTGTCCGTAAATGCGATCCGCAGCTTCTGGATAGCCGAGTCGAAAGCGACCGACTCAAAAGCCTTGGAAAAATGGATCCTGGTGGGATCGACATGTTTAGCTAGAGCCTCCTGAAGATGTGCCCTGTAGAAGCGAGCAGTCAAGTGACGATCCTTGACGTGACCGACGTGAGAATCAGTTGATATTATCTCATTCGTCTTCCAATGTCTGTATTACATTAGCCTCCGGTCCAAGGAGACAAGGACGTAGGTATGTAAACTTTAAAGATAGACCAACCGATAGATCATGGGATATTTTGACTTGTTACGAAAGGCAATTTCGTCATCTAAAGCATTTTCAACGCCAAGCCGTTCCAAAGTTCTCATCCCGTTAGGTCCGAGCGCAATAGATGCTCCTATTTCCCTAAGTTCTGGAGCTTTCTCGTATATCTGCACGTCGATGGCGGGGTGGCGTTTTAGTGCGATGGCTGCACCAAGACCGGCGATACCAGCGCCGATGATGGCGATCTGAAGTTTCGCTTCGTCTGCCATGGTTTTAAGAGTACCTTAAGCACAGATCACTCTTGCATTTAGAAATCTCACGATCTTGCGTTTATTATTGTATAGCCGGAGCCAGCTTCTATAACATTTAACCATCGGGACGGGGTCGGCATTGCGTGATCGACAATACGGATCCGAGATGGCGCAAGACAAGACAGATATTGCGAAGCCGTATCTTATCAATCACCAACCGCGTTTCCCCCTCACGGCCTCGCCATGGCCACACCGTTTCGGGAAACCTCCGATAGTTTTCCCATGCAAGCGTGTCTCGACCCTTGAGGTAGGGTTAAATAGCGTATAATAGCGTCTGCCACAAGACCTTGATAGAGTAGTCCTCATTAACAAGGATGCATTCGTCATTTTGCGTGGGGGTTGGCGAGTACTACGCAATGAGGCCTCTATCCCAACGAGAAGTTTTAACTTATATGTAAGCGCAACTTGACCGTACACTGTCAAGTAGCTGTTCGGTATTGATTCTATCGCGCGAACTGCAGACCATGGCGTCTAAGACTACTGGGCAGACGTCTTCGGCAGAGGTTGGCTTCGAAGCACCGAAGCTTTCTGATAAATACGCCGACGAAAGCTACAAGCTCTTCTCTCAAGTCAAGGTAGAGCCGCCTACTCCAGAAGAGGCTGAGCGCATCCGTAAGAAGAGCGTCAGATGGATATTGTCATTTCTTTGCGTCGGGTATCACCTGATGTACGTTGACAAGCAGACGGTAAGAACCCTCTTTCCCTTCATTGATACCAGGTAAAGTTACCTACAGGCATGTAGAAATGGACTTATTTAACATCGTCTCTCTATTAGCTTGGGAGTTCATCTATTCTCGGAATTCTCGAAGACGCGCATCTAAATTCTAGCCAATATAATTGGCTGTCGTCCATCTTCTACTTTGGATACCTATTAGCTGAGTGGCCTCAGAACTGGGCGTTACAACGATTCCCGGTTGCGAAATGGCTGGCTGGAAACCTGGTTATCTGGTGAGTTGATTCTGGATCTTCACATTCAGCATCATGACTTACAAGAATAGGGGTTCCATCTTGTTACTACATATTCCCTGTAATAGCTTCGCATCTCTCTTCGTCGTTCGCTTTTTCCTTGGACTGGCGGAAGCGTGCATTGTACCCGCTTTCCTATTGACGCTATCCATGTTCTTCACGTACGACGAGCAAGCCGTTCTAATGCCCATAATGTGGGCTGCTGGGAATTCCAGCCCCATAACTTCAGGCTTGCTCTCATATGGGGTTCTGTGGATAGATACGGGGAGTTTCTCATCTTGGAAATGGTTCATGGGTAAGTCCTTCGCAATCGTCCCTGTGGATCATCTACGTCTAATATATCTCCTGTAGTCATCACGGGAGGCCTGACTGTGATATACGGTGTTTTCGTCTGGCTCTTCTTCCCTGATAACCCGATGTCCGCCCATTTCTTGACTCTGGAGGAACGCGCGCAGGCCATTCTCCGTATAGCCTCGAACCACTCCGGTATTGAGCAGAAGCGGTTCAAACGCTACCAGCTAATCGAGGCGCTGAAGGATCCTAAAACCTGGCTTTTCTTTCTCCATGCGTGGTCCCAGGAAATGGCCAATGGGTTGACTAACCAATACTCGCTTATCATAAAGTCGTTCGGCTTCACCACCTTGCAGACTACGTTACTAGGCTGTATTACTGGTCTTACTTCGCTAGTATCTCTCGGAGCCGCCGCCCTAATATTGTCCAAGACGCGCAACACACGAGCGTGGCTCTCTGCTGCCGCATACATACCGCCCATTATCTCCAGTATATTACTCATTACTCTTCCCTGGAGCAACCGTTGGGGGCTTCTATCAGCCATATGGATCAGATCTACCGGAGGTATCCCCTACAGTGTAGTTATGATCTGGGCGGCCAACTGCTCGGCGGGACATACGAAAAAGACTGCTGTCATCGCTCTATACCATGTGGGGTACGGCCTAGGTAACATCCTATCGCCGCAGCTGTTCCAAGAGCAATACAAGCCTCGATATATCGTCACCTGGTGGGTTATTCTATGGATAGCGTGCGTGCTCCCGACATTTATCGTTCTCTACCTTCGGTGGTACTTGGTAAAAGAGAATAAGAGGAGAGATATACTAGCTAAGCGCGGCGAAATAAGAGAAGTCGGTGTCATTGAGCATATTGATGAGAGTGGTGAGCGGCGGGAAGAAGTGGTAGATGCGAGACAGTTGGATCTAACCGATAGGGAAAATCTGGCATTGTAAGTTGAAGTTGTCCCAACCCCCTTTTTTTCCTTAACCGCACGCTAACAAACGTCTAGCCGATATGTCCTATGATGTGGTAAAGCTTTATAGATACGGGATATCTGCTATTTAATGGACATCATGCGAGGTTCGCTGCTCAGACATTAGGCAACGGATCTAGCATTAAAATCTACCTAAGTACCTAAGAGGTAGGTAACAAATCTGAGGATCTCTAGCAACCAGTGACTTGATCTTCTTGCCTACTACCTTGGGGTGCAGTGGTTAGTAGAATCATAAAATACAGATATTTACCTATGCTTCAATCTTCACTTAGGTGCCTAGGAAATCAATTCTGTAATAATAGATAGTGTTCATATTAATTATGATTAAAGAGGTAAAGGAGCATTAACAATTGTGCAGCCATGTGTCCAATAGCGCATGGTCTACTACCCCTCACGCGCTTCGGGCCACCTCCTAACACAACAGCTATGAATGTTATTATCCATTGATTTGCTTAGACGGGACCAGGTATAGAACCGGTTGCGGCCCAAATATTTCCGCTCGCGTACGTCGCCAGGGGGTCAGCCAAGTTGACGTAGATGGGCGCCAACTCGGCGGGCTGCTCGATACGGCCGTACGCGTTAGACGCGCTGATAGCCCTAATCGCCTCCTTCGAGACCCCAGCGGTCGCCAAGAACGGCGAGTAGGTGATGCTGGGGGCGACGCCGTTGACCCTGATCCCCTTGGGGGCGAGCTGGGCCGAGAGACTGCGGATCATGTAGCTGATGGAAGCCTTGCTCGCGCCGTAGTCGACCGCGTTGCTGTTGACGGTGTTGATGATGCCTGACGTGGTGAAGACGAAGCTCCCGCCGCGGGGGAGCAGAGGCACGGCCGCGCGGACCAGGAAGAAGTTCGCGAAGACGTTGGTCCGGAAGATGCGCTCGAGTTGTTCGGTCGACTGCTTCTCGATGGGTCGCCACGTCTCGCCGTTGATAACTCCGGAGTATCTAGTGGACAGTTAGTCAAAGCCTGGTATGTCTACCTAACCTAAGGTAGAACTTGGAATTCAGGTAACTCACCCAGCGTTCGGGACTACGATATCGAGGCCTCCAAGACGGTCCGCGGCCTCGTGGACAAGCTCGGTGACGAAAGTTTCGTTGAGTAAGTCCCCGGGGATACGCTCGAATGATAAGCCTTCTCCCTCGAGGAAATTTGCGAGGTCGTCCACGTCGGGTTCTTCCTCTGGGAGATAGTTGATTGCGACGTTAGCACCCTCGCGTAGAAAGGCGATGACGACTGATCTTCCGATTCCAGAATCTCCACCCGTTATCAAGGCGTTGAGTCCTTGCAGTCGACCCCTTCCCCTGTAGCTATACTCGCCACAATCCGGAGGTGTCTCAAAGCTGGTCTGAAGGATGGGAAACTTCCCGGGAGGGGGCGGGTTCATAGTGATGTTATCGAAGCGGCTGATAGGGTCTATCAGCGTGACATTTTCCTCTGCGTGTTGTTTTAGCTGTTTGTATGAATGTAGAGGTAGTTTCGAGCAAAGGGCTATACGTACTCTGAGCCATACCTACGCCCAACAAGCCCATAAACACGGGCAACGCGGAAACGGAACGCATTTTGGCGAAGTAGAAACCTGTTCGGATCTAACGGCGATAGTTTAATGGCAAGGAGGTGCTGTTTGACTCTTTCCTTCGACTCTATCCTGATGGTTCAGTCTGAAGATGTCCAAACCTAACCACAGTTAAATATCTATTTACCTTTAAATACTTACCCTTGAAATTGCACCATTGCTCGCCATGTTTCGGCATAACTATCGGGTTTGTAGTTCGTGATGCAAAGCATGATCCTTCCGTTTCTTCCGATATACAAGTGTCAGTCACGATATCAAGGCAGATTCGCTATATTGGCTTTTTCGTCATCCTCCATGCTTGGTGACGTACGATCTTGATAACAGAAGCTTTCTAATACCGTCCTAGCCTATTTTCTACAGTTAAAATTCCACTTAATTATTCAAATTACCTACCGATCATCCTGGGGATAAGTTTCTGCTCAGCCATCGTCGTAATCTGCCCGAAGTACTCAGTACGCATGATAGATAAGTTCCACCTTGACGTTGGCGACATAGGCTATTGTATACGGTACGGCACTGTTGATTCCTTTCGAAGCTGTTACCAACGTGGTTATAGTATCCTGGCAGAATGCCGTCAAAATAAGTGCCTAACACCAATATTCCTTCCACCAACCTTTTTCAGCGAATACAAGACAAATTAAATTCAAAAAATTGTTTCCATATAGAGCAAAATTTTATAATTATTCTAGTAGTTATTTTGATAGCCTACAAGACGATTCGGTAAAGCTATGCGGATAGCAAAATGACCTGCTTGGTAGTGGAATAGGCACTTTTTTTGACGCCATTCTGCCTGGTAATAATAGCATATGATTGGATTATGTTACTGAAATCCAAAAGATGCCATTTCGTGGTTACTTGGCGCTTGCATGGATCAAGTTAATCCGCGATGCCTATCGCGTCGGGGATGAGAGCAAAACGCGATAATTCCGAGTCAAGCGGGATAGATGAAGATAAATAATAATACTTAACCCGAACTCAGACCAGATACGATACGGTATTATTGCTAAGCAAATTTTTGTAAGCATTAATCCTCCTAGGCCCATTCAGACATCATGCAAGTCCTTTCTCATTAGCATGTGACGGATGAGCACATCACTTGTTCACGCCTAGCAAGTCTTTATGGTGATAGTTGTGTTTGCTAGTTTAATAGCCATAAATCCACCCGCATATAAAAGTTGCCAAGAACTTTCTACAAGGCAGGCAAATGGGCGAGTCTACAGATGTGCTTGAAAGTAGGAGATTACCTTTAAGCAAAATTGTTGATTCTGTTGTAACCAGTTCTTAGCTTTTGGCAAGTTTCTTCATAGGTGCAAATATCTACTTCGGCTCTTATTCAAGACTTGCAGAGAAGTATGAAGCCAGTACCTTTCCGAGCTAGTACGCGAATTATCTTCGAGGTCAGGGGTGTGAACCTGCCCCTTAACATAATACCCATTGACAGACATTTAGCAGAGGGTACAGTAGTTTAGGTAACAATGAAATCTTTACTACTACTACCATTATTATATTGTGCTAGTAAACACATGGCCTATAATTCCGAGAAATTCTAACACCATCCATAACCCGTACGGAATTTTTAAATCATCCAATTCAGGGTCATCATCATCATCATTACTTATTTCATAAATCCGGCCTTTCCATCCCCGTTCGAGTCCGTCAAGGGGTTCAACTTGTTCAACAGACTCGGGTTCTCTTTCCGCGTTCCGGACACGCCAGAAGTGCCCGACGTTCGCCTTGCGCCGTCGCGGTATTCCCTCTGGGCGGCCGATTGGCTGGACATGCCTTGGCTCGTGCCGGTATTCGAACCCGTACTTGCGCCAACGCCTGTGCCTGCGCCTGTGGCAGTCGCCCCGCCGGCACTGCCCTTGAAGTGGTGGTCCCGACCTCCGTCCAAGGGGTTGAAATCTCCGTGGAAGACGCCGTCAGGGGGGTTCTTGAGACCGCGGCCTTCCTCGTGCATGGTCTCGATGGTTCCCCGGATGCTCCTCGGCTCGCCCTCGAACGAATCGAAGCGCTCCTTCTGTCCGTCCAGAGCGCCTCCGTGTTGTCGGTATTCCTCTGCGCTGATAGGCGGCAGGGAGGTCGTGGAGTGGTGCTGCGCAGGGTTGTGGTGAGTCTCGTGGATTGGCACCGTCGTGTGGACAACGCTGGGCTGGATGGTTTCCTTGTGGAGCACGGGCTGGATAGTCTCGTGGACGTGGCTTTTCAAAGCGTTAGCTTTTATACCATAATACTCTTGTTGCTATGAAGGAAGCTTACTGATGGATATGCTCGCCCTGGACTGTAGGGGCATGTTCTCTGGTATGTGTGGTACCTTGGATGACTTGCTCGTCTCTGAACCTTTCGTTCTCGGCCGCTAAGGCCCTCTTTGTGCTCTCATGGTCTCGGTGGTCGTAGTCTCGATGTTGAACAGTCCCGACCTTGTGCTGATGCTGCTCAGGGAGAACCTCCTTATCATGAACGGGCTGAACCGTGCGGTGGTAGTGATCTTGGTGGATTTCCTTGTCCACGGCGGTATTAATCTCTTCATGCTCTGTGGGCTTGATGGTCTCCTTCTTGACAGCAGGCTGAACTGACTCGTGCACAGTAGTGTCGTGATGGCCAGACTTGCCAATAAAGTCACGAATAGTTTCCTTAGTCTTGTTCATTTTGAATAGGGTTATAAGACTCGGCAGATAGAGAGTAAAGTTAGAAAAGATTTGGTAGGTAGTTCAAGGTATAAATAGCAAATTGTTGTTGAATGGATGAAGATAAAACAATGTAACATCGCTGAACAGAAAGGGGCATATATATATTGAGATAAATAGATGATCGACGTAATGCCTGACAAGCTAACCCCCAGAATCGTCGTCAATCTTTAGCTTTTGTCCTTGGTTGGGAGTTACCGAATTAGGCCACTGTCTATCAAAAGTGTCCAATCACGTCAGTGCGGCAGAAGCGGATTAGGTGGAAGTGAATTCCACGAAGCGGAGGAATGTACGTCGAAGATCCGGAAGTTCCAGTGCTAAGCACAGGCTATGCTGCCATGTGAAGAGAATTAGAGATAGTAGAGGATAGGGTAGCTTGAGCAATAGCTAGAGCCAGTTGATGTCAATGACGTCTTGCATTCTGAATGCATCGAGGATGCAAAGACATGATTTCTTCAGCAAGAAACCATCCTCATGATATGTTTAGCTAAAGATATGAAGGTTGAGACAACAACGTGCTAGTGCTAAAGTGAAAGCTAAATTCCTTAGTCTTCGCGAATCAGGGCCTCGGAAATGCTTCGATTGACTCTGAAGTTTGAACATGTCGTCGTAATTGATCTCACCTCGAATCATCCTTGGCACCAGGCAATGCATTCTTTTCCTTAGTAAATCAACGCATTCATTACCTACATTACCTCCGTTAGGTACGGTGTTGCGATAGGTAACTTTGGAAGAAGCTTCGAAACCGGTATGGTGAGCTTAAAGACCTTTTGTCTAAATTCTTTATGAGCTAGCTCTCCGTTGTACCTGAATGATAGGAAGACGATGTGACGCTCATACATTTTAGGTATTGACTTACATGGCGACGTCCAAGTTTTTGAATTACCTATTCGTCATGAAGGGTTTGGAGACGATCCTTTGATCCATGCTTTTCCTTCTAGACTATCAAATAGGAGCTTCAGTAGATATTTCTCGAATATTTAATACCAGCTTGAAACTGGACTTTACCTGTAACCTTAGGTAGTCTTAATATAATAACTGCTTGTGGGTGGGTAGATTGGGTAATATTAATCCAGTCAGTTTTGCCTAAGGAGACTTCTGAATTACCTTTCACCCCTTCCCTGGTCCTACTTAAAAAATTAATTACGATACGATGCATCGAATCAAGGCTCTGTTTAGAAGACGAGGCTATGACGAGCGCAGTTCGATGGCCCCCAAGAGAAATAAAGCAAATTTGTCGCAAACCCGACAAAGTCTTGATCGCCGTGGGGATCATAAAAATATGAAAGAAGATCATATCACAAGTCCCAAGTCCCAAAGACACAATAGAAGTTCAGTGGATCACAAGGCCAGTGGCTACAAGAATCCCAAGAATATCGCCAGGAAGGAAATGCCAGGGCATTTCCATATGGATAAACAAGTTAGTACGGAAGAGCAACCAAAAACATTACCGGTAGAAATACGCAACAACAAAGATGACCAGCTAGTCCCACCCACAAGGCAGCAAGATCAGGATCACACAGTAAAGATAATAAACAAAAACGGTAGTACCACTTCTAGTAGCTCAGGAGAACGTAGTTCCTCAGAGGGTGAGAAGGTTGTAGATCTAAGGGATACTGTAGACACCGATCAGACTATTACTTACGCCCCAGGTGAGTCCAGTCCGCCGCCGTAAGAGCGCAAAGCACTTTGAGTCCCTAGCTGAACAGTTATATTAGCTGTCACGCACGAAACCATTCGCCCTCACGTGCACGAAATCATGGAAGAGCAGATTTACCGCGAGATCCACAACCATGATGTATACCACCGAATCCAACCGGTTTACGACGTTGAGATTCTCCCTGCTCGCCACTTCGTCCCCGGAGCAGACGGTAGATTAGTCGAAGTACCGGAGAGTTCCCTTCCCGAGTGAATCGGCTTGAATTAGAAATGGCACGTGAGCAAGGAACCGCCGCCTATTCCTTCGATGCCTGCTCGATACCTGCTCGACACCGGCCAGAGACTGTGGTAGAACACAACACAGTTCGCGAGCCAGTCAAGGAGGATGTTAAAGAAAGGGAAGGCAATTTCGAGCCTGTACGGACACGTTCCACCATTGACTGCCAGGAGCTCAAAGATGTGTACTCTGATAGTTAGCGTGTTCTAGAAAGTCATATGCGAATTCGGCATAATATTGTTGAGTTCAAGGAGAAACCCAATCCCCTGTGTTCTATCCGCGGAGATCAAGGGTAGTCAGAGACGAGCTTGATTATCTCCCCCTTGTTAGATGCATACCTAATTGAGAGTTCGGTTGATTTGGTCGGTCCCGGATGACCCCCGAATTATGTCAAACTGGCACTCCTGTCTGCCCGCAATTTTCTCAACTCGCCTCCGAGCTAGGCTCCTACAGCCGCCTCGTGACCTTCTTACATTACTGCCCCCGTCAGCCCACTGCAGCAACACCATGGGCCGTAATTTCCGGTCTGAGGCGTCGGAGCCTATCACAGTGCGGACACCTAGGTAAGCTAAGGAAACCTCGAGATGGTTGGAAAGCTTAACCTTCTTCCTCGAAAGATTACGGGATCTAAACCATCCCGTCACGAAATTTGTCCGGCTCCAGCTTCAGCTCCAACACCACTCGCCGCCGCGCGATAGCCGAAGGCCACACCTAAACCATGGTACATCGCCACCGTCGCGACCAACAGCCTCTCAGCGGCGACGACCTCTCTACCAGCCCACGTAGGCAGATATGCAAGGCCGGCAGACTGGTCCGAATGGGGTTGCGGAAATCAGTCCACCCGCGCGGAACAGGCCTCCGAGATGGTCCGAGCGAACGGGCTGCCCAATCTCACGTCGCTAAACGGGGAGGGGGCGCGCGCATACATACGTGCATTAGGCATTGTACATATATGCACACCTGGGGGACATTTTGCATTTCGTTCGGGAAGGATTCAAAAGGATCTAGAGCGTTGAAGATCACCCGTGCCGGCCAACCCCTGGCCCTGCACGACAACTGCAGGGCTTAGTAGCGTCTACTATTTGGAGACTGCATGAGGTAGGTATTTGGATTTTATATGCTGGGGTCGTTATTGCATGGGAAAGCTTGTGTTTATCCATTACGACCTCTACTATACTCGAGAGTCGAGAATTTCGAATTGCAGAATGGCCTCGAATGCGGTCTTATTACACGTCTTGTGCTACTGCATGGGTGCTACGGTCTGAGATTAAACGATATATACCTCGTGTGCTAGGAGCTTGCAGATAGTATACTGTCGACCTTCTGTTTTGCGGAATTGCCGACTTGCCGTCTTGTTGTCTCTTCCTCAAAGGGGATATAACGAGCGAGATAATTTTCTTTAGATAGCATGTGTCAGAGGGTATTTGCTGCACTCCGTCTGTACTTAGATGCAATCTTCGACTTAACGCCGTAAATATAACTTATCGGCAAGGGTTGCGCATCTCATCCAGCTTTAATAGCATTATAAGCTTGGTTGCAAGTACAGATATGACTCTGATAGTTGCGAACAGCAATTACGAGGTATTTGGGGGCTGTTCAATTGCCGTGGAGGTCTCGAACTTGTTGTCTCTAAATATAGGCGAGTCATTGTCGAGTACGACTTGAATTTTATATCAATTTATAGCTCTCGACTCATTTTATCCCCATTGATTGGCAAGGTCATTGGCGTAGTATATAAAGAGGTGGCACGGTCTCATAGTTACACAGCGTCGTGCTTCCGAACCAAGTCGCGATCACTCCCAGCAGTTGTTCATTACCGGGCTGGACCCGACATCTTGTACAACTTTACTATAATGTTGAACATAGTCGTCGTCCGCCGAATCAGATTATTCAGGTTGGTGCAACACGTTCCAATGCCCCGATAAACCGCACGTGGTGTAGAGAGGCCGGTCATTGATCTTTACTGCGCTTCAACCACCGGGCTGTCAGGCTAATGCTAATCCTTTCCGATAGAATCTGAGAGTTATCCATTGTGCACGGCTGATATATCGGTGTGATTTTCATGTAAGCAGCTACTCATGTGCATATGGATAATCTTGCGAAAATGCATCGCAGTCGGAAGTATTTTATATTATGTTAGCCGGTATTACAGGCATACCAACTACTTCTGCATGAGCGACACTCCCACAAACTTGCATCTGACATCTGACCGTGTAGCACCGATTGTGCCTGATAGATCTTGCTTCAGGTTTTCGGCGTTGACAGTAATCTCGTTGCAAGGAGAGGGGTTGCGAGCGTTGACAGCGAATCTTACCCACCCTATGGCGACCGCAGCTATATGCAGGCATTTCCTTGCTTATGTTCTTCGATACAATAGAATTACACGTCCTGCGGGATACGAAGTTCTGGACTATTCCGAGCCCGCTTTCTTTTGGTTTACTGGTTAGAGCGCGTAGATACCTACCTCATGCATGTCTTATACCTATTGGTCTCAACCAAGAATGGATGAGAATGTTCGGTCCAGACTTGAAGTTAGCTTCCTCAACGGGATCGGAGTCGATCCAACGAGATGGAGAGAGAGAAATCCAGATCCCGTGACATCGACCGATTCCGAATCGCTGGGAGAGCTACCACTTTCCAATGCTACGGGTCGAAGAGACTCGGTGGAACATAACGGAGAAATGCGTCTCTAGATCGGGTCCACAAACGCATGCGAGAATTAACCAATACTTATTAGACTGAATGATTCGTTGGGCCCTAGCTTTGTACACCGAGCTCGTCTTAGCTGTAGAGTCTTGCATTCTATACGGATATGTTTAATTCGCCTATATGTCTGTACTAATCTGAGTTTTCGCGGTCGGTGCTGCGCTGCCTTGGCTGGCATAGTAGGTACCTATTATCGTATTTAGTACATTGTCGTCTTTTTATCACTCAGGAGTCAGAATAGCGCCTATCCTAAGATACTGGGTTCATCCTTACCTGCTAACGGCGACTCATTGGGGGTAACACCACGCCCCTTTCTCGGTCCACCTAAGTCGTTGATATAGGTATTAGTTAGATGTACTAGGTATTATAACTAATAACTAATTCGAAATTTGTTAAGGTTCCCTATTTCGTGGTTCATCTACCGTCCTGGCTAATGCAACGGGTCTTGTCGAAGTCACATTACGTTAGAATTATTAGAGAGAGACACTATTGCGAACTTTACTAACCTATCCGTGATTCGCTTAGGAACTTAGGGTGTAGCATACGACTGGAAGAAATCATCACGACTTAGGCGTCCGTTCGGATCAACTCCACATTCCAGCAGCGAAACATTCCGGTAGCATCAGAAATGGGTACCCGCTCTTCCAGCTAGAGTTGACCGAGCGCAGATACTTGTACTTGAATCAGTCTAGCCCCAAGATTGAGGTTAGAACCCGATAGTCACAAATTCATTGACCCCATTAACTTATTGGGGTCTGGAGAAAGGGGTACCTTTCATGAACCCGCTATTTACCGTCTCCGTAAGACTGGTAACTTTTCTTTCGACTACCTAGTTTTTAACCTTATAATAATTTCCGCCAATGACGTCTCGGAAATGCTTATCGTCCTTCGTCGGGACTATAAATCCTATTGACTATTGACTCTAAAGATAACTCGAAGCTTCATTGGTATTCCAGAGTTCGAATTATGCCTAAATATGTGAGAACCGGTCTTAGAACGGGTTACTCAGCGTGGAATACCTAACTCGTTGCGAAACACGTCGGAGACACATGCGTAAAAGGTCGACTAGGCTTGACGGGGTATTTCGATTGTTCGATTATTCACCGATTAGCGTAAGGATTGACAGGACCAACATAGTATCCCGGACCGAAAAGCATGGAATGGAATGCGGACCACAGGCCTGAGAGCATCTAATTATAAATGACCGACGTGCTTCTTGGGCAACGATAGTCGTTCGCGGAGCCAAGAAGAGCATCGTTCATCGATTTTACTGATCAATTTTAGTCAATTTTGGGGGTTGAGCGATTTCTTCCCAAGCGCTAGGTACTATGAAATTTCAATACTGATAACGAGGGGACGTTATCACGGCTGCAAGGATCAGAATCCTAACACAAGACACAGTAAAAGCTTGACTTGACAGCTCCGAGTTATTCCAATGGCCCCCAATGAAGCCAGCCCGAGTTGGCACGCACTCGGTGAAGTTACGGTCACGCCAAGGGACTCTCTTCTGCGTCTTGGACCTAAACTCTGCCAACTCTGCTAACTCTGCAACTAGCTCACGATTCCGCGGCGTGCCAAGGTCACAATCCATGTTGCGGCGACTTTTCAAAAGCCCAAGAGAAACGGGGAAGCCGCCGCGTCGGCAGAGAAGTTGCCAAGTCTCAAGGAAAAGCGCCAGATGTGGCTTTAGCCCAGACATACTAGGCTTAAATACGGTTAGGGTCGAGTAAGCGCAGGGACTAGGGCGAAAGACTAGCCCCTGAATCCTGCCCGTTCGCAAGCAGATCGGCAGGTTGACCAATCTATGCTGTTCGTGATGACGTATTTGGTAATGACTGACAGGCGCTAGAGAGCGAAGAAGCTTAGCGCCGCTATTCGCAAGCTTGTTTTTTTTTTCGCCGCAAGTAAATTTTTTATTGTCCATAACGTTATTGATGTCGAATGCTCTTTTTTTTTTTTTTTTGCCCATTAATTTTCTACGCTCTAAAAATGCCGGGGAATAAAAGTTTTCAAAGGCAGCTGACAGCAGGAACTCTCGTCGTGACTTCAGCCTCAGCCAGTTCTCACATTGGCCCACATATAGCCCCAGGAATAATGTGAACTTTGTTCTGGACTTATCTAAGCGGAAATAAGGCCGACAGGCCAGCAGGCCAAAAAGTTCTCGAAATAGGAAATGTCGTCGAAGGGGCCTAACCCCACGTAATAAAATCGGCAGTTTGCTGTTGGGTAGCAAACGAGTAATTCCGTGTGCGCAAGTACAAGTCTTCTCTCGCATTTGAATTGGTTACCGAAATATACTAGCGAGGTCTAATGGCGCCCTCCATTTCGCGGAGGGTCGTGTTGCCATGTATGCTCTCAGGCTCTGTACAGTCGAAAACGGGATCGCGGAATTCTGCGGTGTTTTTTTCGTGGAGTCGTGTGCAACCAGTGCAACCCAACCATCTGACCTTTTTTTATGGGCTCTCGTGGATTTTTAATGGACCTATGCGCGGTAGTCGACAGGCCAGATATACATACCTAGGCCAGACCAGGAAAGGCCGAAGTTACCGTAGCCGGCGTGGGAGTCGTGGACAGGGCGGGTAATCGATGAAACAATGGTATTATGAGGATATTCGTGCTTCTAAGCTTACCCACCGATGAATTCATCTCTCGCGTAGCCTGGGTAGTCTGGATAGCCTGCGTAGCAAGGTAGTAACAGGTAAATAGGCCAAGTAGTTCCTAGTAGCGACACAGCTACGTTAGGGTATCAAGCGAGGAGCGGTGATGAGATCCCCCCCGTACGACTCCCCAAGTTTTCCCTCTCTGCCCCTCAAGAACTCCCCCGTACGGCCCATATTGACTGCGCCCCTCCTATGACATCAGATGGTAATCTCGTTGGTGAGGCTCATGGCCAGCTCCGTCATTCTCGTCATTCCTATTTTGTTTGCGAGTTCCTATTGTCTAGTCTCGGTCATCTGCGATCTCGAGTTTCTTTGTGTCCGCTTCGGTAAAGCTCTATGCGTAAATGCGTACATATTGTGCATTTCAAGACAAGAAAAAATTGCGTGATGGAGGGTAAGATAGTCAGGTAAGAGGTACTGCGGTACTTAAGGAAATAGCGGACATTTGATAGGTACCTTAGATACCTATATCACGTACATGGAAACCTCCCGATATTTAGGTAGGTACGTACTGCATAGGTGCATAACCTCATGCAACGTGCTATGTACCTGTGTAAATGTGGTATGTGGGCAGCTTCCCGGGTGATGAGGTATCTACTAATTTAATTACCTACTTCTAACTTAACTTGTCCCCCATCTTCTTTCCCCACCCCCCATTTTTCCCCAACTCTTTCCCACAAAAAACAACGAAACGGAAAGGGAAACCGAATAACACATGAATTATTTCCCGCATTCCCCCATGGAGGGAAAAAAAAAGAGAAAAAAAGAAAGAAAGATATCAAAAATCAGAAGATGCGCGTGCCTCGAACTGCATACCTACATATGTAGACAAGGGGTCGTCTGACATGAATGCTACATCCGGTTGACCCCAAGAAGGAGCCCCGGATTTGCTAGCTCTCCCCTCGTCATCCAATGTATTCAAGGGATCCAAGCATTGGAAATGTATCCATCAAGCCAACCTATACCAACGTACGAGCGTATTAACGTATTAACGTACTAACGCAATTGGCGTCTCGTCTTGTCGGATTTCTCCCGATTTTCCTCGGTAGAAATAAAAGTCACCGGCCTTTTAGACGAGGGAGACGTTGAGCAAGCCCAATCTGCAGACTTGCAGCCGAATGCTGTCGTCATACCTATGAACGCGGGTTGAGGGGTTGAAGGGTTGAAGGGTTGAAGTCACTCATCGAACTGCCTTTTTTTCTCTACTAGAAGCCCAATTCCATTCCCCTTCCACCCGATTGCCCGCCGCGAAATGCATGAGAATTCCGCCAATTCGACCAATTCGCTGCTTTCAAACTGTCTCATCCCTGTCCTGATCCCGTAGCGTAGTCCCGGTAGTATCGTGTGCGTGTGCGGGAGAGGAACGTGCAGGGTCCGGCAGGTAAGTAGTTCCAGCACCGAATATGGTAGTCGATGAAGTAGCGTTCACGGCTGTTCTACTATTTTTTTTTTTTAATTGGGCACCATGTTAAATTCCTTTTATTTTCTGTTTTCTTATTGAACCAGTTAGGAATGGAGACGACAATCCATACACCACCTACTTCCAATGGCTCTCCTGCAATCTGCTAAGTACCTACCTAAACCTATCTATCTTATTCATATTACATACCAAACATGTACTACCATGATACATTCACTTTCTCTCAGAGGTCTAGGTACTTTACCTACTCATCTTACATGTATATGATCGAGTCAAGTTACATGCCTTGTATCCATCTACATGTACATGATATTACCCACGTCTCCACATATATCTAACGTGCTGTATATCAGCATCCGCAAGTGTGGACCTCGACCGACCGGCTACAAGGGAAAAGAAAGGATAATACCTACCGTGGACATACCTTAGATACCTAATTTATACCCATTATAAGGTATGTAAAGTAAGCTAGTAAGGTAGCCGATAAAAAAAAAAAAATAGCAGGAGGCATGATACAAGCATACGAGCTGACTGCTGTTGCTGGAGGTACGACTGCCTCATTATTACTAGTCTTGTTTGCCAAGATCCTTGATGACTTCCCACTTTTGTTTACGGCTTTCATCGCTCTCTCTCTCTCTCTCTATAGGTACATTAGCTTCTTACATGGCTTACATACCTAGTACCTAGGTTAGGGGTAGTTTGTACTCCCATACTCCCATACTTCCATGTCAGGTCCATACCTCCCACGTTAGCATCCTGGCATCCATCAGTCTTGCCTTCTTCTAACCTTTAATTGCTTAGTCTCTTTTCCTTTTCCTGACTATCTAACCTACTTATGTATACTTCACACCTCATACCTCATACCTCGTGGGTACCTTTTTCTAAAAATCTTGGCTATTCACTATTCCCTATTTCTTAACAATCTCCACGTCCCACGCCGTAACCTCGTGTATATATACTGGGGGACTATCCCCAGACCGGCGTCTGCGTTTGTTCGAAAGTCTTGCTCCTCCCTCAGCCTTTTGTCTCGGGCCCAAACTGTACCGATCAAGCCCCTCAAGCCACCCACATCATATCTCTCTCTCCATACCCCATAAGATCTTCTGATCTAGCTTTGTTTATTATACCCTCCCTTCCCTTCCCTTCCTCCCCGGACCTGGGTGGTACCGGTAGAGTGTTTCTCATAACGGAGACATACTCTATAGCTTAGTGACCTAAGCGTCTCACCTACTCGTGTAATTACCGCCTATCATAAAGCCTCCTTTCTGTTGAATAGTTATGGAGGGCGCGTCGAAAGAATGGCCCGCAACGTTCGGGGCAAACGATGAACGTCCCACTTACAGCTCCGAGGAGACTGTGGGTCACGTCAACGGTGGCCGCACGCTTGTGGGGCCGACCGTTGATCAAACTCTTGCCGAAAAGGTTGCCGAAAAGGATAAAGTCAAAACGGAGACCGGAAAGCGAGAACTAAAGGAAGAAGATTGCGAAAACGAGCTCGGATTTGCTTTCTCTTGGTGGAAGAAGTGGTGGATTCTCACTGTCATCTTCCTCGTCCAAACTTCGATGAACTTCAACACTTCTCTATACTCGAACGGTCTAGAAGGAATCTCGCTGCACTTCAACGTTAGCGAGCAAGCTGCCCGTCTTGGCGCTGCCATCTTCCTTATTACTTATGCCTTTGGCTGTGAGCTATGGGCTCCATGGTCTGAAGAGTTCGGCCGAAAGCCTATCTTGCAGGCATCTATGTTTCTTGTCAACATTTTCACTTTACCAGTTGCCCTGGCTCCCAACTTCGGCTGCCTGCTAGCTGGGAGAGCCCTCGGTGGTCTGTCTACCGCCGGAGGAAGTGTGACGCTTGGTATGGTGGCCGATATGTTCGAAAGCGACAGACAACAATATGCTGTGGCTTATATGTAAGTTCCCTTCCTTTAATTTCCGTGTAATATTCGCTTGCGTTCCTCACTTCGCAACATCGCTTCCAACAGGGCAAGTCGATGAAATGCCAATATATACTGACTTCTATTTCTTAGTGTTTTCTCTTCCGTCGGCGGGTCTATTCTAGGCCCCATCGTTGGCGGTTTTGTCCAGACACTCGCTCCGGACCAGGCGTGGCGGTGGTGTACCTGGATCCAGCTGATATTTGGTGGAGCTGTGCAGCTACTACACCTTTTCACAGTACCCGAAACCCGCACAACAATTATGTTGAACAGGATCGCCAAGAAGCGTCGAGAGAGCGGCGAGGACCCTAACATCTACGGCCCCGATGAGATAGAGTCTTTCTGGGCCAGATTTACGCTCAAGGAACTCATCTACACCTGGCTCCGCCCCTTCCGAATGTTCCTTACCGAACCCATCGTGTTGACGCTGTCACTACTCTCTGGATTTTCGGATGCCCTCATATTTATGCAAATTCAGTCCTTTGCGCTCGTCTATACCCGTTGGAACTTTAACTCTTGGCAGATTGGCCTCGCTTTCGTTCCTATCGGCCTTGGTTACGTCTTTGGTTGGCTCCTCTTCCTCCCAGCCTTCAAGCGGAATCAAAGGCGTCGCGAGAAACACCCCGAAGACGAGCACGCTCAATATGAGTCGCGTCTTTTCCTCCTACTTTGGCTCGTTCCTTGCTTGCCTATCGGTCTCATTATCTTCGCCTGGACGAGTGGTGGCCCGCCACTACACTGGATTGGCTCTATGTTTGGCACGTGCATAATAGGTATTGCCAACTACGCCATCTACATGGCTACAATTGACTACATGATCTGTGCGTATGGGCCCTATTCCGCCTCGGCCACTGGTGGTAATGGTTGGGCGCGTGACTTCCTGGCTGGTGTCCTCACGCTTCCGGCAACTCCCTTTTATACCAATATTGGTGCCGAAAAGGGACTGAACCTGCAATACGCGTCAACCATCCTGTTCTGCATTGCGTTTGTCCTGGTCATTGCTGTGTATGTAATATACTGGAAGGGCCCGGTCCTGCGGAAGCGCTCGCCCTTCGCTCAGAGCTTAGCTCAAGGGGCTGCTCAATATGGTGGTCATGCTCTTAGTCACGTACACTCTCGCCCATCGACTGCGGGAGGTGATACACGACCACAAACATCTACCACCCACTCGCGACCGACAACTGCACCAAACGCACCAACCCGAGAAACCATGCAGAAGCGACCCGGAGATCGCATGTCCGCATCGCGACACAACTCCTACTACTCGAGCGCGCAGGCTGCAAGCCGACGCCAGAGCCGACAGGCCAGCCGCAACCCCAGCAGACGGAACAGTAATGATCATCATCGGATGTCTACGGACAGTGAAGAGGAAGGAGTATCTCACCACCATCTCCATAACCGACTGCAAAATCTAAACACTATCGCTTCGTTACCGACGCAACCAACAGAGTCCCACCCATAGGGCGGTGTCGACTAATACTACCATATTCTACCAACTTTTCATGATATGGAAACCGTTTGGAAGAAGATGCTGCTACCGTACCGAGTCGGGGCGATGGGCTGTATATATACATATAGCACACCAACATAAAACATATATATAGAAACACCAAGGGCGAAGTGTCGGTAGAGAAATGCTGCGATGTGTATCTAGCAGAGATTCAACCGGTTCTCCTGTCTTTACATTACTCCAAGGCACTAGGGTTTCATGAGTCCCGTCGGGATGGCATTCCATTGGGTGTTGGCGTGAGGTGTTTTTCTTCCTTCGCTATCCCAAGGGGTGCTCGTCTGTTGGAGTCTGTTGAGCTTCCGTCAGTTTTGATTGGTAGAGCAGGGCGTCAAACAGAAGGGTTTCCATATCTATTACTACAGTGGTGAATAAGAACAAAAAAACACCCTTTATTTGTTAACAAAAATCTGTCTGTCTCATGTGTTCGCTCCTGTGTCGTTTTGTACTTGCCGACTTTGTATCTGTGTGAGTACCTAACCTAATGTGCGCAAACGCGAACGACTCGAAAGTGTGACTTAACTGGTGATCATCACTTACCGGCCGAGTCCTACATCTGCAACGCAACGTTGCCAAGGTTCCACTCGTAGTGCAATGCTGTCGTTGATAGAGATTCCTTCTTCCATGTGAGTTGTCTTGTAATGGCTAGATTAGGTACCTGTACTTAGCCTAACTTGTAATAAAATGATATACAGCTCAATCAACTTATTTCTACCAGGTACCTCTACTTTAAATCGTTCTTCTTGAAACATCACCAGGGATATACGGTAGTTACCTCTTACCTTATGTGTCTGTCTGTCTGAATTATGATAAAACGAGTTTTGGACGGAGCCCGAATTTGCAGGAGGTGGGTGGGAAACAAAGATAATTTTCTTGTTCATCGAATGGTTGATAGAGTGTTACAATTTGTCATGCTCGAAAATTTTCGCGGTGATACCTCTCGGCTACCTGTTATAGCCATACTCGCATTTCGTATCACAGGTACCTAACCTATAACAGCAACGGGAACGGGAACGGACACGATACTTCCCACGTGGGACAGTCACAACGAGTAATTTTACGAAAAGAGGCTGTCCCCATGCAGAATCAATGCGACGTTGCGTTGTATATATCTATTTACAATGGAATCGTACAGGCAAGGTTAAGCTCACCTAAGTCTGATAGTTCTATCTCTATATATAGCCGTAGCCATGTGTGTATGAGCAACATTCAGAGCCTCCCGCTGCCTCTCCAATTTGCGACTTTGGACGAAGTGCCGCCGAAATTGTGAAGGCGTTCTCCCATAAGATACGCCTCGTCCCTGATCCGAACCTGCCAGCCCTCGAACACGCGTAGCATGCGCCGCATCATGACGAGTCCCGTCCAGAATAGTGCCGTGGCGGGATAGGCGAGACGGAATATGAGAACTCGCATTTCTTGGGTCACTTCTGTGTTGACGTCTAGGACGTGGTGAAGAGTAGCCCATGCCATGATGGGAGGCATTACGATCATGACTAGCGATATTATCAATCCGGGGATGACGAATGCCCGAGTCAATACGCGAATATCGGGCTCCAGCCAGCCGCGACGTAGGACAGCGCGTACAGCATGCGCGGGCCTACCACCATACAGCGTTACTGCTCGCGAGCCGAGCTTGAGATATAGAATACCTAAAGTCCAGGCTTGAATAACCCGGATAGTGTGACCCTCTCGCAAGCTGTCCAGCCGTTTTGTGGTATCTGTTGCGGCCGGATACATGTACGTATGTAGCGGCATAAGTAGATAAAGCTCTACTAGTAATGTGATGAGGAGGGGAAACACAATGAGTAGGACTATGTAAGTATATAGTAACCTAGACACATGTGTCGTGAGTTGGAGAGCGCGCTGCATTGTATGACGATCTAGCACTGAATCCAATGCAGATAATGTCCATGTTCTCAATTTACCGAGAGTTGACCGTAAGTGAAAGACGAAATAACCCAGTGAGCCGAGGATGTAAACGCCAATGCTAAACGCGTAGATGTCGTTGGTACGTATGTGAGAGGGTATAAGAATCTTGAACATGCGGCGACCAAACACGAGCGGTATGATTGTAAAGCCAACACCCGTGACAGCCGCGAAGATCCAAATGAAGAGGATGAACAGGAAGATACGGGCACGGAAATGAGGAGGGACGTAGACAAACTGGTAATGAACTCCTGAGTAGAGATCTGTGTCTGGGCGATCTGGCTTGCCGTCTCGCCTCCTATCTTCTTCTGTTACGTCGAGGAAAACCGGCTGCCCTTTAGGAATTTTAACCTGATCAGACGCTGGCGATCTCACGAAGCGACCATCCGGGATAAGTTGTCCCGAGTTAACAAGCTTTTTCTTCCTTTCGTTGTGAACACTCATCTCCTCGGCGGGAATCTTTGAAGAGGGTTTCGCCTTGCCTCCTTTAAACGTGTCTTGCCACGTTTTCGGGACAACTCTGGTTTCGTCGTTGACTTCGAGGAACATCTGACGCCACCAGGGAAAGTTTCGGCATGGCGAGTCTTCGGGTGGCACTAAGATTCCTTCTTCGTCGACACGTCGCTCACCAAAAAGGAACCATGTTAGCCGCAAACCTCTGGCGCACTTTCGGAACCACCATGTGTACATGGCGTGCAGTCCATCGCTCGGCCTAAAGAACTTAACGGCGAGAGGCATCAAGAAGTTATAAAAGAGTAGGTCAATAGGAAATTCAAGGACAGGCTCATTCGAAGAGTAATGAATTGGAAGGACGTTAGGCAACGTCAGGGATAGGCCCCATACTACACCTCCAAGACAAACTACGACTAACGCTCCATAAACGAAAGCCGAAAATAGTATCTTGCGAAGCTGGGTAGTGACGTTGCGCTCGAGGACGTCGCGCACTGGATGGAATTCGGGATCGTCAGGATCGCGAATGAAGTCTGTTCTTGATTAGCAAATCTATAAGCCAAGTATGTTTAATCGAGGATTCCTTACATAGCACGCCTTTTCGCATAATCTTACGGCACATAGAGACAAAGAGAGCAAAATGGAACATATATCCTGTGCCGACAAACCAGTGAACGAAGATGGAGGTAAGAGGATAATTGTACGTGAAGAGAAGGCGAGATCTAATGCTTGTGTCTTCGAAGAGAGGAAGTAGAGCAAAGTCTAGCAGCAGTCCACAATACAAAGGGAATATCAGCATTTCTATACTAATGATCAATATCACCTTCATGACGCCACTAGCCTGGTTTAATGCGTCAATAAAGGATGCTTCCCATTCTTGAGCGGCCTGCCCTGTAGAAAACGGCGTTCCCCTGGCGAGATAAAATCCGGCTATGACTGACAGGGAAATATATCCTGCAAGGATAGCCCATGTCCTGTCATTCGCATCCCAATAAGAAAGAATAGGGCTTGCGGACGACGATGGTTCGGAAAGACTGAGATTTAACATCCACGATCCCGGCTGTGTAGCGGTTGTAGGAAGAGATTTTAGGAACTGGACCGTTCCTGGTAGTGAGGCTGAAATCACAGTCTTGACGGCAGCCAACTTGGCAAAGTAGTTACCACCGAAAATATACAATACGACATGCCCAATATACGAGAGAGCGTATCGAATATCGCTCTTTATCATCATGAGAGCCTCGTGACTGACAGCAGAAAAGTTACGTACCTCGCTGACTGAGATGAGTGGTATCTCAGACATAAAACTAGCGAGAATCCGTTCCAAGGCGCTGAGGGCGACGTGTCTGGTATCAATTCTGAGGGTATGTATGATTTCCCTTCCCTGATCGATTCTCAGAAGTACCGCAAATGCTTCAGCTAGAGTAAATATAAAGGTCGAAGTATAGCCGAGAGTTAGCAGAACGGCGTCCTGGACGAATTTCGAGGCGCTGAAGACGATTCGGAGTAGACGAGTCGGATGGGCGATGATCCAGACAGATACACGACCAACGTTATACGGAATGAATATGCAAAAGAAGATAGAAATAGACACGAGAAAGGCGCAAAAGATAGCGTTCTGGAAGAGGCCTGCAACCGGGCCACGCATGCCTATTAACTCCATAATCCCTTCGAAATCTTCTGCATCTTCGACAGCTTCTGGGTCAAGACCGGCGGCAACAGCGGCTTCAACAACGTCCGGGGCCATCTCAATATCATTCCCGTCTTCTCTGTCGATTCCACGGTCATTGTCAAAGAATGGCGCATTCTGGTTGTCGCCGAAAATATCCACGGCTTCTTCTGGTTCAACATCGTCTACATGTCCGACATCAACATCGCCCCACATGAAATCGGCGACGCGGTCCACGATGCCCCCCGCCTGTCTTGCTGCAACGACGGCGGGCTCGTTATCATGAACTGGTTCGATCAAGCCGGTGAAATCCTCAGCGGGGTCATCTCTCTCGGAATCTTGTGCATCAGCTTCACCAGCTGCACCGTCTTCCATAGCTCCCGACGTGGTTACTGGTTGAGGGGTTAAAGTCGGGTCTCTAGGACGTTGTAATTGATCAGCGGCGGTATTACCCTCGACGGGCTCGTTTCGCTGTGGTGTTCCAGGCTCATGGACATCGCTATCAATACCCGAAAAAATGGGTGGAGGCAGGGCCGGATCGTGATGGCCAGACACATCTTTGCCGGAAACATTTGAAGGGCCGGAAGGTAAATCAGAGAACGACCAGTTATTATTTGCAAGCATGTTAATAGGTTTAGAGACTCGAGGACCATCTGAAGCAGCTCTCGGTCTTGCTAAGGAGGGTACAGCCGAAGACGAAGCACTTTCGCCGCTGCCACTACCGCCGGCGAAAAACGGTGTAGTTTCGCCAAATTCCCCTCCCCAGGACGCCCAGGAGTCCGCCCAGGAATCTTTGTCATTTCCAGAGGTTTCGGTAGCCTTTCTTTTGCCTTTGTCAGAAGAACCCTGGCTTACTAAAGCGTCCCGGTCGTCGTTTTCCGCCCACGTCCAACTCGAGTTATCACTACTAGTCGCATCAGCTCTAGGAGAGTCCGGCCTCGTAGGGGACCGACTTGAGCGCGGTTCCTGGTGCGTTAGAACTGAACTTCCAATACCATCATTACCTAGGTCAACCCCGCTTCCGTTTGCAGCCTTGCCAGCAGTCGCCATCGATTGAGTGACACGGACCCAGTATTTCATACGGTCTTCCAGCCCTTCCTCGCGAATTATTTCAAGTATACGTTCTTGGTCTCCGCCAGCTTCTCTGTAGATTCGTAGATATTCCTTTACCGTGCCCTGCGAACCGCTTTCACCGCCAAAATCTTCCGCATAGGTTCGTGTACTAGGTCTTTGCTGAGTAGGACCAGGACGGTACCTGCCATGCTGCTCCGCAAGCGCCGCATCGTATACGGCAGATTCACCCATTCCGCGGCCCCCCCGCATCCCTTCTTGTCCAGCTTGAGAATCGTTTCGTGGTGCTCGCCGCCTGAATCCGGCAATAGGTCTATTACGGGGATCCTGCAGGTCGATAGCATCTTGTGGACGGTCTACTCGATTTGCATCTGCATCGCCAGCGTTATTTTCATCCGCGGAGCTATCCGCAGCAGCAGCAGAATCCTCATCCGAATCTATATCCTCTTCATCCTCCTGACCCATGTTGAACGGGAGAGGACCATTCACAGCCCCGGGTGGCAGAGGGACCTCGTTTTCAGCCGCGGCGAAAGCGGCGCGCATGTTTATTTCAGGTTGCTGCTGGACTACATAGTCACGAACTAGGATAATAAGGATAAAACATACTATAACGAGCAAGGTTATAATCTGGCCCTCTAGAACAGCGATGATGATTCGGTTGATGGCTGGATGTCGCGTAAAATTTTTGAGGATAGCAACATCGCTCAACAAAGATGAGGGGCGATAAGCGGCAGGTGAGATAGAAAATTGATCGGTATGTGTCACATTCAGGAAATCTTTAACTCCATATAGTGACTTGTCCGTGGCAGGGGACAAACCCAGGATTACAGAGAACCAAGGGGGAGGGCTTGAGCTCATAGGTCTCGAAATGGCTCTCAGTAGGTTAGACACAGGAATCTGATCAATGATATGACCGATGCTTGCGGCGGTAGTCGTAGCAGGCAGTAAAGGTGTGGATGCGCAGGTAGTTGTGCCCGTGACGGAAAGAGACGCCAGATCTCCTTGTCCTATCGAAGTGGCATTCCGAAAATCAAGAATAGGTGGGCTGGGGCCGAAACCTTCGTCGCTGAGCCAGAACAGAAAAGACCAGACGGAACGCATAAGGTATGGAAGCCAGCCTAACCAGACACTAATGACCAAAACAGCTCTCAACCAAACGAGAACGTTACGGAAGAGATATTTAGCCATATGAGTGACAAAGATGTAGAAGGGTAGCCTCTTAGGCATGTTGGGAGAGTACAGCTTGGTGAAACGGAATGGCGTCTTGCAAAGCTCGCAATGCTTCTTCTGCGAATGGGAAAGCCATTCCATTAAACAATCCTGATGTACGTATTTGATACTGCCACTGCATTTGCAAGGGTAAAAGAGCGGTTCTTCAACAGTGCCCTCGCCTCGGCAAATCCGACAAGTATCGGGATCTATCGAGTCGGTAATCGAAGGTTTAGTTCCCGTCGTAGATTGCTCGGCCATTGCGTCGGGCCTTGTGACGGATTGCCTCCGTCGCTGGGCGGTATTGGGGAATTCGGCAAGGTCGGGTAAGAAATCTGCCATCGTGGGCGACAAGACCGGTCGATGGTGAAAAACTCGCAAGCCTTGCCCAAAGGGCTTTATTCTTTATGTTCGGACCATGGGATTGCGGTATCGACGCCCGAGGTATAAACGGGAAGTTGACGGTGGGTGAACTGTTAAGATGGTGCAAGGCGGTGATGGTTGAGAGAATGGAATCAACCACGAGGCGTGCCAGTGGCGCTGAATATTCAGTATGCGGTATGCGGTATACGATAGGCGATTTGCGATCTGCGATTTACGATTCGCAACAAGGTTTGTACAGTTGCCTCAGCGGAAGTTAGGAATTTATGGTCTTTAGGAGAGAGAATAAAATGTAAAGAAGTATCAGGTGAAGTGATTCTTTGTATGATTGTATAAGCCTGATGTTTCCAGTATGGCGAAGAACGACTTATTCAGCTAGTGGCAATTATTCAGATAGGTTACAAACAGGATGTACCCTCAGGTAGGTACCTGATGCTATCCTGGGCCCTAGCGGCACTAGGGCAGCAGGGCAGCTAGCAGGCTGGGCTGTTCCATTCACTGCGGTCATCGGAATAACATAGGTACTACGAGGCAATTGAATTTTGTGGGGTTCCTTTACTCTCTTTTTTCCACAACGTCATTATCAGACCGTAACAAGGTGTTCATATTCAGATAAGGAAGTTAAGCCAACAGACTTTCAGGCGCTCCCCATAGCGTCATGAACTTCTCCCTTCTTTCCACAAACGTTCTTTTTCTTTTCGTCGTTGTGCTTTTCTACCTAGATAGCAGTGAACTATACTTGACCAACTCGGAAGTATTATGAGGAGTGCTAGCCTTTTTTTATAGGTACTTGAATAATTCTTTAAAAATTCCATAATAACATTACAAGATTAATATGCCAAAACCCGGCCATTAATTTTCGAGGCGTCTATTATTACCTAAGGTGCCTTATATGTATTGTGTATTATAAGAGGTATCTATCTTAAATACATATGGCCATTTACCTGCTCACCGTCCTTGAATTCTACCTAACCTATCATTTGCTTATTCACACCTTAAAGCATACCAATCTTATTAAACCTCAAGTTTAAGCTCTCATTTTTTTTTTCTTCAGTGGGAAAAGAAAGGGGGAATAATAAGTATCATAACATAAAAAATTAAAAACCTCCCTTGCACCGTCCCTCCGATAACCCTTGGTAATCCCTAGGTAAGGTACCTATCATCTCATTTTGCTACAGCCTAGGTACGGAATACAGGGAGTCGAAACACCCACTTTAGCTTCGCAGTTGTCATAAACCATCGTCAAAGCTTCTAAAACTTGCCCGTACCCACTTCTGCCACTCCTCCCACTCCCACTCCTCCTCGTCCCACTTCTCCTGCTCTCTTCTATCTTTCTGTTACTATCCCACAAAATCTTAAATATTTCTACTTTCTCTCGCTCCTAGATTTCCTAGGTACATAACCCCGTCAAACCTCGGGCTGGTCACATATCTATGTACACGCCTTCGAATTTTAGGTCGCGGACTCGATGCTGACCTAGAAGCAAAGAGCAAAAACATTTCCCATCTGTCTTATCGCGATCGGGTTCATACGTACGAACTCGTTATTGCACATTGCGGATGTACCACTTTCCGTAGAGAAACCACCAGTTTTACCTTGATGCGAATAACATTAGTTATCATCAATCGAGCTCACCGCTAGGTGCCTTTGCCATGGCCGGTGCAACGAACACCAGATCCAAATCAAGCACCAACGGTTCCTTGAAGGGATCCAAAGGTGTGAAAAGTGTGAACGGGATCAACGGGATCAACGGAATTAATGCGGTTAACGGAATAAATGGGCATACCGCAACTCCCAGGCGGAGTGATACCGAAAAGAAGAAGCAGAGCTTCATTGCGTGGAGTTTTAACATCGTCGCAAGGTAGGAAGAGGAATATATGGCATGCTTCGTTCTCTTAGGAATCAGACGCTAATTTGCCATTTATCATAGACTGTTAACGTGGTATTCTATCTATACTCTCCTTTTCCGATGCCCATCTACTATCGATGCTTGTGACGACACAACGCCCAAAATATGCAAACCATACTTCCAGATCAAATCGGCCGTAACGCCACATATAACGCCTTATTACGACACCTATGCTGCACCTTACGTCGATGTTGCGAAGCCGTATTACGATACAGTCGATCGTGTTGTCATTACTCCTGCCCGTACATACGCAGTGAGATATGGTGGTCCACGTGTTTCCCAGGCCCGCGCTTTCGGTCAGGCCAAGTGGGAGGAAAACGTCCAGCCTAAGCTAAGCGAATATCAAGCCATAACAAAGGCACAATATGATCAGACAATAGCTCCCCATGTCGAAAGTCTTTCTGCTGTAGTCTCGCCTTATTACGATCTTGCGCGGGTCAATGCCTTACAGACATATCATGAGTTTATATTCCCAGCCTATGTATTTGTAAAGCCGTATGTTGTGCAAGGTTACAATACTGCCTATTCATTTACAACCGAAACCGCCGTTCCTTCGACTATTTGGGCTTGGAATAAAACTTACACTTTTCTCGACGCTACTATTTGGCCTCATTTACGAGATGTTTACGTTATGAAGGTTGAACCGCAGCTTGTACGGATTGGCGAACGTCTGGGAAGATATAACGATAGGAAGGTTAAGCATCCTGCTGAGGAGGTCGTCTAGTAAGTTCTAACTTCCTAAAAGGTCATTTTCCCGCAGTCGGCTAATAAATAAATAGTTCTATGTCCTCCAAGTCTAGTTTCACGAAGCCGGTCGCATCCTCTATCTCTTCGTCCGTTGCTTCGGATATCAAGAGCACAGCCCAAGCCGAAACCCCGGGTAAAGCAAAGCCCTTCGAAGCCGAAGAGGCAGCATCGGAAATCAGCATTGAGCAGAAGACATCGCGCACTCCGGAAGAAATCCGTGAACTAGCTGCGAAAATCGCTGCCGAGGATCTCCAATTATGGGAAGAGAAGTTTACTACAACTGCACAAGAAGGGGCCGCCGAAATTGAGGACCGTGTGGATGAGATCTCGGCCCGCATGATCGAGAGAAATGCCAACAGTATGGGTAGGTCTCTGGTAAAGCAACTTGAGGAGACTGCCAATACCGAGCTGCAGAATCTCAAGAAGTCCATCGTATCTATCTTGGGAAAACATGGCAATGATAGCAAAAAGAGGGACGAGGCTCTTGCTGCTGCAGTCCGGGCGGCTGGTCTAAAGATCAAGAATAAAGCCCAGGATATTCGTACCTGGCGTCAAACGTACGATCAAGAGACAGAAATCGCAGTTACTAAAGCCGCCCAAGAGCACTACGAAATCCTCCAGAAAACTGCCGATCTTGCACTCCAGAAGATTGGTATGAAGTGGGCATGGATGGATGGTATCACATACAAGGATTGGAAGAAATACCACGAGCTGAAGGAACGCTTCGAGGAGTGGACTGACGACTTCAAGCGCTTGATTACAACACATCCCGGTCTTATGATAGTGCAGTCGACAGGTGCCGAAATTGAGGACGAGGGTATGAGCATCGCACAAGCTGCTGCCGAGGAGCTGAGTCGATTGAGGCAGGTTGCTACGTGGAAGGCGATAGCTGGCGATGCCAGCGATAATTTTGATAGCGAGACAGCCGAGTTAGCAGCGATATCAGTTGCCCAAAAAGCTTCACAGAGTGAAACCCCGGCAGTTGTACCTGCTGATGAAAAAATCGAAACTGAACAAACGGACCCTGTCAGTGCCGAAACAGTCGTCATATCACTTTCTCGGCCCGATGCAGAAGCTTCTGATACTTCTGCCCTTCCTCCAATGGAGAGCCTCGCTTCTGAACCGATTGACGGGCCGGAGCAAGTTCAGGAGACGCTCGTTGAACTCCCCGATGAAGCAGCTGAGCCTGTCGAATCCGCCGCCTCTACTACCATTAAACCTGCCCTCTTCGGTGCCGCGGCTCAGTCTGTACCTTCGCGACAGCCTATTCTAGACGATGATATTGTTTCGTCTGCGTCCAGCGCCGCATCTGTCATACAGTCTGACATTCCCGCTAGCATAACATCGGCTGCGCAATCTGCATATACTGCCGCCGTTGCGGGAGCTGCCGATCACTACTCACGTGCTATGTCAGCCGTCTCCGCGCAGATTCGTGGGGAACCAAAGCCTATCCACCAGGCTATGTTTAGCTCGGTTTCAAGCGCATACCTTGGTGCTATAGCTTCGGCCAATTCGAGGCTCGATGCTGCGATGACGGCCGCATCAGAAGGTATTTATGGTACTCCCACCACAAAATGGATTCCTGGCATGCCAACTGTACCATCCGTTGATTGGGAAAGAGTCCAGTCCATTGCGCAACAGAATCTTGACGATTCGTTGAACTGGGCTTCGGAGCAGTATGAATCTGCAAAGGTAGCCATCGGCGCTGTTGAACCAACACCTAGTACCTCCCTCGAGGAGGCAAAGCGGAAAGCCGGAAAACTTGTTGATCAGGCTAAATATAATTATTATGCAGGCGTAGGTCTAGCGCACGCCCGGTATTCCGAATTTGTTTCCGCTGTGTCGACAGCTGTGAGCTCCTTGACGGCTACACCTACCCCGACCAATATCCAAGAGTCTGCCTCATCCGTCGCATCAGTAGTCGGCGAGTCGGCTGCTTTGGCCGCCTCAGTTGCAAGTGAGAATGCAGGGTCCCTAGCATCGTCTGTCGGCGACTTGGCCTCTGATGCGAGCGACTATATAGGGGAAAACTGGGATGGGCTTGTCAGTCGTGTCAGCTCCCAGGTCTACGGTGCTCCTACGCCTACTCCATGGTACGGAAATATACAAGCTGCCGCTGGTGATTTTACCTCCGCTGCTGGCGACTACGCAGCATCAGCCACAGACGCGGCCGCACAGCAAGTCTCAACTGTCACCGTATTAGCAGGGGATTATGCCTCTTTGGCTAGTGCGGCTGCAGCATCGCAGTATTCTGTTGTCAGTTCTCTTGTATCCGAACTCATTGTCGGCAAGGAGCCACCTTTCACCGAGTCGGTATATTCGCGCCTTATCGGAGCATATTCAACTGGTGTTGCTTCTGTGTCGAGTCTTGCTAGTGTCGCATCTGCGACTGCAGCTAGCGCCGCCAGCGAAGCTAGTGGCTCTGCCAAGTCTGTTGCTGATGCTGCCGCTGGAAAAATTGGTGATACAGTTCAACGTATAAAAGACGAGCTATAGACACATGCATCAATTTTGAACCTTGTCGTGGCTTTTAGTTATCCACCCACCGTCTTGCCCGTCCGAAGAAAAAAGAACAAAGCTATAGTGGATAGACTAATACCGATTGATGATATACGCAAATACAAACCACTTGGTAATTCAGCTATTGTGGTTCTTTGGTTGATTTATTTTTCTTCCGTTCGTTTGGAACGTGGTATATACCCAGAACGTTGGACGTGTTGACATTTTTCTTCCCATCTATATCCTATTTCCAAATTTCGATTACACACTAGTTGAGAAAATTGAGGTTTCCTACGCCAGTCATTTGTGATCGGGAGCAAACGCGAAGAGCTGGACAAGCCTGGACAAGTTTGCAAAAGGGAGAAAGAGGGGGTCTATCTGGCTAACGATTTTGCGGAGTTAATTTACGAGGGAAACCCTAAAGGCTAGGGTTGATGATTGGAATGAACTTATTAGCAAAAAAAGAAAAAGAAAAAAACGGTACCGGGGAACCCTTGGGAACAAATCTGGGGTTCAAGCGACGTATTTGAGGCGGGCACACGTAAAAAGGGGGATGGGGGGTATATTAGGTGTATCAATACGTGTATGACAACTAGGTAGGAGAAATATATCAAGGATACAAAAGTCATATAGGTTACGCTATCGAGCTTTTTGCATATTCTGTTCAAGCTGAGAGTATGAGAGGTAGCTACCTCCTTTTGGCCAGCAAACCAAGCGAGCATCTATCCGTTTAGTAAGACAGTAAGACTGTCTATTCGCTTGGCAACTTTTCGTATCACAACCACTATACCATGTGAGTCTACCCTTTCTTCTTTCTCTAGTTTAACATATCGCCAAGCTATCACGATTGCATTAGAGAGCACTCTGGTTTTAACGCTTTCTCTCGAAAATCACAGTACATATTTCGATGATGATATTGATACTTATTTCGTCATTTATCGTCATGTGTCTCGTATGGCGAGAGCCCTATCATCATCTATAATACGCAAGCAGGCATCCGTCATTTGTACCGGGGGGGGAGGCATATAATCCATCCCAGACACCTCCTCCGCGCGAATAAAAGGAACTAAGCAAGTCATAAAACAGGACCAATCCAACCCCTCCCCGGCTCACAACGTGAATCGGAAAGAAGGATGATAATCGCCCATGTTGTCGACCTCTTCCTTCGGACGGCTCAGCCGCGAGTCCCTCTTGCCCGCGTCCCGCTTCCGGTTCTCGACGAACATGCCCACGAAGAGCAGCGTCGCCACGGCGGCGCCTAGCCACGTGATCCCCAGGGCGGTACCGTACCCCGTCGGGTACCGCGGGGCCTCTTCCTGGCGGAAGATGAGGGCGGCCACGATGCCCGCGATGTTGCCGAGGGAGACCTGGATGGCGGAGGCGAAGGAGCGCTTCCAGTGGCCGGCCGTGTTGTTGGCGAGCCAGGCGAGCGCGATCGGCGTGCCGACGAACCCGCCCAGCGAGACGAGGAAGACCGCGCCGTACTTGGCCCCGTTCGATAGGCCCCTGGGGCGCAGCAGCATGGCGTAGCCGGTCGTCGCGATCGCGCAGCCCAGGATGATGAAGCCGTAGCGGTGCTTGGTCCGGTCGGAGAGGTACGCCACGGCTATCATGCCGACGGCGGAGACGGCGTACACGGGGATCGTGTGGACCTGGGCGGACTGGGCCTCCCAGCCGAACTCGCGCAGGATGGTCGGCATGAAGAACGTGGTCGCGTAGCCCGTGACGCCGACGCCCATGTAGGTTAGGGCGCCGGCCCAGATCTTCCAGTCGGTGAGGATGCGGCGGTACGCGTACGCGTTGAGCGTGTCCATGCGGGCCACCGTGCCGGCGCCGTCGTCGGCGAGTCGGAGCTGGAGTTGGCGCTTTTCTTCCGCGGTCAGGAAGTGGCACTGCTCTGGCCAGTCGACGATGAGGAAGACGGACACGAGGGCTACGGCCGCGGTGGCCAGCCCCTCGATGATGAAAATCCAGCGCCAGCCAGCTATGCCGTTGTGGCCGTCGAGATTTGCGATCGCGTACGCAAGCAGCTACATTCACAGTTAGATCTCCACATATCTTGCTAACTGTCGAGGTTCAAGTTGTCTTCCACCGACTAGGGTGATCCAAGGCCCAGATGGGCTTATGAAAAGAGAAGGGACAAGCCGCATACGTCAGGTATGTATGTATACGACAACGAGTACACCGAGGAAAAGAAGGGAGAGAAAAGTGACTTACTCCTCCGAAAGCGCCGCCGACAACCGTGGAGCAGAAGAAGAAACTAATGCGCGTCTGAAACTCGTGGCGCTTGTAATACATGGAAGTGAGGTAGACGATGGCGGGCATGACGCCGGCCTCGAACGTGCCGAGGAAGAAGCGCAGCACGACAAGCCCCTGGTACGTCGAGACGAACCCCATGCACATGTTGACGATAGCCCAGCTCAGCATGAGGAACGGGATGTAGTAGTGAGGCCTGAGCCTCCTAAGCACCATGTTGCTAGGGACCTCGAGCAAGATGTAAGGGATAAAGTAGACCTATCGACGAAGTCAGCAAGATGAAAAGAGCGAAAATAGCCAATGCGTCAAGGGAGGATTATGACTTACGAAAAGGGCGATGTTGAACCTGTTTCCATACAAGTTGAGCTCCTCCGACATGCCCTGGATGCGGGCGTTGCTGATGTTGATGCGATCAAGAAAGGACATCATGTAGATGACGAACAGGATGGGCCAGATGTGAAGATCTATCTTGCGGACTAGACGGCGCTCCGCGTGGGCGTCGATCATGCCCGGCGGGAAACCGGCGGATTCGGGATCAGCGTCGGTACCGGCGCCGTCGCTATGCGGTGTTTCTTTCTGACTATCCATGGCGGTGGTGATGCGAGAAAGTTTGGCTTCGTTGGTAAGCTCCTCTTCCGACACGTTGGACGGCATATCAGAAAGTTTAACTAGATCGGACGGACAGACGATAGGCGTGAATTGAGTAGATTAGTATGTGAATTGTTTCCTTTTTTTTTGTCTCTTTTTTTTTCCTTCGGAGGAAAGATCGTCTACACGTCTGGGTAGTGTTACTACTACTACCTACTACTACTACCTACTACTACTTGTAGGAAACAGGCGTGTAGGAAGCAGAACAAAGACAAAAATGTGACAGCAACGGTTTGATGTGCCAGCTGATAAAAGAAAAGAAAAATTTTAAAAACCCCGATCTATCCACACTGAATGAACACTGACCTCCCCAGTGCAGAAAAGAAGAATTGGATCTCGCTCTCTCGCCGGCTTATCGCAAGAATGGTGTGTATGTGGTTATGGTCGGCGACCAATGATTTCTTTTTCGACGTGACTTCTAGGTAACTGGGACGAATGATTAGTTACATGCCTCTCTCCCTATCTTCACCAAGTCGGGCCATTTACATCTCAGCTCCATCTCGAGCCGATTGCGCATCCACGGTAAATTATGCAGGCAGATCTCGCCAAGTTGGTTAGTTGCCTTTTTCTCCTTTCGGTGGCTTTTTTTTTTCCTTTCTTTCTTGGGAGACAGACACTTAAACACCGCGAGACATTTCGTCTCATGGTAACCACTTGTTCCTAGACATTGCCGCAACACAAGAACGGCCGCGCCCCCGGCAATTAGCTCGGGCGTAGATGGTGAATTCGTAGAATGAATATCACTTGACATCATTCACTCACTACCACCAGAGCTACTGGAGTTAGGAACATGTGTTTGAAGGTTAGATACCTAGCTTTTCCACCAATAATTCAATGAGGCCGTCCCTATTAGCCCCGACCTTGGGAGACATCCTACCCAGATTATCCAAATTTCACCACCATCATTCCACGCCGTGTAGGCGGGTAAGCGTTAAGCTTCTATGGGTGAAACACGGATAGATTGCTTCCAGAACAGAGTTATCTATCTCTCTGTAGGTATCCCACACGTGGCGAGCGATCCCAATGCATCATAGCAAGCAGAAAATGGTTCAACGCGGGGCTACAATGCAATGCAATGCATGTGATTAAGGTAGATAGATAGATGTAAGGCGTCCGGAAGGAATATGGCTGCCGTCGGACGGCATGAGTTCACAAAAAGCAATACATTAGATTTGTGCCATTGCGGATGTATGTGAATGCACTATGGTAGTACTAGCAGTTCACACATAAGTTTTGAATGGATTGGACATTGGACGTGTGCATACATAGGCGTGTATAACATATAATGCAGAATTATCTAGGGTGGCGGTTTTAGTCACCAAGTCTATTAACCCCCCCCCCCTCCCCTTTTCTTTTTTCTTTGTTTTTCTTTTACTAGGTTCATCCCAAGGTACAGTTCATTACTATTTACTATCATAACCATCTAACAAGACCATTGTATTACTCTCGTCTTCTTAACCCATCACGCTGTATGGTCCAAAAAAAATACCTAATACAATATTCTTTCTTATTCTTTGCGTGCACATTAGAATAGGGGCACATTAAGAGGTGAGGGTAAAAAGAAAAAAAAAGAAGAAGAAGAAGCTATCTTCTATCAAGCAGACTATTATCAGACTGTCATCGCTCAATTGCCCCAGTAGATTGGAATTTTGGCTTTTGAGGGAGGCGCAACACAGAAGCCATCTCCACAACCCAGGGCCTCTCAGACATGAGCCGACCTTGCCCTGATATGCGTGGAGCCGGTTGTCTCACCTCGCCGGCCTTGTCTTACCAATAGCCGCAACTTGATAGCTCGCCACACGGGGTTATTCACCTATCAGCGACAACAATTGCGAACCTTTCGCCCTTGCTATCCGGGGTTGCCCCAATCTGAGATCTGGTGTATGCGTCACGTCTCATTGGTTTGTGCTTCGATAATTTGAACGCCAATGTTAGGCAACACAAGTGCGCAGCCGAGATAACCGTGTGCACGCAAACGTGATAGATTGCGCGCGAACCGTGGCTACCTCTGTTCTCGGGTTAGCAAATTCAATCGTAAAGAATAATATCTACCTAAGGTAAGGTAAGGTAGTTGCAGAGGTAGAATAGTAATAATAGTAATAGTATGAGATTACCGTAGGTTAGGTAGGTAGTTATGACCGCATAGCAACTCTCAAAAGTTTGTCGGGATCCAAACTCAGTTCGCCGTATAAGTTGGGTAACAACGCCCGGATGTTATACATATGAAATGACTACCTAACCTAGGTAGCGATACAATGTTCCACTAGTTGGTTGTGCTTGTCTTGGGTGAGAGAGAGACTAACTTACCTACGTACGCTATGAGCTAGGCAGGTACATTGCTAGGCGTGCGGAAAGGGAGAGTTGGATGATTCAGCATCTGGTAAGTTCCAAATCCCAAAGGCTGATGATAGTTTCCCAAAAGTTCAGAAGTCGACGTAGGTATCAAATTTCTCTATCGATAGTATATCCCTAGGTATGTACCTCCTAAGAGGTACCTAATGCATCGAAACATGCGGTTGGTTGGTAGTTCAAAATCTTGTCTCATTTGGATGATACTTGATGGTAATACATAGAGATCTTCGTTGTGGCTGCTGGTCTTAAATACATCCCTACTAAGGGCAAGTAGTCGTACACTCAGTACGTGCATTCGATATCCGTCACGATACGGTTATGTAAAGTCTATTTCTAAAGCCTATTTCTTCAAGTGATGTCTTTTCTAATGAATGAGCTTTTTTTACAATGCATAATACAAAGTGACGTGGGTAGCTCTCACCAGGTACCTTACCTCGTACGCAACATTGTATTGCTCTGCGCTTGCCTTGCCTAACGTGTACGGTATCGCCAGCGTACTTGAAAGGTAACCAACTTGAAATCAACTGGATTAACCAATTTTAAGACTCTTTTTAGGGGTTTCTGTTACCGTCTGAGATCTGCTGCCTGGTTACTCTTTCCAGAGTACTAACACACCTACCTAATCTAAGGACCTAAGGTAATCGCAATCGCCCTTCACCAAATCGATATACATACCCCAGGAAGGCAGCTGCGGCCATCATACTGACTTCCCATAACTTCTCGAGCCCATCCGTAGCAGTTGCGATCCCATGGTTGTCACAATTTTACCCGCTCAAGCAAAGTATTTAGAAGTCCTCACAACTCGTTACTCGTCATCCTCACACCTTCAACTTCTTCGGACGTATCCCAAGACACTCACTCAACCCATACGTTTCAAATTCCAACTGGCGTCCCTCTTTTGTATTTTGCGAAAGCAGGCTGTTCAACGCTTGCCACATATTGGTCATATTGATACTCTACGTTCTTTTCAGTCCATCTATCATATAACCTCTTCCGGAATCCTCGACTAACACCTGCCAACCAACGGGACTCTCTTCTATGGCCTGCACAATACCATGAAACTGAGATTCTGAGAGACTGGAAGATTCCGAGGAAACCGTTGTTGTTTTGTTGCAGGCTTGTTCTCGCTGCTGTATTCTGTCGACATGTCTCACTTTGCGAGAGCCAATCTCTCTCCCAGCGATCCGGGGTACTATGATACCAACTCCAAGATGATATACATCCCTGTGGGGGTCTTCCTAGGTATCTGTCCCATCATTGTCGGTACCAGAATTTGGTCAAGGTTGGGTAATGGAGGACACCTCGGTGCCGATGACTGGACTATTCTAGTATCACTTGTAAGTCAACGCTGAAGGTATACGTGGAGACTGATGGTAGACTACCAATATATACTGACAAATCCACTCGAGATATTCGCCCTCGCTTCAAGTGCAATTATGCTTGCCGCTTGTCACTATGGCTATGGAAGACACACTTATAGTTTGTCTGCCTACGACAAATACCAAGCCTTCAAGGTGCGTTTCTGGATACTTGCGATCTGCTCCTTCAACCTATATAAACCGCGTCGCTAATAAAATACCCCGGATAAAGTACTTCTATCTCTGCCAGGTGACTTACAAGGCGTGTATCAACTTGACAAAGGCGTCAATCCTCCTGCTATATCTGAGAATCTTCAGTAATACGAAGTGGTTCCGATGTGCGTGCCGCTTCATGCTGCTCATTGTGGTCATGTACTGCATCGCATCAGTCACAGCAACGATATTTCAATGCACGCCGGTCACCAAGGCATTCGACAAGTCCATGAAGGGTACCTGCATTGACAATGGGAAGTTCTGGTACGCTAACTCGGGGTTTTCTATCGCGACTGATATCATCATCCTCACCCTTCCCATGACTCTTGTCTACGCATTGCAGATACCAAGAGTCCAAAAGGCTGCCCTAATGATAGTCTTTGCTCTGGGTGTATTGTAAGTACATTGTAGCCAATTTCTTTTTTTATAACAAGTTACTAACTTGATTAACAGCGTGGTCATCACTTCTTGTCTAAGAGTTACAACCATAGATATTCAGGCGAAGACGCCAGACCCGACTTATGACATTGCATCTACCATGTGGACCATTATTGAGATGAACGTGGCGCTCGTGTGTGCCTGTCTTCCGCAAATACGTCCTCTCATTATCAAGTGGTTCCCGAGGCTGATGCCCGTCTACTACTCCAATTCCCACGAACAGTCGGATAAGCGCCCAGCTTACAGTAGCAATGGCTTGTCAACGTCTCATCCGAGTAGCAGCGAGAGTCATTCCAAGTCGGAAGAGGGTAAATGGATGCGCATGAATGCCGGGAAGGCTGGATACGAGGGCGCCAACCGATCCGATTCTCGTAGGGCCGATTCCAGCTCAGACGAGTATATGCTACACGAGGAAAAGGGACTTCAAATACAAAAGACTGTGCAGTACACTGTCGAGTACTCCCCGGATGGCAAGCGTGGTCCGTATATGGGATCAATGGTATGAGGTTCGGAGCAAATTCCCTACACGGCATAATATTGTGGTAAGCTTCCCGGGAAAAAAGGACACGGGCCGTATTTTTAGATGATCTTTGGGTCGTATTATCCTTCTTTCAGATTCCCTAGCTTTTATGGCTGTTTAAAGTTTAAGATCGCGTCAAATGTCTTTGACTAGCTTATTTTTAAACGAGTTACAGGGGATATTAGTGTTTCCGACTTACTTGAAGAAACCCCTTTGAAATATTAACTAATCGAACAAAAAACATGAAGGCTATAAGTGACTCTTAAAAAATTGTAGAAATCGATTCGAATTACACATCTTACCCGGTTTCGGAATGAATAGGATCTCACCGACACTTATCTGCTGTCATAGTAAGATTTCAGCGTAATAGGGCTGACCGATGCCTAAGATGCTATGCAGCTACGACGTCACCTGGGGTGTTGGTATAAATTTAAACATTGAAGAAATTGACTTTACGTTCGTGTCATTGCCAACGGGTAATGGAAGTGGCCGAAGAATGTAACATATCAGCATATGTGGAATGGAGGAGTCTGGGGAAACGGTACATGGGCTGCCTGGATACCTATGGTCGGTCCCTAGTGTTTCTACCGTTCTCACACGGCTCCCAGGGTTTACCCATAGTAGGTAATCAAATTTAGCCGCGATGGACCTCTTAGATTCCATTCTGCGACGCCTAGCTAGGTATCAATTGCGAAATTCGCGACTGGTTTCCTATTGGATGAAAGGACGAAGATCATCTGCAGTATGACACGACGCCATTCAACATCAACTAACAGGTGCTTCGGTTGAAGAATTCGAAGTTGGCACGAGAATCAGCTTCTTATTTTAGCTCATAGGCATCAATTATCAAAAAGCTGCAATCCGTGTCGGCGAGAATTGAAAGGGAAGTGGTATGAAAAGAAACAGAAAGACGGAGAATAAGAAGAAGATAGAAGGTCGTTCGATTCAGACGTCGGTCTCCACGATACCCCCACCCAGAATAGGTAAAAGGAGAGCGCATGAAAGAAGCGCTTGGCGCTGGAACCAATCAGATGTGGTAATGGTCGGGAGGGTCCAAGACGATGTTCGGAGATTATCCAATCATAAAACAAGAAGAGGATTTATAACGATTTGACTAATAAGAAAAGAGAAAAAAAAGAGATTGAGGCTGATGGGGCTTGTGCTGAGGCTAACCTTTACGCAGGACCCAAGGTAACAATACGAAGGAACGGCATAAACGTTATGGATTGACCCTCGTCGATTGGCGCCTAACCATTCCACATTAGCCTTAGAACCATGATCTAAGCGCGAGGCCTCATAACGCTACTTTAGGGTACGTCTTTGCTTGTGCCGCCAACTAAGTCCAAAAGAAGAAAAATGTTTCTTTCTATTTTCGCCGAGTACCTACCTACCTACCTAGTAATAAATAGGACTAATTACGAAATTGGCCAATAAACGAGAAAATATAAAAACAAATAACGGAAGGATTACCCGGTGACGTCAACTTCAACGTTGGGTCTTGGGTTGGTTCGTAAGGTCGTAAGTTGCCGAAAGGGTCATAAGGGGGGAGGGTTTGCTATGGGAAATATGGGAAATATGGGAAAATACCTACCTAACCTATCCTAAGCTCGTCGCTTCGAGCTACAGTCCAGTCTTGTTACAAGCTTCAAGAGACGAGGTTCAAGATCCCAACCCTGGGTTAAGGATTATAAAGTTCTTATTAGACGATTATGTACGATTCAGGTCAACTAGGGTCTATGCAGGCCAGGCATGGCTATATGGGGAATAGTCTCATTCCCCCGGTTCGTCGAGTTGATGATCTAGCGACAGGGTTTTGGACGGTTCACGGGATTTGTTCGAGTCTGGATCATCGGCCTCGTCTCGCTCCCGCCACGTAGCCGCATATATCCCCTTGTCCCACTATCCGAGCAGCACGCCGGCCGAGAGCAACTACTCGTCGAAACCGACCAGCCCAAATTTAGACACGAAATGGTTAAGTCCTAGTCATATGCATACCCGTTACGAGCTTCAATTTGAAACTCCAACGTTCAACGAGTCGGGTGCTGATCAAGCTTGTCTATCAAATACCCAGAGCCCGGAATCATCCCAAAGTAGAACCGAATCCCCATCGGTTCCATAACGAGTTAATATACCCTTATCCACTTTGCACAACCTCGTGTTGGCATATCTTTACCTTGCTATGTAGTATCAAACAGTCCCCGTTGAAATCGTGCCGCGACGCGTGTACGGTGAAGCTCTCCGTCCGAGCTTGGGCTTCTACTCCATCCACAGCCGGAGGGAAAGGTCGACGATGTCAAGCCCCAACTAAGATCCGGTACTTGTCTACTAGCGCACCTACTAGGCCTTCATTGGCGGTACTAGCTATAGCAATCAAGCTAGTTAAGCCGAAGACAGACAACTAAGATGTATTACCAGGTTGCCGGGTCAGCCTTACTATGGCTTGCATGCTGCACGGTAAGCTTCCCGATCAATATCAGCCTCATTCCGGACCAAGTTGACACACGTCACGGCCGGATTTGGGGTCAGCTTATCTTCAAGGGAAAACTACCTACTAAGAGGTAGCTACCGAAGAAACTGAAACGGGTGAAAATGTGAGTTACGCTATAGCAGCAGCACCTTTGAAGATCGGGAGATCTGGGATGCCTGTCTCGGAGAATACACACCTTCGGTATACCAACCTTGCAATAGGCTATTCCCGGTAAGGATATGGGTATCTATCTTTCCCCTGGCTAGCTTTTCCCACGTGCCCCTCTCCCTCTCGTGAACTCATGAACCTCGTCGCTATCCATAGGAGCTTCCCCATTCGTCACATGTGTGCTTTCGATAACCGCTGGTCAGCAGTGACTCTTAATACATTGCCGTCTGATTCACCTCATGGCGTGTGAATCATTCCTCTGAAGAGTACGACAAACTGGACAATAATACTCACTACGAAGAGGCAGGCATCGGGGGACCAGCTCGCCTATGTCTCGGCAATGGTGGTCTGGCATGGGATGGTCAATCTTCTATATCTATCACCGGACTCTACGCCATCGATGGTCAAGTTGGAAGCCATCATTCTCCCTCATCCAGGACAGCCCGCCTCAAGCCTCCCTTCATCCCGCAGATCTCTTCTATACTTAATCATATAATATTTATAATATCTCGTGCCGCTAACAGGTCGACGCGATGCCTCAATTCATATTCGTCGAGCTTCCTAGCTTCCGCATCAAAAACACCAGCGGACAGACGGTACGCCTCAACTACGCACAGTTAGGATTGGTAAGCGCTTTATACCAATTCGTGCGCAGTGGCCTCCGTACTAGCGACCAGGTCGATTTGTCGGCATCTCTACTTTTCGCAGACGGAGAAGCAGATCTATGGACGGCAATGGCGGGAGCAGGGGATGGAGGCCACCACCCGCATGCCGAGGAGAATATGCTGCTGTCGTATTTCCAGGCGTTCGATTCCCCGGGATCTTACCCGATCGTCGACGCTATGCTCCTACGGCGCGGTGAGCCTTGCAGCAACTGTGCTGGATACTTCAACTTGGGCGGCAAGCATCTACGACCAGTCGATGGAACACCGGCGTTCCGGGCTAAGTTCACGGCCCGATCCGACCGTCCGTACACCCCGGTCTTCCATCTGGCACGTGAACTTGACGCCACACAACGGGCCACCTTATGGGCCCAGCTAGCACGGATGCGGACGGACGAGCCCGGACTTATCGTGGCTTCTAGTGCTAGTATTCCGGTCGGCCAGGCTTACTACCTGCTCCACGATTCCCCTTGGTACGCCATCAATAACCAAGAAAGCATGACGGACACACAAATCGCAGAAGCTATCGCGAGACAGGGAGTCCTCCCGACTTACTGGATCGGAAGGTAAATAGGGTCATACAAAGTGAGTCCCAAACCAACCCGAAGACAACAAAAGCAAAGCCTCGTACTCCCCCCCTATAGTACCCGATCGCTGATAATAGTCTAGCAGATTCTCTACGGCTAGAATATTAATAGACTCGAGACCGGAGGCTAGAAGTGTATCGTTAGGTATTGTACAACACGGCATGGGCTGGACCCATCGGCAAAAGTCAGGTCAAAGGTCGACTGGCTCGATCACGGGGACGTTTATATTCCATATATCATCATAATATCCCTTTTCGTCTGTAACATTAACATTATTTCATAGCATGATTCCTTGGTAGACAAAACGATTTCCTAGGACAGATCGTACGATAGATTGTTTTTTACCTAAAAATATACCTAAAATTTGCTGGTTCTAGCTGCCCATACTTCTTATTGTCATGTGCTGCTTTGTGGGCTGAGGTATTTGAAGTCAGATGCATATTCGCCTAATATACTAGCTCATGCCAGTTGTTTCCTAAGAACCACAAGCTCTTATAGCCATCATTATCAAATATCAGGTAGGCATCTACCAAAGACACATATAGAACAAGAGTATGATAATGCCTGCTTAAATTGTCTACTATAAGAACTAGGAGGAGTTGACAATCCCAGAGCACGGTATCAAATACTTTAACATAGGTGTGTTTATTAAGTAAGTACGATACGTATCATTCAAAACTTCTGATGACCAATACGATCTAGGCAATACTATCTAATATCAACGAATAGGCCTGAATGGAGCAAACCTCCTACCTGACTTAGCCTCCCACTCACCCATCTCTAATAAGAGTCAGGGGGAAACATGACTTCAGGGTGGTCGCTACTGGGGACAACGGTGCTATCGTGATTCTAGATGATTTATTTATGGTGGGATCAACCTATTTTCAACCATTCGTACTTGACAAGGAATCACTCAGATACATACAACCCGCTGAGCCAAATGTGTATTTCTTAATAGCACAATTGCTATTACGGTCTATCTAACAGAATTTCTTCACTGGGTTGTCATCGGATGGGATTCTACCTAATCCAGGTATGCCTACAGCATGCCTCTTAAGTTAGGTGGAAAATCTCGCGGCCCATGTAAGTAGGTAGATACATGGGGGAATATCGTGAGCTAACTTTCCACCTGATATCTTAGGTTCGCACATCTAGTAGTGAGTTAAGGATACATCAAGGTTATTAAGTGTACGCTCCCTCGCAGTTGTCATGAACTGCTTGGTGGGAGATAGCATCGTTATAAGGGGTTAGATAGACACCTCTAAACGTTATATATAAAAGCAGAATCTATAAGGAAGAGCGTTACGATAGTAGCCACCTCCTATTTGATCGATAAAATACTTCATAAGACCTGTGACAGCACTATATTCTACTCAAGGTGCTAGTTATACGGTAGTCTACTATTACAAAGTATATATTCTAGTTATACATAAACAATAGTCCAGGACTCTGCCTGCAGGATCGATAAATAGCACGAGTAGATTATCACAGAGTTTTCATAGTAAGCAGTAGTCTGAGAGATGCTTCGCCGAGTTTAGTGAAAAGACCACACATTTTAAGCTGCATAACAGATGAGATTTGGGGTTAAACATACCACCTAGGTATCCATGCTATCTGCCTACACCGGAGACGTCTAAGGTAAATATAATATAATAGTTTCTATATATATAGTGCTAGGCTCTCATAGTCAGATGCCCGAGGTGTTATTCAGATATGCTTGAGCTACTGGCTTCACCCCATAATCTTGTTTCATCGTCACCTACTGTCGTGTTTTAACAATATTTTCTGCTCCTCGCGTCGCCTCGCTTCATGCGTTCTCTCATTAAAAGTCCAATTAGATGCCTCCCCGTCCTCGTCCATACGGCCGATTAGATACATCTATCTAGGAGGTAGGTAGTTGAGGACCTGTTCTATGAGAAACTAAAGAAAATGCAAACCTTAGAGATGTATATCCAGTCCCATCCATATCAGCGTCGATCAATGACAGCAGGATCCTTGGCATTGAACATACGAAGGCTAAACAGTGAAAAGAATCTTGCTTCGCTTTCGTTTCCTGCCGCGTATAGTTCACGTTGCGGTGCTTATTCGACCGCGTCCAATTACCTTAGCTAGCAAGGAAACCAGTCGATTTCCTAAGAAATATTATCACAGTACGGTTCACGGCCCAGGAACTACTCAGGTAGGTAAGTATACAATTCATTCTTAAGAGTGCGTAAAACGCAGGAATATATGATTTTTTTTTAAAAAAAAAAATCATGTTATTTCATCATAAGGGGCGGCGCCAACAACTTGGCAATGGTAACAAGGCTTGCGATCGCCGCCATGATCTTCAGCAACTTGGGTACCAACTGAGCTCTAGGGAAACACCAATCTTGATGATAGGCAAAACTGCAAGCTCTAGAATAAAAACGAGCAGGAGCTGAGCTATGCATCGTCCAACGCGCTCTGACGTCCCAGGAACGCCTACCGCGGTCAGCCGCAGACTGCCCCAGTTAACGATAGGCACCGAAGACGGGTGGCTTTTGCCATCACCTTTGCCGTGCCTGTGCAGTCACTTGGTCCCTACAGTCCGTCTGTATGATTGTGGCGTCATACTACCGTAAGTGTGCATATCTGGTCTGCACCTACACTGAGAGGGCTGATTGCTCCTCTTCTTGACATGCCCCCCCGCTTCTTGGCCGCTAGCAAGGTCTGTGATAGCGTTAGCATTCGCCACTTGTTAGTCATTGGAATAGCGAGAAGGGGGACGACGTGCTCCGGAGTAGGTAGAGGATTGGATGGTGTTGACTACCTAGGTACCTCTTAAACGAGTATTATAACACTCGACTAGTTACTTCTCTGCATGTTAGAGATCTGGATGGTATTAATGGAGGAGGAATAGGTATCTGCGAAATATATCAGCCGGAAGCAGGAAGCGCAGTTCTACTGATGCACGATGGATTATAGATCAATGTCAGACTAATTAGATTATTGCTCGGTATAGTTACGAGACGTTTTGTCATAGATAGTCTAGTACTGTTTCAAGTTATAGGGTTCTAGAAGACGATGTCTAATATAGTAGCGCGCGTCGGACAGCCGGGACAAGACGGGTTGGCCGAGAGGCGGTGCATTCCGAGCCTTCCGACCGTCTTACTTACCTCTAGACCACCTCCGCAAAGTGGATGTCGTATAGGCAAAACGTGTACGACGGTTCTCAGACATCTTTGCGTGATGTGGGCTGACCATACGGTATCTGTTCCGATGGCGGATGAATTACGGCACGCTCGGCGGTTCAAGTTCAGGTCATTTTGAAGGTATGAGTGGTAGCTAGCTAGCGCCTCGATTGTCACACTGCCTGGCTTTCACGCTTTAGATAGGGGTAGCACTATGCACACCGGTATCAGATATGGACTAGATGCTCTGCCCCTTACTCCAACTCGAGCAAGCAGCTATAGGTTATAGGTTAGGTAACCAATTGTGCTGGATTGGGGACTAGATCCTGACTGTGAGTCCTTGCTGTCCTGTAGAAGCCCAGAATCTGGGGTTTGGGGCCTGGGGTAGCTATTTGGGGTAGATATTTCTATCCGGTCGTGCTCATCAACGACACAAGAGATAGGTATCTATCGCTGGTTTAACATTCGGTTGCCATACGCGATAGACTAAACAAGGAACGCCGCGCAACACCCTCGTAAAGAGGTCAGCGTTCTGCATAAGTATTCGCTCTTGAACGCGTGCTATACTAAAGGGTGCGTTAGGTATGTAACCTTCTTTGCCGCCGCTGACCCCAGACCCATCTCCAAAGAAAGCTCCGTTGTTTCTTATCTAAGAAGAGGAGGGCACCGGGGATCTCCCATCGGAGACATAGAATAGATCCCTACGTGCAGAATTAGAACGTGCGGAGATAGTCTCGTGGGGAGGGGGAGGGGGAGGGCATTGTTTGGGTACCTACATCCTATTCAATTGATATCTCTTTTTGGGGGGTTCTTCTTTGGGGGTAAGACACTGGTCTTGGTTCTCCGAAAAATTCCTGACCTTGTTTCCGATCCTGCGGATTCACCGCTGTTTTTACTTTTGCCATGTATGTGTGCGCAGCGTGGACCGAAAGAACCGAATCCGTTCGTTTTCACCTGCTCTATCGAACCATACGTACCTGTGTCAATGATGCTTTGATCTGATTTCGGGCGTATGAAGATATAGGTATCGTATCGTATGATGAGGAATATCTTGTCTTATTGAGAATTGAGTCGTGCAAAGATGAGAGATGAATTGAATGATTCTGCAGCCATGCCTGGCCGCATCTCCCGGCTGGTCACCTGGTCACGATCCTCTGCGGAGCATTCCCTCCTGGAGATGTTGGCGTTTTTGGTAAACCCATGCGGCTGGCGTTTAGGGGAGGAATTGACGAATCGCAGCGAAGGATTACCTACAGTGAAGAAAGCCGGAGCCCGAATATTATGTTGGGATTATACCCGGAGACGGTCATATCACCGAAAGATCACCCAAAATGATCTCGGTATGGTACTAGATGATATTCTACGAGTCGAATCAGACGAAGGAATTGGCTCAGGGAAATAGTTTGAGAATGTATACTACAGTACATACATGCAAGGCTCACTGTCTCATTGGCGCTGCCTTGGTGTTTTGCAGGGCAAGGTAGGTCAGCATCCTTCTCCGTAACGCGAGTAGTGCTTAGCAGTTTTGGTTACAATGTGACGATGCGAGCACGTAGGAAAACTACACCGTGCGAGCGACGACGAAGCCATGTTCTCCTAGTCTCTGCCCGCCTGTTCTATTGCGGCGCTGTTGTACAAGATCCGGATCTGTTTCTCCAGCTGTAAGCTGCGAGCTGCGGTCGAACGTCATGATTATGAAGTCTTACACCGGTTAATAAAACACGGGGTAACATGACTGGCATGGATGTTGAAAAAGGTATTTTATTGAGATCTCACTCAGCGAAATGCAAGTTTAATCCCGACGGACGAGCGCATGTTCGCACGGTCGTTTGTTTGTTTGTTTGTTTGTTTTTTTTTTTTTTTTTTTTTTTTTTTTTTTTTTTTTTTTTTTGGAAGCCGAACCTTCGCAAATCTTCTCGGAACCAAACGGCTGGGAAATGTGATAGAACCTGTCGATCTCGTTCCGACCTGCTGGTGTTCTCCATTCTAATTAGATATAGATATCGCTAGGCTAGATATCAGCTATCTTTATTCTCGGCTCGGTCTACCTATTATTAGACCCCCGAGGGATTGCTAAAAAAGTATATCGAGCAAGCATCGCCCCGGCGCGCTTTCGGGAAAAGGCTGATCCACGGACCGCCGCTAAGGTTAGGTAGAAAACTAAAACCGCACGGAGCTTTCACGATCTGACGATGTGAATTCCGATCAAGCTAGCCCTCGAAGCTTGTCCCAACTAACTTTCCCCGCGGGACTGGGATTTCTCTTCCCTAGCATCATTTCTTAGTGTCAAAAGAAACGCTTTAACAAAAACCGACCCATTCGAAATGAGACGGATTAACTTAGTTCGTATTTTCCCAGTACCTAGTACTAGGCTAGGTACCAGGTAATGTTCCTGGATCATCGATCGTCAGCCAAAAGCCCGATGCTGTGTAAGTGCAACCAAACGAGGCATGCGATGGTTGGTCCCATTTTGCTATCTCGATGAGATGTTGTACTGGGATTAAACGACGATCAAACTTCAAGTTCGTCTTGTGTGTGTCTTATATGTTGTAGTTCAAGTTGAAGTAGATGTGGCATATCATATATCTGCCGAGGAATTAAGGCAGAAAATATTTGCTATGCAAATTCAGCATCTTTCGCATTACTGGGCCTTTGCGACGACAAATAAGAATCAGATACCCCTTTTTGTGGATTAACAAGCACTTAACTGACTAATAGGAACTTCAACAGCTCTCGTGTAAAACTAGTCGTTGAACCAGAGTACAGAGAGGTATGGCTAGATATGTATTACCCTATATCAACACCTCACTAACTTTACGAGCGAACCATCTTATTATTGGGAGTGGTTGGTGGATACTGGCTTCAATTTACGTAAGGAACGTTGGCTATTACCTATCTTCAAACTGGCTAAGAGTAATAGGAAGGTGAATAAGCGATTGTCGCCATAGCTCTTAACCTAGTAATCTGCCTATGTAGGATTGAGGAAAGTTGGGAATAGCCTCAATGAAAAAAAGCGTTTACAAGGTTTCAGCAACGAGTTTTTTTCTTTGCAGGCTACCTACCTACCTAGTATCTACCTCTTCAAGAACAGACAGTGCCAAAGACGAGAGGCCCGCTGATCGACACAGGTATAGCCTCGCTTGCCTTATTGGAGCATGGGGCCCTGTCATTGCCTAGCTCGGAAGCCCAAACAAGAGCCAATTGTGGTTGAGAGGTCTGTGCCTCATCGGCACTCCCTCGAGTAGAATCCCGGCCCCTTACTTTAGAGAAAAAAGAGTAGCCCAACGACTTTGCCATCCAGAAGTTGTCGAGTTTGCTCACTCGCCGCCAAATGGCAACGGGAGAAGGCGATATGAAATGATATCCCTTTTGAAAAATGCCGATCGCAGCAGTCCAATGAAAGCCAAAGCACTATGGTAAAGGTACGATACGTTATCTCCCGACGTAACCGCAGGTAGCAGAAGCCTTACGACAAGCCCGGGCTAGATCTCACAAAATTGTCTGCTGTCTGACCTTGCACAACATATCTATATTACGCATCTTCTCGAGTCGAAGAAATAAAAAAAAAATAAAAAAATCGATCGAAATCTGATGACGAGAGGTTATTCCCACCCAACAACCCACAAAGTCGCTCACGCTATAGTAGTTCGTTAAGCAGCTTGTTAACTCTGTGTACAAGCTTGACGATTGGTAGTGTATGTCGTAGCATTCGAAAGACGTGTTACCACATATAGCGCAATCACATGTCCCGCACTATCATAGCTGCACGACATAGTATAGAATCGTCTTTGGTAGATACCTTAGGTACCTAGCTAACCTACCTACCTCCTACCTACCACTTACATGCCTACCTAATATATGAATAGATAAAATAGAATAGGATAGGGTAGGGTTAGATATGGATTAGGTATATCAAAATGAGGTCCACCGGATGTATGTTTCCCTTCCCTCACAATTGGTAAACGTACCTAGGTAGGTACCTATCAATCAGAAGAAGCCCGCAGCCCGCCCTGAACAACCCTCAATATAGTTCCTTTTCGGGCCTACTTGTTGGCGTTTTGCAGACAGCGCAGCGCTTGCCCATGGGGAAAGCACAGCATGAAATCGAGATATTCCCGTCCCTCCCTCCCTCCTCCCCCAGAGATCTTTCCCTCTCGGCCAGCTCCCCAACCCCAGAAAAACCCACACGAAAAGCCAGCAAGGCGACCCACGATGCTGGACTTGAACTTAAGACGTGTAGGGGGGAGGGGGGGTGTTAGGAGTAGTTATCCTGGTTAGCTGTTTACCTGTGGGACTTGGGTGGATTACTTTTTTTTTTCTTTTTTTTTTTTTTTTTTTTTTTTGCCCTCTACCTACCCCCTCCTCTATAGCAATATTATCCCTAGTAAGCGCTAGGTATACCACCATGGTAGGATTTCGAAAGGCGTTCGTTCCCGTTCCCCATGTTGCGGTGTATTCTTCCTACCGTGGCGGTGTCTAACTCGCACGAAAGAGCTTATACCCTCGTCTTCTAGCTTGGGCCGATACACATCTACTTAGGGGGAGGAGGGGACTCATTGTCGTCACATGGTCTCTATCGCAGGTATTATTGCATGAAGGCCGTCAGCCTTACACATCTAGAAGCGGAGAATGCTTTATTGGTGCAGTAAGGAGAAGAAAAAGAACTTCGTTCACTGGTTTGTATTGTAGTATGCAGTGTTGGGCGGAAGGAGGAGGAGGAGGAGGAGGAGGAGGAGGAGGAGGAGGAGGCTCTATTCAATAGGTTCCCCCTCCTTCGTTTTCGTTTCGGCCCGCTTTGTTTATACTGCGGGCCAATATCAACTTTGAGTCTGGCGCCGTAGTAGCACATTGATACCCGTTCCCCGGCCTGGGCGTGCCGCAACAAGCGCCACGAATGCCGCGAAGCCTCACGATCGTCTTCTTTTCTTTCCTTGTTCTTTTTTGGTTTCCCTGTCAGGGCCCGAATGCTACTTTGGAACCCGTGATTTTCCCCTTGGAACGGTGTATGCGACAGCGAGCTACCCATCTCAGATCCTCGAACCTCAAAGCTGCATGCATCTATGGTCGATTCCTCCTCCCCCTTCTCTTCTTTAACCCCTTCCGGAAAACTTAGTCTCTGTTTCATCAAGTAAGAGCTTCTCGATTTGAGGCTTTTTATTTATAATTGGTAACTAACTGCATCATTACCTACCTGCTTAGTATAGTGTAAATACCCCCTGCCTTTTATTAAGCCTATCTCGTCAGTCTGTGTTCGAGCTATATTAGCCTTACCCCCCTCCCCTGAGTCCCCCGACGACTATTTTTCAGTTTTCGGTACTCGCGGCGCCGAAAAAGGAATCATCCTCGCCCTGCTCCACTCACTTCGTCCGGGGCCATCTAGTTCTCCGCTATCACTGCCACCTTGTGGCTGGCTGGCTGCCTGCCCTGCCCTGCCCTTCCGTAGTATAAGAAGCGACGGGTTGGTCCTACTGGGCCGCAATGTGTCGTCATCGTCCGGGGGTTTTCTGCGTGGTCCTGGGGGAGACGGCGCCAGATTGCAGCAACACTAGAGGAGCCTATACCAGGTACCTAAGGTAGCGAGCAAAGAAGCCTCGCAGTGATTCCCCACGAAGAAAGCATTCGTTGTCGTAGGTTAGGGCGGACGACGTCTTGCGACATAGGTAATGAAGGGGGAGTACGTACGGGCTAACTATAGGTCAACAACGATGTCTTCGATTCTTCCATATTATTATCCCTATTATCCCTCGTCCTCCATTATCGACACGCGGTCCTCGCATCATGCGAGTGCGATTGGATAGCGAGTCATATTGGGCCGGATGATCCATTGCGAGTTGGGAGAGGGAAGTTAAGTGAGGAGTGCATGAAGAGAACCCATAGCTTTGGGGCCGACTTACGCTGCAATAAGCTAGGGTGGTAGCTTGCTTTCCCTTCTTCTATTCTATCTAGCTAGGTAGGTTTCTCGATCTAGTTACCTACGCTATTTCATGAGCTACTGCTGGAATATGGATGGGCGCACTGCATGATGATGGAGAGGCTTGTGTCTTACCGGCAGAGTTTGAAGAGCCGGATCGAGCTACTCCGTAAGCATTTTGGAACGATCGCAGCACGCGACGACGATCTTCAAGATGTCTTTCCTCTCTCTCCTCTGACCAGATTACATTACATCGGGAAGTTTGTTACACTATGAATTACCTGGTGTAGATACCTAGGTACGCAGGTTAAAAAAAGAAATATCTAAGTACCTTAGGTTAGGTTAGGTACCTACCTTGGAAAGTGACAATTAAGCGAGAGATCCAATAACCCCCCAGGCTGTGATGTCTCATTGGCCAGTGACCGAAAATCTCAAGATCGTCGCGGGGATTGGTGTTTCGCTCCTGGAGAACGACGAAATATAGTTTTGTATCTTTGTACATGATCAACGTTGAGCCTCTCTCCACTTGGGTTTTATTTTGACGGCACGCTTGCTAAAGGACAGGTTGGGAATCAACGACCTGCATTAGGAATACCTAAGTGAAAACGAAAACGTATGCCAATGGGTCGTGTCGTCTCTGCGGTAACAAATGAAAGAAACACGTTTACGGTATGGGGTATATGGGGAGAGGAGTTTATGGATCTTTTTACGTAGAAGCCCAACTGGCTCGAGAAAAAAAATGGAAAAAAAGATGACAGCATCGTCGAATGATTCGATACGAAGTAAAGGCGGGAATCATCCGATGGTCCACAAAAGACGTATATGTATAATCTAAGTTGTTGCGCCCGTATAGAAGATCTCATCAAATCGAGTTTTGGGTATTGAACTTGCTCTGACATGTCAAGAGTTAATTGGTATGAAAGGGGGCAAGGGGGGTGGTCCAAAATTTCAACAAACGACAACGACAACGAAGGCCGTGAGAATTTTTTTTTCTCGTCGCCTTCCAGAATAAACAAGAAGCCCCATATCTTGATTTGAACTAGCTATGGAGCCAAGAGCAAGTAAATGTTACGTACTGTAGTACTGTAGTGATCGACGACGCTGCATGCCCTTAGCCGAGAGGATATGAAAGGGTGGAACACAACGCGAGCTTCACAAAAAGCACGGTATTATTTACACTGTCTCACTTATTAAATCGAAATCGGGCATTATTTCCTATTGCTTACATATCCGTCGAATCGAGAGAGAATCCGTCAGCCTTGCGATCGCTCTTCTGTGATGCCCTGTCACCGGTCGAAGATTTTTTCTCTCTTTTTCTTGCGCTTTTACTAATGTTGCTAGAATGTTACATTTGTTATACGCGCTTCGATCATCCCGAGTGGCAAAATGTCGAGGTTATCTCCAAAAGATGTACGTAGTCGTTACGCTGCGAGGCAGGCCAGCCGGGGAAGGCATGAAAATGCACACACCATTCTGCGGCGAAGTAGATACAGACGCCTGCAGCAATAGCATAAAAGACTCACCTCGAACCGCATCCGGCGGGATGACGGGTATCTACCTGTTCGACGGGAGGGCCATCTCGTCTTCTAATATGCCAATTAGCACATGAGTCTAGTATACCCTGGGAATAGAGCTATGCGTAGGTAGTGTGCGTAGTAGATGGCCAAGGCATCAAGATAGGACGGTGCAGGATAGGGTTGCTTTTAATGCAATTTGCAGTCAAATACAGTAAGTAGACGCGCCGATCGTGACGCTAAAGTAAGAAGACCATTGAATGGATTCCTGCACGATTACTTCGTATAGTTATACCTAGTAGTCAGTATAATACGGTTCGAAGATAGACAAAGGTCACTAATAAGATTTTCCCCTCCCCTTTTCGAGGGTTCTTGAGACTGTTAGGATCTGGACAAGATTTTATAGATAGATACCATTATGGGAAAGTCAAATAGCAAGAAACAATAGGTATGAGAAACACGGGATTGTCTCATCGAAGAGGGCGAGTTGCATTGTGAGCCGTCGTAAAGGAGGGCCGTTGTCGGAGCTCTTATCTGACCTGAAGATTTCATATCTGATCTCTTGCCGTATTGAGAAGGCTGTTCACTTTAAATCCTGCATTGGTGCGAAGTTTGGTGCATCCTTTTTTTCACGGTTATCTAGAATGTCTTAAAAAGTTTGGGGTCGGCCGTGGGATGGGAAACATAATAATATAATACGAAGATGCGCCCAGTCGCAAAACAAGGAAGGCGAGAGAATGCGGTGTAGTGTATGGATTAGTATGGATATGATATGGACAGGAACAACAAAAAAAGTTTGTCTGGAGCGTTTCCAAGGCTTTAAAGGATGTAAGATAGTGAGGTCTAGACTGAAACTGTGGCTGGGCATGTAGATCAGATTTTTGATCTGGGACGATGATCGTGCAACCCGGCATGGCAGAAGTCCAGGCCAGACCAAACTCGGGTATATCGGGAGTACCGTTGAGCGGACCTGGGTAAGTTATCATGGTAGCTGACAGGGATGTGAGAATTTATCACAAACAAACTTACTTCATATTCGTTTTCGATATCGCCATAAAGTCGCCAAGTAACGTAGTGTTGTGTCCGAGTGTACATAGTGTATGTACGAAACTTTTCTCTCTTACACCAAGAATTAGTTTAATTTGCCATCGCCATATTCCCCCATTCGTCTAACTCCATACCCCGGACCTTTACTGGGACTTGTCTCTTCCCGAGTTTGGGATTGCGGCGCTTGTTCAGCTCCTTTTTAGTACCCCCAGTCGAACGAACAAGGTCTAGGTTATAGAGCTTTGACCGGATTGTGGCCTGGTCTAGAGATTACGGCTTGGTATGGGTTAGCAGGGATATCGACGTGCATTAAAGCCATTGTAGTGTAGTTCGGTAGAGCCAGGATTATATTCGCCATCGACGAATCAGGAGACGTTGCGCCAGCGTTGAATCCGTAGTGTACTGTGGAATCTCAACATTCCTTACCTATAGCGTATTTCTCTTACCGACCTTGAAGGACCACGATAACGAAGCGCCCAGGAGAGCAGCCATCTTGGTAAAACACATGCAAATATACCTATGCACGTAGCAACCGCCGGCGCCGCGTAACCGCTAAGACGCGAGATACGGAATAGCGAAATTACGAAGTCGCGTCGACGAATTTTCCCTACCTAGTGTTATTAAGCTAGTAGTATTGCGCCTTTTTATGTTGAAGTTTAAGCGAGAGAGGCTCTGCTGTGTCCACCAAAGGAACACGGGTGGTTCACATCGTCGCAGACCATAACCCTGTAACAAGAACGAATATAATATAATATAAATGCTTGTCTCTTTTGGAGGACAAGGCACAGTGGAACGAGAAGAATTAGAGATGGGGATCCGAGCCCGCCGACGCCCCCTTTTTAAACGTCCTGAGATGCAGATGGTGTACCCGGGTATATGCATGAGTGATAGGATGGTTGGGTTTTGCTATTGGTGATGAAGAAATGTTGCCAATGTATAAGGCGAAGCCTTACGGCTGCATGCCTGCCGCCGAGCTAGCCGTGCTGTTTACTCGATAGAGAAAAGATTTGATATATGAGGTACCTTAGGTTAGGTCTAAGTAGTTAATTAATTGTTTTAACTGTGATATTTTATTTATGTTTTTATATTGTCCCGAAAAATGGTTCTTGTTTTTTTCCTTATTAATTCCCGTTCCATTCCCCATTTCCCTATACCTAGTCACACATGAGCAGTTACCTGCATTAATCCGTAGCTACGAATATGTTACATTAAATAAGATATCTAAACTGATGTGCTTAGTTGGAGCTACATACCAGGTACCTAAGGTATTGTAACCTACAGCCCGCATTTCAAGTAGCACGACTGAATGCAGGGACTTCCAGTGATGATGTACCACCACACAGTACCATTGGCTAACAAATCAGAAAGATAGCCGACCTACCTACATAGTAAGTGGTGTGATATTGCCATGAATTATCTAAAGAACCGTCAAAGGCTGAACTACGTAGTAGGTTTCGTGATTGATAACGGTCCCGTCTTGTTTAGTTTGATACTACGGTCTGCCAACTTAGTATCCCGCATGCTAATGATTAATATCATGACTCTGATAGCTGATAGGTGTTAGCTAGATATTCCCGATCGAACAACTCTGATATAATAGGTAAATATAATAGGTAGGTAGTGGGAATTCGAATTTTAGAATGCCGTAGTTATATGATGTTGTCATGGAGACCTATACGTATGAGCTGTTCTTTAGAGACTTTCTTACACTTCCCATTTCACGTGAAGCACGGTTTAATACTATCTATTGGTGATTACACTGCATCGATGAAACGCAACTCGCAAAGATCGACAGCTAGGAAAGGTCTTTCAGTCCATCCCGGTGGCCGGTCTTGAAGCGGGGCGACGGCTTAGGAGTATGTAGAGGTTAAAGTTCCGCGCGTTCCTGGGCTCATACCTCCCCCTTCCTATCTCAAGGTTTAGCGAACCTCGTTGAGACGGTTCGAGCTTGTCAGATAAACTATAACGGGAAAGAAGGCTGCGAAGCGTGACGAAGTGTGAGCGGGAAAGCGACAGGGATGGGGACGTCGACGGGTAGTAAAATGACACCAGGTACCTAACATAGCACAATAGTAATAAGCTTTCCGTTTCCGCCTACACGCGCAACAGAGTTAGGTCTAGGTATGTAAATGGGAATGTGGCATGTGGCATGTAGCATATAGCATGTCCGGGTATGGGTATGTAAGCAGCATTTCCTGAATCTCTCATCAACCGGGTATTTGACTTCTCCGCGGTCATCTTTGAGATTGCGGCTTGCTCGCTTTCGGTACCTAACAGATGGCTGTGCATAGAATAGACATTACCAAAGAGCGATTTACCCTTTCGATGGCGGCCGATGGACGCCAAAGCTTAACGACAGCTAATTTCTTCGACACACAGACGCCTCAATCAAAATCTCCGTGAAACAGCTTAGTTTCCCGTCCAATGATATCGTCCGAGCGTTTCTTCGTACGACCGTACATCGGTTTAGAAAGTTCAGATATAGTTGGCTTAGGCGTTACCTATCAAACTCGTGCGACTTGTGCAGCTCGTGGTCGCCACACCACGCATTTGTTGTCTCTTGTAGTTTTCTCATTGTCTCAAGTCCTCCCGACCTGTAAAGAAATAAAAATAAAAAGTGTGTGTGTGTGTGCGTGTATGTGTATGTGTGACGGCAACAGAAGATTCCCCTCGAGAATCTGCTTATTGATCAATTAAGCAATTGATAACGAGGAGACACATAGCCGTCCGGGTTTTTTTTTATTGGCTTTGATCATTGCCATTTAATAAATAAGTTGCATGATCCTGCTGCAGTCCCAGCGCCTTCTACGCCTCCTCTTCCCATCCGCTGATACACGGAACACACCTGATGCAGTTGCAGGTGGCAGGTATTTTACTCACCGGGCTTCGTGCTCATTGCATGGCGCATTGCGTATGCGAAAACGGTTGGGATTAATCGTTCGTGATTGGATTGACTGGATTGACCAATGCCCGAAACGCAAGGAGTTGGCCAAGGATGTAGGTATATATTTTTTTTCTTCTTAGTCCTCTTTCCATCCCTCAAACGACGTCATCGTACAACGAATACCTAGGTACTTCACGCCATCTACTAAAATAAATACATACCTAAGGTACCTAGGCAGGTATCTTTGGCCATTTCTGGACTAAGCGTCTTTCTGGGCTTGCGCGAGAAGTTATCCCTACTAGTGCCTACTTGGCTTTAGCTTTGTAGGAGGCTCCCACCCTCCTTCACCTCCCATCCTTGATTAGGTATCCTTAAACCTTGCTAGTGCACGGAAATATACCTACGTAGCTATTTTCCTTAGGCTCCCACAGGTAAGACCGTGCTACCGTACTGTATTGTACCTTACAAGAATAAAAATAAAATAAAAAAAGGTCGGATGGCGTTTCTCGTCTGTTGGCCGTGTAAAGATAGGGTATCTAACCTCTCTCACTCACACTCCCTTTCGAGTAGTCCCTCTAACATAAATACCTACCTACCTATTAGGTATGTACCTAATGTAAGGCAAATATGTGTAAGGTATGTATGCTTCCATTTTCTGCAGATGGGCCCATCGTCGTTTGATGCTATTTTCTAGATACGGGGCCCCATACGTGGATGTGCGAGTCCTAAATGCATTTCGCCTACTATGTGACTATGTCTATGTGGGACTTGTTTATATATATATATACGGCTCTGGGTGTTGGTTAGGTGTGTGATGTGATATTTGTTAGTAGGAGTAGTTTTTAGTACAAGGTAGGTTAGGTACCTGTCAGGTAGTTAGCTACCTGTTAGTAGTGCAATAAGTAAAATTCAAGCTCGCAGTTCCAGGGAAACGTTTTGGTATCTAATCAGAGTAAGCCGGTAGGCCGGCCCCCGGCGGCGAGAGCTAAAATCTTGGAAATACCCAGTTTACAGCTATGTACTGACACCCCGTCCTGTTGATATTATAAAACGTATTACATAGTAATATCGTCAGTCACCGTCAGCATAAGCCGCAAAGGCCCTCTTTTTAGGTCCTCTTAAAGATAGGCGCTCTGCAGAACTTCCCAAAATATTCCTTCGTCGGGTTCTCGAATAACTCTTCCCTTTTCCCCCTTTTCCCTCTTTTCTTTTTTGTGTGTGTTTTTTCTTCTATTTCCATAATTTTTTTTTCTCTCCCTTTCTTCAATAATCGTATATCACGTGGTAAGGATACGATTCTAGAAACTCCCGTACAGCCGAATCATGGCGTTTCTTTGGTAGACCTCTGTTCATTGTATGGGCGTTGTTATGGGGATCATGCGTTGAAAGCTGATGCAATTCTACCCAAGTACGATAACGACCCACGAATTTTCTTTTTCCTTACTGCGGCTTATGGCTAGGCCCTTGCACAGTACGTGTTCAATAAATCACTCTGTGGGCCAGAATAGTGTATTTTTAATGGTGTTATCAATCCATTGGCCCCTGTCTCTTGAATATGTGAATGTAATTGGCCCAATACTAGGAACCCCTCCCCTCCTTGTTGTTCGTGGCCCATGCTCCTGCCATCGAAAACGTCGACTATCGCCCCATTAATAATACTTTGCGGGCATAGCGGTGCATATGGATTGCATAGGTCATAGGTAGCAGGTAGCAGGCAAAACAAAAAAGCTTGCTGGGCAGCTGCTGGGGTTGTCTCAAGAAGTTCAGAGGAAGTCAAGCCCGGCTAGCCCAGTCAGTTAAGTGGGTACTAAAGAGAAAAAAAAAAAAAAAAAAAGACAGTCACCGTGCCCGCAAAGTTAGCGTTGCTACTGTATTGTTGTTACCTATCACTGCTCGTAGTTACCCCCGTCGCCCCAACAGTAAAGCAGCATAGTGGATGAATGTGGCCACCGGGGATCGAATACTACTACTAATACAAGGTATACATTTAGTACATATGTAAACATGAGCTAAGTTACCAGCCCACAACTTCTTCCTCCGTTCGCCGCCGAGTTTTTGTCTCTTCACTCACCACCTCCCCCCTTCCTACTTCCTACAGTTCAAAGGCAGGCCTAGGATTGTAGATACTATCGTCCGCAATTCCTACATCCTTCTCTATTTGCCATTCGATAATCGGACAAGAGAAGTTGAAAAGAAAAGAGCCGCTGCCTTAGTTATTCTGTGGATTTTGTGGATTTGGATCTGGACCGCTTAACAACAAATCGTCGAACCCCGTCATAACCTTTTCGAGTCTATTCCGTCATATTTGCGACTCACAGCTGTAGCCTCGAGTCAACCAACTTCCAGGAACCTACCACGGGGAATAAGAAGCTGACAGAGATCACGGTACGTATACTTGTTGGTCTGGATTTCGAGAAAGACAAAGCCGATTAAACGTAACAAAGACCGATCTTCCAAAACCCGCCATTTCCACCGATACCTACTATTAAATCTCACTGATCAACAACAATCGCCCTGCCTGGCCTTTGTGACGGACATTCCAATACCGCCAACAACCTTCTTGTTTTTCCGATTTTTCGAGGATTTTTTTTTTTCTCTGTGTTGCCGCCCGGGCCATCATTTATATCATTTATATAGCATCCATTCTCCTTCGTCCGCCAAGGCAGTGCTATATAGCAGCAGTTCAGAGTCTCCCCAGCAGTGGTCATCCTTAGTCGATAAGTCGTTGTTGAGTACGCCGAGAAGAGTTTAGCATTGCTGCTGGAATATTGCCTTTGCATATCCTCTATTCGCTTTACTTCGACGACTTGAGACTTGGGACGATTTTATCTATGGGCGTTTTGTGAGCAGTTTATTCTGTTTGCCTGCCTTGGGTTGTGCGTTGTAAGTCAAATTTCCATGTATACTATACCAGCAATTATTCCCCCATTCCGATATATCAGCCTTCCAGCTCCGACACTATCCCTGTGTACCCCGTGGGGAGATGTATCCAACTTCAATGTTGGATAAAAGATGGGTTAGGTATGCGAGATATCATTCCTAGGCGCCGTCACCTCTGACAACGCCACGAACTTGATGAGATCTCACATTCCTTAGGATTTTCTCCCGACATTTCTTTTTCTGTGATATCAGTCTTATGTTAAAAGCAGCCGACGCTGTCTCTTCATCTCATTGTCCATTGTATTTTCTTCCTGTTGGAAAGACTGGGTGGCCAGGAATCGAAGATTGCTGCTCCAAAGAATACTTTTTACCATGGACGCTTGTATCAAGACCAACAATGCTAACATATACTCTCTCCTTGCTAGGTTTCTGCAAGTGCCCAACCGGTCTTTCAAACGCAGAGGTCGTCGGCACTAATACCTCTGCTGTTGGGTCTGATTCGTGGCTCGAAGTCTGGACGAGGAGACTTTTCCCTTGTCTACCTCAATTAAACCCTACCATTCCCCAATCTAACAGCGTCGAGTCTGCGGATTCCCATCCATCTACCCTTCTAATACTACCTCAGCAACATCCCAAATCTTTCAAGATGCCTTACACACCGCCCTCCCACCGTTCTCCCGCCTCTTCAGTGCCCCCTTCTCCCGATGTCAGTCGAAGATCATCCTTGACCCTACAAAGCCCGAATTCGCCACGACCTGCCTTACCTCGGTCCGCTTCTTATCTTACTAGAACCCGAAGGGCATCTTCGATTAGTAGTATAACTGCGGCTGCACCACGTCCAGCTGTAGATGGTCCTACTCCGGATACCAGTCCTTCGGGAACTTCAGCCAATCTAAAGGGTATGGTAGCTTTCCAAGGGACTGCAGTCAGGCAATCCCCACCACCGGTCGCTGATGTACAGGCTATGCCACCGGGGGCTATTATCTCACCTCCAGAGTCGTCTAGTGAAGATGAGGCGTCTGCTGAATTGAAAAAGCGAGGACGGGAAATCGAAAACATGAAGGAACTGAAGGAAGCTATTAGCTCGATACCACAGCGCCGCTCGACATCGCCGGTTAGATCCTCGCCTGGTGACCTCCTGCTGTCGCCGTCACAGGTTAAAGAATTCACTGGAGAATCGCGCCAAGCACTTCTTACAGCTAGTCTACCTGCGATCAACACCGGAACCCGTAAGATTTCTCATTCAAGGTCTAATACGGACTCTCATATCTATATGTCAAAGTCAGCGGATGGGTCTATAAGCACATCCGAGGAAGGGTCTGAGCAAGATGAACCGTTCAAGAAGCCGCAGATGGTACGGAAGAAGTCCGGCGAGCTAGTCCGGCCGGCGTTAAGGCCACACAAAAGGCCGTCCAGCATGCCCGGAACGCCAACCTTTTCGAAAGCTGTCCACTTTGACTCGCACCTTGAGCATGTACGTCATTTTCTACAAGTTGACCGGCCGCTCGCAGTCAGTGCCGGCACTTCTCCAACGGATAACTACGAAAGCGATAGCGAATACCCCTTCGGAATTGAGAAAAAGAGCTCGCGACCAGCATCGTTTGAGTGGGAACTTGTCGTGAACAACTTCCCCGTGGAGACGCCGACACGCAAGGCACTTCCTGTCCGGCTGGAGAGAGTGTGGATGTCGCCTGACCAGAAGTCCCTCATCGGATCGATAGCCGTAGCCAACCTCGCCTTTCACAAGTCGGTAGTATGCAGATTCACATTTGACTACTGGAAAACAACTTCCGAGGTAGCTGCAGAGTTCCATCACGAAATTCGCCCTCGCGATTCTAAACCTGGTTATGATCAATTTCAGTTCAGCCTCAAACTGTCCGATTTCGCCCATCTTGAAGCCAAGACGTTGTTCTTCTGTATTAGATACATCGTCAACGGTGTCGAGTATTGGGATAACAACGACAGCACCAACTTCCAGGTCGAATTCCGTACGAAGGTGGTCGGGGCAAATGGCAAGAAGGGCGTCCAGTCTACGTCTTCTCGCCCTGCCAACGGTCTACCACGTAGCACTCGACGAGCTAACCCTTCAACAGCAGCTCGTCCAAGATCCATGCCTGCTGGTGCGTTTGATGATTTTGGGCATGATGACGATGACGACGAGAAATTCCGCAGCTTCGACAGGCCCCTCCATGAAGTACTTGGAGAGTCTGGGCCTGCCGGTCTGCGGCTTAAGGGTTCGAAATCGACGAGTAATCTCCCTAGCGACAACTTGTCGGCTCGACTGTCGGCCCCGAGTGGACAGGCTTTTGCCAATCGGTACGACTTCGGGGCTTCACTCACTGCCGCCAAACAGGCGCACCGGGAGTCTAGCCAACGGAGTGATGGCTTGTATATGAAGCCCAATAAGAGAGCTTCATTCAATGCTTCCCCCGCCGCTCAGACGCCCAAATCATCTCAGCCCAATCGGGCCCCGACCGGGTCTTCATCTGCTCCATTTGGACCACACGTATCCAGCCATGGTTCTCCTTCCTCGGCCAGCATAGCGTCGGCCTCGTACGAAGAAATCCTCAACAAATACTGCTTTGTACGTATACCTGGTAATATCCTGGCCTCGCATCGAAACGAGAACTACGCCCGGAGACATGAAGTTTTGTAAGATTTTGACTAACGTTTCTGATGCAGTTCAACGGCACAAAGCAGTCAAGCCCCAACATGAGAGACGGAATCTCGCGGGGTGGTCGATATGATGGCATGGATGACATGTTAACTCCTGGGTCGAACAGTACCAACTCGAGTTCTAATGGCAGCCCAAATATTGGTGACCAGTCGTATCATCATCATCATCATTCCGCGATCCACCACTCTCTACGACAGAACCTTAACCCGTACTTTGGTACTGGGTATATGTCAGCTATTGGTGCTTCTCCAGCGGAATCTCCGCTGTCGCAGCAGCCGACTAGTACCAGTACCCCTACGGGTAATGTGACATCTCCAGGTTCGATGGCTGGCTTTTTTCCCCTTGCTGGTACGTCAACATTCAAGTTCCCCGCCGACCCAATCCCATTCCTCGCCCACAATGCTCAAAATCGTTTCCCTTCCTCTTTAACAGACGCTCATACTACGACAGCAATCAAAAGTTAAATGAATGAACCTATATGGAACCAAGTTTTATCCCTTTAAAGACCGTCCCCTCGACGGCCTTAGAAGAGCTGTGGGTGTCTATAGTTCTTCCCGCCCAATCCTGATTTTGACGATCCTCTTCGACCTATTTACCGAAACCGAAGATTGCAGTTTCCCGACACTACATGGATTGATGTTGATAACGCGCCACGATCGTCATTTGTTATATTTATATTTACGCTTCACGCCTTTCTCGGTATATACGACCTATATCTTCTTTTCTTTTTCTTATCTTTTTTTTTCTTTTTCGAATGGCGTTTCAGGTTTAGCATAACGGCGTTTATGGTGTCGGTGAGTGGCGTTTATGATACCACCGAGCACACGGGACGGTTGGAAAATGGCCACGTGCCTTTGGAAACCGGCCGGCGTTCACGGCTTACGGTTTTCGCCGTGGAATTTGTGGCCTCGATGAGAAGCAGGTCGGGGCCTAATGCATAATTCTTTTATACCACTACACGACGCCCGTGCCAATTTCATTCCTACCTCGGCGGTAATGCGGAGGGAAATTGAGAAAGTCAAAGGGGTAAAGAGGAGGTGGAGTAGGCTTCGAAGAATGAAGAAGCATCGGCATTGCTATCACGGCATATTAGGTCATGGATGAATTTTCGTTTGTGACAGGATAGAAGGGAAACTGTGGCTAGGTTGGGCTAAGGTATATTGCTATAACACAGCAATCAAATACGTTAGATTTCGCCTTGCAAACCATTGGTTTTATAAGCGACATCGTGTTGAGTACGTCGTAGCTGTGGCGTGTTAGTGTTCGGCTGTGTTCGAGCTAGGATGAGCTATGATGCTTATCCTGTGGCGCGCATAGCTGCCGACGTCTAAGCTATCGGGACGTACCGATTTTTGTACTATCTTAATAAGGAAAAAGGTATTGGAGATGATAATGGGCCCGGGAGATTTCTGGAGATTTTTAGCGACATTGGATTGGATGTACAAAGGAGTGATAAAAATGGATACACGAATTAGGTTTACGTGGGAGTACTCGGTTGGTCAGCCCAGCAGCACAAGAATTTGGGACAGATAAAAAAGCTAGGATACCTTTGGAATAGAATTTTGACTATCTCACTTTTTTTTTTTTTTTTGCTTGTTCTTTGTGTTGTATCGTGAAGTTTTTAGTAAGAGATTGATGCCGATATCCACATCTTAGTCGAAGCCTAATGCATATTGAGATGCGCTAGATGATTTTTTCCAGGCTACTTGGGTTGGATAAATGTGCAATGGTTGCTCGGTGAATTAGGGGGAAAAAAAAAAGGAGAGGGAGAGGGTTAATTTCATGAACAGTGTTGTCGATGCTCACTTTTCAAGGAGAGAGTTATATCTCCCTTTCTCATAACCTGTATCGCTCACTGGCAGGAAACAGCCGAAGAGGGATTTGAGTAATACCAACTTACATACTACTTCATAGCAGACATCTACGGGTGAAAGAGGAAGGCATTCCTAGGTATCTAATGTTAGGTTAGGTAGGTTAGGTAGGTAGCCAAGCTAATATACATCTCTATATCTCTATATACCTCTTATATATACTGCAGTTAAGTTATAGGTATTTACGTAAGGTATGTACTAGCTTATCTACTCGGTCGGCGTGTACCCCTTCGGCGGGTGCTGTCCGTCGGGAGTTTCCAAGTCCGAAGTGTAATAGACCGGAGCCGAGCTTCCCTGCCAGGCCGCCTTGATGCTGGGCAGGATGGTGCGGTTGTGCAGGCCGGTGGCGTCGACGAGGTTGGGGGCCGGGTAGCGCTTGTTGCCGCCCTCGTCGTTGAGCGCGCCGGCGTACGAGTAGTTGAAGTACATGTCGGCGAGGGGGACGTCGCCGGACCAGGAGCGGACGGTGTCACCAGTCTTGTCGGCGACGAATTTGAACACGTTGGCCCCGACGTCGAAGCGGCCCAGCGTGTGCAGGTCCCAGTTGGCCTCGGCGGTCGCGATCTCGCTGTAGTGGTTGTAGTACGAGTCGTCCGTGGTGCCGACGAGGTCCGCGGGCACGGCGTCGCCGATGAGGATCGCCAAGATCCGGTTCTGGATCGAGTACGTCTCGTTCTCGTCGAACGTTACGATCACCAGCGTGTTCTGCATAAACCGCTTGTCCGAGAGCAGCGGCTCCAGGAAGGTCCGCGTCCAGGTCCCCGAGACGGTCACGTCCGTGTCGTGGCCGTCGCTCGTCATGTTAGGCGTTATGAACATCCACTGCGGTAGGGTCTCATTTTCGAGGTCTTCGTAGAATGCTGGAGCAACAGAGGAATTAGGAATTGTGCGCTCATGGATTCTCAAGGGTTTTCCTAGGGATTTGATTTACTTACTTGTCAGGTTTTTGATAACTGCCAATCGATCAATCAGGCCGGCATTCGAGTTGTAATTGACGGCCGGATTGTGCTTCCGGACATAGTCGTTTTTGCCGTTCTTCTGGTTGACGTACGCCATGCCTTCAAAGCCGCTGTACGGCATGTCTTCTTGGTACTCGCCCCATGAGATTCCCTTGTCCTCGAGCAGGTCGATAATAGTAGAAACGTTCTTGTCAATCTGCGTGAAGTCATCGTGCTGCATCCCGAAGTAGTCGCCGCCGATAGAGGCGACATAGTTCGGCTGCGAGGGGTGGGTGACTGCGTGGTAGTTGGAGAGCGTTATGCCTCGCTTGGCTAACCACGCCAGGTTTGCTGTGATGAGGTTAGTCATCGTTATTCTAGTTTTCTTTTGCGCACTCTTGTGATTAAGTGACTTACGATCGCCGATCGCCATGTCGTAGTCTGTGTTCTCTAGCCATATGATGGCGAGTCTGTCGAAGGCCTTCCCTTTGACATGGCTAGTAGGGCTCAGGGTCTTCGCCGTAGCTCTAGCTTTTGCGACGTCGCAGGTCGCCGTCGCGGTGTATTGGTTCTCTGCTTGAGCGGCGACGCTGGTCGCGAAGATCGCAGCCGAGAAAATGAGGGGATGCATGATTCCGGGCTTCACGATACGAATTTCGAAGCGTAGAGTAGTCGAAAATCAAGGAATTCTTTCACCACGGTACAACGAAGGTCGCAAGCCCAGAATGACAAGGCTAGACGTCGGCGACACCACCAGTGCAATGGGAATCTACTCCTACCAAACGAGCCTTTTGAATGAGCGATACTCTGAGTACCGCTCACACATGGCCATCGGTCGTTATAACCATTGGCGGATAACCAGGGTCCCTTGGTAGAGAGGCCGAGTTCCATTATTCGGAGTAGGGTTACATTAGCCTCTTCTACTTTGGAAGGTGGCCTTATCGTCGCCTGCATACTACTAGTGTATGTAGACCCTGGAATTCTCAGCTACTACTATACTATACTACTATAGTACGTATGTATGTAGATAGAAGGTATCCACTCCATTATGGTTTGTTATTCGGCGGTATTTGCAAGTCTCGGTCTAAGGTCTGCTCAAACAAGAAAGCTTCAAGAGCAGTATGAATTCCAGTTTTCTGTGTCAAGTTGATGCTCATGATCATGGTCATGATCTACTGTATATCTCTTCCAAAAGCCTAAACTTAATTATAATCATAATGATTCATCGTACGTAATACAAGCTGTCTTTCATGCATCCATGGGAATGAAGATATGCTTAAAGCTTGTTCCGTATTACAAGACAGAAATTTCAAGCATTAAGCGGCACGGGCGAGCCGAACACGTGTAGTCTTGGAAGGCCAAGCATTGGATGTCAAGATACGGACCCCTGTTACCTTGTCGCCTTCTTCCCGAAAAAGAAACCGGTGACAACGCGCTATACTTTACTTGTACATCACCGAAATCCCAATCCATTAGCTAGACGATGTGCTTATTCCCTTCTCGATGATTGGCCGCCTTTATCATTACCTTCCCGCACTTTCGACGATAACTTGGACTGCAACTGCTTTCTATTATCTAAAAGTAGGTTAGCAATGTACGTAACTCACATGCAGAGAACTTGCGGATTACAAGGTTCGATGTTACTTATGAAGGGTTGGGTTAAAGTAGGCACGACATTGTAGTACCTGTTAACCAACTGCATCATGTAGGACAGCGTCCGAAGTATTGTTGTCTCTCTCTTAGAATATGCACGACGCGTAAATATCCTCAACTTTAAAGAGGTGACATCAAGTATTGTTTTAACAAGAATTGACTATTACTTCCAAGTCGTATCGCCTACTTATAACTTAAGTGAACATGCAGCTTGCGGATATTAAAGCATTTCTCGTTGGTCATGGTCAACCACACCGGAAGAGCCAAAAGACCCTACAGACCTATTCTATCTTATTCTCAAATCCGGAGAGCTTCATTGACGCCCCAACAAGTACCGAGAGCACGAGCGATGATCCTAGCTTTGATAGCCTTCGGTTGGACCACCAGCGGATTTCATCTTCGGGTCGCCTCTCCGAGTTCCTTTCCCACTTCACCTTGGGGTTCGCCGATGGGCTCACGGTTCCCTTCGCGCTGACGGCCGGCCTGTCGTCCCTAGGCCACACTAAGACGGTCATCTACGCCGGGATGGCCGAAATCTGCGCGGGGTGCATTAGCATGGGCATCAGCGGGTATCTCGCGGCGAAAGGGGACGCGGCAGCGAAGACTCGAGAGCGCGGCGAGGATCTCGTGCTGGCTGGCAGAGATAACATCTGCGAATATCTAGCTCCGCTGGAACTTCCGCCTGATCTTCTCCGGTGCGTGAACGCTCACATCGATTATAACCCTGCTGTGTCGAGACGCCTGCTGTCCCACTTGAACTCGGCTGCCGACGGTTTGACGTGTATGACCAAGGCGTTCCCGCCGATCGTGGTTGGACTATCGGTATCTGTCGGGTACGTGCTTGGCGGCCTGCTGCCGATGTTCCCGTACTTCTTCGTTAGCGAAGTCGCCGACGGTCTGCGGTGGAGCTTTGCCGTCTGCATTCTGTCCTTGTTTGTCTTCGGGTTCGCCAAGGATTATCTTCTGCACAACGAACCCGCGAAAAGGAGTTGGCAATACGGTGATGAAGGAAGGGGCCCGGTCTCGTGGGACAGGATGAAGAAAGGCTTCTGGGAAGGAATGCGAATGGTCGTTATGGGAGGTATTGCCGCCGTGGCGGCTGTTCTATGTGTCAGACTCTTCGAGGATATGGTGCCGTAAACCATGATATCATCCCTAGCAAACATTGTATGACCCCATCACTATATCACGTTGTTGTATCCTTTCCTGGGCCTCTTAGATAATAACCTGAGTCATAAGATGGCCTAGACTTGGCAGTTCGTTTGTCACCGAAATGCCCTGAGTTGTTGTTAGAGTAGCTGTGCCCCTGGTGGTATCTCTTTGGGACAAGGACTTGAATTTTCAGGAACTACCTATTGCATGACACCGGGGGGAGATCCGCCGCCACCCATCATTGGCGGAGGTCCTCCACGGCCCGGCAACCCATGTCCCATCATCGGAGGAGGCCCGCCGTGACCGGGAGGGAACCCCATATTCATATTCGGCGGCATGCCTTGTCCCATTCCATTCTCGGGATGTTGTGGCGGCCATCCTCCCGCGACCGGCAGCGGCATCCCTGGCATCGGTGGACCGGGGACTGGTGTTTGTTGGTCCCATTGCTCACCCATCTCGCTTGCTACCGATCCGATACTACTATCGTTTCGAGACGAGACGTTCGATGTCCCTGAGCTGCTAGAGCTGCCTTTGCTTGTGCAACTTGATCCATTCCGTCTACTTGAGCGCTTTCGGCTACGGCCGTTGGGACCACCTTGACGGATACCACCTTATTAGTCTATTGATGCCTACCTCATCTGTATTACTATAAAGATTCGGGAATAAACTTACTCCTTCGATAACAGACCCAAGAAATCAGCATCAGTACTAATACCACGACGACGCCGCTGAGGATAGCGCCCACGTTTTGGCTGCTCGCCGAACCCGCGTCTTGCGCGGGGACAACAACCGTACCCGGAGACTGGGTCGTGTCCGAGCCGGTACCCAAAGTCCATGTCGTGATGAACGTCGAGGCAGGCCAGACTATTGTCTGCGTGCGGACCGACTCATCTTCAGCTTGTTGCGGATCTTCTGTAGTTGCTGCTACTACGTTCCCTTGATCTGCCATGGTGTTCGATGTTTTTGTCTTTTTTTCTCGCTCGGTCCCCGTGCAAAGCTTAGGTACCTGGAAAAGACAACCATACTAACTCTGAGACTGCCGGCTGAAAGAGCCTACGGATATAGACCTGGAACTGCCGTTTCGACTCGTGTAACGGAGCGAAACGCGTTTGTCGCGCAATACAAAACCGGTTTTTTGTGATGTTTGGCTGGTGATGGTGGATCGTGCGATGCCATGGTCGTTGATATGTTTCGCTTTACCGAGACATGCGCTGTGTGTCTACGTGTGTGCGTATGTGTAGCGGTAGGCATCGCGTAGCCTTTTCGCTCGGTGACTGCTACGTAGGTTGAGCATTTTCCCTCGTTGAATAGACCGGAGTCCTATCATGAACTTTCGCTGCTATCTTCGTTCCTATTAGTGGAATGTACGTTAGGTATGACTCCATTTTCTACCTACGTGGATACTTCCATTTGCCGGGGAGTGCGCCTGCAACGTCCCGAGGACCCCTTACGCCCATCCCATACGTGCGGCTAGGTCCCAAAGGTTAGGTGCCTGGTATTCAGGAGCTACAACATCAACACGGCGTCCCTTGGACGATAGATATCTTAATATGCAAGTGAACTGTCATTCTTCTACGACGACGGCGAAGAAAATTTGCTGCGAGGCCCTGCAAACAGCCGCTTTCCTAGTTTTCCTCCTGGCCTCCACGAGGCCGCATTTGAGCTTCGCTTACCAACATCTAATGTGTTTGATTGCCTCCAAGCGGTCTCCCATTAGCATCTAAAGTCTATTCCGGCCCCGCGCCACCACCCCCTTGGCTCGACGCATCTTGCCGGGCACTCCTAAGACATAAGGAGTCAGGTAAATTACCTCCGCCTGATCCTGCAGGTAGCCAGATCTCGGGAGGCGCGAACATACCCACGTCCCGGGCCGGTGTGTTCTTTTCTTCTTCCATTTTTTCTTTTCTTTTTCTTTAAGAAGAAAAGGAAGAAATTGAGAGACTACTACGAGTTCCGTCGCGGGCGCACAGCATCCGGCAGTTCGAGGCAATAATCTCGTGTTATGGGCGACTCCGACGCTTGTGTCCAAGCGGACTGTGTGTCGACTAGGAGCGAATGGGAATCTTTCTGGACCATCCCCTATTAAGGTACAATACCTACCTCCTTGGTAGGTCAGTAGATTCCTGCTGTCAGAGCACGGGACCGTGCAACTACCTTAGGTACCTACCTATCTAACCTCCTAGGTAACACATTGCTTCTCGACACACATACCCACCTGATGGATGACTTACCAACTGCAGTGCATTGATGCTTGTAAACGTTGCATTATAGTCCGCGTGTTTAAGGAACTTTCAACTAGGCAGAGATCCGATAGTTCGATCGAACCATTCATGAGCATTGGCTGGATTGACAGGGGGTTAGCTAGGATTCCTTGGCTGTCATGATAGCTCTCAAAGCCACGACACCACCGATGAGCAATTATAAGTGATGTTGTTTTTTTTTTTGAACGAGGGATTCACCTAACATAAAGTTTATTAGTTACCTAGATACCTATTTAACTTAAAGCTCATATAATATAGTATTCTAAGATACTTCATGGCTCTGTTTACCTAAGTGGTCTCGCACTTTATTATTCGGACTTCCCAGGCACGCGGGAACTTCTATTTTTGGGCACAGAGTATCATCGAAGCTAGGAAATTTGATTCCCTTGATCGTCATGGTTATAAGTTCCCCTAGCGAGGGTCTATTACCACATCAGGTTACTGCCCTTAGTATAAACTACAACCTGCGAACACAGGCGTCCTTGGTAGGAACTAAATCACCTAGTCAAAATGGTTTCATGGAAGTTTCTACTAATAATCTTACGTGCATAACGACGGGTAGGCAGAAGCATAACCTCAGAATAGAACATTAGACTATCGATTGTCCCGGTCCAATTATAGGCTAGATGTGCGGGACTGTCATTGAGTTACATTCTAAGTCATAGGGCCTGGAAGATCCTACGTGTCGGTGCAAGGTGAGCAGGGACTTGAACATGACGAAGGTCGCACGGACGCGGGTTGAAAGAGCACGGATGGTCCCACCATATTATCAGAAGGCCTTTGGCAGAAGTAGTTTATCGAGGGCTCAATAAGTCGTTCGTTGGTTAGTCCATGAAGGGTCGTGTCTGCAGTATAATATATTTAATCATCAAGAATCAGCAGCTGTACCTATTAGCTTATGTAGTTTGCGAAGGTGGGGAGTTGGTCACATAATCGTGAACGCCGCAAAAGTGAATAATGTTGTGTACTAGATGTTTCTAAGCTTATTAATTAGATATATAGGTGGTGTGGCCTAGTTTCAATACACCCCTTTAAGTAAGAATAGACGAGACTAGGCCGTAATACCAAGGCCGCGCTTTGCTTGCTACTCAGGCCACTGGACGTAAAGTAGCTGTCTACCTATTGACGGTTGCTTCACCACCAGGAATCGACTAAGAATCAGTGAGGGGCCAGATGGGGACTGGGAAGTAATTCATGGCCGTATGCCTTCACAATTGAGGTCATACATCTCGCAACGATGACACTTGTCAGGCATTGAATGAGTATACGTTTCGAGGACACAGCGCCGAGCCCAGCAGGGACCACTATGGTTGTTGCGCTTGATGCTGATGACCTTGTCACGGATATGACCGCAATGTGTTTCAAGGACAGGATGGCCACATGAATACACGATGTCAAACCTCGAGCAGTGCTGACCATCTCCAGTAGGAACTCTAAGGATTATACCATCTGCAGTTACTTCGGAAGCCATGTCGATGCGTGCCTTGTGATGATACTTGTACTTTGTGTAAAGATGACGGGAAGACCGACCAGAGGCTGGAGCATACGAACGATCAGACTTACGAGACAAGTTTTCAGCCGGCAGACGGAAGATTCGAATTCGTCCGGGATCAGATTCACGACCGATGCGTTTATCTGAGACCGCAAAGAATGCTAGGCGCTGTTTAATCGGGGTGATGGTCGCAGTTGATCTCCTACCTACCTAGGTAGTATCTGATAATTGCAGTCCTGGCTGTTAAGTACTAGAGAGGGTAAAACAAAGCCCGAATCTTGCTTATAAGGCACAATGGATATGACATCGTAGGAGGTATATAATGAGATCCTTGATATGGTAAAGGGAAAATGGAAAATGGGTTTGTTGATGATGGCCTTTATAATGTAACAATGCGGATTGCTAGTTGGTTGGAGTGTACAAAGATGGACCGGACTGAGAAGAGACGGTGACTTTTGTAAAAACCTTAGGAGGTACCTTCCATACCTTGGAGTAAATATTGTTTAGAGCTCAGCAGTTACCTATCACCTGGGCACCTTATGATGATACCTTAGGAGGTACGTAGGAGGTAGGTACCAGGTAGGTCTAGGTAGGTAACCTTGGGTTTATGTAACAAATGAATGAATGTTTGCAAAGATGTAACAGCCCGTTTGTACCCTTTCTGCTTTTGAATAAACCCCCCATGTCCGGGGCACTAGACAGGGATCCCATAGCCTGACTAACTAGCCCATGCGGCTTAGCGCAACATGGAACCAATCAGATCATCGCATCTTCAAAACTTTAATTCCACTCGATCCAGGCAACAGCATTTTGGACCTTTGCGATTCAAACTTCGGTCGCTGACGTTTAAAAAAGTTTGCCGATACATCTTATATGCCTATCAATGGGTCTTTGCACACACACATTGCGCCTAGGCACCGAAATTACCTACTTTCAACGCCGCGCTAATGTTCTTCGCACCAGCTCAAGGCAGCTAAATCACTTCTTCGTTTTCGGATGTTGGATGATACGAAGAGTTTCGTTTTGTATGTATATGCCTAGTCGTTTCCAACCTTCCACACACGCGGATGCGTACAATATGCCAAGGCTAGATTACTTACTTAACTCCTTTTTGAGGCCTAGTTGTCGTTGATGCTTCCTGTTTGCATCACCAATTCAAGTATCATTGGGATTCTCCCTTTTATTGAGTTCACGCCTTCAAGCTGCCGCTCTTTCAAATATATATAACTCCGTTAGGTGATGCTTCAATGCTTTGACGATCCCGGATCAGCATACCTGACATCTAACATGTTCATTAATCCTCTTCAACCGCCTAAACCTTCTTCTATACACCCGTAATTAGGCCTGCCGGTATTATGCCGAGGAGAGACGATCAACGTTCGAACTACTTGCGCTGACGTTATACCATCTAACATTTACCATCTACCGTTTACCATTTACCAACACGAGATCCATACCTCCCCATACCCCTTTGCCTATATCATTTCTACTGTTTCGAAGAATAAACTCACTTCAAAGGGTCGAGAGACTCATATTTATATAGTACACATAGACTATTTTCTAGATCAATAAATCGCTATCATGGAGTCGTTTTTCCCCCAAGGCGGCTTCCAGCTGCCTTTCCAGCGTCGGCTTAGTAGGCTCTACAATGATACCAAAAAGTCATCCGACTTTGTCAAAGAATCGGCTCCGCGTCCCGACGATCCCGATATAAAAGCTCTCCATCGCAAGCTGCGAATACAAAAGGACCGCTTGGTCAGCTGGGGTTTAGAATGGTCCGATCCGAACCAGGCTGCAGAGATTGATGAATCCTTATCTAAAGCAGGTCTGAGCGACCTTGTAGGCAGTATAATGGCCACTATCAAGGACATCCTCGCCGAGGCCGAACCTCTCTGGCTTGCTTCAAGGCAAGCTGTTGGGAGTGAAAAGAAGTCAGAAAAGGGGATGGGCGATCGAAAGGCTCCGTTAGTAGTTTGGGATAAAGGGAGGTTTGAAGATCTAGTTAAGGATTTAACTGCATCTATCGATACGCTTTGTGATCTTTCGCGAACGCGGTCTTCGGCCACAATATCGCGGGTTGCGGGGCAGTTTAAGCCTACCGCCTCTACTGAAGACCTAAGGCCTTTTAGTTCTACAAGAATCCGGACGCCCCAGCAAATTGACCTGCAGACACTCACAAGCTTAAGATCGCTGCAGCCTGCGTCCGTTTTGGAGGCAGAGAGAATACATAATCGACCACAAGAGATATTTTTTATTGGCAGGCAGGGCCATATCGAGTCAAGTCATCGACAAGGGCCACAAGTTTGGTCTCCTCTCCTCGTAGAATACGCGCCCTTCGACCCGATATATTCAGCAACCGGCATCATGCCCGACATGTCCCGGTTTGAGAAATTAAGTGCCGGCCTCCAAACTGATTCGCAAAGGTCTCCCGGTTCGTGGATTGGTCTTCCTCTCCTTCTGGGATATTACGAAGACATGAGACAATCTAGATTGGCATTGATCTATCAGTTTCCACCCGGTTTTAATCCAGTAACATTCGAGAACTTCACCCAGAACCCCCTCGATAATTTGTGCACACTAAAGGAGCTTCTCAACCGACCAGACTTCGAGCCGATGCTGGAGGCCAAATTCCGTCTTGCTCATAACTTGGTCAATACGGTATTTGACATGCACGCGAGAGGCATTACTCATGGAAATCTCAGCGCATCTTCCATAACCTTTTGCAATGCTAACGGTAACGACCCTGACTTGCCCGTGGGTGAGGTGGATGTCAGGAGACCTCTTGTGTCGTCCTTTGATATATTTCCGGAAGAAGATTTCCGTAATGAGCCCCCGTCTACTTTTCCATTGCATCGCCATCCCCTTGACCCGCGAACGACGACTCAATCTCCCCTTTCGTTAAAGGGTGACACAAGGACGCTGGACCTCTATTCATTAGCCACGATGCTTGTATCTATCGGTCTCTGGACTCAATTGGAGAACCTCGTTCCAGACCAAGGATCACCTTCCATACCAGAGTCCGTCTTGCGACAGCTCGCAATACGCTGCGGTACCCCATACATGAAGGCGGTTCAGATTTGTTGGGATGCAGTTGACCAAGAGCTCTCCCACCCCGGCTCTGCGGAAGAGATTTTGAGTCAAGTGCAAATAAGAGCGAGTCGCTATCTAGAAGCTTGTTGTATCTTGGACGGAATCAGTGGGCTAGACGAACGAATAAGCGAAGACCCGGGTAGATTTTCCGGAAGAGGAATGGTGACCGAATCTTTAGCAGGACCATCTGCTAGTTCTCAGTCCACTCATGGGTCAGGTCCTCAAGCACCATCGGAACCAGGAAGGATGGGAAGTGATACCAAACAGGCACCTGAACTAGACGAAAAGCCCGTTGAGAGTACAACGGGCCATCCAACGGATACGCGATCCAAACTTCGGCTTTATCCTCAAGTACCGTTATCAACCGAGGCAATTGAACAGTGGCATAGCATTCTCATGCCGCAAATCAACCTAGCCTTACGGCACTTCTATCGCAAGAATCCAGAGTCTGTCGAAATCTCCTTGGAGTCCATTGGCGAATCACCCCAGAAGACCAAGCCGACTGTCCTAGTTATATGCACCTCAGTGAGCACCGTTCGCGCTATATTAAAGAAAAAACTTGGTGTATTCTTTGATGGGTCAACAGGCTTTGCATTAAAGGTTTGCCGTGGATCTGTGGCACGCTCTAGGAAAGGACCTACAAGGAGTATGGCTAAGGACCAGCATTCGGCCTCCGCTGGTAATAACGATAATAAACTTGAAGACTACGCCGGTAATCCTGAAGCTGCCAATCCAGGATACCAAGAAATACCACAAAATGGAGCGAGCATAGGCGCCTGGATAGGTGACAAACACCTCCCTCCAGTCAGTTTCGGGGGTCTCATCATGGTTGATGATAAGCCATACGGAATGACGGTTCATCATATGCTAGATGACCCAGACCTAGAAGAAGAGGCGAGTACTGCTAATAAACCTGGCCCTAAGCGTGCCCACGCGCCTGATCGAAGCAATGCCGCGGTGTACATATTCGGAATAGGGTCATCAGGAGAAGAAAGCAGCGACGATTATCCAGGGGGATATTTTTCAGATTCCGAATCAGAGTTATCACTCACAGACATTACTAGTGCCGATGAGGAGAGCGATGATGATGATGAGTTTACGGAGACTGGAGACATCCCAGGCGTGGAGCCCGGCTGCGGAGATGGTATGTAGGGTTCCTTTCCAAGTATGCGCCCCGACCCCTCACCAGAAGAAAACGTGTTTCCCATCGCCACCTTTTCTCAGTGTGCGAACGGTTTATATGCCTCCCACACAGAATTAATAGGTTTTTAACTAAATTGGTTATAAATAGGATATATAGTTACTCAACCTGCCCTTGAAGACGTGCCAGAGGGATTTTATCCGTCAGAAGAGACGATGGATGAGGTGAGTTACTATATTACATACGGTTACGGTTAAGAAGGCGCGGGGAAAAACTGATAAATTGACAGGATCATCTTGACACATACAGGTTGGGTGAGATGTACGCCTCTTCTGGTATACGCAGGCGTAATGAGGATGGGCTTATCCACGAGATTGACTGGGCCTTATTTGATTTCGAGGACGGAAGGTTACCCCAGGATAACCTCATACCTCGTGCTGCATCTAGCAGTTTTTGCAGTACAACCTCAATAGGGCATATCCATCCCACAGAGATTGTCCCAGCCAAATCCCTGCCAGGGCTGGAGGTGCAATGTATTGCACGCACAAGCGGATTACAAGTAAGTGTTTCATAATGGTCTGCAGTTTTGGTCTTAGAGCTAGAGAGTCTTAGCTAACGGCGTCGGTGCTTTCAAATAGATGGGTCAGATTCTACCAGCTTTGACGTCCGTCAAGATATATGGTCGATCATCTCCTAGTCACACCTACCAAGTTAGTGGAAAATGCTCGACAGTTCGCGGATATCCTCTCCCCGCTACGGAGGACCCACCCAAAGTACATACTCGGACCCGCGAGTCATTAGGTATTCCGGGCGACTCGGGCGCCTGGATAGTCGATCGACCGCACGGTCGCCTCTGCGGACACGTCCTCGCGTGGAGCGCGCGCAAACAGGTCGCTTACATATGTCCGATGGAAGTGCTCCTTCGAGACATGGCGGAAACTCTGGAAGCACGAGATATACGGCTTCCGGGCGGAAAAGCCATAATAGAAAACTCTACTGGATATGAAAAGGCTGAGATTTCCGATTCCGACTTGGCCGATTGCAGCGAGCGTGGTTGCATGCAGGACGATGATGATGACGACGACGAGGAAGAGGAAGTTCCCACACTACACGATATCCGCAAATCAAGGGCCGGCTCTCACATAGGAATCGATAGCGAACCAAAGGTACCTAAACGGCTCTCCGCCATCAAGCGCAAACAACTATATGGCTACCACGGCGAGACTAGTGACGACGCTCTGGATGCTGATATGGATAAGATGCATATATGAGTGCCGTGGGCTGATCTGCGGGGCATTCAAGGAGTTTAGATACTGGATCGGGACGAGGCGATTTGAAATGAGGTAATGTGTGAGATACCCTTAGATACCTACCTACATCCTATGGATGAGGCGCATGGATACCTCTAGTTAGGAGGTGCGTAATGTTAGCTTTAATGTGAGCTTTGGCTTGCTTAGGTCTTGAAAAGAGAATGATGTTTATAATGATCGATTTCGTGAACCAACCCCCGCCCCTCATTAGAGGTAGCATCAGTGATGCGTATTAGGCACCCTAGCGGAGGAGGGTGTTTTTTTGAGGAATGATTCTGATCGTTAGTCAGAATCCCCCACCTCCGCTACGGTAGATAGGTACCTAGGTACCTAACCTACAACAAGTGTTAATCGTGCCTTAGTTGACGACGTAGCAAGTACAGCATTAATTTCACTGGAATGTTTTCACCTCAGAGGCTTCAATTACGGACAGAGCACACGCAGTAACGCAATAATGTGGTCTGCGATTCATTCCCAGGGTATCTGCTTATAAAGTAGTGAAGTAATAACACCCACTTCTAACTTCGAGTTAGAACTCCTATACATCTCACACAACGGCTAGAAATGACACCAGAGTAGAAAAGCTTGCTTCGCGTAGTCAATGCACCAAGAAAAAAAACATTCTCGGATTCAAACCATTTCCTTGCCATGCAGGTCTCAGACCGTCAGCATTGCACCTAGAACCACCATCAGGCCGACCGTGACCAAGCCTCCCAAGCCTTGGAATGCCCCTCCCTTACTCGAGACGGCCAAGTTGGGAGTATGCTGTCCGGATGATGACGGAGTAGACTCGTTGAGCTTGGCGGTCAGCTGATCGTCAGAAACCCAGCTGGTGGTGACACTTGAGCTATTGGTGCAGTCATTAGGTGTAGTACCAGTTCCTTCGACGAAGTGGACAGCGGAGCACTGGATTATCAAATTAGCAACATTCGCGTAATAAAGGATTTGGCACTGCTATGATGCAGAGTGGATAGGCACTACTTACTTGGTAGAGAAATCCATCGACGGCGTGAGAGACAATGCCGATGAAGCCTTTCTTGCCGAGGAACTCGCGAGGGATGGTGACTCGGGGATTGCAAAATTTTCCTTGGCCGCTCTGCTGGAAAACGGGCCAGACTTCGGTCCAGTTGCCTTGAGCAGTAGGGTCGACATTGATACGGTAGAGCCATGTGCTCTGGGGATGGGTGAGGGTGGTAGCGATGACATCGCCATCTATATGGAAATCCGTAGGAGAGACTTTGGCGATGTCAGGCGAGTAGCCGCCGCAGGGTTGATCGCCCTCGGTGTCGTCATTGAATTGGCCGATGGTGGGAGGGTGCTCTACGGTGAAGTGGGCGTTGGTGATGCCTGTGAAGAGCAGCATCACAGTCGCGAAGAGTGCCATGGGAGCCATGGTGCTATTGGGGGTTCGTTGCAGTTTTCTTTTTTCTTTTTTCTGGTCACCTAGAAGAAGGTTTATGGTCAAATTGGGATTCAGAGGAGCAGGTCTACGTGGGTGAATATGTGGCAGAGAAGAGGAGGGAACAGCAAAGGCTATTTGTCAAGGGTTATGAGCAAAGGATGTGCGATAAAAAAAAAGAGGAAGAAGGAAGGAAGCAAACACGGGCGGGAATACCTTTTGATGTAACTTGCGATAGGTAAGACGAATGGAGTGCTGAATGACTATCTCCTGCGCGCCTACCTACCTGTAACCGAGCAAGGTCACTTCGTTAGTTGAGGGGAGGTCGAACAAAAAGTCTGAGACGTGTTGTGATACTAGGACCTAGGTAGTAGGAAGAAGATTGGAAAGGAGACGGAGGTTGGGAAGCAGTAAAAAGATACCTTGTACCTAAAAGGTACCTTAGGTAATTTTATCAGTTGTTACCGCGGGAGCCTTCCCTCTTTTCCCGCGTACCTGGATACACTAGAGACGCAAGCCTAAGCCATCCCAGATCCGTTTAGGAAAGAGCCCTTTCTGAATTTTGGGAATACAAGGGGAAGCATACGTTTGAGGTGTAAGTGTAACTGTGGAACTGGTGTATGACAATGTTCTTTCCTGCTAGACGAAAATAAATCTGAATTAAAGTGTAACATGTAGGTACTTAAAGCATTACGATCCGATTCGGCATACTACAGTTTGATGGAATGTGCTCCTTGACTTAGTAAGTCCAATAACTAGCAAGACTTTCCCATAATACATACCTTACTTATACCCAAACCATCGGCTGTGTCTATTTCTGTGTAACATATATCATTATCGTATAGAGGTTTGCATTAACGAATTAATTATACCTGAGGTATCATTTATGACGACGAGATTAACCTCGATATATCTTCTACATCATACAATTCCGTTTCAAGATGAAGATAAAGATGGTAACATTTGACTTGGGCTCTTTGACTGCCTTCTATTTGTATACAAGAATTGCGTGATACCTGATTGGTTCCTACCCGCTTCTGTCGTCCACTGCCTGTTGTTGATGCGCGAGATCCATGTCTGGCATGTCAGCATGTCTTGGTTCTCGGGATCATCTTACAAGGATCCTGGGGACAGCCCCGCCAATTACAGGGAGTCTCTAGCGCAGCCCACTTCCCTCCTACTAGCCCTGCCCCGCTTTAGTCCCAGAGATTTCCATTTGAGGCTATTTGAGCACATTGTGGCGGGGCGGAGGTCTACCATGTAGCGTTTTAGCGCGGTTTACAGATATTAAATATGAGGTACGGTTTACATATAAATGTAAAAGGAAGAGCAATCTACCTCTCCCTCGGTAATCCATACAAGACAACCTACCAGTACCTACCTGATCTACCTGATTCCGATACAAGTACTGCTCCATTATGATTGATACTCCACAAACTTGAAGCTTCGATTTTGTCAAGTGTAGTCTGACAGGGCGTCTCGTAGAGGTTGCAGCAACGACAGAACGGAAAGTTGTTTCAAACACACTTTAGCATTACTTGGGCAGACCGCTCTTTATCATGTGCCACTAGGAGTTGCTTCGAATTACTTCGAGTTACTATAATAGGTATTAAACGATAGCAAACAACGATTCCCGTTGTACCTTGCGTAGGTACCTAGATGCATCATAAACGATGCATAGCTGTAAAAAGAGATCTTCTTATCAAACAACATGCGCCGCAACTTACCTAAGGATGTTAATACCTTAGCCTGGTTTAGGTAATTATAAGGTTCTACCTAGGTACATAATGTAACACCCACCTACCCGGTTTCCGTACTACATGTATTGAAGTATTGAAGTTTACCTTAGAAGGTAGGTAGGTAGGCACTTCCCTAAGTCCAAGACTTACCTAGCTATTAATTTCTTTCTTTGAGTTGGTCCAAAGTCCAGACCCTCTGCTGCTTCCCCTGTTTCTGCTTTATCCGACTTGTCATCCATTTCAACATTACACTTCACTTGATCCTTACTCCTTATCTAGGGACCAAACCCACACACATTTTACAACAAGTCCCGAACTCAGGATTATCATCGCATTTCATCCTGTTCGCGTAGAGATCTAAAGAAGACAGTTTCCAAAAAGTTTCAGAGAGGATCTAGACACAGTCCGCAGTCTCCAATGTACAACTGTCTCTTGCGAAAGCCACCAATAACTCAGGCTTTGTCTACGCTCACCTAAGTTTTACACGTCGCTTTCGGATACCTTTACCACTCTCTTTGATATATGCCTCAGATACACTGGACCGATGAGCGCTAAGTGAGAAAGCATTCGAGATGGCTATGGATAATATGGAAGACATGGATATGGGGGGTATGGACATGGACATGGATATGGATACGGGTGGCATGTCCATGGGTGGTGGTGATATGACAACTGCCAACAAGGCCTATGCAAGATACTACTGGTATTTTGTTGCAACCTCTCTTGTCATGTTCCTTTTCATACGGATCGCCAACTCCATCCTGTTCGGGTCAAGGTACGCTACCTTTTCTTCTATCTCGAATCTAACATGATTTTGGCAACGTTTTACCCAATTTCGGACTAATTCTGGAGCATAGGCTACGCAGGTCCAAATCGCACTCCGTACGGTTTCCCACGCGGCCCACGAATCTCTGCTCGCAATTATGGGCGACCTTAACCGCCGTATGTAGGGAGATGAGCTATCCACAGCTTTATGTTCCAGTCCGAAACTTGACATGGCTAACGCCACCACCCATGGGCCATATCGTGATCCTTCTAATCTACTGGTCCGTTATTATTTACATCACATTTAAAGATTCGGTCATACAGGATGCAAACCTCGTGGAAAGAGTAGGGTATCGCAGTGCTTGGGTAACAGTTACGCAGGTGCCTCTTCTCTACTTGTTAGCCTCTCGAACCAACGTCATCGCCCTCATTATCGGCACCAGCTACGAAAGGTTGAATTGGCTTCATCGATGGGTAGCCCGGACCATATTGGTTACCACAACGTTACATGGTTTCTGTTTCTTTGCCGGCTGGGTCGAATCTGACATAGTCGACATAGAGCTCTCGATGATGAAAATGGTCAAGTACGGTCTCGGTGCTTGGGGAATTTTACTGTGGATGAACACCACATCTTTCAAGCCATTGCGATCTGCTGCATATGAGGTCTTCGTTATTCAGCATATATTAGCGGCTGCCATATTCCTATGGATTGTCCACGCTCACGTTCCTGCAAGTGCCGGATATAATGTTTGGTTTGCAGTTGCTGCATTTTGTTTTGATCGAGTGTTTCGTCTTGGTCTCTTAGTCTGGCAGAACATCAAGTTACGCCCGAACCGCTCATGCTGCCAAGGCGGACAGTGGATTGGCCATCAGACACAAGTCTCTCCAGTGGGCGATTCTATAACCATGGTAACTATAAAGGATGTTCACTTCAAGTGGAGGACGGGGCAGCATCTCTACTTGTGGCTACCTAGAATAGCACCGTTTGAAGCGCACCCATACACGATTGCTTCCTCTCATCAGATTCCGCACTCGTGTATCTGCAATAGCATTCAACTAGTAATACGATCTCACTCGGGCTTTTCAAAGAGGCTCAGCGAATTTGCGCAAAAGCAGGAAGCAATGGGAAAGAAACAGACTCTCACAGCCTTAGTCATAGGCCCATACGGCAACCCACCAAGGTGGGATGTTTTTGAAACTCTAGTCTTGATCTCCGCATCTACTGGAGCGTCGTTTACACTTCCCATTCTGGAGAGCGTGCTCCATCCTAAGAAAGGAACATGCACCAAGCGTATAGATTTTATCTTAGCGGCTAGGAAAGGGGAGGAAGTTAGGTTCTACCATGATCGCCTGCATGAAGCCGTGGAAAAGGCGAAGTCGATAGGTATGGAACTAGTAGTGCATATTGCTGTAACAGGGAACGGACAGCTAGGAGCACTAGGCTCTGCGGTTTTTCCATCGTCTTCGGCTTCTTCAACAGATGAAAAGAAAACCTTAGATGAAGAAGTAAAGGTATCAGTGAACACCGAGGGGGTTGTCCAACCACTGATGGGCATTTCGCGTATGAACCTTTCGGAGTCAAGTCCTGACTCGCATATACGCCATTCGGCGTCGAGGCCGGACATAGCGGGGTTCATCAGGACCGCTGTTGAAGCCACAGGGGGGGAAACGGGGATCGTTGTGTGCGGAGGACAATCCTTAGTAACCACTGTGAGAACTAATGTAGCAAAGCTAAGCGACGAACGGGCGGTACACAAGGGCACTGGTGCCCAAGGAATCTACTTGCATGTGGAGGAGTATTGCTTTTGATCGGAAGCCGGAGGTCATCTATAGCAGCAAGGGCAAGGATTACAGATGTTACAGCACATTATACCCACGAGTACTCATTCATGTAGCAATTAACCATCACTGCAATCTCAGTTGGATAACTATTTCCAACGTGATAGCACATAGATAAATCCTAATTCTAATGCAATGCATTACTACCTAACCCAGGTCATTATAATCCTCTGATAGGGAACACATATACCTTCTTGATGGATGTATCACCAGCATTACTGAAGAAAATAATCGAGCAGTAATAAAAGTTTGAGTATCGTTGACGGGTGTCGGTCAAAATTTACGGGACACACGTTATGCAGTGCTGCAAGTCATTGCGCATTACCTGTTCGGCACAGGTGCAACACGATACTAATTCCAACAGTTTGTACCTGGTTCTATGATCTAGATTATCATTAGCCCACAATCAATCTAAGCTAAGCCAGTTGTCCTTTCATGCTTTTGGTAAGGGTATATGATAGGGTATATGATAACCCCTTTCCCCCTTTCCCCCCCTTTTCTCTCTCTCTCTCTCTCTTCCTTCAGGGCCCCCTAATAATCTCACCTTGTCGCTGTCCAACACCGTTATACGTATATGCGTACCATGTTTGTTTGCGGTGATTACAGATACGAACGGAGGTTGTACTGCCGCGCAACTAATGAATACAATATAACTTCGGTACTACTATGTGTGAAGGAACTTGCGGTCCTCATACGACTACACTAAGGGAGAGTGAAATTTAGGCATAGAAAAAGAAAAGCCATGGTTCTATTTTAGGAATTCTGCCATCAATATGAGACATTACAGATTAAGGAACGGGAGAATGAAAGTGACTTTCAGTCAAATAAAAGAGGCAGTGTTGAATTATCAATACTTGACATGCAATTCCACCATGTAAATTCAAAGACTGGCGAAGTACAGCCCTACCAAGCGGCGTACAACTGCATGATGAAAAACAGGGTCTCTTGGCATCTCAATGATACATGGAGAGTTATAAGAAAGGGAAAAAAAAAGACAAAGAAAAACTGTATATAGTATATACGAGGGGCTAAGCCGCATGCCTCGAGACGCACAACATAAGCTTGAGAAAATGGACTCACCACTACGGAATAATGTTGGACTGCATTACTCTCTCTCTCTCTCCAAGGTGATGGGTTAATTGAGATAGGCACCCCTTTAAACACAGTTCCCGCTTCTGTTTGATGATGGGATTATTTGGCCCGAATATGCACTAGATGGTTGCTCAATCGGCCTCTAATTTTTAACTTTCTTAAAATAAAATAAGCATTATCAATGCTCGGACGGAAAATATGGATCGGAACCTTTTGTTCATATCAATGGTAATATTAGTATTAGTTGAGATCGGTCTGTTATCGTCCGTTTGAAGCCGACCTAAGTAAGTATCGGCAAAGATTCTTTCCAGAAGGTTGGCAGCACCTGGAAGTTAAATAAACGGAATGTTATACAGAAATGTCTCTCGCTACATAGCTCAGCTGCTCGTATTAGACGTATTAAACGCCGCAAGCCTCAGCTGGATTCTACTAATGGACTGGCTGGTCTGCTTTTACTTGCATACCCGGGGCGCTCTTCAGCTTAGTAGCCAACCAGTACCGCCAACCACAGATTAAAAACGGAGCAACCAATATAGCTATACGATCACGGGATATCAATTAATGAATACTATGTATCATGCCGGTCCTATGAAAACGCTATCGTGGGTTCACAGACGCTAGCAAGGGGTCACGCGCATAACACGCGCCTAACGTTAGTCTCGTCATATCTAAGTTAACCTACCAAGGTATATATTATCGTACCTAGGCTACCTACCTCGAAAGATCAATAGTTAACTGATCATGTCAAGCATTCCCTGTCAGCTCTTATCCAAGGGTATGGTATGGTGGAAAATCCCTTGCATCTAGCCTCATAGGGTAGCCATACAGATGCAAATTGAGAATTCGCTAATCTAGGTACCTAATCTTTTATAGGTGCTTCCGTGGCGCATCTAAGGTTTTGGGGGACTTCCGAGTTTCCCCGCGACTACTGAACCTCACTCGTCGACAACTACCTCAGGTTCACAGGCTGGTGGTATCGTATCGAGACAGCATCAACACTGCTCACTATTTACTTCCTTTGCCTTGGCTTACTCGATATAGCTATAGTTCCATGCCGTGTATAGACAAAGTGACGAAATATGAAAAAAATTGAGAGGTATATACCCCTGCTGACATTCTATACCTACCTAATGCAGCTATGCTAACTGAGGTCTTCTGTTCTAATAAGCTAATGTCGTGTTGCTTTATGATATAGGAGGTATACAGCTGTACGCCACACCTATCCTGAGCATAGGTAGGTAGTCTTATCTATATAACAGCTTGTGAGACACCGTTCGGTAATACATGCCTGGGCTATGCGTCTAAATGATGCTCGATGACCGTAAGCCAATCAAGACGTATTGACACCCATCTTAGGTTCATCTCATTAGCCAAAGTGTATTCCAACCCTAGATGGGATTATACCCGTTGCTAATTCGGATGGGATCGCGGTACAGGTTTGGCCAAGAGATGAGAAAAACCTATAATTAACGAAATTGACTACCCGTAATGTTTATTTGGTGTTCTTTTCCTTCTACTCCCCTTTCTGCAAAGATTAAATTGATAGCTAACTAATAGTTGATTCCTGTTGAGGTTCTGATTGGGCTTCCTATAGATACAACCACCCTCGCACGAGGCTACTGTAACCTTATATGCCCCAACTTAAGGTGCTGTAACCCTGCAGCATGAAGATAGCTTTTTGAGCTATCTCCCTAAAAGCGCAGGTCTGGTCCTTTCCTGTGGGAATCCGTCTAATGTGTGCGAGCTATCCCTGTATCAGCCCGGAAATATTAGCTTGGTTAAACCTCACATGGCCAAATCTTATCCCGCATGATTATGCGATATCCAGCATCCTTTCGTATCGAACCCGAAGCTACAATATCACGCTCTATGCCCTTATGGGGATTCTTCAGCTTGGTAGCCAAACCAAGCTTCGGGGTTTACATCGTGAGACGAGCTAAATCAAGGCATCCCAAGCCACACTCGCGGAATGGATCACGGCACGTTAGCCGGGTATTTTGTTGATTAAACTACACACAAGCAGGAGGCCATGGGGTCCACTCTAGAAGGGACGAGCTCCCCCTTTCGATGCCACGCCGATGAAGGTGGGTTGATTGCATATACGGTTGGTAGAATTACTTACCTTATAAGACCATGAGGAAGAAATGCCTTGTTAACCTGGTTCAATGTCTGGTTCATGTCCCTGGCCTTCGCTTTCTCATCCTATCCCCTCGATCTTCAGGAGTCATTCAGGATTCATTACGGCGTCAGCGATATGGCAGTGGTATCTTGGCTTGTGATTTCGATCTTATTGCTATGTATAATACATATAATCAAAAAGGCGAACGATAAAAGTAGAATCCCGCCCAATGCTCGGCCACTACCAGGACCGAAGTGTTAGTGTTCTTGCCCCTTTATTTTCGCGAGGATTCATTTTCCTAACTAAGAACAGCCTTGCCTCTAATCGGCCGTGTACATGATATCCCCGCACAATCTCCCTGGCTGAAGTTCTACGAATGGAGTAAGGAGTATGGGCCAATATATCAAACAGAGATGTTTGGTACGGTCCATGTGTGGATATCAACAGAACGAATTGCCATCGACTTACTCTCACGGAGGGCGGGTAACTACTCGGACCGACCGCTCATTCCTAACCTCCCTGATAATCGAACGAGCGGACACTATCTTGCGCTATCGGGACGTAACGGTAAGCAGTTACAAAATGATTAAGGGTTATTACTTACAGATATATAATTTAGATACTTGGAGACGTCAGCGGAAGCTCTGTCAACAATTGATGAGCGTGACAGCCAAGGCCTCGCTATATTCTTATCCGACTAAAGAGCGGGATCGGTTTTTATACCTACTATCGCGCGATCCATCGCAATATCGAGAATACGTCGAGCAATTCACAGCACGTACTGTGGCCCGGCTCTCTTGGGGAAGCCCTCACCCCGCCCCGCTGCTGCGAGTCACTACTTCTGGTCTCCTCGATACCATCTCCCCGTCAGGGGCTCTTCCTAATGCTATCCCCTGGCTCATGTATATACCCAATTTCATAAGTCCCTGGAAGCAGAAAGAAAACGCTCGTCAGGAACTTGAGACCGCCCTCCTAAAAGTACGCATTCGGTACGTACACGACCGCATCAGCGAAGGGAATGCCGAACCCAGTTTCATAAACACATTCATAAATAAGCTGAGCGGCCAGAGTGATGGCAGCAAGAGCGATGGCAGCAAATGGGAAGATGAGGCCGAGGCCAGTTACGTTGTTGGGCAAATGGCCATCGCTGGAGCTTTAACAATTGGGAGCCCAATCCAAAGTTTCATGCTCGCTATGCTACATTATCCCGAGTGGCAGAGAAAACTACAACATGAAGTTGATACCGTATGTGAAGGAAGGTGTCCCGAATGGGAAGACCGTGAAAGGCTACCGTTGCTTCGTGCCGTCGTTAAGGAGACGATCCGGTGGCGTCCCCCCGTTCCAACAGGTAGGCCATCCTAGAAGCCTTGCTCAAAGTCAGACCAGGTCTTTTCTTTTTTTCTTTTTACTAACACCGAGGAGGAATCCCGCATGCGATCGAAAATGATGATGTATATGAGGGCTATTTTATTCCCGCGGGCGCAACTATTCACGCCCTGGAATGGTAAGTCTAATACGAGAGTATATGTGCCTTAGAACGTGTCAATCTAATCCTTGGCTAGGGCTATTACCCGCGACGAGTCCATCTATCCAGATGCTCACAATTTCAACCCTGCCCGGTGGTTGGAGCCTAGATATCCTACTTATAAGGAGCCATTGACCATGCACCCGAACCTGGGTGGGTTCAGCCAATTCGGGTTTGGCCGTCGTACATGTCAAGGCCTTCCCATCGTAGAGCAAGATCTTTTCTTGACGATGGGCGGAATGGCGTGGGCGTTTGACCTTCGGAAGAAGCTCCGAGAAGACGGCAGCGAAATACCGGTGCATTGGAACGACTACACCCCATTACTGATAGCCAAGCCGGCCCCATTCGAATTTGACGCAACGGTTCGCAGTCCGTTGAAAGAAGCGGCTCTCAGAAATATGTGGGAGACGGGTAAAGGCGAAGACGACGAAGAGGAGGAGCGGGACCAGTTCCTCGCACAGAAGTGGAAGGAAGATGCCGCGTACATGGAAGAAACGAAGACGGCGCTCGAAGATGATAGTAGCAGCGCCCGCGGTAGCGAGACGAGCGATCCGCAATCACCATATAGATCGGTTTCTTCTGCTAGCACGGGGTCGGAGAGCGAGTTCGGGGATGGGGGCAGCCCTACCCTACTACATCAGCATCTAGATTTCATTTATCAAAACGGCGGGCAATGATGATGGGCAGCAGCGACTACTACAGAATGAAGTTCTCGACGGCCGAGAGATGATGACCGTGTACTACCTAATTAAGCAAAGTAGGTAAGGTAAGGTACCTAACTAAAGAATGGCATAGCATATAACTATAACTAAGGGTTTCGGAAACAATTACATACTTTCACAAAGCGGGTTGACCCAAACTAGGCGACTATTTTCAACAAATAGGATGTCAAGAGATGTATGTATATATAGGTGTAAAACTCTGTTATGTGAATGGAAATACGAGACATTCTAAGTACCTACCTAATATATTGTTCCGTTTCTGCTCTGTGAAGTCCTAAGTTAGTATAGAGTAATTATGAGTTATAAGTAACTGTCTAGTACCTAATGCTAGCCACCCAACACTTGCGGGTGGTCCTCAGTCTTTGATCGCCCTGGCATGTGGGTATATTCTAGATTGCGAAATGTCGTATCAATTAGTCAACTACCTGTATAGACCCGTATTCATCACAAGACGGGAGCCCAGTCGGGATTATACTTTATGAGTTTCCTAGTCGGGCGACTTCTTTATACCTAAACGCCGAGAAAAGTCCTACCACTTCTGCTACCACTTCTACCCGTCCTCTTCTTCGCCTCCTAATATCCGGCAGGTTCCCGTCGGATAAGTCTCCAGTCGGGATCTGGTCGAATGGCTTAGAATTCGAAGAAGTCTACTAACCTAAAGATACCCGTGAGTGACCCGATAGACGAGTGCCCGTTATGACCGGTGGGGCAACTCGGCCAAAAGACGGGCAGAGTGTAGATTGAATAAAAATTGGATAGGCGGTGGCGGTAAGCATTCTCCGGCTACCTGGGTCGTACGTCCGGCTTATTATACACACCTGTAAGATTTTTGTTGTCGTGGGACAGACCGGTTTCCCGGACCGGACTTGTAAGCGAGATACCAATAGCACTAATGGGAATTGGGTATAAATAATGTCATTTGGGAACAAAGGTAGGTGTAAGAGCGTTTGAAGGAGGCGTACCAACCGGAGTAAGAGCCTACCTAGGCTAAGGAGGGGGGGGATAGTGACAGAGGGTCGGAACTAGTTGTAGGCCACATGCAACTATTCCCGAGAACCTGCCAAGGAAACAAGAATAGGGGGCTGAAAGGGGGGTGGGCTAGAGTTGGAAAAGTTGGCAAAGGTGATTGGAATTATCTAGGTTAGGAGTTATAAATTCAATTGGGGAGCAAAAACTATATAGAACTACCTACCTAGGTAGGTACCTAAGGTAAGGTAGACAAGCATACCTAAAGGTCTGAACAATCGTAACATTGTGGTTGTTTAACCCTCAGGTATAGCGGTTGGTCTAAGTAAAGGAACGAAAACGCCAAGCCTCTCAGACAGAGTACGGGTTTAATAGGCGTTACCCTTAGGTACGAAGTTGTATGCGCCAAGCTATTAAGTCCTTCCCCATACGGCATTTATATGGTATTACTTACCTTAGGTACCTAGATACCTAGAGATCTGAAACTTTTAAGCGCGATTGAGATCGTGCTGTTGTACTATCATTTACTTTGCGTACAATACAAGGTTTAGGTTTAGGTACTCTATGGCCAGGCCTTGAGGTCTTCGCCGTAGAATACCTAAGGTACCTAATCTTACGGCCCGGAGAATAATAATTTGAGGTAACACTGAATTCTGAGAGCTGGTAAGAATCAATAATAATTAAACAATTCATCATAATACGCGGTCAATCTTGGACCAAATACCAAGTGATGGGCGGGAAGTAGGGCACCTGGGCGCGGTCATCGGTGACACGCCAGATTTGCATGGTGTTAACAGGGGTACGAGAATCGCCGACATCAGATAAGATAGAACGGGAGTTGGAGAAGAAGAAGACGATTGCTGCAAACTAGATGAGAGCGGGAGATTCATAGAAGAAAAAATCAAAAATCGAGAATACATGGTAGCAATGTGGACATGATAAGCCATGTGACAAGTGGGATAAGTGACGAAGAGGGAAGAGAATGAGTTGAGTGCAAGACGCAGAGGAAGAAGTACATAAGACAAGTACTCCCCTTAAAGACCCAAAGACCTAAAGACCGGCATGGGGTATCCATGTCATTACCCGCAGTTACAGGTACAGGTACCTCAATGGAATTTTTATGTGTAACCCGAGATACGGAGACAAGCAAGCTGGAAGTTGCCTACCTGGGTAGTTAGGAAGCAGCTATTCAATCCAAGGTAAGCAGCTGCGTTGTAGCTTACCTCCTTTTTACCTAAAATACCAGGGCCCTTTTAAATGAATTATTGCTAGGTTTAATGTCAGGTTAGCAGCTGTTCGTCTACTGTGTATACCTACCTCCTACCTAGTATTTACTACCTTGTATAACTTGCCTCGTTTTTAAATCCAGCGAGCAGATGCACCACATCTCTGTACCTCCCCAAGGTTTAGGGTCAGGTACATGTAGTCGTTCCCAAGTTGTTTCCCAATGGTTCCCAAGGGTCCCCAAGGGTCAATTATCTACACGTTCCCTCTGCCATGCAACCTTTCATTATTTATTTTCACCACATGTGTGTGTAGCTTCAGAGCCTACAGCTCACAGTCTACGGTAGCAGATCAGCGTGAAAATGACCTATCATTTCCACAATTTCTAGTCTTTCACAGTAACCAATGCATCGTTGCGTCCAAACGCGGTCCTATCAAGTCGAGATGGTGCTCGATATTTCGACGAGTAACAAGCCACTCTGGGTCTGGTTCTGGAGTTTCGGCGATAGACAAACCATTGCGGTATGTTTAATGCAGTATAATGATGACAACAACGCCAACGACGACAACAGCAGGAGCAGCAGCAGCAGCAATGCTTCTCCGGTCTGATTGGGCAGCTGGCCGAGCAAACGCTCCATTCGACCAACTCATACATATTCGCGATGCGTAATATACAGAACCTTTTTTTGCTTTCCGGGCATCCGACCAGTTCAATACCTCGCGTGTGTGATAATTGATCGCATTAGGCACGCTAGCAGGTTCGAAAGAGAAAAAAAAGTTCAGGCTGGCAAGGTACAATATAGCACGCAATATACCATGTAGTACGCACCGCTCCGGTAAATGAACAAGAGTGACCCATCTGGCCCATTTCAAGATTGCTAGGAACAGCCCTACTCGCCCTGGTGGCTCCCTCTTGGTGGGGATTCGTCGGCCGCTCGCCAATCCAACATGGTTTGTGAGCATGGTTCCCTTTAACAGAGATAGATTAAAAATAATAATAATGGACCAGACAGAGTAACGATCTAAGATCTAGGTATGGAGCTGAACTCCCTGAACTCCTTACGGTCGCTGCGGCACCTGGGCCCTGGGCCTGGACAGCTATGGCACTAGTAATACTGTAGCTGAGCTTTGGGCTAGTATACCTAGATCCAATTCTGCCCCATCACGGCGAGCGGGATGCTATTTACAATCCCTGTCTGCCGGTTCAAAATATTTCCTAATTTATTACAGGTGCATTCATAATCACCCTACGGATACCTCCCGTGGGTTTGGTAGGTATGTCAGTATATCTGTCAGTATGTCAGGTCCACGGCTCTACCCTACATTTCCAGTATTGTACAATACATATTGTACATGGGGTTGGACATGGCAAAAGCCATCGCGAATTCTCAACCCCTCACCTCGATCGAAGGACGTTAGCGAGCTCTGCCAATCTATTCGTCCAATTTTTTTTATTCACCAATCTCATTCGAAGCTAAAGAAGAAGAAAAAACCTTCCGACCATCACGACAGACACCAATACTGGAACCCCCCTGTATAGATTTGTTACCCATTGTTGTACATATCCAATCGCTGCTGCTTGTTAATTGCACTTTTACATGTTCCCCTAAATTCTCCTTTCAACATTACTGTTACCAGCATTGCCATCCCAACCCCTTCTTTGCGAGCATAGGTCCCGGTTCTAGCGGTTCTAGCGTCTCAGATTTCGAAGCCGTCTTTATTGTGTCTTAGCAACTTGCCAGCAACCCCTTACGGCTAAGCCTTATTGTTCTTTTCGTTTTGTGGTCCGGCTGTGATAACCCAGACCCAGGACGACCCGCCGGCACCGAACTAAATCTCGCTCTCAAATAGGCGCCTATCGATTTTGAGCCTAGGTAGTATCTCTCAATTAGAATAATTCAATACTCAGTCCAACCTACTTGCTTATAATAGTGGTGTCGACGGCGAGAAGAACAGAAAAGAACCGGAATAGCATCATAAGTATATCTCGGGCCGTGGCAGTAGTGGTCGCTTGAAATCCAATTGCCGATTGTCGCCATCAACCTTTCGATGTCTTCCGCAGTCTTTCATTTACCTACCTAGCCTTATTACGACTTTGAATTTCATCTTCAGATAAACGCGACGGCCGGAGTCGCTAATTGTTGAGCACACTCTCTCTCTTTCAACTCATAATCGAATAAGAGCCTGCTTCCAATGGAGTCTTACGCGCACGCGCCCAGTGTAGCGCCCTCGATCTCGAATTCATCTCCAACCGCGTTATTAAATGGCCTTGGCTCGGAAATGCCTAATCACCCACCCCACTCAACGCCGGTATCCTCTGGCTCCGATGCTGTCGATTCACGGACATCGCCCCAGAACACTGTGCAGGCTGCTTGTCTCGCCTGTGTAAGTCTGGAGAATGTTACTTTTCATGATGAAGCTGTTGTACTAACTATGCGTCTTTTTGCTAAACTAGAGGGGAAAACATTTAAAATGTGATGGAAAGTATCCATGCTCGCGTTGTCAGACATCAGAAACTGAATGTATCTACGTGGCTTCTCGTCGCGGTTACAAGGGACCGAGAAAGAATGCGGTCCCAAATCCAAATAAGCGGCACGCAACCGACTCTCCGCCGTCCGCCGGTGGCGATCGCTGTCCGATGTTGTTAGGTGCGACCGTTTCAACCGCTGCGCCCCCGAGCTTAACGACCTTTAACTCGGGCTTGGTAATCCCCGAGTCGCCCGCAACGCCATTTGCGCCTCCTGGCATGAACGGCCTTCAATTATACAGAAATCCCTACCTCAACGGGACCAATGGTGCCCTGGTAGAAGCCAACTCGCGGCCGCTGACAGTCCCTGAGCGTTGCATTGACGCGTTTTACTACTTTTTCTATCCTGGCCACCCCTCCGTTCTGCCCAAGGAACACCTGCTCAAGATATCTAAAGACGGAAATCTTGATCATTTGCTCGCCGCGATGAGATGGGTCGGGTCGCTGTATATCGACGCCGGTCCTGCCCGTGCGACGTTCTTTGAAGAGGCTATGCGGCTGGTTTACGCTCCGAACGTGGCCAAGGATGGTTACCTAGTTCAAGCTATGGTCATCCTCCTAATCGGACTCGATGGCAACTGCCAACAGGAAAAGGCACGCGAAATCTTGTCCGACGTCGAGCGGATCGCCATTGAAATTGGCCTCTATACGAGAACCTATGCCACAGCGCACGGAGGCGGCGTTCCAAGGATGGAAGAGAGTTGGCGACGGACGTGGTGGGACTTATTCGTCGTGGACGGAATGGTTGCCGGAGTGCATCGTCACACGAATTTCCTCCTCTTCGATATCGTGGCTGATGTAGGCCTCCCGTGCGAAGAACATGAATACACATCAGGGGTAGGTTTCTATTCTGACGATCATTAACACATCCTATGAATTTAGTAGGCAGCTGACACATATATGTCAATAGAACATACCACGGCCAATGTATTTAGAAGATTTTGATGATCAAATATTCTCTGGGGAAGAGCGAGAATTTTCTTCATTCGCCTATCGCGTTGCATCCATAAGGAACCTTGGACGCATGATGCGACTCACCGGCTATCCGAGCGCCGAGAATGTCAACAAGATTGAGACATTACTTTCTAACTGGAGGATGCATCTGCCGCCGTCCAAGCAGCACAGTTTGAACAAGAACTGCCAGCCAGACGAGATGATGTTCCAAGCACATATGATTAACCATGCGTAAGTCATACTATATAACCTCGCGAACCATTTTTTCTAATACTGTGGTTTATACAGCTGCTCAATCATGTTGCACCAACCTCTCTCACAGTTAGATTCATCGCCCGCGCGCGAAGTAACAGCTTGCGCGCCGCATCGAGCTGTTCAGAGCGGTGACCATTTCAATATCCACACTAGGCATATTATTACGGCCTCGTGTGAGATCAGTAAGATGGTCACGTATAACATGCCGATCACAAGCCATACGCACTTCTTCACGTGTGTGCTGACGCTTTCCTCGATCGTCCATCTTAGCAAATGGGCCCTCGAGTATTTCATTCAGGACGAAGATGATCTTCGACAACAGATTCGACTGAACATCGGGGCTTTAAACAAGCTTAGTGGTGTTTGGAAAGCAGCCAGTACGGCGTCAAGCCAAGTCAGGGGCGTCGCGCAGGAGATCTATCGTGCTAAGAGGGCGCAGCAGAATAACCCTTCGTTCTGGGTCGGATTTACGCAGGAAGAAATCATCAGTACCATGGCAGCTGACGAGGGCATCATGACCGAGATCAACACTATGCTAACGAGCGCACCGAGCGCACCATGAGATGTTGAGGAAACGGCTGCTCTATCCAGTGTTCAGACGAAGTCGGGACGGTAAGGTGCCGTCTGTTTCAGCGAAAAGGATTCGGTCGACGAGTTACGCCTATCCGTGCCGTTCTCCGTCCAGACTGGGCACACATATATATAAGAAAAGATGTGGGTTTTCACATAATGGATAAGGTGGATAGGGAGAGTTGAGAAATGGGTAAAGTCCGTGGATTTTAGCAGCAGCTTGTAGGTTAAGGAAGAGACGCAACAGGCGGGCGAAACGGGAAAAAGAAAGCCAACCAAATATACCAAAAACAAGAACAAAAAGCTGGACGAATGAGGTCGATGGGTGACGATATGAAGGATATACATACCTAACCTAGATGTGCTTATAAATGGCCTCTCTTCTTGCCTGGAGGACTATTCGTCTTTGGGCACGTAAGCAATATTTAGCAGGAAGATTGGACACAGATGGGTAATGTTTATATTATATCTACTCGGGCTACGGTGTAATTTGGGTTTGGTTTCCTGTTGGTAATAGTAATAATAGATCCTTCCTGCTCCCACAGTCGCGTTGTCTTTGGTTCGTATTTCTAGCGCCTACCATGCCATGCCTAACATACATAACCTAAACCTGCCTGCCTACATGTAGGACAGGAGCTATATAGCGATAGGCTTAGCCGCACGATGGCGTCAGGGTCTGTCCGGCTAATAGGCTTCTACCTTGCTTACGAAAGCGGAGCAGGTCGCCGTCTGCTGGGGAAGGGGGCTGATTTTTACTTAGCGCAACATGTATGCAAACGGATAGAGTCGAGAAAAAGTCGGGTCAGGAGGGATAAGGGATTAGGTAGACTAGTAACGCATATAAGATCGACGCAGCGATGGTGGGCAGAATTACGCGAACAGGGCGGCGAACTAAACACTAACACTAACATTAAGGAGGTAGGTAGGAGGTAGGCTAGACACGACAAACAATAAGGCTAATAAGAGGTAGACATGTACTACGTAATATAAAGGCTGACCCGATAGGATGGGTGGGGGGACATCATAATAATGTAGGAGGTAGCGGGCGTCTTACATATGAGCCAGGCAGGCGTCTAAGTCCTAGGAGCTAATGGATCCCGTTCAAAAGACTTGTTGTAACATGTTAAGTGTCATTGGAACTACCAAGGCATTTAGGTATATAGCATCGCCGATACCTACCTAGGCTTTACAATCTAGACCTATGACAATTAACTATCCCCCCTTTTTTTAAGCTTTTTAGAAGTTGCTCCTATGGATCCTTTAACATTTGAACCCCGCGCTGCCCCGTTGTTGACTTGGCTTGTCGACTTGACATGGCATAGCTTCCCCCATCTTCACGGCCTAAATATCGTGGCCGATGGATTCCCCGGGGTAGGGAGGTGGAAACTTATTAAGACGGCGACATAGTGGGGTCTTGGGTCTTATAAGGTTGCTGAGATGCCCGTCCCAATTACATTCTTCCTTGGATAGCCGTCCACTGCCCGTCAATAGGTATCGGCCATCTGAAAGGTCCCCGGGTAACTTACATATTATAACGTATAACGAACGTGCTGTGCTTCAATGAATGCCGTGAAGCCCGAAACTAATTAATTAATTGCTAATACCTAATGTCGCCGAGAGTGGTCTCGCCTCGTATTAATCTACGGGTTACTTATCCACATTTATATAAGTTCGGCGTCTTTTCCTGTAGTTATATCATGATCTAATACCTAGCCCAATCTCGCCGTTGCTACCGAGTTCCCTCCTATTGTAAAATCAATCAATGTATACGATTTTCACGACTCTCGCTCGGTCGCCAGCCAACGTGACAGCTAAGGTCGCCGAGCTCACCGACTTTTTTCCCTTCGCTGTCTCTTAGGTAGTGTATCGCCTAAGCCATGTCTTACCTTACGTGTATGCCTCATACGCACAGAAGGATCCAATACAACTAGGACGCTGGGTGTATTATGTTCACCTTGGTAATTGCCAAGCAACAGAAGACTGCTAAATCAATATGTTTCAGAACATCGCCGAGAATTAGCATCGAATGGTGATTGAGTCGCCGTTTAGCCGTTGAACTAGATGAGTTCCGAGGAGAGTTTTTATTATTATTTTAGCTTCACTACCTCTACTCACTATTTCGTGTATAGCGTAAGTACTGTAAATAGTGTTTTAGTAGGTACCTACCTCTTAAGGTATCAAGGGGTATCTTCTTCGAGGCTCTCAGCCACCCACGGCTCTACCAGCCAGTCGCCCATCTTATCTTATCCCGAGTCTAGCATCTATGGACAAATAGAGACAGGTATGTTAGGCATGTAACAAGTGCTGTATCCCGCCAGACGCCTCGCTTAAATCCGAAAAAAGGCGAAAACACGCACTCTCTCTCAAATGACCTCCATCTAACCATCATCTCTCCTTTTTTTCTTTTTCCTATCCGATAATAGCCGTAGAAGTAACTGCCTACCTAGGTAGGTAGGTTACTCATATTCTCCCGTAATCCCCTCACGACGAAGCGAGGTCCATGTCCTGCAGCTGCGCAAAATACCAGTTGGGGCTGAAATTGGGCTCGCCGAGCCCGCTCTTGAGCCAGCACTCGGTGGTGCCCTCGGAGTTGCCCCAGCCGACGCCCACGCACCCCGGGCGGTCGCCGCACGCGTCCACGCACTGCGCCATGCTCGCCTTGTACATGTGCGCGAGGTCCGTGGCCCCGCCCGCCGAGTTGTAGTCCCGCCCGCACTGCACGTTAAACGGCTTCGAGCTGCCGCGCGACACGTACACCGTGTTGTTGTTCTGCGGGCAGATTATCGGGCCCGGGGTGAGGGTTCCGGTAAAGCTGGGGGTGGGAGATGCTTTGGTGGTGGATGAGGAGGACCGGGTTGTTGATGTTGGGGTCGTGGTTGTTGGTTGTATGGCTGCTGGTGGGGAGGAGTTGGCGCTGTGTAAAAACGGTTTGTTAGTTCGGTGGGTTGATCAGAGAGAAGTAGGTAGGTACATATAAATCTCATCTTCTCTTGTACCCTTTGACTTAGGTATGAATGATATCTATCGACCCATAGCATGAGGTCACTCCGATTCTCAATATCCGCGTGGAGGTATGCCAAGACTCTTAAAGTAACCAGCTAAGAATAGCTTCAAGTAAGAAAAAGGAACCGGAAAGTTGAAAAAAAAAAACGTACGTTGAATTCTCAGCCACGGAGACGGCCACAGAACTAGTTCTCCTCGTCCCCAAACCGACACCCAGACCGGCCGCAATAGCAACGACCAGCAGAAACAGTCCGATCGCCACGACGATAAAAAACGTGTTCCGCTTGATACCCCACACCCTCTGGTCTTCCTTCCGGGGCCGAGGCGGCATCGTTGGGGAATAGCCCCTCGGCGTCCGGTAGTCGAGCGTATTTTCGGACCATTCGCCCAGGGGTGTTTTGGCCATCGGCGGGGGCGACGCGAGAGGTTGCTGGTTCGAGACCCACGTCTGAGCGCGGGTGACGCCGTCTTGATGATGGTGATGGTGGTGATGGTAGTATACCGTTGCTGATGCCGCTTGAGGAGAGGTTGTTGGCGATGAGACTTGAGATGGGGTGTGCGTTATGTGGTATGGCTGCTGTTGTTGCTGCTGCTGGTGTTCAGTATAGGCTGTTTGCTGGCCGTACCCGTACCCGTACCCGTACCCATACCCATCATTATTATTATTATGCTCATATGTGTTGTTGCGTGCATCGTAACCCCCTTGTTGCTGTGACTCTTCCGCCGGGCCCAATTGATATGACATTTCTCGTGCGTAGGTATACCCAGTACTCTATCTTTCTTGAGCTTTCATTTCATAACTGAGTACCTACCTAAAGTAATTCGCTGCGAGCGGGGAGAAGATCTTCGAGATTATTAATGAGAAAAGCAAGAAGTGTAGTACACAGAAGTAAGACAGGTGGTGGCGAGCTGAGACGCATATTATTCCTTCTCGAAGAATATCTACCTTATACATAAGCTAACAGGATATGATACTGTCGCCGCCCCCAGCTTTGCTGACCGCATGCGTATTGTACGACTTACGGAGTTTCTGGGATAGTGGGAGGTCGCCCATTCGAGAGCGGCCGTAAACGAACAAGTTCTATACGGTTTATTGGCATCTCAAGAGCTTAGGAGTCGCCGAGTTGACTGCAGTGGTATAATATCAATTCAAATTCGATATATTGAAGTGTTAGAAAGTCTACCTACGATTTCACATTGCCATCAAAGCAACACTGTGTTCAGTTGCATATGCACCCAACCCCCTTGCTACATGAAAATTTGGGGAGGGTAGTACGGCGGTGCGGCACTGCGGCTCGTGAAGTTACAACGCTTCGCAGCTAATGTTTTTTTTTTTTTCGTGGCGTCATCACGAACTATGGGGGAAATATGATTCCATAAGTAAGAGAATCCCCAACCTAACCTAACCAGAGAAGAATTGAATCTACATGGGGAGCTCTACGAGGAGCTTGTCCGAGCCAATCAACCCCATTTCGCAATTGTTAGTCCACAACGGGCTCGCGAACGAATCCATTTGGACCATCGCGCCAAGACAAATCCCGAGTATATTTTAGCTCCAAGGAACACGCCTTACCCGTGCCACTACTATGTACAGCCGGCACAGCTGAACATCGTGGGACCCAGTCGGTCAGCCTACCGCTAGACAAAAACGGAATCCTGGCCGTGGGGTGGAAAATTACGAGGGATCCCTGGGATAAAATGCCCTCTTCCACCAATCAGAGCCGTTGATGAGCCACGGCAAATCCGATTTTATCGTGCAATCGCATAAGCTATTAGTTACCTATTTCAGAGTTCTAAGTTAAGTAACCATGAGGGCCTTGGGATTATACAGCCCTAGAATCCAAAATCCCCGATGAGCGTAAGGCTCTTGTTATAGCCTCGTGCTTACTTCGTAGTTCCAAGTATTTACAGAGAGTAAAGAATCAACGAATTTAATTTTCATTCTTATTTGGTACATTAACCCGGGTGGTTGTCATGAGCATTAGTACCTACCCAGGTATATACTCTCGTTTATGATGATGGCCGTCAACAATTTTATACATTCCATCACTTCACCCACGTCTTATTTGGATATCGAATATGAGCTAGAGGGAAAATGAAAATTACACTACCTACCTAGGACCTAGGTAGAGGTACCTAGGTAGGTAATATGAGGATAGGATGGACTATGGCGGCGCGATGGAAGACAAAAAAGCACATTGAATATGTGATAGAGGCGTGCGTAGGTACTTGTGAACCGCCCTCAGCTATGAAGCGTTATCTCATAGGTACATGAAAAACTCTTGGCGACACTTCCCCAAACCTAATATGCAATCATAATTAATATGGCTGGATATTTTTAGCTGTAGAAAAGAGGCATATTTACCTGATAGGTGAAGGCTACATTGGTTCCGGCCTGAGTGGCTTTCTGGCGTAGCAGCTGGACGGGTTGAATCTTAACGTCATCCTGGGCAGCAGTTATCAACCAAGAAGGATAAACAAGTACACTGCCTCAGTTAAAAGAACGGTTTGTTCATGTCAACACATCCCGACCTACATGCTGCTTAGCGAGTATAGGTACCCTGACCTGTTTCGACTATAGAAGCTTGCAGGTTTTGTAATTATTTCTCCAGAATAAGCCTTGTCAGGTAGCACGGAAAATCCTAAGGAGACGAAAAGCCCTAACTTGGAGCGTACGGGCTGAAGCAATTCGAGTGACCATACTCATCTCGTTACAAGTGGGCCAATGGCCGATATCTCGTTGCAACGGCGGGCGCCGACTAAGCCGATCCCCAAAATATCTTGGCTCATGTTTCTAGAGATGTATGGAGCAAGGATGCATTACGAGGAGATCCTCGAGCAGGCGAACATATGTATCCGGTCTCAATTGGTCTACTCATCGACCAGTTCCAGAATCGAAGGGCAGTCCACTCAGCAAGAACCCGGGTTTTCTGCTGAGCGCAATATAAACAACGCACCTGGGTTTCCTTATCCTAGAGCCTTTCTAGATGCCCTCCGAGGATATAATTTGCCATATCCCGAACATGTACAACAGAATATTATCCAGGTACCGGTTGGTGCACGCATGCCCGATAATCACGATATCAGAGGGCCCTTGGTCAGTACAACTGACGAATTAGGAGCAGGCCTCTCCACTAACTGTTTTGGCATGACATTTAATTCAACCGTCGTGTCAGAGTATCACCTGCAACCGATCTATCTAGTGATAGGGATATTTCCTAGGGGCCATGTCAATCCGCAAGAGAAAGTGGTGTACGTGCAAGATCCGAAGGAATTCCTCTCGCAGCTTCGTTGGGGTGTATTTTATTTGCGTGGGTGGACTCGAAGCCTGTTCTCTTTGCGACATGTGAGACAGTTTCGGTTGTATAAAGTAGGTAGGCTCCTTTTTTTTTATACTGCCAATTCAAATATGAGTCGTACAAGTTCTAACATAACATTATAGTGTGATTTAGAAAAAGGAACCCACGAATCCGTAGACCTGGATAGAGACGGGGTTGCGGATTTAGTACTACTCCTTGACGCGTATACGCATTGGAACAACTCCGACATCACCGCACTTATCTGGGCAGATTGGATCCATCAAGTGCTCAATAATAGTTCCCACGATATACGTAAAGGCTCGTACTCACTCGAGCTTGTTCTGGGCTGGTCAGCGAAGAGAATCTCAATTGTCGTCATGTTACCAGTGCTGTTGAGCTTAGCCGTCGGTATCTGGCTGAACTCATCGAATTGGTATGACTTGGATACTGTACAGACCGCTTGGGGAACTGCGTCATATATTGCGACGGCAGGAGGCCGTAAGTTATCATTTCATATGCAATATCGTTTCAGAAAACTGATATTTACTAGTAACCGCCGCTCTGTTGGGTATTCTAAGCAGTATTGCAGATAGATAGTTGTCTTTAAAGAAAATTCCATCTTGGCTCCAGCAACGATTTCCAGTTTAACCGGGAAAAGGGAATCATCGAGGCCAGGTTAGGTACCTAGGTAGCCAGTCAAAATTGTTAACATGGAGGGAAGATTTATTCTGTTATATATTAGTGGTGTTTAATTGTTCTCCACTACTATTTTGGACGTAGTTCAATAGGCGTTTCGTGATGACAGGATATCGGATATTTTTCTTCTATGCTAGCATCCTTTACTGTCATTCGAATCAATCATCCTTATTATCAGGTTATGCCCGTGATGGATGTCGTATACAGAGTGAGTGTCAGGGATGGTATGAAGTCTATTATAGAGATCTAGTAACGTCTAGCCTTCTCACCTCCCTTGAGGGAGCCGGCTACCCTATATCCCTGACACTTGTATGGTAGTTAGTATAAAAGCGTAAACCCGTCTATTTCCATATGTTTAACTCCTGTAGCCCTTTAACTCCGACCATTACTCATACAGTTACACCCCTAGAATGGCTCAATTGTATCCTATTATTCCCTCCGCGATGGGGTCTACAGCGCCTTGCAACCATAGAGTAACCCTTCTGCCGATAATTCCATCGCCTCCCACCTCGATATTCATGGGATGAGTTAGAGGTACTTCTATCGAACGCCCTTGGTCGCTTTGCAATGTCGAGTCGGTTCGTGCCATGTTGAACTTATGGAGGAAAGGACTCATGATGGCAGATCTCGTCAGGTCACCAGTCTCACTATGAAAGTTCTGTTAGTATTGTCCCTCCATAATAATGCTTCCTTGTTGATGGGTACCTAGGTAGGTTTCAAAGGGGGAACATGGAGATACTTACTGAATACCAACGATATATGAATCTAAATCGACCAGACTACTGTTGGTATTCTCTTCGTCTGGTATAAATGTAGCATGAGTGGCAATAGAACCACCATTCCCGCAATCGTGAAATGTGAGCTGACCCGCCATTACTGGAGCCATAAATCGGGTGCTTCTCAACGGAAGACTGAGTACGGCAAGGGCACCGCCTCGAGACTGTCGAGCATGATTGCCACACATCGTTCAGATTAATTCTTAGGGGTTAGTCTTTAAAGAAAGAAGTAAGGAGTTCCTTGGCTTTAATTTATAATGGCAACAATATGATAATAGACATAAGATGTTGATAGTGTCTGCTACAAAAGAAAAGCTGATTGAAATATGATAATTTATAAGACGTTCAGGGGTCTAACGACTGAATCTATTTTGAGGAACACAATGAATTGAATATAGATAGATGACTTGTGTGTATTATAAGTAAATATATTTTGCTTGATAACGATTCAGGAGTGAGGACATGAGCAAGGACACGAGCAAGGACCTGTTTTAACCTGTTTTCTGTTCTCTCGGCCCTCAAGGTTCCATGATGTAGCACACACCAACAATGCGAAAACCACAATAGGCGCTACGCTAATATTATCGATCATTTCCATTCCAAAATATTCCCTGTCATGTAACTCTACAGGTAAATGTAAGTATATTAGGTACCCACATAAAGGGGAAAGCGAGGGAGTTGAGGTTGTTACAGATTTTACACGTAAGGTGAGCAAGTTTGCGCTCTTTGAGGCCGTTTCGTGGCCCACTTCCGGGAAACTGTCGCACAAACACAAAGTTTAGTTAGTACATATGAGGTAACCAATCATCGTCGGCCGTTGCTACCCTTATTATAACTGCTAGGTGAACGTACCTTCTAGAGTCAGATTCTGAGGTAAAGAAGACGTAAGAAGATGAGAGCGCGGGGAAAGAGGACCTTGATGGTCATCTCGCAGTTGCTGTCCCTTTTGTGCTTGTCATCATTACCTTACCTTAGATGCCTTAGGTACCTACCTACCTCCTAAGGTAGAGCATAGGTCTAGGTAGTCACCACCAAAAGAGCTTTCCATCTTCCATCCTCGAGCACATTACCTTTAATTTGCCCTACCTTGTCCGTCATTCTCACTCCTACATGCTTATACCTCTTATCAACCCATCCCAAAACTAATTACTCTGCATCACGGGCGAAGATATCAATACCTACCTAGCCTACCAAGGTATCTACATCGCCTAGACTGACCATATCGCAACACTTGCATCTATCTCCGTCAACTCTTCCTCTAGCGGATATCCACCAGCGCACGTCTCAAAATGGCCGCAAAGACATACTCGCTCCCCCCTCTTCCGTACGCGTACGATGTAAGTCTCACTAGAAGTCGTAGCCAGTGTATCTTGCTCCTCCAGGTAAACAGGATGTTTTATATTGATCAGAACATGTCTCTAGGCTTTGCAGCCCGCCATCTCCAAGCAGATCATGGAGCTGCACCACACTAAGCACCACCAGACCTATATCACGAGCCTGAACAAGGCTCTTGAGTTATATGCCAAGGCCCAGGCGGAGAGTAGACTGCAGGATGCTGCGGCCCAGTTGCCAGCTATCCGTTTCAACGGCGGCGGCCACATCAATCATTCGTTGTTCTGGGAAGGTCTAGCTCCTTCTTCTTCTGGCGACTCGAGGATTGATGCTGTTGCTCCTAAGCTCGAGGCTGCTATCAAGCGTACTTGGGGTACCTTCGCCAAGTTCCAGGAGGTCTTCGGTGCAGCTCTGCTAGGCATCCAAGGGAGCGGCTGGGGTGTAAGTGATTTCTCCAATTATCCCACCCTTACCCTTATTGCTTGACGACGTCATTTCATCAAAGACACTCGCTAATTTTGCACGACGACACAGTGGCTCGTCAAGGAAGCTGTCACCGATCAGCTTCGCATCGTGACTCTCGCAAACCAGGAGGCGGTTGTCGTAGGTGACACTCCCCTCGTCGGCGTAGACATGTGGGAGCACGCCTACTATCTCCAATACCTCAACGGAAAAGCTGCTTACGTTGACAACATCTGGAAGGTGATCAACTGGAAGACTGCCGAGGCGCGATACACTGGAAGTAGGGATGACGCCTTCAAAGCTTTGAAGGCTAACATGTAAAGGTGAATAACTCTCTAGTTGACGGGTATGTGGTAGATGATTGCCATATACATATTATTGGCTAATGAATCGAGAAACGTACCAACCACATCACATCCATCGTATCGCATCTAACTGCGTAACGACGCCAAAATACTGTGCGAATATACATCGTTTTAACAAATGCATTCAAGCACCTAGACTTCTACTTTACTCATTAGCGTACCTATATGGAAGTTATCTTTAACTAAAAATTTAAGGATACCTGCCTTAGGTATACATCATGCCTCTGCGGTTTTATATATGGCGTAAATCTATTACGATAGAGAAAAGTCACCTTAAATAAGGGGGAAAGTACATATGTACCTCCTAACCTAGAATCTAGAAAGTGCGCATCACAGTACAATACCTCCTAGGGTAGGTACAATACGATGTACCTCAGGTAGTCCCTACTGCCGTGTAACGTTAGATCGCCTTTAGTGGCGCCCCACGTAAAAGGTAGCTACCTGCACCTAAGAACCCCACCAGTCTTTAATCCACTATCAGTATGTCTATTAAAAAACTTACCGGGGATCTTTCGTCGCGTTCTTGACGTCTTCACGCGTTAAGCTAGATTCGAGCGCGAATTCCACCATCATGCCACCGAATACACTCCAGCCAAGTTCTTCCCCTCTTTCTTCACCCGATTCCTACGCGACAGCAACCGAGACTCCACGGAAGCAATTGGGCGTTACGGCAACAGAAATCGGCAGTCCTACCGCCAACGGTGGAGATGCAACAGACAAATCCTACAGCAAGGCTAACCAGCTACCGCCGGAACTCAAGCAGCACTGCCAAATCTATTTAGAGGAGAATTTATGTATGCCCTATTTCCTTGGTCGGATTAACGGCAGATAGTTTCAACTAACCACAATCTGCTTCTTAGATCTAATCACTCTGAATCTTCTCAATAGTCTATTGTCATCCAGTCGCGGAGGTCCAAACGATCCTTATTACTGTCCCCCGCCGAGTCAACTATCGCTACTCGCTACCGCCGTCGTGCACCCGAAATTCACAACTAGACCGAGAGAAGAAGGCTGGTCCGAGGTATCTGCCGAGTCGCTCGTCTACTTGCGAAATATTCTCTCCTGCTTAGGACCTATCAATGGTCGGTTTAAGGAAGCTTTCCGTTTCATTAGCACCCCGCGAAGTGGAACACCGGATTCATATTCTGACGATCAAGGTTACGGCGGTGACGATGATTCTGCAGAGGGTACCTATGCGCATATGCGACGTCGGCATCACCAAGATGGTCTGTGGCGGCGAGCACAGGACTTCTTCCATGTGGTCGGCTGGGCATTTAATTGCAGTGTCCTCTATCCGAACCGTTGGCGATACTGGAGACATTGGCTCGAATTCATGATGGACCTGCTGGAGCAAGATCTTATAGAGCGCCATAGACTGGATGTCGAAAGTGGCGAGGCGGACTGTCCTCTGCTCCGGGATTCAATTCTGGCGGGTTACATTGCTGAGCGTTCTGGACGGTCTGCGGGAGGGCTTAAATCTATTATGGATGCAATATTTGCTGATGGCAGTGTCGCAGCGAGTTCTCGATTTCAGGAAATCTGGCAAAAGGAACACAAGGAAGCTCCCAAGGATACCGCCAAAAAGAGGAAGCGCGAAACAGTGAACATCGAAAAGGGTAACTTTGGAGGCTGGTTGGACGACGAATCGGTCTACTCTTCTCAGACATCTGAACCGCCGACCCCGCAAAAGCGAAGAACAATCTCAGGCGGCTTAGGAGATCCGGATTTCCAAGCGTTGGAGCCTGCCTACGTAGAATCAATCCCTCTTCGACAACGTCTGTTCTCCTTGGTATGTATTTCTTCAGCGTTATTGGTATATGATGAAAACCTAGGCTAATAACAGAAACAGTTGTCACATCTCTGCCACTACCTCCCAGGGCCTCCAATCGACCTCTCTGAGCTTTATCAGAGGTTTGAGACTACAGTCAAATCCCTTCCTCTACCAATCTTTACCGCGTTTGTAAATAATCGAACATCGGTTCTCAAACTAGAGTCGCAAATATCAACGCTACAAGGTATCATATTACTCTTAATGCCTTCATCAGCCATTTCACCAGCCAAAGTTGACCGCACCTGGCAAGACGCTGATGGCATTACTACCGAAATCATGGAACGATGTTTTCTTCCTTATCCTGCGAACACCATCGCAGTCGAAGACAACGCGAAAGTGTCCATATTGCTTGAAAACTTGCTTCAGATCCTATGGTGTGAAGGTGATGGAAAACTGAGCGAAGGCCTTAGGACAGCTGTTGAGAAAGGAATTGCCGCGAGGGAGGCAAAGATTAAAAGGAAAAAAACATCGGTGAGGGGTCGAATGAATATGGAGGATCCAGATGTGGAGGCGCGCCTGGTTTTAGAAATGTCAGGGGAGCGGTTACGGGCATTACTTGAACTAATCGAAATGGAGGGCAACGAAGACGATGTCAAAGTAGTTGAGGCGATGGACGAAGATGAAGACGAAGGTATGTACATGATATCAGAAAACGACCTTTCCATACCTTGTCGACGAGTACTGATCAACCCTATCTAGGTGATATTGACGCAACTTTCATGACGGCCGCGGATGTAATGGAAAAAGATGAAGATGGGGACAAGGACGACGACGAGAAGCTATGTTGTCTTTGCAGGAGCAAGGAGTCCGGCGATATGATCGCCTGTGGCAACCAAGACTGCTCGTACGGATGGTTTCACTGGAAATGCGTGGGTATCAAATCAAAACCGAGAGGTAAATGGGTTTGTCCCGAGTGCGCACGGCCCAAGCGCGGAAAAAGAAGGTAGTCTTTGGTTTCAGGGTTTCCGATGAAACTGAAGAGGGTAGGTATGATTAAGGGTAGCCGTATTTACACAGAGATGGGTGGAAAGAATTAGTGTTTTATTTCATTTTAATCTTAGGCGGCTCTAATGATGGCATCGGTGTCTGTTAATGTAACATGGGAACCCATAGCTGCCGTCTGGTTACGCTATTTACATGATAACGTTATTATGATATACAAAGATAATGTTGCTTGCGCAAGCAGCATTATAGAGCTACATCGTCCGGGTTTTCTGCACACCTCTCTCACTGTTTCTTCACCGGCATCGGATTCCATGCTTCCGGTTGCCAAGTTTCACTAGGACCGCTGCTTCGTGCGCGTTTCCAGGGATCGTCCTTTTGCTGGGTGACTTCCTCGCGTTCGTTCCGCGTAGGAGACTCGCGGGCCGCACGCTCTTGGGGCTGCGTGCGACCGGTGTTGAGCGGAGGGATCGGTTGGCCCCTCTCGTGGCCCGGCATGTCGATCAGGCTGGGCTTAGCCTCCCAGCGCGCATCGGCTTCAGCAGCAAGAGCTTTAATACGCTCCTGACGAGCGATATCGCCGACCTGCTCGTCCAGGGTTGGCGGCTGGTCCCGCATGTAGCGTAGCCACTGGTGCCATGCAGGCGGTACCTTGACCTCGCTGTAGTGGGTAGAGCGCGGATACTGGACGATGCGCCGGAGCCGGGATTCCGGCGCGGAGGGATCGCCGCGGACTAAGCGGAATTCCCAATATGTGTTGCCTTGAAGATCGAGTCCTAATGAGAGGGAAAAGAAAAAAAGGGAAAGAACGTAAGTTAATCATTCTTGAAAATAAATAAATGAATGAATAAATAAATAAACATGTAAATTTTTTTTTTTTTTTTGTTTTTTATATTAAAAAGAAAGGCTACTTGGGTGAGCTGATAGGATATAGGAGCTTACCGACGAGAAACCGTTTCCTCCACGGTAGACGGAGAGCTTTCCACTGATACCAGGCCTTTCGTATAGGACCTATTTGCTTTATGGTCGACATTGGAATAGGTATATTTACATAGCTGACCAGAAAACCCGGTAGAGGTAGGTAACGATATTTTTAATATCTTGTAGAGGTTTGTGTTTTAATGACCAGGAGCTATGAGATTGGAAGCTACCCAAGCTATCGACGCGACAAGGTTTATTTAATTATCGATAACATGTAGTTCAGGTCGAACGTCGACGTCAGAATTATTGAAGATACGATAAGATAAGCATCTTGCACCGCCACATGGGTATACCCACATATCGCAGAATATTGCAGCACATACGTACACAATGTAAGTAATATCCAATCGATTTATGCCGATGGGAAACGTCATCCCTGTCGCGCAGCCTACATATGTACCTATTTCCCAATTATGCAATGGGGGTAGTGGGGGCTTGCAAACCTGCTGCCTTCATATTCCTCATTAAGATGGCGCAACTGTCTTCTCAACTTCTTACATGTACCTAATCTTAATAGACGCCTGGCCGCTCAAGTTGAAACTATTCAAAAGTTCAACGCGTCGTCAATTCTCATAATTTATACCGTTTTTAACCACTATCCCTTACCTGTTGCAGCTTCATCTTGTCACTCCTTCTTCAGCCCGCATGCCAATCACGTCGCTGGTGACGTCTCATCTCATCTCTCATCTCATCTCGCGCATCCTCCATTCCCAGTAACAATTCTCCGAACTGCGTGAAATCACTATAGCCAACACAGCACTACATCCTTCCATACCTCATATAAATTACTTATTGTGTCAATAATTATTTCGCACATTTAATGACTAGTTTATCTAATCAAATTGATCACCGATACTTATTTGTTAAAACCCAGCAACCACTGCGCATCGGATCCACGCGTCTAGAGTTGTGAGATACCATGGCATCAGTAACGTCCTTGGATAAGGACTTGCGAAAGTTGCGCCTCGAAAAGTACACACCCGCCGCTGCGAACGAGGCCCGGTCGTGGATTGAGAGCGTGTTAGGTACCACACTTCCATCCAACGATCTTCTCGACGGGCTGAAGGATGGCGTTGCCCTATGCAAGTATGTTGAAGCATACCTCTTACCCCAATCCTACTATGTCTCCCTGGTTTGACTAACGATTTCTCTTGATTCAAGACTTGTCAATCTCGCCATTGGCCCTCCCGGCGTTAAATTCAAACAATCCTCTATGCCCTTTATGCAGATGGAGAACATCTCCCATTTCCTTCGTGCCTGCCAGTCGCCACCCCTGAACTTACAAGATCACGACGTATTTCTCACGGTCGACTTATACGAGCGCAAAGACCCTGCCCAAGTCCTCCAATGTCTAGGCGCTTTCTCTCGTGCCGCGCATGCTATTAATCCCTCCGCATTTCCCTCCCCTATCGGACCGAAGGCAAAAGTCTCTACCACCATGAGCCCGCAAAGTACTGGTCCGACAACACCGCGCAACAGAGGACTGTCTAATGCCAGTAACAATTCGTCCAACTATGGCTCACGGTCGGGTATAACTCCTTCAAAAACTGGCGACTCGGGTTTGGGACGTTGGAGTCCTACCAAGAGTCCAACCTCAGCGAGCGAACGTGTATCGTCACCGTCCGTATCTAGTTGGAGCAAGAGAGACCTGGAAGGAGTTACAAGCCCCGCGTGGAATATTGCGCAATACGGTTATTTGGGCGGTGCGAGCCAAGGCAATCTAGGTATATCCTTCGGGGGGCGGCGGCAGATCACGAGCGCCAGTCCCCACGTCCTGACTTTGGCCGATAAGGAGCGCAAGCGCAAAGAGCAGGAAGCTGAGGCCGAACGACAAAGGTTACAAGCGGAAGAGGAGGAGCGTATTCGTAAGGCCAAGTTAGAAGCCGAAGAGGAACGGGCACGGCTGGAAGAGGAGAGCAGATGGGAGGAGGAAACGAGGCGACTGCGCGCGGAGGAAAAGCGTAAGGCAGAAGAAGAGAAGCGTCGATGGGAGGAAGAGGAACGCCAGTGGAAAATAACAGAGGAAAAGCGAAGGAGGGAGGAAGAGGAAGCAGAAGCGAGGTTAGCCGAAGAACGCCGTCGTGCGAAAGCACAAAACGACACCCGATTACAAGGTCAATTCCTGAGCCAATACCAAGCCGAAAACGGTATCGCGCCGCAAAGGAGTGGCGAAGGTAGATATAGCGATCGCATAAAACAATTGGAGCAAGAACTAGAATTAGCAAGGAAAAGGGAGATGGAGTATGAGGAAGAGCGACAGAGGCGGTTGCCCAACCGAGCGCGGTCTCGCAGTCGGCCTAAAAAGGCAGAATCTAGACCACCAAGTCGCCAAGACTCCTGGCGACCGAAAGACGAGCGCGAGTTCCTTAGTACACAATGGAACCGACGCCAACAAGAACAGCGAGAGCGAGAGCAACAACAGCAAGAACAACAGAACGATATTGCTCCCCCGCCTCCGCCGCGTCCACTTCCCGTTCCTGGATTGGTCCCACAGGTAAAGACCAATCGTACAGGAGAACAACCACCGCCTGTTCCCGTTAAGCCCCAAAGAACTGGAGAGGGTAGGCCCCTACCCATTCCGGACCGGCTCAATAACCATGTAATTGGTGGTTCGAGCCCAAATCCAACGTCACGACCTCTCCCCGTTCCATCCCCAAATTTCAACGGTAATCGTACGGATCGCTTCCTCTCCTCCAACCTGGCACCTGCTCCTGCTCCTCCTCAGCAAACATATTCCCGCGAGCTCGAGGCTACTGCAGAACGTGATGCTGAGGACAGGCGACGAGCCGATTCGCAAGCTAAGACGAAGGCTGGCGGTTGGGCTAGCAAATCCCTACTAGAGCGAGAGATGGAGATGGAACGGCAAAGACAGCGCGAATGGGAAGAAGCGCAGCGAGAGACGGCCAAGGCGGTCAGAGCAGGCGATGGTGTAGATGGTATTGGCGGTGGGGTTGGTGGACGGTGGGACGTCAGCCAGTGGAGCGGATATACTGGCGGCGACAGCCAAAATAAGGGGTCCGCAGGCATCGGGGCTGGGAGGAGACAAATTGTCGGACCTAGGCCATTACCAAGCAGGCCCGGATCATAAACTGTTTTTTTCTTCCCTATGAGGAATTAGTTGTTCTCTCTGTTCTCTAACGATATACTTGACTTGAGATGATTCAAGGAATAGAGAACAGGTAACGGCATTATGCAAATGTGTTCTACCTATTATCCAGGGGTGAACGTTTTATTGGCCGAAATCGGCGCGCTGTTGGCTTCTTTTATAGCAACGCCTACGATGGAGAAGGAGAAGTGGTTAACCAAGATTTAAGCTGTACATAAGCTAGATTTCATTCGAAGCGGAAGATAAAGGGGCTTCATATTTGCGGTATAAGTGATCCCCTGTTTTTTTTTAAATCAGATTTTATTCTATTAAGTATAAGCTGAGTTGCGGTTGTGACGAATGGGTGCTGCCCATCAGTAAATGGCGCGTTTATGTATCATAGAAAACCGTTAGAATACGACTTCTCAACTTGAATTCTCTTCGCATTACGCGTCCTAATATTGCGCGACATGTCGTTCATATTCTATACTACCTCCTATTACATACGAGTTACCTATGTACTAGTTGACCCTGTTTCCTCCCTTTTTTATAATACTGTATACTGACAAACTTATCAGAGTCGAAAAGAACGGCTCTTGTTACATGATTTCGGTTACAGTGAGACTATGTGTTAGGATACATAAAATAGGTACATTGCTTCCCACATCATTACCCACTAGGTACCTACCTACTTGGTTATAAACTCAGCGTCGGGAAGTCAAGGCGCATGATGCGAGTCTCATCCCCTCGGACGAATAAATATTATCTTTTCCCCTACTATAACCGAACTACCGATTGCGCGTCTGTCGTAGATCTTATATCGCTATCGTCCATGGAACTTTTGAGCCAGCAGTAATTAAGATCCGTCCCCTGCGGTCCTACGTCGTACCATATAGCGCCTGTACAACGCGTGTTCTTGGCGCATAGCGACACGCACTCCGGCATCGATGAGGCCTTGAGGTTTTCGATATCGCGGCCCTGGTGCGCTACGTCGCACTCGATTCGGAACTTCGCCCCTGTGCCTGGGTCTGTGTATATGCTTCCGTCCGCGCCGAGACAGCTGCGCGCTGCTGCGCTTGGAGTAGCTGTGGGCTTGCCGCTCGTACTCGATGACGAGGAGGGAGTAGTTGGGGGAGTGGTCGTAGGATTTGAGGGGCCTGTGGTCTTGGTTGAGTTAGTAGCGGACGATAGTAGTAAGCCTACCATAACACTGAAGTCTAGAGGATAATACAAGCAAGACTGCTGCTTACTTGATTTTCGCCTACGGCGGGTGATGGTGTAGCCGACCTATCGATTCGGAGTTTTTGTTAGCGGGCTTTTCACGTCGACGATGGAGATATTTGGGAGGTGCTTAGAAGATATCCGCTTACGAAGCCTTAATAGATTGGTTTCTTTGGGTCACTCCTACTGCCGCGCCGACGGCCGCTCCCACAAACGCTACTACAAACATGGAGATCAAGAGTAACCAGAATACTCTCTTTCGAAACCCGAGGATAGTCTGTGGTTTAGAGGTGGTGGTGGCAGCATTCTCGTTCGCTTCCGCATTCCAACCGTCATGTTTGTCCTTAGTATAATCATCCAGGGCGTTTATAGTCTGGGGCTCATGGAAGACCTCCTTTCCCGGCGGGACGGTTCGAGGATCGGGCGAGCCGATTTCGATTCCTTCCGCGGGCGGATGAAGTTCTGGTGCTAAGGCTCCGTTGTCAAGGATCTTGCTCCCACCACCCCTGAGCACGAATCTCTTCTTAGCATCGTCATATTCTGGAGCTGGCGAGTCCTCTCCGGCCCGGCCGAGACGGCCTCCCTCGGCGCAGTCCCAACAAACAGGCGCGCCCCTCCCGTCCGAATTGTGCGGGCAGACGACGTTGGAGTCGAACTCCGGAGCCGTATTGTGAGCCATGTTCCGTCCCGTCAGCGTGGTCGTACTGCGTCTACGTCTACGTCTCGTCTTGTCTACTAACGAGGAAACGCCAAGCTACGGGCGCGCGCGACGTGGGAATGGATACGTATACCACCAGAAGCAGAACCCCGAACTTCGAGGCGAAACGCAGTAAAAACTACATACAGAAGGTTCCCAAACGCTGCGGAAGGAAATCGGAGGGAAAAGGGGAAAATAAAAAGAAGAAGAAGAAAAAAAACTAAAAATAACCGCCCTCCTCCCCATTGGAGATTAATCGAACGAAGAACCAGGTATTCTTTTGTCCATGCAGTTTACTACCTACTACCTCCTATGTAAAACCATCACGGGACGCTACTGACGGATGGGGGTGCCATTCGATGCTACGCTCGAGGTTCCATTGGGGGCTGAGGATTTCAGCTCAACGCACGAGAACGCTTCGTATAACATGCAAGCTAACCTTAGGTAGGTACCAAGAGATGTTGAGAGGAAATGTGAACTTGGTATTTGCGCAAACGCCATACCGAACTGTTGTAGATATCTTGGAATATAATCGGTAATGTAGGTTGGGAGCATAATAAACTACCAGGTACCTACCTAATATACCTAGCTCGAGACTTCATTTATATGTCCGTCATGGCAGCATTTAAGATGAACTAATATATGAAAAATCGAATAAAAAGAACATTGAAGTAGCTAACTACATTTAATTGGCCCGTTAATATATGGCAAGATCTGGTTGAGCTTTCCATTCCGGGGAATTTTGCCCGAGCTACGGATCCGTAGACGCTATTCCGTAACCAGTACTAGTACGACGTGCAGGGATCTAATCTATGAGGATCTATCCAATCAGCCAATCTATAAGCGGAGTCTGCCCTGACATGTGGCGTCAGTAGTGTCAGTTAGCTTCCACTTCGGTGATGTCAGAGCCTTAAATAATTGCCCATAAGAGGTACATATGTCTTCTATTTCACCAACCAAAATCACATGTATCATTTCTTTCTATTTCATGACTTTTAAGCTACTACATAGTATAATCAACCTTTCTATATTATCCACCTAAGCATCATTCAGATATGCTCTGGTTAAATATCATTAACCATGCATTTGATAATATCGCAAACCTTTCGAGGGACAATGCCTCATGATTTAACTCCGTGTCCGCACCTGCAAAATTGCAGACCGCGACCTTGAATAACCCTATCTAAGGCTTGGCCGAAGCCAATGATGACTCGGTCTCGACGTCACCGTTAATTATTTGCCTAGGTCGGTCTCAACAGACATGAGATTCTAACTTAAGCCGCTGCTGTATTCGTAGTCTCGTCTACAATAATCCCATATGAAGAATATGAAGCATCAGCTTCGTTTCTCAATAAACTAATCTAATAATGCCCCCAGTCGAATTAGATAAGCCTCCAATGGCACCGATAAATGCCGAGACATCTGAACAAGATCAAGTTCATGAATGCGAAATACCTACTTCGCGTAAAAGAGCCTTATCAGACGGAGTACCAGATCAGTTTAAAAGTTCCCTGCCCACTGAAGGTCGCAAGTCTAGGTCAGAACCCATGAAAAGGCCACCTCCCAAGTTATCGCAGTCTTCATCCAACCTCCAACGAAACCAAAGTTCGACTTCTATATTTCCGGCCTCCCCTCTTATGAGACGAACAGGAACAAATGTTTCTATACTTGATATGGCATTGCGACGTGGTTACGACGCGAAAAATGACGAGGATACATCAGACTCATCATCGTCTGAAGATGAAGATGGCGAAATCACTGCCGAGGCACGTGAAGATGGCTCCCCAGGAAAGCCAAAGCGGAGAACATCCTATGATAGATCCTGGTGCTTTCGAGTAGTAAATGATTTATATCGAACGAAGGGCAAAGTATCCAAGAAAGATGGTCGGCTGAACATCACAGTGAATGACATTACTAATACCGGATACCTTGCAAAGGCGATTGGTACTGCTGTGAAGAAAGTTGCGCCTAAGAGAGCGGAAGAAGGGGAAACTGGCAAACGGCTAGCCTCCTCACGGTCACCATCACCTGCCACGACAGCACCAGAAAAGTTGACCGTACCCAAACTGAACATAGTAATCATGGTTATTGGCTCTAGAGGCGATGCTCAACCGTTCTTGAAGATAGGAAAGGTACTAAAAGAGGAATATGGTCATCGAGTACGTATCGCTACTCATCCAGCCTTTCGCGACTTTGTCGAAAAAGATTCGGGTTTGGAATTCTTCTCTGTCGGGGGCGATCCTTCAGAACTGATGGCCTTTATGGTTAAAAATCCCGGTATGATTCCGACCCTCGAAACAGTGAAAGCCGGCGATATTGGACGGAGACGTGCCGCGATGGCGGAAATGTTTGATGGATTTTGGAGAGCTTGTATTAATGCGACCGACAACGAAAAAGACACGCACGATGTCAATATGACGGAAGAAAAGGATCCATTTATCGCAGACGCCATCATTGCAAATCCACCTAGTTTCGCGCACATGCATTGCGCTGAAGCTCTAGGTATTCCCCTGCATCTCATGTTTACTTTTCCCTATACACCTACGCAAGCTTTCCCTCACCCGTTGGCTATTGTCAAGAAATCCAACGTGGACCCAGGGTATACTAATTTCATTTCTTATGCCCTTGTTGAAATGATGGTCTGGCAGGGACTGGGAGATCTAGTCAATAATTTCAGAATTAAGACCTTGGGGCTTGATCCGGTATCTACCCTATGGGCCCCTGGAGCGACGTACCGTCTTCATGTGCCCTTTACATATTTATGGAGTCCAGGACTGGTGCAGAAGCCTGAGGATTGGGGTGAGGAAATCGACGTCTCTGGGTTTGTCTTCCTCGATCTTGCATCTTCCTTCAAGCCACCAAACGACCTTCTAAAGTTCCTTGAAAATGGCGAGACGCCGGTCTACATAGGCTTTGGATCGATTGTAGTCGATGATGTCGAACGCTTCACGGAGATGATTTTCGAAGCTGTAGAGCTGGCTGGAGTTCGAGCTGTGGTATCGAAAGGCTGGGGTGGTTTGGGACTGGTTGATGTTCCTGATAATATTTACATGCTGGATGACATTCCGCACGATTGGCTTTTCCCAAGGGTTCGGGCCTGTGTCATTCACGGTGGTTCCGGAACCACTGCCATCGCACTCAAATGCGGCAAGCCCACTATGGTTGTGCCTTTCTTTGGGGATCAGCACTTTTGGGGTTCAATGGTCAGCAATGCAGGTGCTGGACCGATACCAATCCCATACAAGAGGTTGAATGCCGCTGCATTAGCAGGAGGAATCAAATTCTGCCTCACTGACGAGGCCCTTAAAGTAGCAGAGAAGATATCTAAAGACATCGAACTAGAAGGAAAAGGCGCACAGAATGCGGTTAAGGCCTTTCATCAAAATTTAACACTATGCGGAGAGAATACCATGCGATGTTCAATTCTGGATGAGCGCGTGGCAGTTTGGAGTGTTAAGAAAACGAGTATCAAGCTTAGCGCTCTGGCAGCCTACATCGGTGTTAGCCGGGGATTAATATCTTGGCAGAGACTACGTCTACTTCGACATAAGGAATGGAACGACTTTGAGGGACCTGGCGAACCTGTTACGGGAGTTGTCGGTTCTCTGGTTGGGACAGTTGGTGACGTGTTTAAGGGGGTAGGGAGCGTTCCACACAGGCTGGCGAAAACATCGCATAATAGAGCCGAACGGAGGAAAAGGAAGGAGAAAAGGCGACAGCATAAGCAAGCTACGCTAGCCAAAAATTCAAACGGATTCCCGTTCCCAAAGCAAACAGAAGAGGCTTCGGATTCTAATATGAATAGAAACGACCGTCTTCAACGCGATTCGAGTTATGCGACTACACCCGCATCAGCCCCGCTTGAGCCTTCCCAGGAAGAGTACCTGAACGAAATAGAGGAGGGAATAGGTAAAACTGGCCGAGCCTTAGCGCATGCACCTGTCGATCTTTCGCTTGCGCTCGCGCAGGGCTTTCATAACGCTCCTCGTCTGTATGGTGACGAAACGGTCAGACATCCAATTCGGGTCACGGGAATCCGGTCAGGACTCAAAGCTGCAGGGTATGAGTTTGTATACGGTATCTACGATGGTTTTACTGGGCTTGTGCGATTGCCGATACGCGGAGCTAGAGAAGATGGAGTCAAGGGTGCCCTGGCGGGTGTCGGCATGGGATTAACGGGATTCATACTGAAAAACATATCGGCAGTATTCGGCCCAATAGGCTACACCCTCAAAGGTATTTCCAAACAGATGGACCACGGAAAGCAGCCTCTGAAACATCTCCGGCGCGCGCGTATAATTCAAGCGCAGCGAGAGCTCTCCGTCCTGACCGAAGCCGAGCACAAGGCGGCAACTGATAAGGTTTTCAGAGGCTGGCAGGTTATGCATCAGTTAGCCGATATTATCATATGCGAGAGGGAGAAACGACGATTTATACCACGCTTTACCAGGAAAAGAAAGAACGCGAAGAAGGTCAAGTCGCTGGGAAAATACGGCAGAGTCCCCGCGTGGGAGAGCGTTACGGCTGTGGAGGAAGCTATCGAGGCTATTGGGCGAGGAGAGAATATTGATGTCGTTCTTAGGAAGCACAGTAGAACCTCTGCATGTAAAGAGGGCTGAATAAGAACTGGCTTTGCGGTTGTCGCAATGTTGCCGATAATGGGGCGAGAGACTGGAGGCACCAACTAATCAAACATAACAACCGACGTAAGCTAATTAATATACCGATTTTGGATTAAGGAAGATATCTCTATTATCTGTACGATCATGTGCTGGCACTGGCGATACTGGTTAGCAGAAAACCTGAGAGTGCACGATTTCATGAATACAAACACTAGCAATATCGGATAATTTTCTCATTCACGACGGGTAAATTCGACTCTATTCTCAACTTAAAACTACGATGAGTATTTTCTCTCTCTCTCGAGTAGTTGAAAGTCTAGCATGAAAAGGGGATATCACCGAAGGTCATCTCCTACGTTGGGCTAGGTGAAGTATCATTGCGGTTATGTGTTAACGGCATCACATCACCTCCTTACTACAACTCATCTACCTACAGAGCGAAAATTAACAACCCCAGCGCTATCTGGTAGAGCTAGTTATAGGATCATATGCGACTGAACACGGGCACCATGGAACTGGCGATAGCTGAAAAATGCATGCATGTGCATGCATATGTGTAAGACTGAGGACCGGGCCCTTAAGATAATCCCCACCCAATGAGAGGCGCAAGATATAGATCGCGGGAATACCGCGGGTGTCTTGTCTAATAGGACGAGCGAAAAAAGAACAAAAAAAAAAGGAAGAGGAGTGGTAGATTCTGCGATCGGATGATACTTAATGATAGGTAGCCTCTTTCTCAAACGTACTCGGCGTGAAGCAATTCCCCTTAAGCGTGAAAAAGTACGATGCAAAGCTAGTTGATCATAGCCATATCGCGATAATCCGATCAAGGTCGCTTTCCCAAATAGGGAATGAGTCATGCCGTTCTGGCTGACATGTTTATCTTTTTATAAATCTGACTGCTGAGCACACGAATAAGGGACCTATATAAGAAAAAAAAATAGTATCAATCAGGAATACCATCTGAGTCTTCAATATTCAGTCTGTCGACTCAACCTGATACTCTATCAACTCGGCTTAAAGCGCTGGAATCCCCATCTCGCAATAAACATCACCATATCCCAAACTAGGAGGGACTACCTACCTGTAGGTACCTGATATAATATATACCTACCCAGGTACCTTATATATACCAGACACCTCATATAACTGCACCACCATGGCAGACAACACCACCACCACCCCACAATCACCGCCAACACCAACACCTACACCTACACCCATAGTCACAACAGACAAATGCATAATACGCGCATACGTCCCCAGCGACGCCGAGGCCATGGCCGCCGCCGCCAACTACCCGGAGATCGCGCAGTACATGCGCAACACCTTCCCGCACCCGTACACGCTCGAGAGCGCGCGGTACTGGATCGAGCAGTCGACGCGCGCCTCGCCGACGGTCAACTTCGGCATCTTCACGCCCGGGGCGGCAGCGGCGGAAGAGGAGGAGCAGGGCGGCGGTGGTGGTACCTTCGCGGGCGCCATCGGGCTGATCCCGCGCGCGGACATCGAGTACCGCACCTGGGAGGTCGGGTACTGGGTGGCCATGGACCACTGGGGGAAGGGCATCGCGACGAGCGCCCTCAAGGCCTTCTCCGCCTGGGCCTTCGAGCAGTTCCCCGAGCTCCTGAGGATCGAGGCCGGCGTCTTCAGCGAGAACGTCGCTAGCCTGAGGGTTTTGGAGCGCGCGGGTTTCACGAGGGAAGGGCTCAGGAGGCAGGCTATTTGCAAGAAGGGGAAGATTATAGACCAGGTCACGTTTAGCTTGCTTAGAGACGACCTGAGAGATTTGCATTGAGTCTACCTAAATGCGATATCTTAGTATGGACTAAGAGGGGGGTATGACCTATCTTAGGAAAATGCTAGGCAGGTAAATAGGTAGACAGCTCCGGGGCGTCATTTTGGAGTTTAAGAGTTTTAATCGCCGAATCAGAGTGAGACTACCAAGGAGTACTCGCATGAGGAGACCTGTATGTATCAATAGTCACTATAGTCATCATAATCGCCGTCGTCATCATAGCTACTATCATCGTAACCACCATCGTCGTAACCGCCGCTGTCATAACCACCACCGTTGTCATAGCTATCGTAATTATTACAGCCATCATTGTCGTTACAGCCGTTATAACCGCCATAGTCGTGGCAGTCGCCGTAGCCGCCATGGCCTCCGTAACCATTCCGGTCGCCACAATCTTCTTGACTATCGGGTCCGCTGTAGTACTTCTGTTCATCGAAACACTGGCTCTGAAAGCCGCCTGGCGAATCGGGAAAACCAACGGGGCACCCGTCCTTGATTATGGAACCGTATTCTTCTTCTTCTTCGAAATCCGAGTCTAGCTCGGTAACCCAGCGGTTCAACTCCGGGGACGAGCTCCTATAGTCCATGTCTAGGATGGCAGCCGTCATTATTATATTCTCCTCATGATAATGGGCAGGAAATCCTCCTGATGTGCCATAAAGGTCGCATTGCGAGTGTTCTACACGAGCAATAACTGTGCCGTAATCTACCAAGTCTCCGAATTCATTTTGTGCCTGGGGGTTTTCTGGGGAGTATAATGGGGTACGGTATTCTATACTGGTCTTCTCGAACTCGGCTTCGGATATTTTGAAATCGTCGAATCCGAATTTCTCCAGATCATCCATGACTTGTTGAAACGGATCCGGACTCATAAATTCTTCGTCGTTAGCATCAGAATCTGGATATTGCGAATCCGGGCTTGAGTCCCTGTCGTATTCGGGATATCTCGGGGGCCAAACATGGCTTTTAGAATATCTCTGCAACTCGCGCTGGCTTTGCTGTTGGCCTCCACTTCCGGTACTCCCACTTAGGGGATTACTTTGACCCTGTGATCCAAAGGGATATGTTCCGGGATTTGAAACCTGACCAAGGCTGGCAGGAACATAAGGCACTGAGGGTTTCTGGCTGTATAGCTGCTTGGAGAAAGCTTGTTGAGATGGAGGGCATATTTGGGGGAGCTGGTGGCTCTGTGCACGACTATACGTGTTGGAAGGGACAGGTACGATCTGATGTTGGGCTGCAGGCTGAACATTCTGAGGCATGGATATTTGTCTAGCCTTGGCCAGAAGAATACTCTCCCTTTCGCCAATTTGTCGGAAGAATTCTCCAAGCGTAGTCTTATCTGTAGGCTTTAAAATCTGGGATTGGATTTCTGCATCGAACGCCTCGAAGGCATACAGCAACTGGATCTTAGGTGGTATATCGCAAGCCCTAGCATCTTGAATGATACCGTAAACAAAAGGCTTCAATCGTTTGCCTTGTTTCAAGTCTAACAGTGTGAGGGACGCTGACTTTAGACTCTGCAAAGCCTCGCTGGGTGATTTGCGAAACGCTTTGATGAGTTGGCAGATAATCCTGTCAAGACCCGAGCGTTGAAGAGCATCTCTCTCCATATCCGTAAGCTCCGTGATATACCATGCCAGCGCCGTCTCCTGAAGACAACTTACCCATACTGCCTTGACTATTTTCTCCCCATGAGAGGCCGCGAGCTGTCTTAGGCGATCTGTAAAGGTAAAGACATTGGTAAAGACCGTATATCTTCCTACAGCAACAACACCAGTATTGTGAGGGTCTTTGAGGGAAGGATTGAAGTATCCAACTTCCTTGGGTTTAAGCGTCTCTTTATCAGATTTGGCGTCTTGTTTTAGTTTCAAGGTTTGAGATCTTTTATTTCTGGCGCGTTTGCTAGGTGCACTGGGCCCCTGATTTGGATCGCACATGGTATGATACCGATTTCATGAACAGGTATTGGATCTTCTGGACGCAAAAGGTTTTCCTCCTTTGATGGATAGGCTGATCATTTGGGTAAAGAAAGAAATCTTTGCTTTGCAGAGTGAAAATTTTGTGGAATCCTAAGGAACTCAGGTCAGCGACTTCACCAAATCAAATAAAAGCCTGACCTGACTTGAATTTGACCTGACCTAGCCTGTATAGGCCTAAATTCTACAGTATCTATATAAGCCAAGCTCGATTTTTTTTTTATATCTTAGATAAGGTGAAAATTTTGAGGCTGATATTATTATGTTTGCTAGGTAGTATTTTATGTAGCAAACGTCTATTTTTTCAACGATTTAATATTAAATTACTTGAAAATTCTTATGTTTCTGAGTAGAAAATGGGGTACGTACCTGAGTACGTGCTGAGGCTGGCTGGAATCGTGTTTTTTGATATTACGATGTTGATTTTGGTGTTTTGAAAAAGGTATGTAATCAAAAAGAGGGGGTGGCGGGGCTAGGTGGGTATTGATTTCGGTACGTACCGAATTCGACCAATAGGATCCAACGGACTATTTACATCCGAATTTACCGATATCGATAACACTAGTGCCTCAAGCCAGGCTTACGATACGGTCAAATAAGCCTCTTTTTTCAAAAGACCTGACTCGACCTGACCAGATCAGGCTTTTACGTATATTTGATTTGACCTGATTTGCTGAAGTCGCTGACTCAGGTTATAATACGGTCGGTCATGTTAAGGTACCTGGTAACTCTGCGCAACGCAAAGGAGACATAAACCTCGAATTAATGCCTGAGGAAACCTAGGATTGTAACTTTCCCATCCTGCAACTACCTAATGCAGCCCAATAGGTTACTATGGATGGGAAGTGCGAACAGTAAAGCGATATGGGTAGAAGCTGCCGAAAGAGAGCAAGATAGGTCCTGCCTTGGATGCTTAGGAGTAACCACACTGGTCACATCGTACGACTCTGAGAACATTACTTAGAAGGCATTACGCAGCGACACTTACGGGAATTAACATATGACAGTCTCGTAGAGGAACCAAGACAGATCCAACAGCGCTAATTCAAGCCAGTATTCTTTCAAGTCCCTGTATTGTGGTGTCCCTTCCAAACTATACATGAGTACGAGTTCCTCGGATATAGCTAACACGAGGATGTGATAACGAAAAGCCATTCATGCCTTCGCGCTCAACCCCCACCGTGATGACTTATACAAGCTAGTTTCATCGACATAAAATTGGAAAAAATTGAAAGTAAATAAATAAGGCGCGAATCCTTAAGAAATTCCGAATATCGTGTGTTGCTTTATTTTAAAGCTAACCACCTACTCATCCCTACATCGGCTATACAAGGTAAGCATCGCTCATGTCGTAAGTCCTACCTAACCAGGACGTAATGAACGATATGAGCGAATCATGTATCAAGCTACCAAAATGATGAATGAACCTACTTTATTTATATAACTGAACAAGTCCGTTCCCAAGCCAATAATTAATAACAGCTTTTGTTATAATGACTTTTCATAATAATAAATAAGATATTACTATCAACTAACATACGAAATGGTCCGATCCCCAGCATTCACTCTTCGGTGTCGTGCCCTTCCGATCTCCAAAGGAGTGCCAAGGTCGCGACAGCGTCTCCATCCCTTTTCTACGACCGCATCGCTACGGGGTCCTCTCTTAAACACGCTAAAGCACGACCACCAAGAGCTCGCGGCCTACGCCCCTCATATCGTGCAAAACAAGAATGCAGATGAGCGGACAAGATTCAGAAACCTCTTCGTGTGGGAATTGGCACGTCACTCCATGGCCGAAGAGATCATCATCTACCCGGCTATACAAAAACACGTCGAGAACGGGCGGGACATGGCGAATAAAGATCGCGACCAGCATCAGAGTGTGCGTGGAGTTCTGATTATCCCATACACATCCATACGCACATACATCCATACATCCATACATACACACATGCCATGGAAAGATACCTAGGTACATATCCATATGATACCATAGTACTAACAGGGAACCCCCCCCCTCTCTCTCCGCCTGTACAGATCAAGAAACAACTATACTATCTCCAGAACCTCGGGGCCAAAGACCCCGACTTCGAGCCGACGTTCGATGCGCTCTTCTCGAGCTTGCAGCGGCACGTGGAGGAGGAGGAGGAGCACGACCTGCCGGCGCTCGAGGCCAAGCTCGACGAGGACTCGCTGCTGCAGCTGGGGCGCTCGTTCGACCGCGCCAAGGCTTTCGTGCCCACCCGCAGCCACCCGCAGATGCCGAGGGCTCCGCCCCTCGAGACCGCCGCCGCCCTGCTGTCCGCCCCCATCGATAAGTTCCTAGATATCTTCCGCAAGTTTCCGAAGGTGGATGGGCCGATGCTGTGATCAAGGCAGTAGCAGCAGTAGCAGCAGCAAATTGTATATATAGGTAGGGAAAAAAAGATGGCGCACGGAATTTAAAACTAGAAATAAAATAAATGGGCGTTTCCGGTTCTTGTAGAAATTGAGTATCATGGCGTTAAGAAAAGGTCTGGAAATATATATACCTTATATATAAGTATATATCAAAAGTCGTCAGGTGGTCCTGGAGACAATATCAGGTAACTAAAATATAACCACCGGAATAATCGTAGAAGTAAACCAACCTTCGGAGAATATAGAACTTCTTATTGAATTGTTGATTGACTACCTGAGCTAATTAGTATATGCTTAGACTTCGTTGAAAAGGTCGGTAAGGTATTCGCTACTGATGCTTTATATAGGGCCTTGTTGTCGTCGCTTAAGAACGAAACAGCATGTTGTCTACCAAAGAGTTCGGGTACCCAACCTAAGACTCGCATTTATCTCATCACGGTACGGCCCCCTCGCATCATAACAGGTACCTAACATTAGGTAGTTCCCAACAACCCCGCTGGCCAACCAATACGTTCAAAATAACCCAACCAACGCAAGAAACCTATTATTGCAGACCGAGACTGCGAAGCCGATCCGTCAGTATACGAAGTTGCATCCGGTCCTCGCCATCCAGGCCCTCCGCTTTTCCGAGCTTCTCCGCCGCGGTTAACAACGGCTCCACAAAGCGCTGCCCCACCGCTGCGCCCATTCCGGCCGGCACGAGCTCCTGCAGGCCGGTGAACAGGAAGTAGGCGAAGTTCGCGACTTGGAGGAGGAATAGGTGGTTTTGAGCCCAGAACTCGATGAGTGCCTCGGTGTTTGATTCGTTTAGCGACAGCATGTCTGGGAATAAGAAGTATTGTAGCCGTTCGATGACGTCGGGAGAAGAGAATTGGTTGGATCGCTTGTTTTGCTTCGCAGCGATGAGTTCCTCCTTTAACCACGTAACCGCACATGCTTTGAGTGACGCAAACATGCAATTTTCTAACAGATCCTCGAGAATTTCCAGCCGGGTGTGGTCGTCTGGCTCGGAGTGGAGGAGAGTACCGGCCAAAAATGTAGCAGCGTTCCTGACCTGGATGTCCGGATGAAACACTGAGACGAGTGTCAAATTATGGTGATAGGCCATTAGATTTGTATGATCTTCGGCTTTTATTAGATTGCGATGTTCGAGTCCAAGTCCGATGGCGAGTAAAGCATCGGCAATCCCCGGACTAGCAAGAATCTCAGACTGTACATCCTTGCCAAGAAATCTTCCAAGTATCGAAGCGTGATCTGGGAATATGTGCATTTCAGGCCACGGGCTATCCGAGTCGAAGACGTCCCTTGAGAACAGCCAGTAAGCGATGAGACACACGGACCCGCCCGGCGAAAAGTGTATATCATCGACTGAGGAGAAGTCATTGAAAGCTGCAAGGGGATCTCTATGTACTGGGCCCTCGACTATACTCTTTACGAACTGTTTCGAGCAATTACTTAAACCAAGATCGCGTAGTACGGCCTACGCAAGTTAGCCTACGAACAGAATGGTGCGTGGAATATTTATGCATGAACTTACAACAAGCTGTCCTACTATCGCATCCCGCTTTTGCAACACCTCATTCTCCCGAAACGCCTCGATCGTCGTCTTCTTACCTGGGACATTCCTCTTGGGGTTGTAGACCTCAAGCAGCCGGGGTGACCATAGCATATCGTGTGCATTTACATAACGCTGCAAGATACACGTGACGAAAGCTTGCAGCAGCTTCCGCTGCATAGCTTCCTCTTGCGGGTCCTCCTGTTCAGCTTCGGGATCGGGTGCATTCTTAGAAACGTCTCCATCTTGGTCAGGATTGGCCACGTTGATACTGGATGTCCTAGAGGGTAGAGGGGGCCGTTTACGGCCGGAGAGCGAATAGACTAGATTTATTACGGATGCAGTCATCTCGGGTGTGGGCTGGTAAGCTTCGAACACCTTCACCAGCGATGGCCCCAGAAATCGAGAGGGGTACTTCGTCTTGATACGCTGATGAAGAATGGCGAGCATGCCAAGCAGCGTAATGAATTTGGCCGGTATTTTGGAGTCTGGAATGACTCCGGGGTCGTGCACATCAACCACTACTTCATCATGCCAGGCGACGGTGAGACCCTCTAGCGCTTCCATAACCTTAATGACGACCTCGCGGGGGTTTCCCAAGCGGGCCACCGTCTCAAGACACGTCTCTGAGCCGTCGATATTTAGTAACATCTGTACCAGGTCCCAACCGATTTCTTGGGTGAGATCGGCATCTTGGAGGACCTCATTCAGGGTCGGTAGGATTTCCGGAGAGGTAACATGGTATTGGAGGATGGTAAGATAAGTAAATCGGTCTTCTTTGGAGGCTTCCTTTATGGCCTTTATTGATTCCGATAGATCAGACATGTTACTGTAATATTTAGCCGCATATATATTTCCAGGTACCGAAGGTATGATGTGTACTGCTTCGTCGGGAGTGGGATGAAGGGGATTGTGGATTGTGAACTGTGGATTGTGATAAGAGATGGGAAACGAGGCTTGTGGCTTGGATGTTGAACGGACTGAATGCTACGGGTGCAGTGCAGTCAGTCACTGGAGTGAGTGGGTGGTTGTGGAGTTGGAGTTGGCTGATTACATCCTAGAAGCTGTTAGCCTTTTTCGTAATGGACAATGACGTGGGTGAGGGGAAGCCCAGAACATTGTTGCTAATTACGCTACTAGGACTGCTAGATTTAGTGGCCAATTAAGTGGTTTCCCTTGCAGTAGCGCCCGCAGCTCACAACTTAGGTACGGATAATACAGTGCGAAGGAAATGCAGCTATCCGTCCTTTATAACATTAATAAATTCATCTTTCACTTCTCAAATCTTAGCAAGTTTAAAATTCATCCAAGACAAAATTTTTTTGATATGCCAGCAATCCATGGCGGATCGTTTTAATGGTATCAGTGCATCAATGCAATTATATACAACGAAACGTCAAAAGTTGTTCAAAGCCAAGGTAAATAAACGCTTGCAAATTGTGAGGTAAAGATTACGGCTGTGGATATTTTTGATTCTGAAAAAACTCTTATGATCTTGGAAATCATAAGAGCAGAGGCAGAAACGCACAACTCCAAAGAAAGATCGACATAGCCCTAGTCGACGGGGCACCTCCTGTAGGTGTCGTAGATGGTGCTACTTGTGTCGGACTACCCTTAACGGAAGTCGGTATTTCCCATGCGATGCTGTATGACTCGTCGCTCGGCGATCCAGCTGCAGTTATCAATGTCGTCAATTCGGGAGGCACAGACGCTGTCTGTAGTATACTTATATCTGTCTGTAGTATACTTATATCCGAGAGTACGTGGACTGTAACAATCGGTTCGTGAAACTCTTCGGAGGAGGAGGAGGAGGATGTAAGAGGAGGTGGGGTGACAACACTCCTGGTCAAGGCCGTAGTACCGGTAGGGACGAACTTCTGAGTTGTCGACTCCGGCTCCGGCTGCGGCGGATTGATTACTTCCTTAGCCTTAGCCCATGTATCAACAAGGCACTGGGACATCAGCTGGTTATCCACTAGACGTCCATCCTTCCTTGTGGGTGTCATGCTTAGAACGTCCGAGGTCTCGACACTACCAGCGCCCCAACCAACTATACCGACAAAGACGTCCGAGTTGTCGTTGATGAATTTATTTTGCGCACAGAACATCTCAAGACACTAGCCAACATTATCAGAAACACGAAGCGGAGAGGTACTAAGAAGACTTACAGAAGAATCTTGCGATGCGCCCGTCTGACTGACAAGACCTTTTCTCCCCCTTATCCTCAGGTACTTGGCAAGGTTTCCGAAAGCATCGGTGTTATCCGTCGTGCACTGCCTGTTGGTCCCTGTGTTATCCTTATCCAGGTATGCATGGATATCTAAGAGCAAGTTATCCTTGGATCCGTCAGGGTTCGTGATATCTAGCAGCTGCTCTGCGCCGTTGTCCCCCGTTAGTGTCGCTACGCCATCGAAATTTGATGCAGGAAGCAAAATCATTTGTTTCGTTGCACCCGTCTTCCTGATAGCTGTGACGGCTTTTTGGCACGTTTCTGCCCACGTATCGACGTCGACGTCATGAGGCTCGTTCATGAGCTCAAAGATAACCTTGTCCTTGCCAGAGTACTTCGTAGCCAACTGTTGCCAGAGATTCACGAATTGGTCATCCGTCGGTCCGCCCTGCCCGATGATCTTGCCGTTCCATCGTCCGTAGTTGTGGATATCAATCATGCAGTATGCGCCGGTAGCGAGGCAGGCCTGTATCAGTCGGTCGTAGTCATTAAAGTTGTTGCTATCAAACTTCCCTCCTAAATTTTCGCCCACGAGAAACTGCCATGATACCGCTGTATAAATGTCAGTCTTGTTTGGATCGAATGCACTTGAAATGACTATCATACGCATTCTCAGTATGTTGATGGCGTCATCCCCGACAAAGTGCCACATCTGAGTAACTCCATCGTCCGGTAGTTTGGCCTCGTTTACAGGACATGAACCCTTTCACTATATTAACTTAGAACTCCAATCCCAGCTTCGATGGTCCTTACATCATTTTTACATCCGAATTCGCCTCCCGCAATGGAAACTCCCTTGAAATAATGCGTTAGTATTGAAAGTCTTACAAGAGACAAGTTGCTCCTACGCACCAGAAATTGAACTTTTGCAAGGACAACACGCGCCGCAGCCAAGAGGAAAACCGACTTCATAAAGTACATTGCTTAATACAGGCTTCTTACAAACTAAACATACGGATAGTCGAGAGGCAAAGAACAAGAATGAAATATGCGTGAAGGTCCCGCCAACGACTGAATGCAGTGAGAATGTAACGAAAACGGAAATGAAAATGCGAAAAGGAAATAGACAACGACAGCTGAGGGAATGAGGCTAAAGGGGAAAAAAACGACTCAAGGAAACAGATGCAAGCGACAATCCATCTTCTCGGCGAAGGATGTTCTGCATTATTGGGGATTAGGCATATAAAGGGAAGAATCAATCAAATCCATCTGTCAATCCGTCAGATAAATCCATCAGGTCTCGTACTAGGGGGGTTAGAGTGAGGCCATGGTCGGTCATTCAAGCGGGTGGGATTTAAGGAGGTTCAAACTTGCGGCGTCTCGCATATAGAGAGTAGAGCAGAACTTGCCAAATCTCGAAAACTACCTGACCAAATAGGCTAACCGCCCAAGGTATATCAATTCCATATATCTACGGCATAGCCTCCAAGGCTTTTGTTTTAGTTGCGAGTTGTCGTACTACCAACCAAACTGACATTTCAAGTTTTGTAGTCCCTTGAAAGTTACAGCTTAATTTAATCAACGGTGTAAAACATAAGACAAACTGTTTTTTCTCCTAATAGTTATGGATTTAATATCTTAGGTACCTGTATTATCATTTCGACTCTTCACACTTCATTTGCATGCCGAAATATGAAAAAGAATCTTAAATAGAAATTGACTAATAAGAACACTCAGCTTTTAGGTACTTCCTATGTACTTTTTTTTTCGTCTTCTACTAGGCGGTTCAGCTTCCCAGTCTTGAAACGTTGAAACATGCTAAAAATTACCAGCTTCCCAAGACATACAAACTGCGCCGCTCAGCTGCAGTAGACCTAACCTAGTTGTATTGTACAATACAAATACATGCTAAAAAAACTACACGCAATACACGTGTAGTACTTATTTCCGTAGAATAATGAAGAAAAAGGTGAAGAAAGAAAAGTTAAGAAATGCTCAGACTTGCACCATACGATTTATATCTGAACGTCTAGTTCTAATAGTACGGCCAGAGCAACATCTCGGCTCAAACGTCTAGTGATGACATGCAAAATAAAACGAACAAAAAACTAGAAAAGCTAAGAATAGGTAGTCAAACCTCTTTTTTAGAAAAGAAAAAAAATATTCCCATTTCAATCCTCCCACTCCTCGTCGTATTGGTCGATCAACCGGTTTTCGTCCTCGCGGTTACTTCGACCCCTTCCGGATGGCGATCCCGATATATGCCGGTACCCTCTCCGATTCGGCAGGAACCGCGCGCAAGAGGAGGTGACCATGACGAAGAGATCCTATGAGGTACGAGTTAGCTTCACGTTGTATTTAATAAATCCTGCTACGATCGATCGATCCTTTTTATCGTCTAGATAGAAAAAAAAAAAAAAAGAAAAAAAAAAAAGAAACAAAGTACTTACGCATAAGAAACTCCAGACGCTGGCCCAGAGCGAGTAGTTAGGCAGCTGCTTCCATCCGCGGGCGTGGGCGACCGTGCGCTGGTAGAATATGCCGCCGAGCAGGTAGACAAGGACGGCGATGGCGAAGATGATGAGGAAGATGGAGCCGGGCCCCACGCTGCCGGGCTGGTGCGGCTCGACGCCCGCGCACGCGTGCTGTGACTTCACCTTGAACACGTACGAGCACTCCTCCGGGTCCGTCGCGATGAAGGACACCTGGGCCGCGCCCGCGCCCGCGTCCCGGTCGCAGCTAAAGAAGATGGTCGTGGATTTCCGCCGCTTCGGCTCGTCCGTCTCCTTGGACAATTTCTGGGTCTTAGTTGCGACGGCTGTTTTTGTAGGGGCCGGTATAGTAGCCCCGTTGTCCTTCTTCTCTTCGCGCTCGGCAAGACTCGTACGCTCCAAGTCCAAATCCGCTTCCGCTTCCGCTTGCCTCTTGACCTTCTTCCCGCACGGCGAACCCCCCGTATACTGCAGCACCAGCTCCTTGCCCCGCGATACCAGCGCGCCGGACTCGAGGCCGAGGCTGTACACGTCGCCCTTGGAGGTGTAGTAGGCGCTGACGTTCTTCCAGAGGCTGGGCTCGACGCCGACGACCTCGTCGACGGGCTCGACGACGGAGGCGCAGATATTCAGGGTGAAGTTGAAGCCGTAGTCGTAGCCCTTGGCGTGGTAGTCCGCCAGCGGCGCCCCGTTGCTGTGCGACGGCTTCGACCCATCCGGGTTCTTCTTCAGCGCCATATCCGGCCGCAGGTCGAAGAAGGCTCCCGACGTCGAGGAGGCCGTGCACGCGGTCGAGGTCGTCGTCTTATCGGCATCGGTGGAGGCGACAACGAGCAGGGAAGAAGTGAGGTAGAGGAAGGAGAGCGGCAGTAGTAGCGCCGGAGATATAGACGTCGATCCCGAGGAGAATAAGAAGCGCATGGTGATTTCAAGAATACCAAGATAAGTTAACGGCTAATAAGTAAAAAGGTATGATGGGAACCCTGTTTTTTCCCCCCTCAGTTGAAAAAAAGAAAAATGCGCCCGATGCGCTTTACGTTAATATCGAAAAAGAAATTGGTCATAGACTTATTCATATATCAAACGTTTCCAGTATCGTAAGTATGGTTTCGGTGTGGTGTTGAATTAATCGTTAGTTTATTCATGCAATTCGTGTCGTTTGTCTCTTGATGTTTGTTGTTCAAACAATTCAAAGATTCAATAAGCCAAGTTGTCGATTTGTCGTCTGTCGCTGTTACCTAACCTTAGGTATTCTTAGAAGTTAGCACAGCTTCGGCGTCCACAAACCCCTGGAATAGAAGTACGTAATGATGTACTTAGGTACTGTAGGTACATAGGTACTGTACAGTAGGTTAAGTAGTTCTTCGTATTCGTACACGTTTTAACTTCCTCTTTTTTCTTTTTCTGTCATTGGCTAACTCGTTAGTGGAGTCTTTTGTATCTTCTTCTCTTTCATTGGTTAAATTGACATTGAAACCAAAGTGAACCTCAAAATTGTGTGGGCCCCCACACGCATTTTTTGGGTTAAGGTATGGTTTGCTTACCAGGTAGGTACCTGGCACTAAGCTAATTGACATCTCCACATGAGCTTGGGGAAGTCTAGGTGGTACCTAAATGAAGTCAAAAAATAAAATAAAAATAAAAATATGGTGTCACACGGAAGCCAAGATTTCCGAGAAGCTCTCCTATCTACAAAATCTACACAATTCCATCGTACCATGCGGGACGTCGCGAGCCGACCATTCCAAATCACACCGTCCCGAGTAAAGGCGCACTAAATATCGAAACGACCTGAAGAGGCTTTAACAAGACGTTGTCAGCTTAGAGAAATACCAGGTACCTCTAAGGTACAGTATTTTATAAATAGGAGGGCATCGGCGCGCTCTTCAGTCAATACAGCAGCAGATCAACAACAACAACACTGTTCGCCAACTATTAGATATTGCGATACAACTTTCGACATGCCGCCCAAAACGAAACAACCACCAAAGCCAGCTCATAGTTCACATGGCTACGAGTTTGGTGGCCCGTATGTGTCTATCTCCCAAGGATTCAAACTCCAAGTTCGTAGTAGATAGATCTAACAATAGATAACTTCCTAGATTCGGTGCCGCTACTATCACGTTCGGTCTCCCCATTCTCTGCTACGTCTTCGCCTTTGGTTGCAACGATGTTTCCGGTTGCCCTGCGCCGTCGTTGTTGAGCCCCAAAACTTTATCGATCGAACAATTGAAGGCTGAGGTGGGATGGCCCGAAAACGGCATCTGGGGCCTGGCTAGTTGGAAAGTTACCGGCTGGGTTCTGGCATACTACTTATTCAGCGCTCTCCTATACCGCATTCTCCCTGCTACCGAAGTTGAGGGTACTGAACTGTCATCTGGTGGAAGACTGAAGTACAGGTTCAACGGTAAGTTGATTCTGACTCTGTATACATACATGGAATAAAGGGGTAGAACTTAGCTAACACGGTCTACCAAAAAGCTTTCGCCTCGCACATGTTCACCCTCTCGCTCTGCCTTGCCGGCACTATCGCGCAGGGTGCCGAGTTTCCCGTATGGACTTTTATCACCGACAACTACGTACAGATTCTGACCGCCAACATCCTTATCGCTTACTCGCTCGCGATTTTCGTTTATGTGCGCAGCTTTTCCGTGAAGCGGGGGAACCCGCAGTTCAGGCAGCTCGCAGAAGGCGGATGCTCTGGAAATTTGATCTATGACTTCTATATGGGACGGGAGCTTAACCCTCGTGTTACGCTTCCGTTGATCGGCGAGATTGACATCAAGGAGTGGATGGAGTTACGTCCTGGTATGCTCGGCTGGATCCTTCTGAACTGTGCCTTCGTCGCCAAGCAGTACCGAACCTTTGGTTACGTGACTGATAGCATTATCTTCATCACGGTTGTACAAGCAATCTACTGTTTAGACTCGGTATACATGGAGCCGGCTATTCTTACGACAATCGATATCACCAACGACGGTTTCGGTTTCATGTTGTCCTTTGGAGATCTCGTTTGGGTCCCCTTCATTTATAGCCAGCAGACCCGATATCTGTCGACACATCCCGTGAAGCTCGGCTGGTTGGGTCTTACAGGCGTATCGGCTCTCTTGATTGTGGCTTTCGGTATCTTCCGGCTAAGCAACCTTCAGAAGAACATCTTCCGCACTAACCCTAACGACCCGCGCGTTGCGCATATCAAGTACATCGAGACAAAGACGGGTTCGCGACTAATGACATCGGGCTGGTGGGGTGTCGCTAGACATATTAACTACCTCGGCGATTGGTTGCAGTCGTGGCCATATGCGTTACCTACCGGGTTTTCCGGATACATCATCCTACCACCCGGCAGCAACGCTGAAGGGGCTATCAAGACGCTCGACGGAAGAGAGATAGTGCAAGGGCCAGCCAAGTACTGGGGTATGCTCTTCACTTACTTCTACGTTGTATACTTTGCCATTCTGCTGATCCACCGCGACGGCCGAGACGACGAGAAGTGTGCGAAGAAGTACGGAGAAGACTGGAAGAAGTACAAGAGCATTGTGAAATACAAGATCGTGCCAGGTATTTACTAGGTCTACTCAAGGTCTACCCAACGTAGATATCTATCTACCTAGGCATCGTATATACCTATTGTATACACAAAGGGCCTTGGGCATTGGAATCTCAAGGTAGGACGAGTGGTTCGGATATGGTTGTGATAGGTTAGTTACAGACTAGGAGAAAGTAATTGGATGGTCAAAGGGGGGCATATACCTACTACCTAGGCACCTAGCAGGAAGAAAACGCTTAATGTTACTGAGCTTAGTGTTATTGTTCTCTTATACTTTTCTACCTATACCTACCTACATAATGTACGTGTAGGCGCTGTCCCAACGGGCTCAACATGACCTCAATGTGTATAAATGTATCTTAAGTTAATGTTAGTACAGACCTTCGTTAGTATATGTTGTGTATATTATATATACCTAGGTACCTAGGGAAGTATAGCAGGGACGCATCTTATTATGGCCTCTACCCTGGGTCGTGTTGTCCAGAAATGCCGAGACTTTTGTACCCAGTTGATGTAAACTTCACGCATCGGCACAATAATTTCGAAGACCACCCTATTCACGGAGAGCGAAGCAATTATCAACACCAATAACATTCTACGAGGGCAGAGCACGCTTTCAACCCATCTTCAAGTTCGCGTACATCCCTTTACCAATCCAATCCGGCTCCAACGAAGCTCCCCCAAGATCGGATGAACAGCAGCATGAACCCGGTATCCAGGCTTCATTTGAACGCGAAAGACCCCGAATCCTAGTAAGAAAGCAACGAATCTGGGTCAAATTCGCCTACGATTAGGATATGGCCTATGCATTTTTTTGGATGGATAGATTTGGCCGGTCTACTAACCTGTCTCCAGGTGATTGCTCACGTTGGTCTAGATGCGAGGATTTGTTTAGTAGAGCTTCCTTAGGAGCTAGTTAATCTATGTGTTCTTTCCCAAGAACTTGATCAAGTATTCGCCTCGTAAACAACCCCCTTCCTTTTACATCCTACGGGATGACTAAAAGAGACTCTTAACATATCCAGGTAGGTACCTAGATATCTCATAGCAAGCCGGAGAACGTTGTTCGAGTACAAGCTAAGACGAAAAAGAAAACTGAGGGATTATTTACTAGACATCACAAATGACCTTGTTTAAGCGCGATGGAGTAAAGGAAAACCTTTTATAGAAAGAGTTATCTAAAGAATTTTACAGTGTGCAGAGAAAATGATAAAATAACCGCGCCGGCGCCCACAAGACATACACACACCTAAACCAAACCCTTAAACAAGTTTTAAATATACACGACGTAAACTCAGTCTCCTCTAGACCATTCATGATCCCTTGGCAAATCCTAGCCCTCTTTGGTTCCATATCATTTCGCATTAACACATATCGTCACCTTATTTCACTGCAGGTACTTGAGGATCTCCTCCCGCTCGCCAACAGGCATCATGTGCAGCATATCCTTTAAGCCCTTAAGAGCCGAGGTCTTATCAGACCTGAGCAGGTCAGCCAATCCATGCGCGACTGCATCCGACTTGATTTGTTCCACCTTCTGGGAAATTGTCTCGGCGTTCTCCTCGTACCATGTCACTACATCCTTGTCGTTGTGCTCGAAGTCGGCGACGCCAGACCAAGCTGCAAGGAGGCGAAGGTGGTGTTGACGGCTCTCGATAGCTGCGACGCTATTCGGATCCGTAACCTTCGAAGACGAGGCAGCAGCCATACGCTTGATAATGTGTTCCTCGTTGAGACGTCTACGGACACGCCAGTAGAAGAAGCGGCGAGTGTCCTTCCATTCCAGGGCCTCACGAATAGTTCCCTTGGCCTTCATGCGGCCTGCACGGTCGTGCAAGTCTGCAAACTGCAGGCCAATCTGCGCGTAGATCGGTAACAGTTGCTTCTCACGCTCTGTCATTCTTTCTTTGGCTTCTGCAAGCTCCTCCTTGGATAAATTGCTGTCAGCCACCTGCTTCTTGAGCGAGGCGTAAACAGGGTCCAAGCGAGCCATGGTCTCGAGCTGCTTCTCCTTCTTATACTTGATGCCAATAATACCTTCCGGCTCTAAGACACCAGCACGGGATTCGACATCGGCGTACATCTCCATAGCCACAGGGTTAATGGTAGGGTCGACCACAACCCAAGAACCACCACGTAACTCGCCAAACGGCGGGATGTAAACGAAGATTGGCTGCTCGAACTTGACAAGAGCGTCGACAATGTACGAACCATATTTCAAGACTTCGTTGTACATGTCTCGCTGACCACCGGAGAAACCTCTCCAGTTAGCAAGGATCATGAGGGGAAGCTGTTCGCCATGGTTGAAGTCGTTGATGGCTTGGGCCGTCTTGAATGCAGAGTTAGGGTACCATACACCACCAGCTTCGTTAGTGACTTGCTCAACGGAGTCGGGGTTTGCAGGATCGGCGGGGGTGACATTTTCAACGGTTCTAGTCTCCACGCCAATAACACCCATAGGAATACCACCAAGACGAGCACGACCGACAACAACGGTACGGGCCCAGCCGCCGAGAGTCTCGACGAAGGAGTCCTTGTCAAAGAGACCTGGCTGGAATCCGTCCTCGTCTTGCTTACCACCAATGAGCCATCTGACATCGTAGGGCTGCTTATTAGGCGGGGTATATATCACCTCACGATCCCAGGTGTCGAGGCTAGGTGAAATCGGCACGGGCAGGTTGCGCTGAGCTGGAACGAAAGAAAGCCATTCGACAATCTTACATACACCGGCAAAGTCATCGTTAGCAGTCAGGTGTGACACACCGTTTCGGTACATGATTTGAGTACCACCGAGCTGTAGATTAGAGGTGTAGACTTCACGGCCGAGCAGGTTGTTAAGGGCCTGGGCACCAGTGAGGATAATGGGCTGGCCCTCAATCTGAACAGCACGTTGGCCAAGGCGAACAAGGTAAGCACCAATACCTAGGAAAAATTAGTAATTCGTGTGAAGAGCAGGGGGGAATGGTACGGCTTACCAATAGAACGGCAGGTAATGAGGGTGACGGTGAAAATGTCGTTGTATGCACGACTTGTAGCACCGGCAATAAGGCCAGAGCCCCTTAAGCACTCAACACCAAGTCCATCTTCAGCACCAACGATAGCAACAATCTTATAGCGCTTCTCACCATTTTCGGTGATCTCCTCGGTGATGACGTCGCGCTTAGCTCCATCTTCAAACCGTTTCTTAGTCTCCGCGTCCAGATAAAGGTACTTGAAACCGGACTCTTGCTTCTCGGGATCATTCCAGGCCACCTTAAAGTGCGGGATGAGCTCTTCGGCGAGGCCAAGTCGGGCGCCAGAGTTTGCAGAAAGATAGATACGAGGAATGCCAAGGCTGCGAGCCAATTCAGTGCACTTATTGAAGAAATGATCCTCCTTAGGGCCGAAAGATCCAATCTTGTAAGTAATATCGTTGGCAACGACAATAAACTTCCGTCCCTCAGGGTACTCAGGAGTACGGGCATTAATGAGCCATCCGACCATACCGCAAGAGTTAGTACCAGGCTCACGAGAGATCTCGATCAGCCTATCACGATCGTCGAGAACTAGCTCGCTGTAGTCGATGCATTCTCCTTGCGCAGGCTTCTTCTCATTTAACGCCGGTAGAGCTTTGGTAGTCCTTGCCCAAGTGTTCTCAACAGCCTGGCGGAAAAGCTCAGGGAAGTCATATACATATTGAGTACCCATCAAATGCGCCCTGTAACGCTTAGGCTGGAGCCAGTTCTTGGTAGGGTAAGGCGTGCAGACAGGCAGCAAGTGCATTGATCCAATCTTGGTTGTGCCGCCAATTGAATAGAAAACCATTTCACCCTTCTCTGATTTCCGCTCTGCGTAGAGCTCAATCTGGATAACATATCCAGAAGTGTTGGTAATAATAACACGCAGAGGATAAGGCATTCCCGTAGCCGTGTCGGTGCAGATAATGCGGATCTCAACCTGGGAGACGCGGAGGCGCCAAGCGCGAGGACCAAATCGGTCTAAGAAGCCTTGGAGAGACTGCTCAACTTCCTGGGGCTTCAACTGGAAAACAGGGGTGAAGTTCAGGAACATGTGGTTCAAGTCCGAGTTATTGTTACCGATAATCTCAAGGGCATCGAAAATATCGTTAATGACTCGGTCGGCTTCAGACACAAGGTATTCAGCTGTGGGGATGTCATCCCGGAGACGGCCTGGCCGTATGACAGCGCGAGTAAAGTATCGCTTATCAGTGTCAACGCCTTTACCGATGCCCTCGTAGACGTGGATATTCTTGTTCTCTGTGAATACAGGCGAGAGCTTGAATTTAGCAAGACGGGCAAGCTCCAACTGGAAGGCCAAGGCGGGTTCAACGTGGCGGATACTATTGTCTTCATGGAATTCGGGTGCACGGAAAGTGTAATAGCCTGGATAGGAGCCGTCATTATGGCCGCAAACGAAGGTGACGCGGCGGACCCGATGGTTGACAAGCTCATGCTTTAATGAGTCAATTATAGGACGGATGCGTCCGAGAATATCCTCATCTTCGTAAGACTCCACATCACGAATGACCACGTTGATGACGTTGGTTAATTCGTCTTCAAGAGGCTTTTGGGCAAAGGATTTGCGCTTGCCAGTTAGGTCGGGAATAAGCCCAGAGCGCTTCCTAATTGGCAAAACCTCTAAAGCCTTCTGAAGCATCTCATCGGCATCGTCCAGATACCTGCAAGGAACGACAACTCCCTTACGAGTTGGCTCTTCTTCAGTCCGGCGATTGAGATAAGACATGTCACTGACTGAACTAACTCGACCGAAGGCACCGCTCTCGGAGGTGGGAGTGCCAGGGACGGAGGGGTTAGCCGACTGAAGAGGGACCGAGAACTCAGTCTGGCCGATCTTGCGGAAAGAAAAGTCCCAAGACAAGAAAAGAGGAGCTGCATCGGACTCGTCTTCGTGATACTCTAATTTCGTCAAGTTGTATGCACGGTAGGCTCGGCGGACATATACCTCCAGAGCAGCGACGTTTACCCAAGGGTCCTCGTGGGCGAAGAACGATGCTAGCACGTCAAAAACGGTGTACTTGGAGTCAACAACTTCCTTGATAATATCAAGGTTGGGCTCTCTGTGCTCCCAGCCAGTTTCACCATATTTGTTTTCAACAACAGAGGAGCGTAGAATGTGTTCCATCTGTGCGGTTCTCTCTTCAAGAGATGGTAGAGCACACTGAATAAGAATTTCCCGAGCCTTCAAAGAGACCTTAGCTGTCTGGCGAGACTCGAGTTCAGTAAGCTTTCGTAGGACCGGTCGTAGATACTTCGCGACGTTGCCGACATTGGGCTTATTAGGACGGTACTCCTCGAGAATCGCCAGAATCAAATGATTCTTAGACCCAACACGGCTGTGAGACAGGACAATGCTAATGACCTTTAAATAGTCTTCTTTGTTCTCCTCGCGGAGTTTCAAGATGACTTCTTCATCCTGGCTACGACGACCCGAAAAGCGTCCCTCAACATCAGCGTACATTTGCAAGAGGCCTCCGATGACGTTCAGTTCCCGCACCTTCGCTCCATCGGCATACTCGTCGAGAACTTCAAGTAGCGGGGAGATGGTTGCTCGTAATGCGTCGGCCTCGGCGGGCGAAGTATTGTCATCCACAAACTTAGAAAACGTCCTTGCAAGCGTCTTAGCGGGGAATTCAGAGCCTCGTGCCTTGGCACGCTCGACAACCTGCGTGAACTGAGTGTCAAGCTTCTGAGGCATTCGGGAGTGAAGAGCGGCATGATGGGAAGCCCACTCGCTGTATGGAAGTTCGGGGTTCCGTAAAACTTCAACCATCTCCTTTAATGTCTGCTGCATGATTACTGAGTTGTCATAGCCGAGGAGGATATTTTTAAGGATATTATAGGTCAAGCTGAATCGTTGGGCCGGCTTGCTACCAACAACTTGAGGGGGGCCAAATTCGGGAAGACCTCCGAGATAGGGTTGCGCCTGCTTAACTCGAGAAGGGTCATCAAGGGCAAGAATACCGAGGATATCACCAGCCTCGATTGTGACGCCAGGCTGCTTGATTAACTGCACGATACCGTCTTCTTGGGCCACCAAAGGCATAAACATCTTCATCACTTCCACTTCAGCAAATGTTTGTCCAGCCTTGACATGTGCCCCATTCTCTACGGTATACTTAACAAGCTTACCAGGGCTAGGTGTGCGCAGCTGTGTAGGGTCATTTTCTTGCTCTAGCAGACACGTCTTGCTGTCCACTGAAATACGAGTTGCACCAACTTCCTCCTTCCAGTAGACGCTGTGACTTCGACCGTCTAGAAGAATAAGAAGACCACCGTCGCTAAGGGCGCGAACACCAACAGAGCATTTGGAGCCGTTGATAAAGAGATGATAGCTATCAACAGCCGCACGGGTAGCGGTAAACTTGTATCGATAACCCTCGTAGATAAAATCAATCGGGAACACCGTCTTCAGGATATCCTTAGACGGAACTTGTCCTCTCTCGAGTCCAGAGCGATACTCAGCTATGCAAGCCTCGCTAGCAATGTGAGCCTTGGTTGTAGCTCCGCAAACCACAGCAAGCATAGGATCCGGGCGCTCAGCGGTAAGCTTGTTAGAAATCAGCTCGTCTAACCAACCGGTGGTGATGGTGTTGTCTTCGAATGCTTCTGTCTCGAGCAGCTTGATGAGATACTCAACCGTGGTTCTAAAGTCGCCACGAATACTCAACTCTTTCAGAGCTACAACCATATTCTTTCGTGAGGCGGCTCGGTTCTCTCCGTAAGCGAAAATGTGACCAAATTGACTGTCGGAGAAACTGTGAATGCTTGAAGCAGTACTAACGGAGAAATAACCCCAGACATTGGCGCTACTCCTGAAGTTCAGGTCATGCATCACACCGTTAGAAGGCTTGAAGCCCTCGCCAGGATCCTCAGATGTAATTCGACAGGCCGTGCAATGACCACGAGGCTGTGGTCGCCGTTGGGTCTTGTCGCTCTCTGGGTCTTTGAACTCGAAGTCAATCGGCGTAGCAAGTTTCGGGTCAACACCATACAGTAATCGGATGTCGCTAATTCGGTGTAGAGGAATTCCCATGGCAACCTGTAACTGGGCGACAGGCAAATTTACTCCACTGACCATTTCCGTGGTAGGATGCTCTACCTGGAGACGAGGGTTCAATTCCAAGAAGTAAAACTTGTCTTCCTCGTGGGAGTAAAGGTACTCAACAGTACCAGCAGAAACATAACCCACGAGGCGACCGAGACGTACGGCAGCTTCCTCCATACCTTTGAACGTAGGTGACTTGGCAATTGTAACAGGGGCTTCTTCGATGATTTTCTGGTGCCTTCGTTGTACGGAACAATCTCTGCCAAATAACGAGATGTTATTACCGTATTGGTCGGCCAGCAACTGCACTTCCAAATGCCGGGCATTGCCCGCCAACTTCATGATGAAAATTGGCGAGCCAGGAATTTCACTGGCGGCGGCTTTGTATAGCTGCTCGAATCCCTCCTCAGACATTGCCTTTCGAATACCCTTACCACCTCCACCTTCAGAAGCCTTGATCATGACGGGGAAGCCAATTTCTCGGGCTTTTTGCAGACCCTCTTCCCAAGAACTGACACATCCCTTCATATACACGTCATCGGCGACGGTAACAATACCGTTCTCGTCTACCTCGACCTGATCGACACCGGTTCCTGACCACGGTATGCAGGGTACTTGAGCATGCTGTGCGACAATGGTAGAAGAAATCTTATCACCGAGCGATCGCATGGCGGATCCGGGGGGTCCAATGAAGACAATCTTCTTTGGCGATGCAGCCAGAGACTCTGGAAGCTTAGGGTTTTCCGAAGCATGACCCCTATCAAACACATGTCAGACTCGAGTTTTACAACCATAACAACTTCAAAGCGCTTTGAAACTTACCATCCAGCCCATACAGCATGAACATCCATTCGCTCAGCAACATCTACGATCAGCTCAACATTCGCATAGTTGTGGTTGTTTGTCCCTCCGGGAACCTCAACGTAGTGGTCAGCCATTCGGATGTAGTCTGCATTGGCTGCCAGATCTTCCGGTGTGGCCATCACCGTGAACTGAATAGCCCTCTCGTCGCCAAAAACCTCGTATGCCCATTTTCGCACGGATCGAATCTCCTTAACGGCAGCAATACCGTTATTGGCGATCAGAATCTAAAGATACGTGTTAGTAAATCCCACGTTGTCCTCCTATAGTTCGATTCTAGTGTTCTTACGTTTGTAATGACCGTGTGTCCGTCATGTGCGGCGACGAAATCCTTGACCTTGGATGCGGGTGCATTTTCTAATCTATTCCCGCCAATAAAATGCTCTGGTACCTTATGCGTCTCAGCATAAGTGGGCTTGCCATTGGTGACGGGCACCGTCCGGACGCCATTGGAGGCTTCTGTGGGAGACATTGTGTTGGATGTGGAGGGGTAAATGAGAGGTGTTTCGGCGGTGCAGGTGAAAGTTGCCGGACTGATGAATCGGAATAAGATGTCTAAGGGTTCATCAAAGTATAGCGGACGCCCAAATCGAGCTCCCGAATAACGCCAGAGACTTCCAATTGTGTATTAACGAAAGAATACGTAGGCGGGGAGGAATCGGAGTGCGGGAGGGTCCGATTACGGGGTGCGTGCGTTATTGCTGGATCTAAGGCCAGAGTAGAAGAATAAGAGGTTTTGTCTGTTGTAGAAGTTTCGGCTTAACCTCCCGCAATTCTGTCCAAGGCAGAAGTTAGTGGTAGAGTTTACGGGAAAGCAATAGTGAAGTTCTAGGGAATAAGAGATGCCAGAATCATGGCAGGAAGTGCGAAGTTCAGTAAGAACGGTCAGCCACTCTCAGAATCTGAGAGATTTGCTGGGTTCCTATCTGATCCACACTCAAAATAATCGTTGTTGAGCTTGTGCGCAACCCTCGTCCATCGAGAACGGGGAGACGCGGCCGCAGGAGTTCAAGGAACGGCAGAATTGGTCGGGGTATAACTAAATATTTAAGTTATGCATATACAAGGATTACCACTTACAAAGTTTATTTAAGGTACGGGTGATGAAGTAAAAGTCGGGGTGTAATCTTCAAAACCTATACATTCGACTCTATTGAAAGAGTAGATTATTAGAGGTAGAAGGGATGAAGAAAGTATCAAAGTGCGGAGGCACCTATTACAAGCAGCTGGGCGAGTAAGGAGAAAGGTTGAAAAGTTTCGGGGAGAAGAGATGAAGAAGTTGGACGGACCTGGGATCCTTTTGGGATGGAAGGGATATCGGAAGGTAATGTATGTATTGTACCTACATATCCTAATATCCTAAGCAAGCCCAACCCAGTACAAAAGAAAAAAAAAAAAAAAAAAAAAAAGAGGATCGGAGCTCATTGCACTAAACTGACGGGCTAGTGACTACTAGGTAATTCGGACGAGCCAGCAAGGCTGATATGGTTAAATGAACCTAATCGCGCAGTTGTGATCGACGATTAAGTCATTCCCTTAACCAATCACAATCAATTCCAGGATGTTGGGGATCTCCTAGCGTTTTCTAAAGTTTAGCTTAGCTCAGGTCAGGTTCAATTGCTGCTACAGACGCGGCAGGTGCGGCCGGGTACAGTCCCTTTAACCTTTAGGTACCTGGACAGGCACGCTGAGAACAACCCTAATGTACATAGTAGGCCTGATCAAATTACCTAATAATACCATAGTATATTGTACCTCAAGGTTTTCACTCGGGTCAGGTAAATGTGAACTCTATTAATGTATACTACCTGGGTAATACTATATATATTAGACTCCACCTAAGATAGAGGTAACAAACACGTCAATACCAGAATATCAGTTCCGGACTTCACTCCAGGAGCATCTCAGAAACCTACCTGACCTCAATATCATTACTACGTACTAGCCAAGTCAGTAGATCGGTGTTCCCCCCCTCGAATATATGTATCAGTTCCCCAGTCTCAATCATACATGTATTCCTATTTCTTCATCTTATTTCCGCGCCCTCACCCCGATAGCCACCTCTACCAATGAGCAATATTTCCGCACTACGCATAAAAGAACCAATACAGTAAGATGCTATCTTTCCCTATGATGGTATATGGTATCTGGTAGACCACTCCCTCCACTTATGCCCGACTTTTACCTGAATCTCAACAAATATTTCCTGATGCGGTAAGAGCCTACTCGGCAAGTGGGACAAATTTGGGTGAGAATCCCATCTATTTTATTTCACAACTAGTCTGCTAGTATGGCTTTTTGTCTCTGTTCCGTACATATTCCCCTTCGGCCGGCACCAGGCATCAGGCCGGTACTATCTCCATACTCTAATGTACACAAGGCAAGGATGTCAAGGATGGTCCAGCCCTCAACCAGGTACCTTGAAAAGACTTCCGAACCGTGGCCAATGCTTACTGTGCATGACCCATTCTCCGGGACACTTATTATCCGTCATCATAATCATCTTGGGTCATCATCGCGAAATCTGCTTACTCTTTTATTTTTTATTTTTGCACGCTTTATGTATTTAAAAGATTTTCCGAAAGATCGACAACTAGGTATAATTCGGGAGGCGTATTTCTACACAAGGTTTTCTTTTTTTCTTTTTTCTAAACTCTCCAACTTTTCATCGTTTACTATTTGCACACTCAAATCGATACCTTCAAAAAGTTGCATTTCTTTTTTAAACCCATTGTCTCCATGATTATATCATCGTGCAGGAGACAACTCAGCAAGTACCTGGGTACTATCGACGTCTGGAGTCACAGATCTGTGGAAGTGAACTCAATTGTTGGGGTAGATTTTGGCACTAAAAATGGAGCGCCACATCCGTCCGCAACAAGCCCGGCTCATCCAGTGGCCCGGTTCAGTTTTACGGTTCCTATGTAAATTAGCCAATATTGGTAGGCGAATTAATGTTTTATCGAATTAGTCACTTAACGAGTGAGACCCGTATTTCAACCTGAGTCCGCGTGGAACACGATCTTCATTCTGCTAATTTTCTCGATTCAATACACCGGGCAGCTAATATGCTAAAATTGGTCTAGCATGGCAACCCGGCACTTCCTGATTCTTGAACTATCATTGTCTAGCTTGGTTCTTTTTTTTCTTCTCATCTCTTCTCCGCCGTCTATCGTCGTATCCACGCTCGAATACAGAAATTCCCATCTCCACCAAGTCCAACTCCAAGACAACGCAGGTCCCCAACATCATGTCCGGCGTTATTCGAAATAATCACATATTACACGCGTAAGCATGCATAATTTATGCCCGTTTACGCCTCATCTATTGCATCTGTATCTTATCGGCTACCTATCTTAATTATTTATTCATTTTCGAACCGAAACCATCTCTTAATCCGTTTTAGGTAGTATTATTAGACGACCACCACAAGGGTATATAAGCAAAATCCTAGAGGATCCGTGTCAGCAAGTGAAACGTCCCGGTGGCCGAGAAAATTCGGTCTTATCAAACAATTCACCGTGAAAATATAAGCCGGAAGCACCCTCTCACTGGTCAAGTTATCAGCACGCCCGGCTTTCTATAAAGCCTTCGGGTAAGCAGTAAATGCATCAAGCGTCTTTCCCCGAGAGGAAACCCGTTTAGCCTTGTCGTCTCCATACTTGACATAATTCCTATAGGATGTGAAACTGTGCTCTTAGTAGCCGCCTGACTATAATCAGAAACTTCCCATCTCTTCCAGATCGTCGTCATCGAGCCTGGTCTTTCGAATCGTATAGAAGGCCAGCCTCAGATCTAGCCGAGGGCTAATAAGCTCGGTGTGCTAGGTATCAGGTAGAAAAGCATGGGCCCTCCGGCGAATGAGATAACGAATAATTGTTGGTGGGGTTTCGGCTTCAACCCAAACTTCGTTGAATTATCTCTAGAACAGATGAAGCAATAACCAGATGCGGCTATTGCCGAGCTAGAAGCATTATAGTCTTCAAGCTCATCTCCTGCTGCACGTCGACGGGACGAATCCGCGCCTAGTTTTGTTACTAACATGAATCTGTCATCCTGCAGCAACGCATCACAAGCTGTAAATATCCACTCTCGATGCACCTATGACGAACAGAGAGAGGCTTGCGATGTTCACGTTGCTCGCGTTTATCACGTGTAGTGGGCCATATCCATCTACCCATTTTGTCATTACTGTAATAGTATCGAGGTACAGTAATACCAGTTTTATGCTATCCTCATTAGGCATGTATCGTCGTTTGCCTTCCCGCAGCCATGTGCAACGCTTTTTCTAGAACATGAGAAATAGCTTCTACTGAAGATGTCGAGCGTGGTAAAAGGGCCGGTTAGTCCTGTCCCCAAATATAGGTATGTATATGCCTGCAATGAACTTATCGTCGAACCCAGAACACCAGCCTAGAAAACACGCGACATGAAGTGACTTATTCAGCATCTAAACCAACACCTTGACACGCTGAAATCATTTTTACCTATGACTCTAGACTTACTAATGTGAAGCCATCACTAGTTTACACCACCATCTATTCCCCCTTTCACATCACTTTGGAGGTGAGTAAGAAAGATATCAGACAAGAACTTTTACCGAAAAAACCATGTCGCCTCTCAACACTATATCTAAGCGTCACCAAGTGCCTATTATTTCATTCCAAGCCACCGTAGGTGAGACAGGAATATGGCTAAAAGCCCCTTGATTAAGCCTCTACTGGATCCCTTTTTTAAGAGTTAGGATATAGAATAAGGGGTCTTAAGGGGGGGCTTTTCAATCCCTTTGTCTAGCAACTTAACCTGGATACTGTAAAAGAGTCGTCATAAATACTGTACGAACTAGTATATATATTAAGACATTTCTCATACGTACCAATTATACCAGCAAAAGGGCTAACGTGGGTCGGAGCATGTCATCCCTTACGGCACCAGATCGATACACTTCTACACTATATCCCTATATGCCTAGTATAAAACATTCTAACCTACCTAGTAGGTTCCGTCGTATGATCTCTGTGATTTCAAAACCAGAAAATTATCTAAACGAACCTCATAGAGGATATCAAATCCAAGTTGTACTTAAAACAAATGGGTGAATCCATCTACGTGCGCGACTCAATGCACACACATGATATGCCATTTCGTATCCAAGAAAATGTGGTTTGATACGGGACAAAAGTTGACATGTCATACGTGCAGCGTACAGATCAAGTGTCAAGGGCCAACACGATGTCTTACCTGCCTCAGTACGGAAAAAATTGTCTGAAGAATAAATCCCTAGCGGCCAACGTGAATTCGATATATTTTAACACACTAAAGCTCCAGTAATACCAGCCCCCTACGCACTTACACTCACTTTCATTATAATTACCCACCATATTTATTCTGTAAGCAACTCTCAACCTTACCGTATCCAGCACCGTCTATATCTAAAGCAGCCATAAAAGTCTCGAGATAGGTATGAGGCATGTATGTAAAGCGGTATAATTTTAACAAAGGGAAGGTATTTGCCGCTCAGGCTGGTATTACTACTACTGCTACAACAACAACATCGACAACAACGACAACAACCTACACCAGGTTCCCCAGATCCTCTGACTTTCTGGAGGTCTTGGGGTCTTTGAATCTCGTTTCATCTCAAACGGTACGTATATGTACAAAAGTCTCCATTTACCACGCCCGCGGTCGCGCACACAACAACACGACCAATCATCGCCAACTAGTCTCCGTCTGTTACGGCCGCCGCCGTGGTATATGTGTGTATGTGTAAAAAGAAGTGGGAGGAAGAAATAGCCTACGTCAATCTGAGGAGGCCGAAGAAAAATAAGGTATCACCCCTTCTGGGTCCCGTTAACGCCCCGCCTGCCTGGAAAAATATCATCATTCACCTTTACCGGGCAGGATGCGTTGCCCAGCACCATCCGACCGAAAAAAAGAGATTCCCCTTTGCCCATAATGATGAAAATGCAAGCACGTATGCTAGCAAGTATGATATGCAAATCCGTCCGTAACTCGTAACGCCTCGGCTCAACGCCGCGACGAATGTATAGAGCTGGTGGCCCCTACACCCGTTCGACAGTGCGATATGCGCGGCACTTCAAACAAATACAACAGAAGAGTAAAATGTTAGAAGCGGTAGCTCGACTAGTAAGTTTCTCCAAGATCGCTTAATTTCCTAGGTCTCCCAGTGGTGGAATCATTCGACGTGCCATTACTAATTCTGCGAGCCGAATGCATTCCACCACTCATTCGCCTGGGCATCGGAATCCCACTAGGAGCCGGGATGCCGCTGGCGGAGCCGTCGTTATCAAATTTGCTGTAGGTTCCTCGGCGACTTGGAGCGCGATCTTCGTATCGTTCGTCGAATTCTTCATGGTCGACACGGCTTACGCTCTGGGAATGGCCATGGAAACTACCAGTAAGAGAACTTCTAGGTCTCATTCCTATAGGAGCTCTCGTACTTGAGAAACTAGTACGAGACATTGGTCGAGCAATTTCAGTACGACTAACTGGTCTTGCATAGCTCGTGACACTCGCTCGACTACTAGGTCGCGAGATGCTAATAGCGGAGCTATCAGGATCATACGCATTGGTCCGGTTAGGTAATGGCCCGAAGGATAATCTTGATATGCCGGAGGTGCTGAGCCTGGATACGTGCCGGCTAGTAGTAGGGGTTTCATCTATTACCGAGGAACTAGTGGAGCCGATGGTACGCTTCCTTGAACGCATCGTAACAGTGGGCGGCACTTGACTTGCACCAGTGAACGATGATCTAGGAGATGCGCGCGGAGGTGTGCTCACAGGGGCAGGCAACTTAGACCGCGCTGATTGAACGCGAGCCTCGAGTCGTTGCATTTGAGCAGTGAGGGAGCGGATATGAGTAAGGGATGTTGATGGCGGAATCCTGTGCGAGGCCGCACGGTTTGAAGTGCGGGCTGGAGCCGGCGTGCGCGCGGTAGTAGCGGAGCGCATGCCCGGGGCCCGTAAGTTGGCTGAAACGGCGCCCTTCGCCTTTGGCGTGATGCTGCGATCCGCAGATGGAAGACGGGATTTCTTCTGCGCTGAAGGTCCGGGTGTCCTGGAAGAGGGACGGGGTAGGGGAGCCGATGCATCAGACATAGGTGGCGATGGAGGCTCATTAAGTAAAGGCGCGTCTTTACTCGGAGGAGGCAAAGTGACATCGTCGGGAGGCGTGGTAATGAGTGGTGAACTTGCTGTGGAACGAGGCGAGTCTTCAAAAGTAGGCGACTCGGGGATAGATATGTCCGTAGAGATAGTTGACAGGTGACGGTTTTCTGCCTTTTTGATCTTGTCCTGCATGATCTCGGCCTCGACCTTAAGGTCGGATAGTTCCTCGCGCAATCGTTGGGCTTCGATTCGTAAGGCTTCTCGTTCCTGTTCGCCTATCCTTATCTCTTCCTCCATCATGACGGTTCGCTCGATCGCAACATTATACTTGGACTCCAAATCTTCGAGAGACGACGTGGTGTTTCGCGCCTGGCGTTCAAAATCATCATTGGCCACTTCTATATCGCGTAGTTTTAGCTGCAGGGTGCGGTTGGCGTCGCGGAGATTCGTAATCTCTTTTTCTAAAGCGTTCTGCGCCGAGTTGGCTTCAGCCTTCGCCTTTTTGCATTTTTCCTAGTGTATACAGTTAGGCTCATGGAAGATTCGGAGGGAGGATACCGAGGTACTAGGTAGGTACCTAAGGTAGAGACATATATATAATATAATCTTGCAACTATTTAAGTACTTACTTTCCACTCATCAACTTCAAACTGCAGCTCTTCAGCCTTTTTCTGAAGTTCGCGCTGCCTCTTGTCCGCCGCATCCAAGTCCTTTTCGAGTTCAGCCTCAAGCTCGTGACTAGATTCACGAAACTCTGCTAGCTCGTCGCCTAATAATTCATATTGTCTCTTATACCAGGCTAGGGACTCTTCGGGAGTGGCAGACTCGTTTGGAGGTGATGATGGTGGTTCGGTCATGATTGATTTTTACGTCGGTAGACTGCGGTGTGCGCAAATCAATCCCGCTTAGAAAAGGTGTTGTCGCATCGGCGGTGTATGAAATTTCACGGATACTTCAAAGTGGTATATTGTGATTTAACGCGATATATTATTATCCGACGATTCCTTTATCGTGTCGGCGTTCCAGAATTGAAACTGAACAATCGTAATGTAACAAAAGAAATAGGAAAAAGTTGAAAAGTGTCGTCGTCAGTTAGAAATCCGATTGGATTATGGATGAGAATGGTAGGGCGTGAATAGGATGTGACGGGTTTCTACTATGAATTTGTACCAAGTATTTCTTTTAAAAATGTTAGCAATACTCACTACTCACTCCTCTTTGTTCACACAGTCTTTTTTCTTTCTGAAAAGTGTATAATGAACATATGCGACAGGTATGCGAATACACAAACTTACGTGTCTATTTTTCCTCCGCCGTGGTACGTGTTTTTATGAGTCGTGTCGCAAAGAAGAGAGAGAAAAAAAAGAAAAAAAAAGTAGGATTGAAAATAGGTAGAATAGCCGTCGGGGTGTATAGAAAAGGAAAAAAAAAAAAGGTCGTAGTAGGTTATCGAAGTTGTTGTCGCCGTTGTTGGTATATCGAGTTTGCCGATTCACTTACCGTCTGCCATTTGTTGTTGTCGTTGTTATCCGTCGAGGGTAGATAGACTCGGGTTGTTGACGATAAAACCGAGAATCAAGATGGGAATTGTTGGCGGTTTCTTCAACTGTCAACATCAGAATGTCTCCCCCCTTCAGACGGCATTGCGCTAATTCATATACGGTTTAGCGCGGGACATGTGTTCCCGCTACCATGACAACCCGGTCTGTTCTGGTCTGTCTTGGTCGGCTGCTGCCTTCCCCACCAATACGTAAAGAATTCGAGAAGGTACTTTACATTACGAGTATCTGCACCGCATATAAGATGTTACTTATCTTGTTAAGAAAGTAGAAGTTTATAGTTATCGTACCTAATGTTTACTTTATACCTCCAGGTAATTATTAGGTTGAAATGCATGTGTAAAATAGATTCTTCTTTTTTCTTTTTCTTTTTCTTTTCAAGAGTAATTAATTCTATCATCTCACGATAGCATGTTGCACTAAATCATTGAATAGGCGCATACAAGGTATAATACGTAGTGCGTAAGGTATCAACTGAACAAATAAAGCGTGACTTAGCCTTCATGTGACTAGTTGCTATGACCTAGATTCGACCTAATATACTTAAAAGAAGCAGGTATCTACACAAATGTTACCTTGGGTAGATATACCTAACAGGTATGTAAGTAGTATAACTACCCTCAATGATACGAAGACTCGACAAGATGTACCTAAATCTGCTAACCCGACATAAGTAACAAGACAAAAGACTATAAATAAAGCATTAAACCATTCCCATACACTTTTACAATCTGGCTTAATCTGACACAACTGTCCCCTCTTAACACCATCTATACCATCTATACCATCAGTATCATAGGCGAAAAAAGAGAAGTTAATGCGACCCGGCATTTAATCACGTTTTATCCCATGCCGCAGAAGCGTGAGACAATCTTATATTAGCCAGAGCGGTGAGTCATGCTCTGTGCATTGTTTCATCAATACCCAACTTCATGGGGTACCTAGACCATTCGGAACCACTTTGCCAGTCTGGGGGTTCAAGGAACGCTCGGCCACAGATCGGAACATATTGCCAAGTCTCAGCTCTGCCCGTATCAACCCTGGCACGGATCCTCAGTCCCCATTCTACCGGTCCCATAATGAACCAGTTTCGTACCTAGTTGTTCATGTGAATAGCTGTATATCGCCATCTTAAGGAGTTAAATTTGGAAGGAAATATACCTACCTAAGGTAGCTAATACTCAAGTACGAGTTTAGAAATTAATCAAGTCCAGATTTCCAATAAAGATGAACAAATAACCAACTATAAAACAAGAATATGATTAACTAACTCATCTCCATAGTTACCAAAAGAACAAAAGCATTCGTCATCCCTAACTCGCTGGTCGTCTGCGACTCCACCCAAGCAAGATCTCTCAAGCGACGCTAGAAAGAAGTATCCATTATATTAACCAAGCAACGGGATACTTTGGTTGAAGATAAATAAACCCGTAAAGGCGGATTGGTTATTTCGTTCAATAACATCAACCATTCGAGGAGTCCAATGCTAATCTCCGCCTTTTGAATCCATCTAGAAAGACTGCCTCGACTACCTACCCAGTTGCCTACTGAAGTATCATGCAATTTCTTTTCGACTCCAAGAGCTTAGGTTCCCACTAGGTAGGTAATTCACTTAACAACGAGTGCTATCGACCGGACTTGATTTAATATTCATTGCATTACGGATTAGTTAGTCTGGAATCCGCTCTGAAGCTTTGACACTAGAAAATGTAAATGTACCTAAGTGTAGGGCTGATGGGGTTCCCCAGATATAATATCTCAGTTATGCTAAATCTCATGCTCGTGCTTCGTGGACGATATTGTCTCAAGGCTATAACACAATCAAATATAAGACACCGTAACTTTAAAAATGTAGCTTACTAATTCTATAGATTTTCGCTACTAGTTAAGTGCTTTTCTTGTAGAGTTATATCTATCGTCCGACTATTATACCAGAAATAATCTAGGAAGATCTCGGGAAACTGTCATGTGGTAGGTACAATCTTTCGCCATTTTCTATTATAGGTAATATTATGGCATTAAGATAGTATCGATCCCCACCTGCGGTCACAGCTCAGTATTCGCTCTAGCATTTATCTAATGATTCCCAAGTGGAGCTCATAGCCAGTAACAACCCAGGCCCGTATTTACCCAAATACCATCAGATCAGAACAGTCGTCAGGCTAGGTATCATATACGTGCAAGCGAAAAATATGGGTTCATCCCTCAGACTTGTTCCAAGTTGCCCGCCATGATGATGCCCTTCGTCAACTACATTCACGAAAGCAGAGGCAACAAAGACGTAATTAGGAACTCAGCACCACCTTATCTCACCAGGCTACACGTCATGTTCCAAACATGGAAGACAGAAAGCTTCGAGCTGATCACGATGATTATAGCATAGGTACATATTGCTAATCTCGATGTGATTATAGGATTCGCATAGCGTAATAGCGCTTGAAAGGAACATTTGTGGGCTTAATATCTTGGGCGGAACGATTCAGCCCGTTCCGGAGACCGAGATGCCATTCTTCACTTCATACTTAGTAGTCTCAGCTATGATAACTGGCGAATGACATAACCCTGTCCGTGCCCTTGAAGTGCGTCGTAGGTTCTTGCTGTTGGGGGGCAAACTACCTAGCTACCTAGAGGTAGTCGTCACTCATGCTAAGCCAGCAGATAGGTATGCATTTATAGCCCTGCCATCCCGGCTTCTCCTTGTCTGTTGTTCAAGAGCACCACCACGGTAGACTTCTGAACAATAGGTTTCATTTGCTCAAAGTGCCTCAAGGTCGGCCATAAGATATCAGATTACCCGATCCTCGAAAGGTCTGATCACGCTGATCACTCTACAACGGAGCTCGACCACCTCGCTACTAAATCACCGACGGGAGAGCCCTGTGAGTCAGGCAATCAGCTTTGCGAAAAGTGTGAAGGGTTTGGAATAATAGACTGGCTCGCAAGAGATGTGAGGGATGAAGCAGCTACTGGTGCAGACGGAGCAAGTTCTTGAGGATGGAAGCAAAAGAATCACAATCCCAGCCGTTAGTTAGGTTTAGCTCCACTCCGTTCGATTTCTTTAGACTCATCATGTCCACTCTACCTAATGATCTCTCATATCTCCCCTCCAGTCCCCGAGGACGAATACGACTGAAAAGGCGAGTTTCATGCGGCCTATGGAAAGCTATAAACACCTTGGCGAGAACCTCGCACCGCCCGAGAATGCTTCAGGGGAATCTGGTGATCAGCACGCAACCTAGGCCGCGGTCAATAGTCGACAGCAGGCGATGGCCACGATCGGTCGGTATTTTGGAGATGCTACAGACCAGGCTATACACGGCTTCGATTTAGAATTCACTCTTTCTCATCAAACAACCGCCCTCTCAAGGCCATTGTTCTCGGTTCGTGAAAGGGGGGTTACGTGGGACCCGGATTTCGTGAATAGCTGGATGAGCCGGTGCGAACGAGAGCACACCGGATGCCGAGTCGAGTGGTCGGATGAACTGTTTGTGTGCAAGGCGATCGATGTGTCATCTCGTCAGATAGTTATCTCCTCCTCACAATGCCGTTACGTCACGTTGAGCTATGTTTGGGGCGGCGTGAGTCCGAAACCTGGGGCTCCAGAGAGCGACGAGCTCCCCCAAATCATTGTAGACGCTATTACGGTCACTCAAGCTTTCGAAATAAAGTACCTTAGGATAAGTCAGCCTACGCATGGTAGTTGAAAGGTTGTATTCAGCTGACAGGCGCTATGCATTGACCAAAAACCCAGTCCAGAAAAGATGCAACATTTAAACATAATGGATATTATTTATAGATATTCTTAGCTAACTCTTCTGTGAGCGCCAAAAATCCTAGGGTAGCCCAAGCTAGCGAAAATATCGAGGGCAGCCAGTTGCTCAGTCTATATCCGACTTTATACTAGTAACTGACTGGCCTGACCTATTCCATATGAGCTTGGACTTCTATAGGACTATATGCTATATACCTATCACCGTATCCATTGCGGTAAGCATCAGATCCATTTTGCCTACAATACCGAAAGATACGGCGAATAGATAGATGGAAGTCTGGACCCAGGATGGCTTCTGATTGCTGATACAAAGCAACCCAATTTCTTTGAGGTAAGCGCTCCTGAGTATACCAGGTAGTGACCAAGCAAGTGGAAAGAACCAGCTCATTCGTTTGTAGCTCGACGATACGGAACATGCCAACGATCCAGAATCCCATCGTAGATTTGCAGACCCTACCTCCCGCAAATTGGTTGAGATGTATACGGATCGGAAGATGACGAACAACTCAGACTCTTTGAATGCGGTGAGATGTATGCGATCCAATCCGCAAAGGTCTCTATTGCCGCAGTGGTTCTTCTAGGGTTTACCACTTCAGAATTTCTCTTCATCTTTGCGGTGGTATCATCCTGGAAACGACAAACCCCGCCGTCGCCCAGATTTTCCATCTTGGTCGTACGGTGGGTGGGAGGGCACCGTTACACTATACCGATAGATCGGATTTCGCAAAAGCGCACAGCGACGGACTGTTCGATGAGACTGCTGATCTCATCGTACGTCACATTGGATTCGAAGATACGATTTTATCTGTCGATGGCGTGCTTGTAAGACTAGAAGTGCGGACCGAGCCGTTCAACGTCTACATTCCCGGGACCGACTTCTATCTTGGTATGTTGCAGGAAGGCAATACCCTCCACAAAAATACCTTGCCTCAAGGTATTTTAAACTTTCTGGTGGCGGAAAGATTATCCTTCCGATTCGTGCCCGACGGTAACGCTCGTCATGTATTATACGTGATCATGCTTGAAGGAGAAGAGGGGCCTTGAAGCCGACGTTCGATGGTACGCATGTTTGTTGAACCTGGGTTGGACAAGCGGCAGATAGCCCATCTTGTCTAAGAAGTATATGCACTACGTCCAGCACATGCAACCTATGGTCTAATGTCGCCTCCAATGAGACCGCAAGGTCAGTTGGCAAAGCGCTGCTTCATATGAGTAAAGGAATAACTAACAAGATCAAGAACACGTTTGCTGTCTGCATACTGTTTGTACGTAGTTGGGTTCATTTAGTAATGGGTCCGGGTAGTGGCCAGCCTGCAGCTCCGGCTCCAGCTTCGGCAACGTCGTCGGGGCGCCCAACTACGTGGAGGTATGACGCTGGCCCGATCCCGAAGCGATTGGTACAACCGTAGAAGCCCCGATGCACAATGGAGTTTAAAGCCTTATGCGCCTATTTTAGAACAATAAAGTCCTTAGACTTTAGGTATTGCTAGACCTATGACCGTTTAGTAAGACAAGGCGACGTGAGACAAACGTCTCCATGTCACAATATTAATCGGGCTGGGCTTAGAGGATGCCCAAGTCTTCATTCATGGTTTGGAATAGGTACGAAGTCATCGCCTAGATTTGTGCATCACTGTTATTTCAGGGTTCCCTGCCATGAAGCCGCAAGTTCCGTCTATATACGAAGTTTACCATTCCAAATAGGGTGCAATAGGAGGGCTTTGAATGGTATGAGCAGCTGAATAGATCCACGGACCGACCCATTAGTCCGTCGGCAGTATGCCTTCCCGGCGATAGTCAAAAAGGGTTTTAGGTATAGTCTTCTAGGATAAAAGTTTGGTTCAGCTAATTACCTAGCTTTGCATAGCTCATGTGTAATTGCCTATAGAGGTACGTAAGGTAGCATACCCCCCCCCTGCCCCCTTGACTTACCTAGGTACTTAGGCTCCCATGCGTCAGCCCTATCTACGATCGACCCTGTCACCGATCTCGCCTGCAGCCTATGCAAGATCTACACAGGACGCAGATCGGTTGACTATCGACAGCCTCAGAAATTTATCGGGACTGGCTTCATTGGCTCATGATTTCATAGGATCTGATCAGCCCTGGAAACAAAAGTGCGCTAATGCACATCCGGCCGCAAAAAAAAGCATTGTTCGTGAAGAAGGGCCCGTTCAAGATTGTCGCGCCTCTGACTGCAACATACAAGTACCATGTATAAGTCTGTCAACTTTAGGTATTTTAGGATATGTAACGTTAGGTACCCAAAATATATTACTATGTTTCGGATAGGATGCAACATAAATCTGTCTATGTGTAACTACTACTACGACTACTATCATGAGTTTAGCGGTCCCGATTTGGTGGTCTTGGTTGTCTCTAATTGAAAATAATCTATTAACACATAGTTAGCATATGGCGTTGCGGAGTTTTACATGTACGTGTCCATGCATAGCCTGCAACGGACAGCCTTCCGCGGTGGATGCAGCAAATTACCGTTCTAGATCAGAGTCATGCAACTATTAGACTGTGTTCTGGAATACCATAGGCCGTGATGGGAAAGTTTAGAAAACGCATAACTAGGAGGTACCTAACTTTAAGTAAATTTATGAATGTTTGATCATGAATAACAGGTAGTTAGTACGTCTCCCGTAGGTTATATTCACCATCATCGCTAAGCTTAGAACTTATCCCGCTTTTGTGGAATGAGGCTCTACAATAGTAACGTTTTATTTACTCAGGCAATACTCGGGCGGTTGTGACGTGCTGATTCTATGCTAAGGCTGTCTTGGAAACTTCTGTTCGCCCAGGCGACATTCCTCTATTTTATCGCCTGATTCTTACTGAAGCATCACGATTGACGTAACAGAACATCGAGGCTCAACGGAAAATTCTTAAGTTGAATACGTTATCTTTCCACTAAGTACGGTCTTGATGAGGTTTGGACAAGGGTGAAAACAATCGTAGCCCAAACTCCTTGACGTATTACGAAGCATGCGCCCCGGAAATTCCAGAAGTGTGGTAACCCTTGCACGACCAACCCTGCAGATATCATCACTCTAGGACCCTTGTCAGTCAAATTGCTGTACTTCCCAAGATCCAATGACAAGTGAAAACCTCCGATTTAGAGACGCCTGAGATCTTCAGAGATATTTGTACAAGGGACGGCCATTACTATAACATACCGATAAATTAATGTGCAGTTCGCCCTAGTAGATTACTTCACTACTCCTTGGGTGATTACTGATCACATTTCACTAATCTTACACCATTTCATTCTAAAAGATCTGGTGAGTCTATCTTGTTTTACAAACTCAACCTTGGCCTAAGCTTGGACAAAGCACATCCCTTAATATTCGACTTCGTACATTGCGATTACAGCATCATGCCGTAACTGTCAGTGCATTCTATAAGTTATGGTCTCCGCGGAGGAGCTGAGTATATCAAAATAGCCACTATATCTCACGAGGAGCCAAGTAGTCATTTTGCTCTTTTCTTAAATGATATATGGCTATCGTATCTAAAATAAGCATATTCTAGTCTTGGTGAGGAGGCAATACAGGGTGATTATTCCCGCCGGGGCAAGATCCGGACTCGATATTTCACAAGTAGACGTATCTAGATACCTCCTTATTCAGAGCCCAATCAATACTAGTATTATTTGAGTCGTGTTTCTAGATACTCACCCCCTGTGGATCGTGATATGTCACGAAAGCCCATAAGTCCTTGACACGTAATAAATGATACAGGTATGGAGACATACTGCTCCTGCGGACATTTCCGCTAGTTACAGAGTCCATGGTGGATTATGTCACTGCAAAGAAAAGTAAGGCTAAGGTTTCGGTGCACTTCTGAGACTTTTTGTTGGTGGCACTCAAAGCAGTCGAGCATTCAAGAATTTAAAAGCTCGAGTGAACTTCCGGAAAGATGGCAGGATGCAGTCATCTCAACGCCAACGGCATACAGGTTTCGCTGCAGCCGAGCAAGTTAGGAACGCTGAAGACACTATCACGAAGTCAAAAATCGCCGCAGCCATGGTAACCGTCGAAGTCCAACCGCCAACGCAAGCCCAAGCTGGCGTTGTCATGTACCCGCCACTCGTTATAAGTTCGGGGAGCGAAGATGCCTCCGACTTTATACAAGTTGCCCTTATCGACTCGTACGGACGTGTCCTGGAGGAGCAGTTGTACGGCACGCTGTCGATGTCCGGTAAGGGCTTAGATGATAGACACGCTTCTCGAAGCAGTCGTGCTAGGGAATATACCGTCTTCCCTGATCTCGTCGTGGGCTATGCCGGCATTTATGCCCTACAAGTCAATGCCATCCGCATGGATTATGCATCTCCCGATGGAGCGGCAGCAATTATCACGACGTCGACGACGACGACGCAGATTATCGTCTACGACCAAAGCGTCGCCACCGAGATCCCATGTACGTATACAGATATCGTAAACATACTTTTCCATTGAGCAGTATGCTAACTTTGCTCGTAGCTCCTGATGAGCAAACTCTTTTACGCAGGCTACGACGAGATGGCGGCTTTGGCGTTCCTCGTGCGCCCAGATAATTACTACGACAGAGATATTCTAGAGGTAAAATTACTGCAGAAAATATCTACCTACCTAAGGCGTGGAATTTAAAAATAGGGGTATATCGGAACAGGCAACTTATAGAGGTGGTTAAAGGCAGATGTGAGAAATAAAGATTAATCAAGCTATCGAGAACTTTTCTAGAATTCAATCATTATAATATATCGAATTACATCTTTAAACAGTCCTTGCACAATGTCCGGAAGTTGTGTTTAATTACTACCCACCTACTCCTAGGTAGCTATTTTGCTTCTTAACACGACTTGATGACCATGAATTAGTAGACAATTATGCAGCTCGCCAAGTTAGGCAAGATCATACTTGGGTAATTCTCTCCATCCTTTGGTGCTGGATTGCCTAGTTCGACTACTGTTGTCTTCAAGGTTTGTTACATGCCTACCTCAATAATCTGGTTGATTCTAATGTTCTAGTTACAAAGCACTGTAAAGAATTTATGGTGTATGGCAATTTCCTTTCATGTAATTAGTACAATGTTCTACTGCTATCTTACCTGGTATTCATTCCTGCAAAATAGCATGCTTGAGTTTGTTATATTCTCTCACATATGGGGTGATTCCTAGAAGTAATTATCATACAGTCAAAGTATTACAGCTAAATCCTTACAAAGGCGACCTAATTTTATATAATATAAAACCATTATTCTATTTTGAAGATTTCTTTTGATCACCTTGTCGCGTAGTGACAACCGCTTCCGATCCAACACAAGAGGTGGGCTTGTTGTATGGACCTATTTTTGCGAAGTTCTTTACTGACTTTAAACAGCCACTTGATACTTTCCTACCTAACAAGCGAAGGGATCTAACGTGGATTTAGGTGCATATACGAGCATGTGCGAAGTTATGCGGCTTAATTTTGTGTCTCGTTGTCTCAGATTGACAATACCTAATGGCATAGCACCTGTAATTCCTCATTCTGTACCTGGGATAGCAGCTACTAACCAATCAGCATTGATGCTCTAAATCCGAGTAATACAGGGTAAAAGGAAGATATCAGTTCTCCTTTAACATTCGCATTGTTTATACCTACTACAGCGTAGGCTGTTTCTGCTGGGGCTTGAAATATAGGCAGTGGCGCAAGCTGTATATTCTAGAAACATTCTCTTGGGGAACGAGTTCGCTGTCAGTTGTCAAGTTATACGATACTTTGGCTTACTGGGCATGCAATATATATAATTAGGCGTGGAAGTGGCTGTAGCCGACAGCGCTTCAAGACATAACACATGTCAAGCTAGTATAAGATTAGAAATTGATCTGAGCCATGACTTACTTTCGTACTCGCACCTTATTATACCGAAAAAGGTTAGGTATTATAGAACAAGGTGAACTAACCTTACCTCAACTACTAGGTTAGGTAGTTTTACATGGTCGTAGGTTTACTTATTCGAGCAAGTATTAGGTATTGTTTCTGTAATATTACGATATCATCAACAATGTGCGAGTTTGGATTGAATACGAGAGGTCGAATCGATCAAGCCGCCAGTATCCGAGATATGTACGAAACCTCCGTCGTAGACCTAGGTATCTGATATCAGACGCCTCCTAAGCCGCGTGGCTTGGCCCCATCAACTGCAACTACACAGCTTAAAACCGTAACTTTCGCAAGCCCTCGGGTTTTCTCTTCTTCTTAGCATTCGAATCAAGGAACCTTTGTACGCAATTGGACGCCGTGCCAGCCTTTCATCTGATCGCCTAATACGGCATTAACCATCCTCTGCTGCTTCAACATGTTGACACCTCGAAATTTCTCTGATGCGATCTCGATCCCATACATGGACCCGCAACCGCCGGATATATCCTGAACCATGAGCTCCGTCGGTTCGAACTCGGCTGTCAGCTTGTCCCATATCGCGGATTCAGCGTCGTCGAGGTAATCTGGTTTCTCGGGGCCAGATGGTTGTGCTGGTGGAACGTCGGCTGAGCTTGCTGCCGTAGAGCCGGAAGGGGTGGAGTAGTGTCGGGCAATGGCGCCTCGAGCTTTGAAAGAGTTCCTTATGGCTGGCTGAACCAATGCTCTTATTTGAGTTTGAGCTTGTACTGGTGATATATGTATAGGTCGGGCGTGATGCGATAATATGGCAGAGCTTCGTTTAGGAGATATTGTAACGAGACGACAGCAGCGGTTGCACAACATGTTGACGGTTTTATGGAATGTGCGGTCAAGGAAGTATGCCTATGATATTATCGACGATGACAGTGGAAAATGAAAAAAAAATCGGGTTTGCTATGGCTACCCTATTATATGGTGATATTCGTATAAAGTTGGAATTGAGATGAAGAATTATTACATATTAAAAATCGAAGTGAGTAATTTGGAGCTATCTGCCTCTATCGATTAGGAGGTACATTAGGGTACTCAGGTACGCAGGTACGTCGGTACATGTCGACGTAATTATCATCCCGAGTCCATTGATTGGCTGGATTATTTAAATGAATTAGGTACCCTCTAGGACTAGAATACCTATTCCATTGAGCAGTATATTTGTTAAACCGATCATCTAAAAACTACCTACAAACTACAAACTACGTTCCGAGGTACCTAACCTTTCAACTCCTTCATTGCTTGGATGTCCTTTCTTAATATTGATGTTCTTCAAAGTTTCACATCAGGTACAATTCTCATTATGCATTTTTTAACTCTAATATACACATACCATATCTTTAAATAAACCTGACAGAGAATTCGATAGACTCATCGATATCATACTCAGTTGGATTGGCAGCGTCACCAAAGATATGCAGCGCCTCAAAACGCAGTTTGTATGCTCCCGCCGGCGCCCACGTACCATCCGCAAATCTTCCATCCCAGTTCAAAGTGAAGGGGTCACGGGACGCGTAGACAAGTGGCGAGCCGAAAATATGGCTACCAACATCCGCGCCTACGTAAGCAGTCGAGTTGACCGGCACTGCTTTGATGTTGAGTTGGGGTGATCCGAATGCCAGGAGTGCTACGGCAACCGGGTATGTTGTGTTCGTGGTCGTGGTGTTGGTTTTGGGCAGCACGAACGAAGCACGACCCGTAATGGGGTTCAACTCTCTGTCTGTCGAGATTGAGAGGTATCCTACATCCAAGACTCTTGTGTCGTGCAGGCTACCCACAGCTCCGTTGTACGGCAACGACAGGCTATCGCCGTTAGTACCGTTTAGGGTGATATATCCCGAATAGACAGGTAAGCGGGTAGCGTTAACCGCAGGTGGAGTGACCGTGACGGAAACAACCACTTCCTCACCACCTGGGATGGTCACTTTAGACTCGCTGAGCGCAACAGTGGCATATTCGTCTGTGAACTCTACACCGGGGAAAGGATCCGGGTATATGGAGTCCGAGAAGGTGTACGCGGTCGCAGCACCTACGCTCCCTAGTTCGTAAGTGACTTCTTCGGTGCCCAAATTCTTGATAGTGAAGTTCAGCGTATCGACGAAATTGTCCGTGTCATTGAAGGCGAGACTGGACTTGCTTAGCAAAGTGGTCGCGTAGGCAGCATCATATGCTTGAACTATGCCGGAACCGAGTTGCGAGACAGGCGCAAGAGACGTATAAGTATTGGTTCCATCGTTCAAGAGCTGCGGGTTTGACGTTGCCGATAGTATGCTTTCCAGGGTAGCGGGGTCGAGAGTACCGCGGACATTTGAGACGAGGGCATAGATGGCGGCAACTAAGGGGCACGCCATCGAAGTGCCAGATAGCACGGCATAACTACCCAGGGGAATTGGGAACGTCGATAAGATATTACCTCCAGGAGAAGCAAGTTGGGGTTTGATATCCAACTCGAAGGTTGGGTTCCAAGTGGTGTAAGAACTTGCGAAACCACCGGTAATAGTGTTCTTCTGGTAAGTCAAGCTATTACCTATTAGAAAAATATACTAAAAGGAGGCACTTTGGTCAATTCTTACCTGATAGGCGCGGTGTTAGGATCAAGCATGTTAAGAACAACCTTGGATCCGTTTTCCAACTCGGCAACCCACGATTCACCTTGGTCAGCAGTTACCTGGTTTTAGTGTTAGCTATGATGCCGGACACCAACGGAATTCAAAAGCTCGCCTACTTACCATACCAGTTCCCTGGATAGTAGTAACTTCAGAAGTGTCGGGACCCAATGCTCCGACTTTGACATTATTATAGAAAAGGACGTATTTCGCTCCGAACTGCGCCGCGTTGGTTGCCTTCTCTACAAAGGTGCAGGACCCGCGACGAATCAGTACGATGTAACCTGATAAGTCAGGAGTATCTTCTGGTAACCCCCCGCAGCCCTGAGCAGGGTCTGTGGTATTGAATGAGGGAGTCCACAGCGGAAGGCTGACGTTGCTCCATTTTCCTGGCTCTCCGAGAGCGTAACCAAATTTCTGTTGCACGCCACCATCTATGGTAAAATTCGAGTCGGTGAGGATTAAAGGTGTAACCTCGTTGTCTATTGAGGCAATCGATGTAACTTTTTTGCCGTTGGAAGCCGTGCTGGCATAAAATAGACCAAGCGCTCCATCATTGCCAGCTGAAACCGTACAAGGAACACCGGCTTCGACAATCCGAGATACGGCAACAGCCCAGGGGTCTTCGCTCCAGCCGGAGGAGCCACCGATCGATGCTGTGATGATGTTTGATCCAGCTTCGAATGCTTTCATATAGGCATCAATCAAGACATCATTGCCAGCGCTGCCACTACAACCGAAGACTCTAAACATGCCGAGGGTGACGTCGGGGGCAACGCCAGTGAAACCAAATTCATTTGCCTGCGCCGCGATGATTCCAGAGACGTGAGTGCCATGGCCACCGCAGCCATCATACGGGTCGTCATCGGGTACGGGTGTGTTGTAGCCGTTGTAGTCGTCTCCAACGATATCACTACCAAAGGTGAATAGACAGTCTGGACCACCAAAGCAGCCGCCCAACGCGGGATGTGTATAATCAACCTAAAGATGGTAAGCGTCGGACATTTACCGTTTGGGTAAATTACTTACACCTGAATCGATGATGCCAATCTTGACTCCCTTTCCTGTGATCCCCTTTGCCCGAAGCTTATCCACTTGGGTCATCACATGTGGTGTGAAGGTATCATTTCCAAGCTGTCTCTTAACGTTTTTGATATAGTCTACTCCACCGCTTCGCCCCGTCCAGACAACTTCGTCCCTGGGTAGCGAGTACACCCTATTCGGCCATACCTGTTTAACGCTAGAAAGGGAGTTAAGCTTTCCCGCCTCTTCCTCGGCCGTCTTCAGATCGTGAAATTGGATCGATACTCCTTTGAATAACTTGTAATCCAAATTCATGCGCGTTTTCGCCTTTTCGCTAATGTGGCTGAAGAATTCTGCCGAGTCCTAATCCCCCAGTCACAGTCGGTTAGTACGGCGCACATCTCTTATCACCGTGTGTTCAGGCTAAAATACCTGGGAATCTTCAAACTCCACAATGTAAGATCCAGGAAGATGTTTCGTTTCCCCTTCTGTCTTCTTGGCTTCAGTTGATAAAATGCTTAGCGCGCCCGTGAGCAGCGACAGGAAATGATATCCGCGAACCATCTTGGAACAGAGAGCACGGCGGCGGGGCGAAGCCGGCGAGTGTCTAAAAACGAAAGACTAGAAGGAAAGTGCGACAGCACCAAACCACTTGATGAAAGAAGATCAAGAAGAGGCGAGGACCTGGGCCCCCAGCCAAAAAGCGGGAGCTTCTATGAGTATTTGTAGTTGTCGGCAAGTCTATAGCCTATCGAATGGAGGATAAACACATGCAAGATTGGACGTGTCATCGCGCCGCGCAGTCGCGTTACATTGCAAAAGCGAGGGTTGATAACGTCTTCATGCCGTCTGGGCCGCTTGCTAGTATTGTCAACCCAGCTTCCGTAGTGGTATTAGAGATGCAGGGCGTAGCAAGGGGGGTGGGGGGGATAGCTAAGGAGATACCTTAACCTGGAGAAGCTTAGCAAGGGGCCAACGCGGTACCCCAATAATGAGTTAGATACCGGGTATGAATGAGGTAATGCTTCATCGGTTGGTGGAAATGATCCATGTTGTGATAATCTGTATCATCCCATATTTACCTAATGTAAGTGAAGTCCACTGGTGAACTTGACGAATACACGACACCCCATACAAGCCATAAATGCTATGTGACGATGTCATCTCTTCACTCAGGTAGTTGATAAATATTGATCTAATGCCATACCCTGCGCGCCCTAGATGTTTGTCCAAGATAAGCTATCAACATAGGGTACACTCTAGCGTCTCGTCGCATCACTCTTCACACACTAGAGGCGAGGCAATCATTTTGGGGTAAAGATCCTGGCGCTATCCAGTAGCATGTTGACGTACTCTGAACGAAATAAGACGAGAAGCAACAAATCGAAGAGCAAGTTACAGGTTACACATGGGAGTTGCTGATTGCTTATGTTGTAGCGTATTAAATGCGCGCAATGCAGGGACAGGGGAATTGTTAACTTTATCTAGCAACGTTAAGAAGATATCTATGTAGTAGACGTGACGCTTGGAGCAATTGGAGCTCTTATACGGAATACGATACGGAATAGAAAAAAAAAAGTCTGGGCGTCGGTGATGCGTCCCGGTTCTAGTCAGGGACTACACTCCGTATTAGGTAGTTGGCTGCTAATATAACGGGAAAGGTCTATTAGTTAGAAACCGATACCATGTCAGGTCAGAATGCAAATTCTACCCCGTCCATGTCGTGCTTCTGTTGATGGCCTAAACGGGTTACTAAATTACAACCACGAGGGAAATGCAACACAGACCTCTATCATACAACCGCGTCTGTTCAACATACATTACCCGGCTTTGAGCGACCAGGTCTGAATTTCCGGGCCACAGCGTTGTCGCAACTGAACACATGCGGCTCTAGGAAACTTTCAAAGGGAAAAGGAAAAAAGATAACGTGGAAGAGCCCGTGCCTGGTACTAGGAGCGCACGCGATTAGGTTTTCAGGAACCAGTGTGAGGACCTCCCTATTTAGGAAGCTGTACCAATGCAGCGGTAAAATCCGCCACACTATCGGCAATGTGGTCAAGATCTTAACTATGCCCCTTTTGTCAACTTCTACTACCTTTTCTCGGTAAGGCGTGTAAGTTGAGAGTTCTCGGCGCATCCTGCGAATTTAACATTACGATTACAAGTGCCAGATTGGACAGTTCGTTGGATTTATTTCTTATTGTGTTAATTTCTAAATTAAAGCATGCGAAATATGTGAAGAAACTCTTGCTTTCTTATACTAATACCCTAGTCAACCCTCACTGGCTAACAATTATCTGATACAATTATCTGATATAGGTAGAGTTAAATGTTTCAAGCTTGTTAGTAAACCTCACACTGCCTTTACAGATGGAAGCTAATTAGTATAGTTACATGTACCATGCATACATTAGATGCATATATGCCAAACAATGAGCAGCGCACCGCTGCGACGGACGTTAATGCTGATAACACAACTACAAGAATATTCTTACTCACATACGCTTTTAAAGGTCGCTAATAGTAATAGAGCGACGAAGTGAACAGCAAGCAAAGAGAGAGATATAGAGAAGCCTATTCTCCGAGTGAATATTTGTACCATACCGGAAAGACACCGATATTGTATTCGATGATACAGCTCCCACATGTAGAGAGCTGTGACACATCGACTAGAAAATGCGCATAGCCGACTACGAGAATGGCGCGAATGCAAGTCCCCAAGACCGGGTTATCGCAACCAAGCACAGCTTGAAAATCAGTTGGTATTGTGATCTGTGACTTATTCAAATACATACTTGTTACGAGTAGGACCGTTTCCACCTGTTAATATCAAACATTCGTAGACCAAAAATTTTGGAAGGTTAGTGAATAGAATATTGAGTCTTTCTAGTAGAGTTCTCTATTACCAGACTATCATAGCACTGCCCGTGGGACTCTTATAGGCGGAGATCGCAACGTTAACTCGTTCTACTTTTTGGTAACGTAGTGGTTTAGCGCTCTTCCGAATCCTTACACAGGCACTTATATATCTTCAGTGAGAGAACTATAATATCGTCTCTGCGTCTCTGAATTAGGTCTATTTTTGATTTCAGGCACGATGCTTTCAGGTAAATGTTTCCTTATAATACACATAATCATAGACAAGCTCTAAGCAGGGTCTTTTTACGAAAGTATTAGGTAGGTTGGGATCTATCTAGCTGTTGCACCGACTACGCATTCTCGTGCTCGAGTTATGCGCTAGGTAATAGATTCTAGTAGATTAAGACATTAAGGGCACAGGTCTATTGGAGTGATCTATAAAGGGTGATCTTTAAAGGCATGTTTGATTTATATCACTATAATCAAGTCTCAATGGGGTGCCACTGTGAATTTGAACGGTGGGATAATCTACCTGCAAGGCAGCAACAATAACAGCAGCGACACCAGATGGGATTATGAGAGAAGTACAGGTACATTATAAAGACAGAATACCGGTCTCCTTGTTGCTTATGCATTTCTGTTCATCAATGTGAATAGTCTTAATTTTTATACGAAAAGTTGTGGAAGTATTACAATCTACTATAATTGTTTACTGGGCAGACAGTATCTCATCTATACTCCTACGTATCCCGTCCTGGTGCACTGGGCCGATTACAACGATACAAGCTACTAACATTGTGACATGCTAAAATACGGAATTTCGCAAATATTACGACTCTTATTTTTACCTAACCATGCTATGTATTATGCGAAAATACAGACTCGGTCCTTGCTCGCCCCCTTATATTGATAGGGCGATTAAACCAAGGAACCAAGCCTCTCTAATATGCTAGGGATATCTCAAATGCCAAAAGGAAAACCAGCCAATTGTTTTAGGTGTCCGACCAAAACTAGCGCCCGCCCGGACACCAGTTGAATCTATGTAATAGGAGAGAAATATCGTTTAAAGGGAGAGTGTACCGAGTGTGAAAAGAGGAAAAAGAACATCATACGGTCATTGGTATAGCATCCTTTTCCTTGCCTCTTCTGAAAAAAATAAAAATAATTGTAATTGCTGAATTGCGTTTTTTGCTTTTTTAGTGATCTTCGACATCCTCATCCCGTCCAGGGTACATAATGTCCTGAACAATTACCGCCCTCACATGACTGTAGAGAACGAAGAGGTACGTGGCCAACAAGCAGATAGACATACCCGTCGTGACCCATTTCACCGACTCGTTCCCGAACTCGTTTGATATCGAAATAGTTGCCAAGATGAAACCGGTGTTGGGGAAGACCATCGCCCACCATCCCAAGTGGAAATATTTAGGGGGGGAGCTTATCACAGCAACCAATGCGATACCGAACCACCAGAGAGATAGCGCCCAGAGGAAGATGGCTCCGATCAGAGCAAAAGTCCTAATCAAGTGTACGTCGATGAACCCGTCCATCTCCCTATCGAAGGTATCGGGAAGGCCATTCGCCATACCTATAAACGCGAGCGCTGTGAAAGCCGGGGGTCCCACGTTCATGAATAGACCAGGTCGGTGCTCACGGTTAGGAAGACCTGTTTCCTTGTTAGAACTTTTTTTATATCATCATTGGGCGAGTTTTGGAATAAATCGAACCACGTACCGGCTGACATCAGGCGTCCAATCATATGAGCGTACATCATAATCGCAACGAAAAGTCCCAATCCTTGACAGCTCATACCAGCGATCACGATGGGTATAGCCGAGATTTCAGGTTGAGTGTCAGAAATGACCGAGGCGATAGTTCCCGACAGCATGATAGGGAAAATCGGGAGAATCCATGTTGGCATCATCGTCTGTAAGCCGAAGTTGTGAGCCGCAAACACGAAGCTATATTGCCCAATAGCCACTATCAGAGTAATGACGACATAGCCCCAGAAAGCTAGCTGAATAGCCCACACGAGTGGCGTATCGTTATCCGGGATTGCGTACCGCTGCGTGCTGGTGATGATAGTAGCGATGGATAGGAAGTACGTCGGAAAGAAGAAGCCTTCCCGAGGGTGAGACAGAGATCTGTAAAAGTCGCCATGGTGAAGGAAGAACCGCGATAGCATAGCAAAGGTTAACGTTGTGAATAGGATAAGGTTGGCGATATATACGAATAAACCGATCTGTCTAAGCCCAGGGAATTGGTGAGTCTGGGCAAAGATGAGAAGTGATAACCCGCCAGTACTCATGGTTAACGTAAACCAAGCCCATGTGAAGTGATGCATTCGCTGACGGATCCCCAGCTTCGGACGGTTTGGATCGTAAATATCGACATGATCCTTTCCGTGGTCATGGACACCATGCTCTAAGTCGCCACCGTTGTTTTCCTTGCTCTCCAGTATAGAGTTGGCAGTCGAACTGGCTTGTGTCTCCGGTCGTTGTTCATTATGCTCATTATGTCCACTATACCTCTTCTCGCCTACGGGTAACTGTCCCGCCGCCGGGTCCGAGGTGGGTAATGTGAAGGTTGGTGCTGATGAGCCTGGATACGAGAGTGTCTCCCGAGAAAAGAGACCACCCGTCGGTGTGGGCTCCATTGTTATGTTATTTTATGTTATGAAAAAAAAGGAAAAAAACAAAATCCACACAAATAGTTCCGTGTCGAGGAGGCGACGGAGAAAGAAGAGAAAAAAAAGGAAGCTGTACAGATAAAACAAAAAAACAGATGAACCAGACCAGAG